AAATGCTCTCTTCAGAGTTCTTTTGTTGGCGTCAGCTTGATACAATACACTATGCTAGTTTATTTACAGAAACTGAGTGTTAAAAACTTTAAAATAAACCCATCTTCAAAAACATAAGGTGAAACAAAAATGAATTTATCTTAATTGACTGCCTTACATCATCACTTCTAATTGTCCTTACAAAACATCAACCTTAAAGCGAAGGTTAGCTTTGGAGAATTGACAGAAAAATACCAAAGGTTTTAAAGCCGTTCGATAAACTTCCAGTCCGTGTCTTATCAAATCTAAAATTGTTGACAAAACACTCCTGTCTGCTTATTACATGCAACTTCAATCGCTTTGAACTGTGACCTGCGTGTTAGGAAAATTCGTCTGCACAACATTCAGTACAGTACACAACAATTCACCAACACGATTTTAACATGCTATTACAGGTCTCATCAATTATCTCATGTTGCTGAAATTTTCTATCTACAACCAATCATTCTCATTCAAAAAACATCAAAACCAATATGATTACAATGACGTTTCACTACAAAATTTATATCTCTCTTGAATTTGCATATAAATTGATTTAATTTTTCCATTTAAAATAGTCTTTGAGCCATCCTTTCATTCGTTATTATTCGACAGTTTCGTCGTAATCTTCACCAGTAAACTCTACAATACTTCTGTAGACTGACGCGAAAGCCGGTCTGTACTCTGGTTCCTTGGGGAAAAGAACAACAACAACAACTATATTAAGAGAAAGTTTTTCCTTCTTGAAGACACTTTCGAAGGAAAAGCGCCAAGATTTACAAAGTTCTGATTGGATTGAACTTTTAGAAAATCACTATGTGTTGTACCTCTGATTAGCTAAAAGTTTAAGTTAGTAACAAGGCTTTTCACCAACAACGCAACAAAAAGGTAGACGCGAATCAATTTTTTTCAGGATTTTCCCACGCAGTATTTTTATATCCCATCGCAAAAGCAAACCAAGACAAACCCCGACATAACTGAAAAAATCTCTTTTTCCACGGTATTGTTCCGTCTCCGAGGTTCAAATAATCTATACTCTTAACTCTTTTATAGTGTCTGTGAACTTTGATCACACTTCTTCACTCGTAAAAAGAGTAACTCCACCTGATACCACAGAGAAAAAAAATACTGCGACACTGCAAACAGCTTACCGCATGCCAACACCTCTCCACAATTCTATACATCTCTTCAGGACACCTTGTTGGTTTTTGTAGTCGATAACCATTCAGAATCTGTTAAACAAACATCACTGGTTTTTCACTGATCAGTAAAGAAATTAAAAAACTATCGCATCTTTGAAACCAAAAGCTCTTCAAATAGTACTTTAACTGGAAAAGATGAGACTATTGTGTGCGCGCAACCTTGAATCTTACTTTCCCGGTACGGGCGTTTTCCCAGTTCCTCTCGGTCGACTGGACCACGTGAACCGAAACGCTTTAGCCGCGCGGAATAATGAGGCCTAGGGATTAGGCAAGAATCTTACCTTGCTAGACATGCGTTAGCCATGCGTTACATGAACTGAAAATTGGCACCTCCTTTTTATGCGGGCGAAGAGCGAGGAGGTCCGTTTAGGGAGATGGAAACCGAAGCAGGGGATCTACGTAAACCTGATCTTAGCCGGTATGCAAATCTTTTTTCAGTCTCGTCTCCTTACTGAGATCAAGCAAACTAATGAAATTATCCTATTGCCTTAATGAGAACAACTCTTCTGATAAGAACATTTATACTCCAAGTGGTTCATTCAGCCGTAAAAAACATGGCTAAGGTATCAAAAAAAATAATAAAAGGAATGAAAAAATATTCGAGGTGCAAAGCGCGCCAAGAGAAGACTGGGGAGGGAGAAGTAAACTTTTATCAGCTACGTCAGCTGAGGAGGAGAGTGCTAACCTTTTGAACAACATCGGTGTTGTTGATTGCGGGATAAGGCTGTTTTCCTCCAGTGTATATTTCCCAGGTTAAAATACCTATCAATACCAATATATATCACTGAGTTATGCCTGTTCAATTCGTCAAAACTAAAGGCAGCAATGTAAAAGGAAACCAGACAGGAAAAACGACGAGGACAAACAGAAAAGCAACATAAATACAGCGAGATGTATTAAACAGTAACTTGAATGGCGTCTTACCAAAAGCCCAGATGTCCGATTTACTACTGAACTTAGTATAGAGAATGACCTCTGGGGCGGCCCATTTTATAGGGAATTTTGTACCCTCTGATGCCGTGTATTCATCGTCAATGACATATCTGTCGGAAAGAATAATAATATTAGTCGTAGTATTAACCACTCTAGAGACTTAACATAAAGCTTGGTTTTTTAGCGGAGAAAACAGTGGAGAGTTGAAAGTAACTTCACGATCGCTTTCATTTATCTGCATCGCCAAGCTTTGAAATTTGTCAATAAAATCTAACGCCACACTCCATCAACCAATGAGAAAAAAATCAACCGATTCAAGATTCACGACTTGAATTGAACAGAAGCGGTTTCTCGCGCTTGACTCCTTAGATTGTTCAGTTGCCCCTGGTGTTCCTCTGACGGGTCCAAATAAAACATTCACTTAGTTTTATGACACACGTGTGAACACAACTTAAAACATCAAGTAGTTCACTATTTCTAATAAGAAAAAAAATAACTCACCTCGCTAAACCAAAATCCGCTACTTTTACTATATTATTATCTCCTATGAGACAGTTTCTTGCTGCCTGATTAAAGATGACAAAAATGATGACATCAGTTAGCAGCATTACTAAGTAAGGGCACTCAGTTTGAAATTTAAGAAGGTCGGAGTTGGTTGAAATACTGACGCACGTGTAGAAGTTTTGTTTTACTCACTCAACCCTATCATGGTTTTTTTTTTGTTTTGTTTTTTGTGTTTCTGCCGTCCCGTTGAGTTGTGGTGGCGTACTTTCCTAAGCTCTCTAACAACAGTTGCATAACACCAATTCCAAAATGCTTTCATTTTAACTTACCAGATCTCTGTGGATAAAGTTCCTACTTTCCAGATAAGTCATAGCATAGGCTACCTGTCGAACCATTTCTGTCATTTGTGGAGGTTGCAGGCGAATTTGATTCTTCCGTAAATAGTTTAAAAGGCATCCTAAATTATCAACAAAATAAATCATGAGTTAATCTCTAACGCGAGCTAACAGCTAAATTCAAAGAAGTTTTCTTTCGTTTCCTCTTAAAACAAAATCTCTGAAAGCAGGTTGGCTAGCAACATACTAAAGAGAATAAGTGTACAGCGTTTTTCTCTCAAGTTTGAATGCTTCTTTTAACATAATATCTTATAGGGTCATTACTGATCAGGAAAAGTGAAATTATAAGAAGGAGAGAGGTTACAAGACGACAGAAAAACACTGATTGTGGTTAATTCAATCAGCGTTAATAAAAATAATATCCCACCTTGTGTCATAAATTCTGTGATGATATAAATGGGTTTCTCGCTGCAAACACCAAACAGCTGAACCAGATGAGGGTGGTGGAATTTTCTGCAGTGCAAAACATTCATTGGCTTGTTAGAAAAGCAAGAGGCAACCATGTACGTTTTTATTAATTAAGCGTCTAGTTTGCTTTTAAATTTCAGTAATTTGTGATCAATTCAAAAACTTTTGTGCCACTGCCTCAAAAAACAAAACAAACGACGCAATATTGAAATTTATGTTTTACTTTTAACCCTTAGGTTGCGTCTTTGCAGGTTTCAGTTTTTCAGAAATCTAGGAGGAGGTTTAGGGTGTGGAAAAGTTCTACACAGGCTTCCCATGTGCCTTGCATTAAATGAACTGTTACACTTCTGTAAAGCGGCCACTAGGTTTTTTCACAAAAGTGTCTGTATTAAGGAGGTAAATAACTGCACTTACGTCATGACTTTTGCTTCATCAATGAAGTCATCTTCAGACATGGCGCCTTCCTTCATCATTTTAACAGCCACAGGAGTCTCTTGCCACCAGCCTTGTCTCACAGTCTGTTGTATGAAAAATGAATATCTCAGCATTATCAGCTACTCGATATTCACTGCCCTTACAAAGTTACCCTACTAGGAAATTATTATTGTAAGGAAATATCCAGAAATTGCAGATCACCAGTAGCTAGTTCTCTGCTGTTTTATCAGTATGACAGGTGCCTGAACTGTCAGCTGTTTCAGTTGGGAGGCTTATAATAATATTAGGTTTGCAGTATTTACCAGTCAAGGAAGGGATCAAGGGCCTCCAGCTGGGAGCTGGCTGACTTACTTGTCCATCATCCATTTTGCAATACAGTAGTTAAAAAAGATGATTTACACTCACCCCAAACTGGCCTGAACCTAACTCCTTTCCAAGCACTATTTCTGATCTGGGCACTTCCCATACATCTACAAGGAAAGAAGGGACAGCTATGAATATAATCTCAATTTTGCTACAAGCTATACTGTCTCTTTTTAGCATTACCAAACTATTAACTAACATTTACAAGTGTATATTTTAGAGGTGTCAGTCATGGGGGTGAATATTCAAATATATAAAAGATACATCATATTTTTAGGCAACTACATACCATGACCAAATGCCGCTACTGGTGCCTGACCAAATGAAGGAGGTTGCCTTAGTCTAGTAACTAAGCCTGGAATACAACATTAAATGTTAATGTTTTATGCAAAATTATTCAGTTTAATTAACCCCTTGTCTAGAAAGGACATATATATACATCCTGTGTGGGGTCCTTCAGCAACCCAGGACATATATATATGTCCTCAGACAAATGAAATCACCAAAAGTCTGGTCATTAAGAAAGGAACTCTGGTCGTTGAGAAAGGTTGCTGGTTGCTGGATGTATTTGGTTCTAGTAGGCAAGGGGTTAAAATTAACAGCCTGTCTTGATATGGTTCATCCTTGGAGACCCAGGGGCGGTCAGTCGGGCTGGGAGAAATGGTGCACTAAAAGTTTTCAAGCACAGGCGGAAAAGCCTCTGGGTACCCACTCTCACTGGACCATTTCCAAATGCTTAAGCGAACGTTGGCTCCTGATTGGGCACAAAAATGCTTTGTATTATTGTGCCCAATCGGCAAACAGCATCTCCTGGGTCTCTGAGGATGGATATTGTTTATAATACATCTGTAAATAGGTGTAGCATGATTGTCCTGGCGAGCATAGTTCAGAATAGGACTGCTGTTGACAATGACTGACATTTCAACAACCTGTGTGGTAGTAATCTTCAAGTCCAAGAGTCCAAGTGAGTTGTATGACATTAATTGATGGCAACAAGGCATTTTTGGTCAGATCAGTCATGAGACACTTTAATATATTGTATGTAGATACTGTGGTTTGAAGGGTTAATACAGTCAGTCAACAGAAACACATCAGTAATATAAAGGTACCTCCACTGTTATGCTGATGATAATTGATGAGTTCAGACACTGTTGGATATCTATGTCTCTCTGATATATACAACTGCCCACAATCTTCCTTGATGTGATAATGCCGAACATGGTCTCCATGCCTAGAGTAACAAATCAAAAGCTTATAACCTCTGGTTTACATCCTTTTCACTTCTAGATCAAGACCATGATGGTGTGATCCTTTTTCACTCTAAGTAAAAACTGAGGATGAAATCCTTGGTTAATGTACCATTTAAATGAAACCTCTTTGGAAGACCTTTTGCACAGAACTATCCATTTCCCAAGATGTTATAACAAAATATTCTGAAATTATACATTTGACCACTATATGGCATTAAGGGCAGCACCACATCTCTCTAAGAGGAGATTAACTGTTGGAGTCACTTCCCTTCTAAAACAGATATTATTGGCTGGGTTTCCTAGCTAAGAGTTTAATGTTATGTTTCACTTGCGTACAAATGCAGAAAAGAAGTAATATTAATGTCTGTTAACTGAATGGAAAGAGGCTCATAAACAGTTCACAACAAATATAGCAATGCTCTATACTGCCCTAAACACTTATGTAGATAGATGATAGAGCTTAATGATGGCAAAACTTCAAAAGAATAGAATGGTTAATAAAATTTATAAATAAAGAAACAAAAAATAAATAAAAGGGAAAAACACTTACAAAACAGTCAAGGTGTACATTCCCTCTCTACTTGAGTTTCGGACTACAAAACAGCCCTCTTTACCCTGAAAAATATGTTTAGGACGCATTTCTCTTATGAACTGCCTGAATAAATTGGTAAAGGTATCTTTGTTCAGATAAAATACTAAAACATTTGCAGCTACTTCTCACAACAATGATTTACCCACCTCCTTTTTCAAAACATCCTCACACAACTGTCGAGACATTTCAGGTTGGAACCAGCTAAAAATAAAATTGCAGTTATTGTTATGAATGAATGAAGAGTTGTGAATGAGAGGACAACAGATGTGCTTTCTTACAATACATTTTAACATGTGAACAGTAAGCTCGGATGTCAGCACACAGTTAGATTTAAAATGATTTAAAATATGTGTTAATAACTTTGTCATATGTAAATGTAGTTCAAAAATATCAATAGCTACAGACAAAATTTGAGTAGGACACAAAATAACAGTCGGTCAATGGACAATGTCCCCCCAGAAGTCAAGCCAAAAACTTTACTCGCTGGACATGTTGACTGGTTATGCACATTGTACTCTCGTTCTTAAACAAACAGCCAAATCCTCACCTGTAAATCTTAGATTTTTGCCTCTTTGTAAAAATACAAATAAAAAATTACACAAAGATCAGTTAACTATTTTCCCCAATATTTTGACTGGTCAGAAATGAAGACTTGACCAAACAGAATTTTCTTTGGCTGGTGATTGTGTCCGTCCGATGTCCAAAAATTATTTTGAGCCCTAAGGAGATCAGGTGAACTTTGGATCACTACAGGTTTAAAGAGTCCTAGAACTGAGAAGCTTCATTCGTAAATTCAGCTATGTTAGATTGGTCAAAGTTAAGCAGACAGACCCTTCACATTATGGTTAAAGTCCATCAGTCCTACATGAAACAAATACGCATTTAAAATCTCTCTGGTGAAAACAGAAGGGACTTAAACATACCTTTCACTTTCCAATCCTAGCCTTCTTACATAATTACTTGGAATGAAACCACTTTCTCTGAAAAATATTAAAAAACACTCAATGAGATGCCCAAACAATGCTATTGTTTTCTAATGCATTATTTTTTACAAACATTACAAACCCTCTTGAATTTTTGGCTATCCACCAATGATCTGTTTGTTTATCAAGGACTGTTACCTGTTCTCCCTAATAAAAGAGAACAAAGGAGATTAACAAAATGATGGAACACTGACTAGACAAAATAATTATATTTTTTATCCTTACAGCTGTAACTGCCTTGAAAAGAAATACACCAAGCAACATCCAAAACGTTGACTTTAGAGTTTGATAAAAATAAGACAACAATGTTTATTGGAACTATGCAACTTCACCATATGAGCAGTGTTAAACAGAAAGTGAGGTCAAAAAACAAACAACTGCAAAATTACTTCTGCTGATATGCTGCTCAAGGCTGGAACTTGCCATGTCCATTCTGTCAAGGTTTCTGACTTACCATGATCTACTGGCACAATGTGTTATCTATCAAGCCATGTATGGGCATATGATGCATTGAAACCAAGACAACAAGGTTCACTTACAGACCTAAAACTTCTTTCTGCTTTTAAATAATATACACACTAAAATACTCATATTTACATAAACAAACCTTGATGAGAGACAAGTCGCCTTGTTCAGCTCCACTGAAGTCATAAATGGCCACTACAACTTCAGTTTTTTTTTCAGGTTCTTTTCTTTCTCTGGGAACTGGTGCAGGCACCGCTGGTTGTTCACTTTTATTCTTAAGTTAAATCACAACACAGAACAAAAGGAATCAATATTAATTAACTGAAGACAAAATTGAGCCACATTTTCATAACAAACCATAACAACATGTGTAGGGCGGAAAATAATCTACAGGCGGACAATTACTGGGGTGGGGGAGGACTTGGGATGGTTGGGGGGGGGGCACTGAGGCCCTCAAACCTTGACCCTACTGAACACAGTATTATTAACTAGCTTCTAAAAGGTACTTACTTCAGAAGGGATGGGAGGCAAGGGCTGAGTTGCTATAAATGATGAACGAGTGTAACTGTCGCCTACAAAAAGGAAATAATACCAAAATGGTAGATAATCACATGCCCATATATCATATTTACATGTTAACACCCTGTAAGTACTATAACATTTTACTGGCTCCTTGCCCTAAAATTCGTTTCATCTGACAACCATACTGGGTTGACCAGACAGACTCCTCGCTAAACATAGAGGTCTGTCTGTTCAACTGCCCATGATTAGTCCTGCCTTTAACCTTCTACAAAAACGACACCCTTTGTAATAAAGGTAAGGTGAAGGCCAGATGAGCCAAAGGCCCAAACGGTTGGAGCTTATACCGGTTTCTGTAGCATGAAGCATGCCCAGGAGTATCACTACTCCCCCCTGGACGGATACTAGTCCATCGCAGGGTTACCCCCCCCCCCCCCCCACCATTTATACCCATTTATACACCTTGGTGAAGAGAGACAAAGTTGGGTAAAGTACCTTGCCTAAGGAAACAACGCAACAGGCAAGGCTTGAAACCCAGACCTCCAGATCCAGAGTTCAAGGTTGTAACCGCTCAGCCACACACACCTCCTTTCTAATAAAGTCAGATACTTTATTCACTTCCCAGTGGTCTCTGTCTTAGAGAAAGTTCATCATTAAGTGTCTCTGCCAAGGCAATTTGTGGCACCTCCTCTAGAAGGTAGCGACATTAAGATTTGACTATGAGTATGAGTTTGAGTACAAGTACAGGATTTCAAACTCAGTCACTTGAAATAATAATATTATTCTCCCAAAACTCTTGCCCCTTCATGTCTGGGGCATCAAAATGAGCTTCAGATTCCATTAATCATACTTATACTTGCAACTTTAGGAACATTTTTGGTAAATTCAAGTAATTCATAGTAGTGTATAAAATGTTTGCTCTTACCTTGATAACCATCTTTCTCACTTGCAGCAAAAGATTTCTGACAACCTTGAGCTGTCTTCTCCCTCCCATCACAGCATGTCCACTTGTTTATAAAAATTCCAGGATGGTATTCCATAAGGAGAAACTTATTACCACTACATTCTAGAAACAAAGTGTTATTATCAGATGTATAATGTATGCAACCCTTACCTTTAAATTTAAGTACTATTATGACTTTATACACTTCCATTAATTTTACCTTAGTCACATCAAAGACCTCTAGTGATAACCAAAAGGTCTGGCAAAGAGGCTTTAATTACTTGAATGGTAACCCCACAGGGTTTCATCCACAGATTTAATAGTAAGGGTGACAAATAATCCTGTTATACAATGGTCTAGGAGTGAGAGCATTAAGGCTCCTCATAAATCATCTTTGTCTTTATCAACAAAAAATGGAATCTATTTAAGTACCATCTTGAATGGAATCCACCCAGTCTTTTCTTTCATCTTCGGTTTTTGCACTGATGTACAAAACCAGATCATCATAGACAACCTGTTGAGCAGCAGAAATATATGGTAGTGCCTTCATTAGTCCTTACCTGGTGTACTTAACCTGTGGATATATAATATAATAATTTATTATATTATTAATTTGTGAAACAGATTTTAGCAGACATCACCCAACCAATTACTAATGACTGCATATCAAGTTGACCATGGTCTGAACATGTGTTTCAGTCTTTGTCAGAACATTCACAAATAGACATATGAAATACATGTAAACATTACAAGATTTGGAATTCACACATGTACCTGTAATATGAAAAAATCTATAATAAATACATTATGAGCAAACAATATAGCAGTCTACAATGACTGTCTCACAGTTACTCTGCATTTTATATTTGATCAGGAGTCAATAGAGACCTTATTCCAAGCACCTCATGCACAACTCCATGAGAGGTTCATCAATCAGACTATACTGAACTCACTTGGAAGCAGTATTTCTTGACTTGGTCAAATGCAGTGTCTTCAACAAACTCTACTGCTTTCACTGAGCTTAGAGGTATACTTCCTTTCCGTTTTCCACGTTTCTGCTCAAAAAAATATCATAAACATAATTTTAACAGGAGCCAAGTACTTCAGATGTCAGCAACCCATACTCACGTATAACATGAAGTTTGTGACCTCCATGCCGCATGTGTTTTCACAAGGCAGTTTTTCCTGCCTAACACTCTCGTGACGCGATAGATTACTTACTCCATCCACGGACTTAGCAGTATAAAACATATTTCAAAGTAGGTTCAGGTTAATAGCTCTTAGAAGCAGATGAAAATGACTTGATGTTAATTACCAACTAGCTTAAGCAGCTTTTTTTTCCTGGCTTCAATCTAAGGAGTTCTTTGTTTCATTGTTTTTGGGATCAAATTCCCCAACTCAGTAAACTTAGCAAGTTGGAAACAAAATTGTTTTCATAGCCATTTCTACTCAGTTAACACTCACTAAGCAACCCAAAACATCCCTCATGAAAATGCAACCACTAAGATTGTAACTCAATGGACTGACTGTTCCAGTTCCTCTGTGTTTTGTGACATTTTGACAGGAGTTATTTTGCAGGGGTTAAAAATAAATTGCAATTCCCCCAAAATAGAGGAGTATGAGGGGAGGGGGTAAAATTATTCATTTATAGAATCAGTTGAAAATATATGGGTATATTTCCAGAGGCATGAGGAATAAAATATTGCAGCTACAGGGGTAGGGGAGGGATATTTTCTGGAACTCTTTTAGTCCATAATGGGTTGGTATATTAAGGTTTCCTCTCTGTAAAAGTTTAAAACTGGTATGAAAGAAACTTTGATTTAAATAAATAAGCTCAAGGTTAAATTTAGTGCTTAAACAAGGAGGGCATAACATAAATAATTAACTTAAATTTAAAAACGCTAATTCGTCGTACCACAGATTGTTGCTAACATAGTGTTAAGAAATCAGTTAAGGAGTTTTGCAAACCAAGGATGATTTAATCATTAACATACAAATCAAGAAACTTCGAGCAACTTACATTTCAGCAGAGATCGATAAAAAAACATTCTACCGCTAGCTATTTAAAGCAGATTAAAGCTCATGCAGTGTTTAGTGCAAAACGCACAAACTCGGAGATAAAACAATCGATCTATGACATGAAATATTGCGTTCAAAGTACAATTTACATCATTTTAAGGTATTTGCATATCCTTACCTCTGCAGAGCCTTCAAAATAGTTGAGAGTTTTAGGGGTGAGAACAAACACTCGCTCTTTCCAGTTCAATGAAGTGAGCACTTTCTTTTTTCCCTGGGCTCGTTTCCACATAACGGAAACTTTCAGTTCCCTCTGCTCTCCTTGATCGAAGTACATGATGCCCAGTTTTGAGTGTTTTGATTTCAGTCACATGAATGTAGCTTTAATATCGAGAACCATGTCAAATTTCCTTAACAATGACTGAAACAAGCGCTCCTATAACCGGAAGGAATAGCTTCCAAACTCGTACGGTCAGCAAAGCACTGTGGGTTGCTAAGACGGTCGGGCTTTGCCCCAGCAAAGTTTGCATAATTATGCAAACTTTGGCGGGGTGGGGGCGGGGGAACGGAGTGTATTATGGCAATGTTTTGTTTTCTCAAATATAATAGACGTCAGGTCAAGTAGAGAAAGGATTGTTTCAAATATCTTCTTATTGTTTAGTATACGTTCGTATACGAAGGAGAATTTCCCTTGACAACATTACATTAGCTACCCTGTGTGCCACTCTTTTACCTAACGGGGCAAAGGGTAAAGCACTGGGCAAAGAGAAGAAAAGCACCTCCCCCATCCCTTTCCCTCTCTGTTTTCCATTGTTGTTGTTTTACATCACGCTAAAAGTCCAGCTGACCTTCCTTCTTTTTACAGTCTCTTTCAAAAACTTTTCTTAGGAAGTTACTGGAAAGGTGCCATTTTATGATGATATCTATATAGGATTGGGGGGGGAGGACTTTTATAGCATAATTTGTGATAAATGGTGGTCTCCAGCTGAACTGCATGGTGGGAAACTAACATTGACACCATATGTTTATTGAATTTACCATTATTATTCATACTTCCAACAACAGCAAAGTCACCTGTGAAAAACACAAAACTATTCAAAGTTGTCACTTCTCTCGGCTAAAAAGTAGAGAGAAGCAACAACTGGGAAGAGGTTCGCAGGCTAAAAGCAAAGGCATCCTTCTTTTTCTTCAGAAGAGAGAGGAACCCCGGGTTAGAGTGGGACCCTATAGAGAACATCACAAAACAGAACCAGTAGGATATTTCCAGTTATTGTAAACTAATACACTTGACTTCAGCTATAGAAAGTCATTGTCAAATCTCACAATGACAAGAGGTCCTCAGACCAGTTCTTCAAGTTCTCTAAATTACTTTTTGACAAACTAACATTTTTATCAGCAAAGAAAGATCCTGCTTTGTAATTTGTCATATTTAACAGAAACTTCTTTATAACTTACTGATACTCCTATCAGCTTTCAAGACTGAGCAAAGTGTTCACACTTCCTTGATTTGGCATGACATGAATACACATTTTGATATAATTAAGAGATTTACAGTTTATTGGCCTAGGCTGAGTTGTTCAAAGCTGGGTTAAGATAACCCAAGGTTAGTGCGAGATTTGAATTCAGATTTGAAAGCTTAAAAAGCATTTCAGTTTTCATTCTTTTTGTCTACAGGTTGATGATGGAAAGTTCTAAAAATAACAGAGAAAGTTATCTGAGAAAATGCTTTTGAGCGCAAGAAAAAGAAACCAGGGTTAAATTTAACCCCATGTTAAGCGCTAATCGGCCTTCGAACAACTGGGCCCTGGTAACTACTTAACCTGTGCAAATGTTTTAGACTTCTGCTTTTTTCTCCTTTTTACCTCTAAACAGACCAGAATTCACTCTGACTGAGCTACTACTAAGTATGTTTATCATAATAATATTATTCCCTGATGTATGTTTCTGAACAGAGTATTAAATTAAAAGGAACACATTACAAGAATACTGTAGGTAAGTTGAGATATTTTCAAATGACCTTGAGAATATTTTCTCAGAGAGAGAAAAAGGAAAAGCTAAATGTAAAGGCGTTGGTCCTATTTTATTTGGTCCTGAATAGTTTGTCCTGTTTTATTCTCTTCAACTTAAAACAATCAAAAGTTACATACATTAGCTTCACTTGCTAAACTACATTTGTATTGTTCTCTATTTGTTCCCTATCCCTGACTTGTTTTCCTTCAAGGTTGTAAGAAAATTTCACTACCTATAATACTACTTGACTGTAGCGGTGTAAATTTTATTTTCAGTTGTGTCATCATTTTACAATATACAGGAAAAGAACACAAAAAAGATAAGGGAAATTGAACAATAGATTGATACATTAATCTGGTTTAAACCTCCTATTTACTGTCTACATGTATCCACACTCATCTACCAAACCACTGAATACATTGTACCTTTAATATATGAAATTGGTTTTGTGAGAAATTTAATTTCAGTAGGATTTTGTCCTCAGATCTCAAAATTAGAGTAACAAAATAATAATCTTGTCATAACATGATCTAGGAATAAGAAGGCTAATATTATTTTGAAACTACATGCCGCGTAAAAAAAAAATGTTACTGATGTTTTTTGCATACAGATAAAGATACACAGAGCCACTGATCATGAAAAACTTCTCATAACTTAAATTTTAGATAACAAGCCAAAGTCTAAAAACCACATTATTTTCTCCATATGTATCTGCTCCTTTTCTTTGGTTTTAAGTAGCTTTCACATTAATAAGTTAATGCTCAAAGGCAATAAAATCATCTTACTAGCAACAGAAAGCTTACTGTGATGTAAATCACACAAGCAGTTCTATTTTTGTCCTTGCTTGTTCAAATTTTCTATAACCTACAAACATGATGCGTCAGTAACTGTCTTTTAGTGTTCCAGAAATGATTGCTGTTTGCCTTCATTGCTCTTGATTTTGATGTGAAACTCCTTCATACAGTTCTCCAGGGCCTGCTTATTCCCAGCAAAATAAGCACTTATAGCATTTTGGAAGAGCAATAACTGCTTGTGCATCACCTTCACCTATTTAAGTCGAACAGAGAAAAAAGAATGCGATCAGTTAAGTTAAGCTTTGCAGGCACGAAAAGTAATGCTTTAAATACCATACCTCATACAATTTTATAACCTGTGAAGCACATTTCCACACAGAAGAATTCTGAGCACTTACAGAAAATGCAAAAAAATTATACAGAGAAAAGCAACCTGTACAGTAAAAGTCAATTCATTGCAGGACTGTTTATTAACAGAAATATAGCCTCTATTAACAACTTGGCAGTTGTGAAATTAAACGTCTTTTAATTCACATAAAAATGAAACTCATTATTTGAAGTCTATTTATTCTGTTCTTTGGTGTCTGTAAGAACAATAAAAAACAGTCCACTTTCCATCTATCACACTCAACAGTAATAGGGACTCATTCAAGAAAATGAGGTTCTCTACCTTGTTTTCCTCTAAAAATCTGAGCTTGATAGCCAAGTCCCCACGGAGCCTGTCAAATTTTTCTTTTTGCACATCATACTGTTGTTTGGCCTCTTCAGCTTTTACAGCAGTTGCTGCTGTTCTTGGTCCTGCTTGGGTAGTCTCGAAGTCTGTTCTATAGGCATCATATTCTATTCTGGCAGACTCATAAGCTTTCACAGTCATGATGGAGTCCTCCATGGTCTTGTGTACAAGCGTGGTCAAGTTGGACGTGAAGAAATTTAGAGCACCTAAAAGAACTTCACCATTCTTGACAAGAGATCTTTGAGTCTCTGCATTGTAGTTAAACTCATCCTGTAGCTCTGGTGATTTCATGCCTAAATCAGCAAAAGCATCAGCAAGACCACGTTGACTTTGAACCATGTGTTGAAAATGTTGCGTCATCTGTTTTGCAAGCTTCAGGATGCTAGCATACTTGACCTGTGTTTCTTTTAGCAAAAGAATTTGTCCTTCAAGCTCAGTGTCTACAGTTCTTGTTCCTTTCCCAAACCTTTCTGAAAGATACTGCCTAGTGTATTTGTAAGTTGAAATACTCCATTTCTTAAGGTGATCTATTTTCTGAACAGTGCCAGGACGAAGAACAGCTGGGGCAGATGGATGGCCATTTTGATATGTCCCATCAGGAGGCTGCCAAGAAACTGAGGATGGCCCTGGTGTAAAAAAACATGAAAATATTATCTCAGTTTATAATACAACAGTAAACTCAAAGAAAACCTTACTCCTCTTTTTACTCAAAGTTATTTTACAAATACAATAGCCTGAACTGGACTATTGGTTTACTTTATAAATCAGTACATTTAGCTGTCAATCAAATGTAACTTAGACCAATATCTGGCCATATGATTGTCATCCGCAAGCAAAGTTCCGTGAAAAGTCTTGCACAAAGCACAGCACAGCTATTCACAATCAAATCCACCCTTAACAACATGGAACTTTATCACAGTACAAAGTAACCGTTGAATGTTAACTGTTAACAAACACTGTGCAATTTTTACAAACCTCCATTAAGCGGAAATTTGGGAAGGTCCCGAGGGTGTCCGCTTCATAGAGGTTTTACTGTAATATATCAGGGAGAGGATCACAAGCTGAAAGAATATCCTCCATGGATTTATTACTCAAGTAAACTAATAGAAGAGTGAAACCTCTGTTTAACATGCACCCATGGAAAAATACTTTGTTTATAGAGGAGTAAACAAAACACAGGCCTGTTTTATGAAAAAAAATATGGGAAGAAAAGGGTAAATCTGACTAATGCTCTTGTCCACTCAATAAAGGGTTTGCTCTTAAAAGAGGTCAGTTTAATTAGAACTTTCAATACATGCCAGTTACCATCACCAGTTTACCAACACTTATAGGGCCTCTCACGGATGGATATCTGTTAAAATTTCACAGCAAATAGGCCTTATCACAGTTTTGGAAGCCATGTTGACAAGTAGGCAACCACATGCAAAATTACAGCGTTTGAATGAGAATCTAATGTCAAATAATTTCTGAAAACAACTTTTCTGAAAAAAAAAAACAAATGAATATTGTAAGCTAAAGCTACAGTGCAAAGTGGAACCTTGATATAACACAGCGCCAAGGGACCAACAAAATATGTTTGCTATAAGTTGGTTTCATTATATCGAGGTTTCTTTCCACATATTCTACTATTAGTAGGGCAGGAAATATCGTTCATTATACTGAGGACTTCATTACATATAGGTTTGTAAATCGAGGTTCCACTGTACCCTGAAAAAACAGCCAACATTTTGTGATGCCACCACTGATTTTCCAGTGAAATGACCGCTGAGGAATGAGCACAAAAACTCCATTTCCGACCAATAAGAATCACTACCAAAAACTGGGTAGTGTCACATCAACAGTATTGAATTTTGTGCTCATTTCTCAGATGTTATTTTATGGGGAAACCAGTGGTAGCATAATGCAAAATGTTAGCTGTTTTCTCAGGCTACTAAAAAAGGAAGCTATGCCTGCTCTAAACAGTACATTATAGAAGTTACTACAATAGTGGATATAATCTGTCATTATGAGTTATCAGCATGGACTGGAATTCAAAGTGCATCCCCATGCAATTAAAACAGAATGCTGCAACAAGTCATATGAAGTAAGGCTAGCCTTCAAGTTCCCACCCCGCAGAAGCCTATGTTCATCAAAGGTGATGTTAGACAGGAAGATTTGCAACAACAATTTTTTGCACAACACTACATTGCAATGTTGGAACAATGTTGCAACTGTTCGAAACAACGTCGCAACAATGTTGTAAATATGTGTTGCGCTAAAAATAGTCGTTGCGAATCATTCCGTATAACATAACCTTGAGGGGAGGGGGGATTGAAGCTTCCATTTGACCGATACATAAAGTTCAGAAAAATTCTTTAAATGTTTCCTGTGTCATTTATCATCATAAATAGACTATATCTCAGAGACTGTGGAGCATTTCTCGCAGGTTCACTCATTTTCCTTAAGAAAACTGTTGAAACCGTAGAAAGCATCAATTACTGTGTTGGACTTACTAGTAAAACTTCGAGCAGTACTGTTGTACAGTATAAGGACGTTTTACTTCCCTATAACGCTAGGAATTGGATGTAAGCAAAGGGGCTCAAATAAGCTTTGATTCATCTAGCTAAGAACTTCAATTCTATTTTCCCCTTTACAACAAATTTTTGCCTACTGGAAAGTACTCGCTTGGCCAAACGTGTGAGTGATGTGTCAAATTTTTTGTGAAAGAACAGGGAAACTTTCAAATCGATGATGCGATACAAAAAAACCAATAATAATAAGGCCTCAGCAGTTAGGTAAGTTATGTGTTCCTCACCAGAATTTTCTAATTCTAATCTGGGCGTTGCGGCCGGTGAATCGTTGAGTTGTACCGAATGTCCACTATCTTGCAGATCAGTCGCAACTTTCAACATTTCATCCATGCCAGGGAAACGCCGTGGGTCTTCTTCTTCCAAATCGATACTCGTTATTGCATTAGTTCCAATGGCACCGGAAATCACATCGTCGTTTAAATCTGTCTCGCGAATACCGTCCATACCCTCTTCCCTGTCATCCGCCATGTTGTTGCCACATTTGCTGACGTGACTTGGCTTATCCGGGAATTTGAATCCGCAGAGAACCACGTGTTAATTTAGCCATGACGTCATTTTTTCCGCAGAAATAGTGGGTAAAGTGATGGGCGACTATATGGCATACTGGCATGAGGTATATACCAAATAGTGGGCGCCAAACTTCCGAAACAGAAATTCCGAAAGCTGTGGAATTTCCGAAATGCGAATCATTCAACCGAAAATTCTAGAAATTCCGGGAGCAAAGTTCAAAATGGAAATAAAGCGAACTTCCGGGAAAAAAAGTCGAAAATCTGGGTATCGAGGTTGTCCTCTTTTTTGGAAATTTTCAGAAATCGCTATTAGAAGTTGCGGAAAATTCATGTGTTAGGTGGACCATGCAGTGCCAGAGACAGTTGCAGCTCTCCATTTAACATCTGAGAGGAGAGCTACTGAGACCTTCACATGGAAGGAATTTCTCGAAAATCAAGTATATCCTTGCAGAAACATTTTGCCTTGCTTCACAGCCAAGTGAATATGCCGTCAAGAGGAGATCGTTGCCAGAGTAAAAATCCTTATATTGCCGGCGGAATGATAGCAAATGTTGAACCAGCAGTGTATCATAACTTTTAATCCCTTGGGCTTTTGATAGCTCTAACATCTGGCATGGACTAGTCAGATTTGTCATCTTTACTTTACCATCTGGTTTACCAACCCTGCACAGTTGGATGACAATGAGCAATGCCGCTGACAACCTTACGCACGTTGCCTTTTCAAGATTGTAGTCTGTGTGTAAGCCAGTAAAATTTTTCACGAAACAATTGTTTGATGTTCAAAAGGTTCATGTAGAGGATAATCCGCATTTCAAAACATAACCTAATTTTGACAGAGCGATGTAATAAAAAGGCACGACCTTCAAGCTTTTCACTTCCTACGCCGCTGAGACAAAGCAAACATATATGTCGAATCAGATCGTCTGAAGAAAGCAAATTTAAGAATATTTTTCAGCTTACCTTTTAAAATCCTACTGATGTTCTTCTTTAGCATTTTAATATTAAAAACCGCAAAAGTCAAAGGTTTTCCCGTGATTCAGATAGTTTAAGGCCGGAGCGCATGCGCTTTAGTACCATTATTCGGACGGGTACCTGAAAGTCACCTGCGCAGTTTCTTTCTCAGCTAAGTCTCTGCAAGGTCTCTACGAGCAACTAACCTCGTGACTGATCTGAAGAAGTTGCCAACAGTGAAATTAGTTGTGCTTGGTAACTAGGCACCATGCCTCATGACTGTTGGTTTGCAACCGAATACTGTAATAAAGCACCCATTATTCTACATTTTACGATTGAAGAGATTCACTAACTTCGTCTAGGCTGTCGCAGGCGCAAAATTTGAGATATTGGTGCAAGTCATTTACTAAGATGGGAACTGAAAGATTCAAAGCCAAAGGTTTCGAGCTCGATTCCCTGCTCTTACGAAGTGCTAACTAGCGCTAAAAGTGTCAGTGAATCTTTTTAAGTTGGTAAATTGACTCGATCAACTCAGTTGATAAAACCCAAAGTTTTGCACTTCATTGCACCACCGAGCCCGTAAGTTGTATATGTGAACAATGCACTCTGTACATGTTTGTCCTGGTTGCAAAAATTTGGTGAACATGGCCATTTTCCCAGTATTGTGTGATTTATTTTTTGCTAATTGCAGTTTTATTATTGTAACAACTAGTGTAATTCATAACATATGATTTATTGGCCCGGTTTTCAGATATTCTTGGGCTAAGTTGTCGCATTAACGTTACCCATGCTTGACACAAAATTAGCAATATGCAAAGCATTTTTCTTCAAGAATACTTCCTCATCTTGCAAGGAAAAGCGTAATTTCATGGATCACTTGATATTCCAATAGTGACAGGTAAAATAAACAGGTACAATGTGACCAACAGGTGCTCGACACTCAGTGTCGCCAAATATACGATATGATGTTACAAACATTTTGGACAAATATATCATCTTACCCAGCTTGCCCAGATAAGTTACCGTCTTAAAATGAACTTTCTACGGCCCTAATCAAGTTATACTTTACAGCCAAGCTGTTCTGGAGAGAAATCGAAAATATCTTAGCACCTTTTTTGGCAGGTAAACGTTAAGCGCAACATGTTGGGAAGATATGCCTTCATCGTATCAGCCTTCTTAAGTGTTAGTACAGTTGGACTTTTGGTACTTGTCCTTAATCGCCATTTTGATTACCCAAATGCCTCGACAGAACAGCAAAAGCGAGCCTTGTATATTTTTTCAGACGTCCACAGTCGAAAAAAGTCGGAGATATGTGAAACTCCTGAATGCATCCAAGTTGCTGAATACATTAAGAAGAGTATAGATTCCACAGTAGACCCTTGTAGTGACTTTTTTCAATTTTCATGCGGGGGCTGGATCAAGAGGAATCCAATCCCTAAGAGCTATAATGATTATTCTACTTTTACTAAACTTTCCAAAGTTATTGAGACTGAAATTCAGCAACTCCTTCAACCGTCAAAAATGTCACATGATGGTGCCCCTCAGAACGAGGCTCTGGTGAAAACAAGAGACTTTTACAACTCCTGTATGGACGATGCCGAGATCGAAAGACAGGGAGCCAAACCCATGTTAGATTTCATCAGGGAAATTGGCTCTTGGAGTATCTGTAATGACGGAAGCTGGAATAAGTCTGCTTGGGACATACATAAAGTATTAAAATATCTCCAAAGTACATACTACCCCGCCTCACCTTTCTTCTCTGTCGAAGTCACAAATGATCACCTTAATTCTACAAAGCATCTAATAAAGGTAAGAATGCTCAGTTTAATCATAAATTTAAGTGGGTCACGATTGGCATTTTTTCCTCCCAACTTGGTTCGAGTCAGTTTATTTGTACCTCCGAATTCTTGACGACCCTAAATGGCCAAAGGCTAGTATAACAGCGGTTCACCTCTCGCTTCCTGCAGGAGATAGAATGGTCTTGGAACAGATAAGTCATCAATTTCGCGCAATTTAGCTCAGTTTTCTAGGCACTGTCAACAAGTCAAACTCTGATGAGATAGTGGCAAAATTCAGAAAGTTGTCTTCCATCATACCTATATTTAACATGGTCAAACGTATGAGACTGACTTCTTTTTCAAACGTACACTGTTGGGTGAGATCTAAGGACAATAACGACTCTTTAGGAAAATAAATTTTAATGACCGGCAATATTTGTTGTAATATTGTTAGGTTGATCAGTCGGGCTTGAGTCTACAAAGGGAAATTTACTTTAAACATCCTGAGGTAAGAAACATTATTTAGTTGGGAAGGAGAGAGTAGGAGTCAATTACTACATTTATTGTACCAAATGGGGGGGGGGGGGGGGTAGGGCAGTGATATAAGAGGGAGGGACAGACGAAAAATTTGCGAGAGTCCCAAAGCTACTATCTACCCCGGCGCTATCTTTGCTTCATTGATATTTTACTTTTCATGATTACTTATTTAATTAATTTGTTAATCAACGAATCATTGACTGACTGACTGACTGACTGACTAACTACATTGCTTTCGTACCAACTTCAGTAAATCGCTCCTTTGCTGATTTAGACACGCACACCTTGTTCGCTTTCATGGCTATTTCAGGACGTTGGTTATCCCCCAACAATTCACGTCAGTTATGGAGCAATTGTCTCACGCGATTCGGCCATTTGTTTATTTTGTCCCTGTAGATGGTGGATATTTATATACATTACATGTCTACGGTCGCAAAGCTTCTTGGAACAAAATGTAATACAACGGCAAGGATGCGCGAAATTATTGATTTTGAGAAAAAACTGGCTAAGGCAAGTATAGTTTTTATGTTGTGACAGCTCTATGATTACAAGGGAACGATAAACAGTTTTTACCATAAACAAATCCATTTACATCCTACCGGGGTACGTCGTAATATGTGCTTCCCTTGTAATAATGATGATGATTTGGAGGTAGCACATCCACAAAGTGGTTCTTCGTCTACCCGATTCCTGATCGAATTGGACATGGAAATGTTGGTTTTTGAGGAGAGGGGAAAACCCGAGTACCCGGAGAAAAACCTCTCGCAGCAAAGGAGAGAACCAACAACAAACTCGACCCACATATGGCGTCGATACCGGGATTTGAACCCGGGCCACATTGGTGGGAGGAGAGCGCTCTCACCACTGCGCCATCCCTTGCTCCCCAATAAGCTATAGTGAGAATCTATCATTTCTCCCTTATGGTTTTAGTTCACCACCTCAGCTGAGGATAAAGCAGAAGGAATTTACCGAAGAATGAAACTTGAGAATCTCATCAAACTTGTTCCACAGGTGAGAGAAATCTACACCCCTAGTCTCTACTTTATTTGTTGCCATTATGGCCTTTACGTCTGACTTATTCTTGCAAAAATTAATGGACAAACTTACATTCCTTACAGAAAGTGACACACGGACACCACTACTCGGCACGACCGGGTCAGCACCTTACACATGCGCAGAGCCATATCACCTGGGCAGTGACAGTCATGGAAAGCTGTTTCGCCCTTATTATAATTAGGGCTCATCAGCAAGGCATAAGCGTCGGACCTCTGTACGGTGCTGAGGGCAAAACAATAGACTTGCCTACAAGTCGAGCTAAAATTTTTTCACGTGCACGAAGCGCGAGCGGTAGATTTTTTTGTTTTCTGCGGCAACTACCGGAACCGGAAATAAGAAGCCAAGGACGTTGAGAGAGTCTAGCAAAACAACTGCTATGGCTGCCACTGCCAATTTTGCCACTGCCGGGGTGATATGGCTGTGCGCATGCGTTAGGTACTGGTCAGTTAAGTCGTGGGTTGGTGCCTGTATCTCAGTTGATCCGTCTTTCCTCAGAAATTTATATTTTGGAGCTATACTATGGGAGCGTTCGAAAGACTTTAGAATAGCGTATTTCAAAAGTAGGGAAAATGTGTTGTTCTTGTGTCTTTATGTAAATTTACCCTTGTGACTAATAAATTGTCCGCATTGATTTATAGTTTCCCTGGTTAGATCACATGCACGCTATATTTAAAGAAGCAAACGTAACTGAAACAGATGTGGTGCTGGCTACGTCGCCATTATATCTGCGGAAAATGACAAAACTTTTAAACAGTACTTCCAAAGAGTAAGTATTGTGTTTAATCTTCTGTCTGTTGTGCTCAACAAAAAAGGGAAGAACTCTGCGCACATTCTGTAGTAACAGAAAGACAAAGCTTACATGCCACCAAATACAATTTGTTTTCCCGCTGTTGCAAGCAAACTTAACTGTGGACTGAATCTTAGACATGTGAACTGGAGTTTTCCAAAAGATATCCTCGCCTAGTCCCTGTACGGCGTCTTCTCAGGCCTTCTAGTTCAGTTCATTTTCAGACCGCGTGACCCGAAACGCATAGGCCGCGCGGAATAATGAGGCCTAGGAACTAGACAAATCCTCACTGAGGTAAGAGAAGGATTCGATTGGCTTGTAAAGGTGATGTTACAACGGACGATTCGCAATAACGATTTTAGCGTAACTCAGCGTTTTGATGTTACAACGCTCTGTTGTACTAAAAATCGTCGTTGCGGATCGTCTCTTGTAACGTCCGCCCTAAAGGTCGACGGTTGATTGTAGTGTTCACTGACACACCTGTTGCTGAGATGAACATTGGGAGAGATTTTCCTACAATGTGGAAAACTAAAATTGAAATTAATATTCCTGAGAGGTAACTTCTTAAGCGCGCTACCCTCTGTTTTCACGGCCTTGAACGTAAACTTTGAGAGTGTCTGTCGAGAAAGTCAACGGCAAGATTTACTTTCTCATTCCTTTGAAGAATCCTGTAGTGAACGTTTAGTAATAAGAGCGATAATTGTATTTCTAGGTTACTATCCAACTACGTCGTGTGGCAAATGATTCGAGATAAAATTAGCTTATTATCCAGTCCATTCCGTAAAGCCCGAGCAAAGTTCAATGAGCGAATCTCTGGAGTCAAGGACACAGATCCAAGATGGCGGACTTGCACTGGCATCACTAATGATAATATGGGCGTTCCCATTGGCTCACTTTACGTCAGCAAATTCTTTGATCAATCGGCAATTGAAAAGGTATAACCATTAGAACCCTGGTGACGAGTTTGGTATCGCTGTCTATCTGACGAGCTCTGATCTGGCACATAGAATGAGACAAGCCATTTCTTAGTATTAATCTGCAATTTTGTGGCCATTTGTGTTAGTAATTTCGCCACCTTCCCTCGTTCCTCATGCTTTCTTTTCTTTGATTTTTATTGAAGGGGAAGGGGAGTTGGTAGCTCGCTATGCGAAGTATAAGTGTGCCTTAGATTCCTGTTGGATTGATGTCGAGAGTATCGGGTGTGGTCATATGCACGTTGAGACTGTTAAACAGCGATCCAAGACAACACTTTCCTTTTGTTTTAATTTTTAGCATAAAAAAAGCCTTCGCTACTGCTTATTAAACTCAAGGAAAACATTGTGGCTACACTGCTATGGTCAAGGACGTCATCCAGGAAAGGGGGGGGGGATGGTTTGGCGGGGACCCTAACTGGGTTAGGGTCTGGCCTAGCGGATTTTTTTTTTTCGTTCTTTCTGTGCTAAGCTGTAGTCTAACTATCAAGAGTTCCAGGTCCTAATGATCGAAAGTTATCATATTCTGCCATATTCTTTGTTAGCTAGAGCCATGGTAACTATATATATTTCTTTGCCTTCCAGACTCAGACAATGATTGATGAAATAAAGAAGACGTTCAAGAAAAGAGTAAAGGAGCATGAATGGATCGATGAAAAAACGACAAAATCTGTGTTTCAAAAGGCAAATATGTTATTCCATGCATTGCAAATCAAATCCTCCTTCCCTTTCACTGTAGACGAGTACAGTAGCTATGGATTTAGAGAGAGTAATATAGTGGCAGTGTGAGGCTATTCCATTGCTCCATTGCAAATGACATTGATGCTGGCAATTGATATTAGCTCGATTGTGATTGCCTTGAACTAGGCAAATTGTGTGTTCAATATAGTGTAGTGGTGTGAAATATTTTTGTGCACATTTTTTAGAACATGGCTAAAATATTTGTAAATTGAAACATTGCTGTGCATGGCTTTATTTCAATCTATTAGGCGGACGCCCTAGGAAGCAAGATTGGTTACGCAAAATATGTGGTGCAATCAAAGGAACTTGTCTCACGCTTTAAAAATGTAAGTCGTTCGATTCTTATAAATTACATAGAGCGGTTTCTAATTGACGGACCTAGAATCAAAGCCAACGCAATTATAAAACTCCTTTCGACATCCAGTACTATCCAATTCAAGAGTGTCAGCAGTTTATAACCATCATGATATTGTTGTTATCGTAGCTCACGATTACATCCAAAGCGTTTTTCAAAAATAACGTGGAAGTAGACAAGTGGGTGAGACGTCGACTATTTAACAAACTGCGAAAGCCCGTCGACAAGGAGAAGTAAGTTTTTACATTCACTGTTACTGCGATCTATTTTCGAGTTGCAAACGATTCACCTGAGATATCATAATACCAAGGACAGTGGATTAGAAAAATCTGTCTTTTAAATCTATATTAAAAATTGACAGACTTTATCTTGTTTACACCTATTAGACATCAAATTATAAAAGAAATTGATGTAACCAGCCAATGGTTTTACTTAAAATGTTTATAATAAAGAATGTTTCACTGCTGAATCCGTAAATGGGGGTGGATTTTCACCGGTTCAGTGCATAGCACCGTTTTCAAAATTCATAGATTTCAATTAATCAATCAAATTCATAATACTGTATATTTTAAATTGTTGTGTATTTACTGTATTTACAGGTGGCCCATGTTTCCTCAAACAATAAACGCGATGTATCAATTCTATGAAAATGAGATTGGTAAGCAACAGAGCCTCGGAGACGAGTCATCTCAATACAGCTGGCAGACAGTCGGACATGCAGTTTTAAACACCCAGCTGAACACTTAACCCTAAACCCTTCCGTCATTAACATATGAATCCCTTCCGCCAGCGCTTTTCCCAGTCAGTGCACGGGAATGTTTTCAAGAAACGCGATAACATGCTCTGATAAATACAATGCAATATCACCGCTCTCGATTATGGCCATCAAGCGACATTAACTTGGTGACCAGTTTAAACAGACGAATTGTGAGATGCTGTCCTAGCTGGCCGTTTTTGTTTTTACTTGTTTTTTAACGTTCCCACTGTTTCGTTCAAAACTGGAAACAGTTAAATTCCCATACCAATGCTGATTTCCTTTTGCTTTTCCCCTTGATAGTTATCCCAGCTGGTATTCTACAGTCCCCATTTTTCTACTCTGCTGAAATTCCACGGTAAGTCTAACAATTTATACTCCACTTTTCTTAATTCCCATTGTGCCTTTCACAATATTTTCGATACGCACTGCATGAACAGTCTTTCGAAAAAAAAAAAACTCGTACGCAGAAGTCGACTCACTGATTATTCAAGGCAATAAAAACCTGGATGGAAAAAGACAGTGAGGTTCACGTGAGATGGCGGGGAGGACGAAGGAAAAGTTGGGTCGTTCCTGTTTTTCTATAGTGTGCATCATTGGCAACTGGTTTATTGTTTATTCCATTTCAGGTCGCTAAGTTACGGAGCCTTAGGGTCCATTATCGGACATGAGATAACTCATGGGTTTGACAACACTGGTTAGTAAATAAAGGCTGAACAACAAATTCTCAGTTACAAAGAACGAAACTGGAAAAATTTTAAAATGCGGACAAAACTGTCTTAAAAACAAACAGCAACTTGAAGGTCAAACGAAGACGGGAGACTTTTAATCCCATTTTGACACTCACGTAACGGGAAAACAAAATGTGACCCAGTTTGCCTTAACAGAAAGCTTTATCTTGTTTTTCTTTTTCCTAACTGTTATTAGCTTATGAACGTATTCTTTAACTTTTGGCTGTTTTTTCATCAAACGAGGTCGAAAATTTGACAAAAATGGAGACATTGTGAAAGAATGGTGGTCCAATTCGTCCGTCAAGGAATTTAACAAGAAAGCAAAGTGCATTGAAAAGCAATACTCCAAATACAAAGTGCAAGGAAAGTATCCGGTAAGCGGCTTCATTTCGTAGACCCCTTCCCCCCCCTCCCCCCTAGGCTTACCGTTTTATCCTCCTTAACTCTCGTGGTAACTTAATTATGGGGGATCGAAATGTTCTTCTAACTACTATACTGTCGAGTCTCTAAACCGACGAAATTCTGTGGTTTAACCATTTAAATTAAACAGTGTTCTAGCGTGAAATTATTCTTTCTTTTTCCCCTTTTTTTTAAGGGGGGTGGGGAGGGGGACGCGGAGGTGGGAGTGGTGGAAATTGGTGAGGTTTCCTCGAATTCAGAGTTAGACGCTCTTAAGATTTAAAAAATAAATGATACGGCCTCCTATATATCTCTTTCATTTTTGCTGCAGATCAGTGGAAAGGTGACCCTTGGAGAAAATATCGCTGATAATGGAGGCACAAAGCTGTCGTATTTTGTAAGTAACGTTACTATTACAATAACCTTAATATCAACTGTAAATACGAATACTTTAGTCACTCGGATAGACCAGTTGACTAGTATAGTATACTTTACCGTAGGGTGAAGAATCATAGTCTGAGAAAACAGCCCACATTTAAAAACGCCACCATTGGTTTCCCCGTGTAATGACGTCGGAGAAGCGAGAGCAGAAATTCCAGACTGATGTACGTGTCACTACCCAGCTCTGGGTAGTGCTTCTGTGTTGTAGTGGCATCGGCCGTTTTCTCATGTTGAGTAATTCATCGCACCAGCGAATCCGTCAGCTGCAACGAAATCGTGGAATCTAGCTCCTACTTTGGATTATCTCGATTATCTTTCAAGATAAAACCTTTTGCGTTGTTAACAAAATCGCTTTCGCCCGCACCTCCACACGCGACGCCATTATTCTCTCACATTATCCTTTCTTGACAACAGTGAACAAAACTTTGCAGACCTCTCGGGGAACCCGCTTCCGATGAAATTCAAGCGCCTAATTGATCTAAAAATAACTTTGGTGCAATTCACGCATCCCAAAAGCTCAGTAGACTGGACGTTTCCGTTTCTGTCCTTTTGTGGCTCTTGATCACACAGATCGTTGTTGTTACGACTTTTATGCGTTTTCTAGACTAGTCCAGGGGCTGTGTAAACTCAGTAAAAATAATGCAACAGGGATGGGTTTATCATTTTCATATATGTTGAACAACTCATTCTCTACCGCTGCTGCTTCTTTGATAGCCCGGCTGTTCCAGCTGTTCAGATGGTGTGAACGGAGCAATGAGATCTGAGCAGAAAAAAAAAACAGGCTACTTCTTTGAAGAAGTGCACATCTCTCCGTCTTGACATCACCATCATTAGAGGTTTGGAAACAGCTCAGACCTTGCTTGAAAAAGCTCCCTCTGCCGGCGGCTTATACAGAAACTCATGAGCTCGACCTGTGGCAAGTCTGAGAGCTTGCCTCTATGACTCAAGCGGTCAAAAGAATTCGTGAATTTGGGTAAAGCAATTTTGTTGCAAGTTCCAAATGAAACTTTTTCAATTACATTATTCTTCTAGTAAAACAAAGCCCGCAACGGCTAAGAATGACTCTGTTGACAAATTTTTGAACGGACAAAAACGTGAACGCCTTTCGTTTACACGCGACCTGCGGAACCGTGCAAGTTTTCATCAACGGTAAACAGTACTGCAGTCTGTAACAGACTTTGCATTGTTCCGCGTAAACGGGTTGCTTATGTAAAAGTTTCGTCCGCCAGACCCGTGTAAATGGGGTCTAAGTTCATTTGTTTTTGTCTCACTTCCTCAAAGGCTTATCACGACTGGCTGCATAAGACTGGTAACAAGGAATTGCTCCTTCCTGGTTTGGAATACAGCAACGAACAATTGTTCTTCATTGGATATGCACAGGTCAGGACTAAAAACAACATAACATACGTAGTATATTTCACGAAATAGACAACCCGATTTTAAAATAGTGCCTATAACTTAATATTATGGTCGTCCATCCACACTAAACTGGCAGATAGTGTGAGCACGCGTTACGAAAGACGCTCAGAAACGTGAAACTGGTAGATAGTGTAAACACGCGTTACGAAACCGGCGAGGCCAGCCTCCGAAACACTTCCAAACTGATGAAATCGGACAGTTCATATGGATTTCGACGCATGAAAACACAGAATTATTGCTTCGGTATTTTGAGAAGGAAGAGCCGAAAAAGGTTTTAAAAAAGCCAGCCGTTTTATACGGAATGTTATGAAGGCAGTATTGGAAAACAGGCCTCGAGTGGCTGACTTTAGGTGATCTTTTGTGCTGCTTATGTACCTAGTAACTAAAAACGGATTCTTTGTAATCATTTTTGCAGGAGTACTGCAGTCATGCAAGACCAAAAACGGAATACATTGCTACATTGAGTGAGATTCATGCTCCCCCCAAATTCAGGCAAGTCTTGGAAAAATTAAGTGATATTTATTCGTGGATGAGGTAAAATTGCTCAGTGCCTCTTCAAATTAAAGGGTTTTCCCCTGTATTGAGAAACAAACATTGAACACTTCATGGCAGTTCATAATTGCTTTTGAGATTATTTAGGCCGTTTATCACAGTAAAAATATTATTTGGGACTAATCTATTGGCACAGAGTTTGCTGAAAAAATGATCACACGCACTAGTTACGACAGAATGAGGTGGAGCGCTGAAGCGGAGCGGTAACAACATTGCAGAACTGACTGAAAACAGACAAAACATTAACAGCTCAGTTTCAATTTGATAGTAAGGTATTTAACAAGCCAGAGGGCCGAACCTTTCTTGCATGTGTTATAATACTGTGTTATAATATCAGTTGGAAATGAGAATCAATTTACTTTTCTGTTTCAGGGTTATTGGGACGCTTTCTAATTTTAAAGAGTTTTCCGTGGCATTTAACTGCCCTGTAAATAGCACCATGAATCCACGGACGAAGTGTGAGGTTTGGTGATCGACGAAATGGCGCTTGTGACCCTAACCTGCGTCAATGGCCATGCCAGTGACTTATACGTCATAGTTCCTCACTTGTTGTTCTCTTTCTACATTCGCGAACCGGAAAAGAAGCCCATGAGGTCAAAGGAACCATTGCAAGCGAGTCTTGTTTGCGCTTGTTATAATCGACGCATGCGTCATATATTGCCTGATATAGCCGCAGGGCGGTTTAATAACCTTCAATGTTGCAAAATGTCAGAAGTCAATGAAAAACTGAATTTTTGAACTCAGTGAGGCCAATGTTTCAGAGATCGTTCATTGCACGATATGTTGGAGAGCTGGACAATGAAACTCTAAATAGTAAAGCACATAAGGCTTTTTAAGTCAGCTTGTTTTGCTTTCCTGTTTTGGCTTAACTGGAATAAAAGTTCACATCATTTCTGATGGTAATCAACAAATATATGATGGTCCCTCATGACTTTAATAAACCATCACTGTTTTGAAAGTACTCCAAAAATTACCCTCCCCCACCAAAAGAAACATCTTTGGGCTGGATAGGATCCTGTGAAGGTTTTTACCTGATATTAAAAGGCATGGCTTTTGGGGGAAGCTAAGGACATTTTCTATTTCTTGAGTCACGGAGGCTTTCGACATGTAGCTGAAGCGAAGGGGACGTGTGAAGTGTGTGTGCCTGTAGGGGAGGGGGTGTGAGTAAATTTATCTTCCTCTTTTTAGCATTTCCGTCCTTTTAATTTCACTTTTTGTTATGTCATAAATAAATCTAGTTTATGTTTCCAAATTTATAAGAACCATTTCAGTTTCTATGCAAAGCGCGCGTGTTTTCTAATTGCTATATAAGTTCACAAATCTTGGCTCGCAAGCACCCAGAACGTTTCAAGCGTTTCAAGCAGGGTGGTTTCACGTTACAGTCTAGTCCCGCCTCGGTCCCCACGCTCTCCTTGCTGACTCGTTGTCCTTACCGTATGTCTGCGGCATTTCTTCAGGGAAAAGGACGTACTACAGACTATATTCAAACAATCGTTTGCATTTGGAATTTTTGGCTTTTAAAAAAAAAAACAGCCCCTGCCTTGCAAAAACCCCTGGAAGTGTCCACAAGGTGCTTGCTCACACCACCTGAGACGCACCGTAAAAAAAGTCCCCAGACGGCCAGCGCAAGGGCGCATGACATTTTGTGAAAACCGCAATACCGAATAACTCCGCACCCGCACAACTTCAAAATGGCCGGCGCTGGTGCAAGTGAAAATGACGGTGCTTCAGTAGAGCCTTCCCCGGCAAATACTGAGCAACAAAAAGAGGAAATGTCCGTAGAACTGAAAAAATCCCTACGTAAAGGTGATACCTGGTAAGTTTATTGTGACAGCCCATGTTAATTAAAGTTTAAAATTACACTCCTCCAGAATTTGCCTTGTCAGGGAGGGAAACGGAAGTGAAGTTGTTTTCTCCCGTGAGATTAACTTTCTCTTTGTCAAGACTTATCGTACATTTGCACTAATTTTGCTTCAGGGTACAGATAATTCATTATTCCTCTCGATATTTTTTCCATTTGTCAACAGAGGGACGATTTTTAAGTCGTCGTGAACGGGCCGGCGTGTGCTTGTTAAAAAAAAAACGAGAAAATTTGATAAAAAGGGTCATAAAAACTTAGTTCTCTAGTGTTAGCATATGTTGCCAAGACAGTTGAAACATGGAAGGGTATACAGATTACCCTGTTATCCCAACCATTCTAATATTTGGATAGGTGCCCATTCCTTTCTCGTAAATCTGTTTTTCCTTTTTAGTAAAAAAAGTAGTATAACTGGCATAGATTCAGCAAGCTCTTCCACCTTCCCAGGGCTGTCACTAAATGGCTGGGAGCTGGAATTTTCTCTGGCTGATATGAGCATGACCCTCCAAATAAATGTTGCAACAGTGTTTACATTTATGTGACATGTCCCGAGATAGCATCTTTCACCAATAATTAATCAGCAATGAGAAAAGCAAGATTTATTTGTTGTTTTTCAAGGTATCTTGTTGACTGTCACTGGTTTAAACAGTGGAAAAAGTTTGTTGGATATGATAAATGGGATCAGTATGGGGCTGGAGATGAGATCAACAATCCTGGGCCCATAGACAATTCAAGCCTTTTTGCTGGTAAGAACAATTTTAACACTATTCTCGAAATATTTTGACTTCACTGGTCGACAGTGATACATGTAACGGGCAATTATTTATTTATCCTTAGAATACCATGGCCATAAAAGGAAATTAGAGGGCTGAAAAAAACAATGTACATTCTGTAGTTTTGTAAAGTTTGTGTTCAAACAGATGGATCACATTATCCACTGGATCAAATTATGGATGTTTTTTGGATAGTGCTATCATAGTTAATTGAGTGGAATGGTTATGAAACCCGTCAGACTCCTTTGTTGTATGTTTTTATGGACCTGAAAGTGCACAACGTTCAAAAGAATTCCTATCATTTTGATTGTATTGACCAATAAAAACATTACATTAATTTATTCCGTAACAATTTGCCAACAGAAAACAAAGGATTGTGCGCTTCATGGTACTTCCAACATAAACTGCAGCACTGTTGTTTTTATCATTGATGTTTGCCGCTTTTCATAACCAGTCTCCTCTAATAACTATGGTGCTATCCAATATTTGATAACTGAGGGCAAGGATGATAACTTATGGTCTGCATATTTATATCATCATGAGCTGTGAGATAAGATAAATCAGTAATTGATTTTATCCAGTGCTTTTTTATGGTACAGTAAATACCATAAAATTAATGTAGTGATAGAGGACACATTATTATAATGTGTCCTCTATCACTAGATTTTACTTTCAGTTGAAATGCACATGAACCCTTTGGCAGGTGTGAATAAAAAATTTGGACCATTTATGGGATATATCATGCCTTACCTTTTGAAGACATTGCATAGTTAGTATGTGTTTATATTTTCTCTGTTTGAATGGTAGTATGCAGCATGTCTTATAGTATCCTGTCTAAGTAGGAGGAACTCTACTTCCAAGGTGCTTCATATGTCATCAAAACTGACTGAGCCTAAGCTTTTTCATTCATGTGCCCTTATTCACTCACTGTCGTGCCTTTTTTAAACATTTCATTTTCTGTAGCTGATGGAGTCACTTTAAAGGAACATTTAATAGATGAACTGGATTATAACCTGTTACCTGAAGAAGCATGGTTCAAGCTGGTATCATGGTATGGAGTGACATCAGATCAACATGCTTTGCCAAGGAAAGTTGTTGAACATGGGATGTATCTAAAAAGCTGTAAAGTGGAAGTGTATCTTATGGAGTTCAAACTATCTCAGCACTCTGATCCAGACACCCTAATCCCAAAGAAGTTCAGCAAAGGAGATACTGTTGGTGAGTCCTAAGAATTTATTCTAAGTTCTTATTTCTTTGAAACCTTATTTTACTGGTCTTGGTAAAAATCATATAAAGTTGAGAATATCTTGTTGTTCATTTTTAGACTTGTCCCTTGCTTACTGCAATGTGTAATGTGGATAAAACTAAAGGAATTAAAACAATGAATATATAAATAATTACTTATATAAATAAAGGATGAAACTGAGCCACAATTTTGCCAATAACTTATTTATCAGAGAGGGGATTCCTTGCCAGAAAGCTGTAAGGACAATATCTCCTTTATTAACTGTCTGTGAGGTGAATAGTTATTGGTTTTAATAAATGCATATGTTGCAGTTAATTTTTTATCTCAGGTAATTTTTCTTTTTCTTTTGTTTTTGGGTATGGTAATGCATGCTAATAAAGTTGAAACTAAAGAAAGTTATAAAATTACCTGAGATAAAAAAATAGCTACAACATTTATTTTGCTTTTAAAATCTATATGCAGGGTTAAAACAGAATTTTCCTTGTCTCCTATGAATAATTAGGGTTAGGCAACAGAGGAAATTCTGAATCAAATCACCTGTAGGTTGAATACTACTTGACTGTACAGGTGCACTCAGTCAGTTGATAAAAGCTTCAGGACATGCTCAACTTTTGACAAACCAGGAAGAAAACCTATATGTTCAACAATAGTGACATTGTTGGTAGTTAAAAACCTTCCTCTTTTTTCAAGTAGCAAACTAAATGAGGTTAGAGAATAAGTAAGATTTTTAAATGGAATCTACATACACTTTACATTAATAAATTATGTTGTTTGGACTCTACTATTTAGGTCATGTTATGTCTGAAATGAAGAAAGTTTTTAACATCACAGAGGACACTGAAACAAGATTGTGGAATAAGTACATGAGTAATTCATGTGAACTTCTTGCAAATATGGAGCAAACAGTACAGGATGTTGGTCTTTATCAGGGGCAGGTAAGGCAAATGATATCACAGTCATTCTTGTCCCCATAGTTGTAATCCTTTTAACCAATGCCATGGATCAAGCTCTGGGCCTGTGACACTAGGATGCATCACAATTTAGTCTCTTAATGAATGGGCTTCTTGTGGGGAAGATAGATGCCTCTTTTTAGATCTCTAACATGGCTGCATAATCTGTGATGGCAATTTTAAGTTGTTTGCCAGCAGCTAAGGACATAGTAAGTGGCGGCTAGGGAAGACTAAGTACTACATGTACCAGCTATTGAAATAGCAACATTTTTAAGGCAGACTGCTCCTTGTCATATTAAAAAAGCAGTTTTTCCAGAAGCTTATCTCCCTATGCAGCTGTCTTCCAAGGTGGATTCCAGCTCTTGTCTTGTCACAGGTGATCATTCTCCAGCGATAGAATATTGTTTGTCTGTAGCCATACTCTCTAAAGAAGGACACGTGTTTAAAGTACTTAGCTGAAACTGATCCCATGGGTTTAGAGAGGGACTCCATTGTTTAGTTAATGTCTATAACTTTGAATGTGACTTCAACATTCTGTTGAATATTTTGACATGCAGCTATGGTGAATTAACTAGAGTATCTTCTTTTGCTGTGTTTCTAAGGTTCTTATTATAGAGAAGAAGAATCAAGATGGTACTTGGCCCCGACAAACAAAGCAAAGGTACTTTACAGTGTTTTAATATGATTTTGCTGGACCTGGCCAGGAAGGAAGTGAGACTAAAGTTCACCTTGCTATGGAACAAATCTTGGCATGTTATTAGCATGAGAAAACATGCCTATCATTTTTAAAGTAAACGGTTTTCTCATTTTCATTTTTTTAGCTTTTAAAATTGTATTTCATTGAATGTTATGTAAATAATAACAGTTGCTTTTATTGTCGTTTTGTTTGCAGCTCGTACTCATCTTCAACGGTAAGTTTTTATATCTTACCTTTTTACCCGAATAGTCAATACTGTTCATGGTAGATCCTCCCTTAAACTGCAAAATAAATGAGCAGTCTGTTGACTATAATATTGTTATTACTATGCCTCCAATGGCTGAATGGGAATGTTTGATAAGCAAGTTCTATTTTCTCTTAAAAAATCTTTTATCGGAGGTGTTGATTATTAACTCTTTTATCTGCAGATTACATCAAGTAGCTCACACAGCAGTCAGCCATCAAGTTCTTATGGGTGAGCAAAGCTGCCTTTTCAACTTTCTTATAAATGATTGATAAAGCTTAGAAAAGTGCATGTACCTGTTTACCCAATTGCAAAGTAGAAGTTATAATTTATTGCACGAGCCAACCTAAATGCATTGTTTGTGGTGTCTTTGTATTTAAGTGTAACCTATAACAGAAAAGAGCCTTTAATAAACCTAAAAACATATGTATCCTGCACCTGTTTCAGATATGGTAGCAGTTACAGTTCAAGAAGTTCTTGGGGATATGATGGGCGGAGGTCAAGCAGTTCTTTGCCAGGGCTAACAGGCCTTGGAAATCTTGGAAATACTTGTTTCATGAACTCTGCTTTGCAGTGCTTAAGTAACTCAGTTCCATTGACTCGATACTTTTTGTCAGACAAGCACAAAGAGGAGCTGAATCGTGATAATCCTTTAGGAATGAGAGGTGAGATAGCCAATGCTTACGCAGGGCTTTTACATCAAATGTGGAAAGAACAATACAGCTCTGTGGCGCCTCGACAATTCAAGACGCAGGTTGGACGCTTTGCGCCACAGTTTTCTGGTTACCAGCAACAGGACTCCCAGGAACTTCTTGCATTTTTGCTGGATGGACTTCATGAGGATTTAAACCGGGTAAAAAAGAAGCCATATGTGGAGATGAAAGATGCAGATGGTAGGCCTGATGAAGTGAGTTTCTTATACGTGTGTTAGAGATCTTTAAGGCCTACTTCAAATATTAAATGTTTCCTGTATGGAACTTAATACCTATTTAGGTTGACTGCAATGATGAAAGTTTGACGGCGGATTCAGACGTCAAACTTAAATCAGATTGGACCCGATTCTTTTTCACAATGTACATTTGTCTACAATGCTTGTCAGTGAAAATGAAATTAAGTATAGAAATTATGCATTAGTTTGGAGAAGTTCAACATTTGAAACCAAGTCACTCCACAGTCAAAATTCACGTCTGGGTCACTCAGTCTTAATTCTTGTGTCAACCCAAATTAGATAAGTTGGACTTAATTGATTCAAATGTCAATCTCTTCAAGTACTTAATTGAGAGGGTTAGCTTTGGTACATAGAAAGGTCCGTGTTTGAATTGGGTCTAAGATACCTTCTACTAAGTGTGGTTTTCTGGGTGACACTAATATTAATTATTTTCATATATGTTGCCATTTCAAGTTGTTTAAGAGGAACAGTAAACTCTCTCTTAATGGATGGGGGTTCAGTAAGGGGATGTGGAAGGGTTAGCAATGGTGAAGACCTCTAAGGTGAAACCAGACATTAAAAGGTTCGTCCCTACAGTTCTTCAGTCATTTCTCTGGCTCTATATGCAGCAGATATCTTATAAGTTATGGGGTCCACCTTAAAGACGAAGATTGCTATATAATTATCTGCTGCCCGTTGACTGAATGCTCAAAACCCTGGGCCAAGAAGAGAATTAACTAATTCAAAATTATCTTCAGTAGTCACAATGAGTTCTTTTACATTTTAGGTTGTTGCTAAAGAGTCTTGGCTAAATCACTTGCAAAGAAACAACTCCATTATTGTGGATATATTTCATGGACTTTTCAAGTCCACTCTGGTTTGTCCTGATTGTAGTAAGGTCAGTATGCCTGCTGGTATGTTTTTTAAAACGCTTAGTAACAAAATATTTCTTTCTTTCCTTTGCATGCTCATGATTGATCGTAATGAATATTGAACAGCAAATAATATATTTTATATTAGATAATATTATATTGATATACTGTTGGATATATTATGCACTTCATTGATCCTTCCCAGGTGTCAGTGACGTTTGATCCATTCTGCTACCTTTCTTTACCACTGCCAGTCAAAAAGGAGAGGAATCTTGATATATTTCTGGTGCGAAGTGATCCTCTTCGGAAACCCATACTGGTGAGTATAAAATTAACATTCATATAATTTATTATGCCACTTTTCATTAATATTATCATTACACATTCAAATTATGTCTTATTACAATACACTAAGTCATTCCTATGGATTGTCACAGCTATTTTTTTTCTGTTGCAGTACAAATTGACGGTGCCAAAGATGGGAAATATTGCTGATTTACTTGCTATTCTCTCAAAGGAAACAAACATTCCCAAGGAAAAGGTAGTGTAACTTGATTTACACACACACAAATGCACTCATATCCAAAAAAAATAAACAAAACCATAACCAAACAAAACACAGCAATGGCTAATCTAGTGCTAATGTGGAAGTTTCATTTTAACTAGTTTGTTAAGTAAGTGTGTGGTCAAAACCCTGTGTTGTGAAATTCAAGGTAAAAAGATATTTAACCAACTTGAAGTGCTGGGAAAAATTTGTGAGGAAATCATAATACAATTTTGTTGATGGAAAGTATCAGCGATACTCACTGGTATTCAGAAAGCTCATGCAACTGCTGTTGCCTTTTTGTTTCACAGATGGTAGTAACAGATGTGTACAATCACAGGTTTCACAAAGTGTTTACTCTCAATGAGTCACTGACTCAGATTCTTGACAGAGATGACATCTTTGTGTAAGTGGTACATGTAGTATAACTTACTCTTTGTAACCATGTTGGAGTAAAAGTGATCAGTGTCCCAGATAAGAGACAGATCTTGGGTCAATGACCCGACAAAGAAGGCTTCCTGACCCAACAAATGACATATGTGTTAAGTTAAATGCAACGAAAAAAATTACCACATGGTCTTGATGACCCCTCAGATGGTCTACAAGACCCAACGCTTGAAAGAATTAACTGGAATGCTGAGTGATTGTGCTTTAACACAATAAAAAATACGACAAGTGCCACACTATATGTGAACTGTAGCCTGCTGTTCATTCAGCAGAGACGTTTTCAGCTGTTGCTTCTCCGCCAAGAAATGTTGATGGAGCAGATGAGAGAATAGTGATCTTCAGGGTGTTTTAATGAACTAGGGTAATTGAAGAAGAGCCACATTAGTTTTTCAAGAGATTTTTTAAATGCTTAATTTGGTCACGTAGCTATGAGGGTGGCATTTCTTTTTTGTCACTATTGATAGAAACAAAGGAAGTTTAATTATTGTGCAAATAAGGCCTAAGCAAGTATATAGAACAATATTAGGAAACAATGGTTGTAATGCTTTGTTATATTACATATATTACAGTTATGAGCTGCTGCATAGCAAAACTGAAGATGACAGTGATGAATATATTACCCTCCCTGTTTACCAAAGAGAGAAAAGGTATGTTTCCACAACTTAACTTGCCTTGCTGCTTAAACATGTACATTCATGTGCATCTGTCAATTCCAGCAACGCCACCATCCATATTGTTTTTTAGCAATATCCTTCACCCCCAACACCTATTTGTATCTTCTTGTACTTTTACTTGTAGAAAAAGAAAAGAAAAGTATTAGTTTTAGACTAAGAGATGAGGCTTACATGAGGACACAACTGAGGAGAGAGGAAACTCTTGTTGTCCTTGCACTCCTCTCTCCTGGTATATGGTACACTTGTAAGGCTTATCTTTCAGGTAGCTGTTTGTAAACAGGCTGTCCATGGCCAATTTTGAGGTATAACTCTGTTTCTCAATTTCCTCTTGGCAGAGCGAGTCTGTCTGGCTATAGCTATTCGAGTTCTGGTAAAACACTGTTTGGACTCCCACTGATGGTGTCTGTTCCAAGGAAAAACTTGACTTACAAGGGATTGTACAATTTCTTGTTAGACAGATTGAGGTAAGTTATGGACACAAACATGTCGTTACAATTCACCCTGTTTTGCCAGCTATAAGATAATGTAAGGACAAGTTAGATTCTCAACTTTCTAAACCATGCATAACACTTCTCCGGTCTTATCAGTATGGGTTTTTGTTCCCCTGGCTTTCCTCTTCTTTGATTTTTTACGTGTGTTCCAAGTCATTAAGTTAAAATACTCATGAAAGACACCATTCTCAACAAAATGGGACTGGCAATGTTGTTCTAGAGGTAAACACATTTTTCACCGGTTAATTAGGTAGCATCGGGTAAGTTTCATGATTCTTTTTTTGGCTCAATTAAGATTTCTGGGAAAGTGCCCACCTACCCCTCCCCTAAGTCAACATTAACACTTACCTTTCACTTAGGGCAAAATTGTGACGTAGGGGAGGGGTAGGTGAGCAGTTACACAGAAACCTAAATAGATTACTTTTTTTTCTTCAGACGCTTTATTTCGTTGCCTGAGGAGGAAGCTGAAAAGGAATGTAAAAAGGAAGAAAATGGCGGGGATGGTAAGTACTGCACATGCATCTGCTTTCCAGTTGTTTAAATGTAATGGAGCTCTTTTAATTTAAAAAAGACAAAACTGATATATCAAAATAATGATCCAAACTATGTATATCTGTTTTCGTGTCTTTAGATGTTGAGATGAATGAAGATTGTGGTGAAAATGAGGATTCTGAGGAAAGAGAATTGGAAAAGGCCTACCAAAATGTTCATGTCAATGTAAGTAAAAAACAGTGAACACGGTTAAATATTCCTAGTATTATTTTCTCACAACAAATCAAAACAGAATACAAATTAATGTCCTACATGCCGTTTCTAAGACGATTCTCGTTTAAGTGGTAATTAATGATCTCCATGGTCATTCTAGTCCCTGAAAATCACTGTAAGAGGTCCTGTAGTTTTTATGTGGGTTCCTTCCCTTAGAGATACTTTTACTTATTGTTTTGTTTCGTACGCGTTTTTCTCCAGAGTGATGAAAATGAAGATGATAATGTTGATGCACAGAATGGCGACCATGACAGTTCAAATCAAAAGAACAAAGTGAACACAGAGTGTAAAGGAAAGACAAAAAACTCGCTCTTCAACTTGACTCTTGTAAACTCGTACGGCAGTACTGATATGCAGGCCTTGCAAGATGATGGCAAGATTCTTAAACTTACAGGTTAGTAAGAGAAGCTCGATACACAAGCGAGTGCTTTTCGCAATCTTCAAGTGTTTAACCTTGATGTTCAGTCCTACAATCTCTGTGCGATAATTCAGTACGCCAGCTAAGTCTCCATTGATACCTTTTGATGTGTCAGTATTCAGCGGTTTTCATTTTTGGATGCTTTGGTTAGTGAAAGCGGTAATTAACTTGTGTTTGTCTGATTTAAAGGACGCTGCTTCCTCGCTCTTGACTGGGATTCAAAAGTGAAGGACAAGTATTATGATGAAAAACTGGCAGAGGTGACTATGTTTTGGTTTATTTAATCTCAGTTGTAACGCAGTTCTTAGGGCCATCACTCGTCACATCACGCAACCCACATAATGGAGGTATACTGTCACGAGGTCCTGCCAAGGTGGGGGGGGGTAGGAGTGCCATGTCGCTCGTCTGAATTTAAAACGTCTCGTGTCGGTGTTTAGTAAATGCTTCACGTCGCTGTCGGAAATTTAACGAAAGTTCTTTGTCTTTGTCGGAATTTTAGAAAGGGTTATAGCGATGCGTTGTGAAGAAACCATCTGCAATTTCTCAGTTAACATTTCGCGTATCAAACACCTTACTTCTCCTTGTCATTCAGACTGGTGATAAATTAACCAAACCCCGGTTCTTTATCGCTTATTCTCGGCTTTGCCGTCACTGTCGCAATTTGGCCGAGGTAGCGATTTCATTTTACGCTCTGTAGCTACTTTTTGGGTCATTTCGCTTGTCGGAATTTACCCTGGCAGGGCCTCTGTCACGTGACAGTCATAGGTCACGCAGTCAGTAGTGCGTGACAAGCTGCGTGGGAAACTAATGCCTAAAATGTTCTTTTTGTGCATGGAATCTTGAAAGGTTGTTTTTTAGGTATAAATGTTTAATGAAACGGCACTATTTAATTTTTCCTTTGTGAGATTAAAATATTTAATTTGTATTATCATCCTCATCGGCTTTATTTCCTCGTTGTATTTCGGACGACGAGAAGTTAAATGGTTAAAAAATTAGTCTCAGACGACAATGTGTAACTAAGCAAATACTTTCTTCTTTCGAAGGAAACTGAAGAACATGAAAGCGTGAACAGGAAACCAGCACAGAGGAAGAATTGTGTTGGTTTAAATGACTGCATTGAGCTGTTTTTATCCAAAGAAAAACTTGGTGCAAATGATCCATGGTAAGCCGGGTTCAACTGCTATGATGATCTGCCTCACATTCACTGGTAGTTTAAGGGAACCACCTGTGTGTTTGTGTACAAAACCAGCGGAGATGATTCAGTTCGTGTGACCGCACGATCACTACAGCAAACAAACTAGACTAGTGAGAAAGAAAAATTGTTTGATCTAATTTATCGAACAGAAGCAAAGCCGCATCTTTTTGTTAGAGTACATTCTCTTTAACGGATCCCTGTATGAGATGGACGCCTGGTGTTAGTCCCAATCCTGCCGTTTTCCTGGTCATTTTGCCGTAATTTACGTCCTTTTATGCTGGGCACCTCTATAAGCTTGTTAAAGAACGACATTAAAGGGTGGCCCCTCGCCATGGTGTTTTCTCTCTCAGGCTTAGCTGACTGTAGTTTGTATTTGAAGTAACCCACTGTTGACAGGGAACTGAAGAACAAGACAGTCGTTAAATTTAGTCCATGGTTTAAATGTTATTTTTCTTCGTTTTTGGGTATGAGTGAAACAGTAGAAAATAAGGTTTAAACCCTACCAGGATAAAACTGAACGCAACATTTATTATTCAGGTACTGTCCGTCGTGCAAAAAACATCAACAAGCCACCAAGAAGTTTGATCTTTGGTCTCTCCCTAAAATCCTTGTTGTTCACCTCAAACGGTTCTCTTATAACAGGTTAGTATCATGGTGTCTTAATGTGAGTGTGGTTCTCTGTCCTCCGCAGAGGCTCCCGTTGGGTATTCCAATAAAAAATGGAATAATAAAAAAAAAGTATGCGCACGCCTTCATCGTCCCCCGCGCGCTTTTAATTCTCCCTCTCCCCTCCTCCGTACGACACAAAAAGTCCCAGCTCTGCGGAGACTGAGGAGAGGTTCAGGCTGCTAGAAAATAAAAAAAACGGGAAATCTAAGACAATCCATGGGTTGGGCACGTGGTTCGGACCTTTAGTTATTGCTGTTGCCGCGGTATCGTCAAATAACCTAGAAACACTTAATCTCGATAAAAATACCTTGAAAGCCCTGTCATTTTGATCACTCTGATACTGTCGTTAATTGTAAATCGTGATGAAAGATGAATATTTTCTCGTTAAGTTGTATAATAGTTAGGTCAGATTTATAGTTTTGCTTTTTTTTTTTGCCTCCAAAGCTTCTGGAGAGATAAGTTGGACACACTGGTAAATGTTCCTTTAAGGTGCGTTATGTTACTTCCTGTTCTTTCCGCTATTTTAATATATGTATAAATTTTTAGAACTTTGCATTGTGTCATTCTTGAAAAAATGGGAGGCAAGAAATTAGTTACGATGTCTTGAGGTTGTGACGTTGTTTCAACATTGCAACGCTGTGTTGCGCTTAAAATCGTTTTTGCAAATCGTCTCGTGTACCATCACCTTTACTTCTTGGACAACGTGGATAGACACAGTGGTTATACATTTAATTGCATGTCACGCCGCTCTTCCTGTTGGCTATAAGTAAAATTTACTTTAGTTGTCACGGGTAATTCCCATTAAGTTAAATTCAATTTGCCAGATGTCTGGCTCGTTATTCCCATGAGGCTTCGTTTGACTGATTGTTACAGGGATCTCTGACTGTTGAGAAGATGGCAGGGAGTAGAGGAGAAGAGACATGTCCTCGTCCGTCCACCAGTGCGTAGATATACAAGAGAGGCGGCTACAATCAACAATGAATATTGCAATTTGTCACCAAAATAACAGTTGGAACTGGTGTTGAGTCATTTCCTTTAATTTCAGGGACTTTGATATGTCGAATTATGTAATTAACAAGGAGCAGCCGCGTCCAGTTTACAATCTGATTGCAGTTTCAGTAAGTAGTATGGCTTTTTTAATTTCCCGCTTCAGAAACTGGACGGAGAATGGGTAAAAGCTTTGTGTGCAGTGATTTCTGGGATTATTTGGGCGGACGAACGTTAGTTGTGATTGGTCGGTGGTAGTCAAGGCAACCACCCAAGCGATCCCAGAAATCATTGCACCGAAAGCTTGTACCCATTCCCCTTGTAATTTCTGGAGTGGGAAATAATTTTCAATGACTCTTTGTCTTTTTCTTTTGACTTTGCTGAAGAGAAAACAAAGCCCTTTGTATTGTGTAAATCATGGTTGAAGGGAAAGTTTCCTGCTTGTGTTATGACGATCAGACTCATAGCAGTTTCATGTTGCGAATCTAGCGAGAAGGAGTGTCCTTTAATGATCCTGTTACTAGTAAAAATATCAATCGAGCATGGATTTCAGATAAGTGTCGCTCATTCCTTTGTTTGTAGCAGGTTAAAGTCGCGCCGGTTTTTCAGCCAATGCGCAGTTCATTCATCGTTCTGTCCGCAGTCGTTTTTTTTGGCCAAGATAAATAACTTCATTTGATTTGTCGACCCATATGCTAACGCTAGGGTTCCTTTAATTCCAATTTGTTCCGATTTTTCTTGCTTTTACAGAACCACTATGGCGGCATGGGAGGAGGACATTGTAAGTAGTTTGTTATGGTTCACTGGTAGTTGCTCTATATATTGTATGTTGGCTTACTTCCATTTAGTGTAAAATGACCTTTTACCACATGTTATATTGCCCGCAGCAACTGAACCTTTTACTCCTTGGTTTTACAGACACTGCCTATGCTAAAAACTGTAAAGATGGAAGATGGTACTCCTTTGATGATAGCTCAGTGTCTTCGGTGGACGAAGGACAAGTGGTTGTAAGTCTGTCCGCTGTTGTCTGTTTGTAGAGCGCAATGTTCGGCGACTTACACAGAGTTTTAGGGACCTCTAGCAGCACAAATGTCCCGTCCGTATTTCGGTCGCACGGGGACTAATCTGCTCTGGGTGCGAGAATGTTATAACCAATTCAACAACTACGTCGCTTAGTGGAGGTGGGTGCCCGGGATGTCCAAGACAGAGTTACGCCACCATGGCTGGCAAACCCGCGCCTTCCAGCCATGAGCCCCCATGCCAATGGAGCCAGGCACCTGTCACACTGATTTGTCAGTGGAAAAATAAAGGGGGGAGTGATGCGGGTAAAAGAATGATCCAAAGGCTAAACGAAGAGAGTGGCCGCCAGGAAAACGCTGTACTGAGCACATGGAGTTAATGCAAGCAAGGCTGACCGCGCTTGAGCCAAACCGGCGACTGACCGCTGACCACGTCCGCGCTCCTTGTTGTTAACAACTTCATGAAACAGAATGAGTTTGAATGAATGAATGAATCACTTTTATTTCAATACGGTAGTTTCAGTTCAGTGTCCAAGATTGGTTTAACATTGCTAGGCCTTTTGAATGGAAAAAAATTCTTGCGTTACATTTTTAACCAGTCAGCTGCACTTCCCTGTACCTGTTCACCCGGTCTTGACGCCGGATTGGCATCCGTTCTTTGTGTCGTCACGCAACGCCTTTCCTCATATGAGTTGTGTCACGATACAAAGAATGGCTGTAAGAACATAGATACCCAGCGTAGCTGCTGGCAACATTGTTATGCTTGGGATACTTTCTTGCTGCGGGTGAAATCAGTTAACTAGGTCCCAATTTTCGCGCAGCTCCGCAGCTTATGAAACTCGTTTTTAGTCTGAATCTCAGCGACTTTTCCTTGTTTTTATTGTTTCAGTCCAAAGCTGCTTATGTTCTTTTTTACGAGCGACAAGAGCCTGCTGACGAGGAGAGGATGGAAGAAAAAGAAATTGAGCAGAACCCTGATGAGGATGTGGACATGGCTCACGATGGACAATAATGAATTCTTTTACTTACGACAGCAAAAAAAATAGATTATAACTACTAAATTGTCTTTATCCAATTATGTTACTTGAAACAAACTAGCCAAACGAAAGAGCTGCATATGCTCTTATTTTGGGTTTCGCCCAGTAACTCGAAATATGAATAACTTTGTAAAGCAAGTAAACACTACCACTAGAAAGTAGGGCTCGGTAGCTTTCATTCGAATGCTCATACTTAGTCCGTAAACTCGATGGTTAAAAGTACCGGTACTTTGTACAGCATAATAATTAATTCAGCTACAGGGAAATACCGCTCAGTGACTTTCATTAGCGACCTTTTTAGATTTTGTATACAAACTCAAAAGCGGAGATTATATTTTTGGTTAGGAGAAGTTAATTACTGCACATATTCATTGACAAACTCTTAACTTGCGCCTTATTACTGATACTGATTTTGAACATTTCAGCGTGGAGAACTATATAACTTATCGAACTGTTAATTATTTTAGCAAAACAGCCAACCACTTGACCGAAATGTGTTGGTTAAGGTGACCCTTGCTAGCATTCCACTCTTTTGAGCGCACGCAATGAAATGAGGTCAAGGCTTGGATGGACAACTTCTTAGGAATCACTAACGTATTTTGTCAACCAGGTTCTTGCGTTGGTGCCTTTATCACGTGAATGAAAAAAAAGTCGATTGCCCAGGAAGGAACTAGATCACATCTATCTAAACCAGACTCAGTGACCAGTGGTTGCAGTGGAAACAAGGCATTAGTATTGTAGGGATGCTTATTCCCGCGGTATTACAATTCTGGTTTCAGTCGATGTTATCAAGTGTTTTCCTATTCTCCAGCGAGTGTTCAAAGAAACATAGTTGATATACTGAAAGTAAGGCGCCTTCCTTGGCCGATCGTATAGTAATTGGTGTCATCTCGGTGTCTTTAAATGCAAGGGACATCTTGCGTGTTTTATTTATAGAAAAGCGAATTTGAATAAAGTTACAGTGTTCTTTCATATAGTTGTTTTAAGTAATGTTAAGGTTGATTAAAAGTTATACTATTCTCCTCTCCCTTCACAATAATCGGCAATGTATGGTTTTTTGGGCCGTCAACCCTATGTACTGAAAATAGGTTTTTTGGGGTTGGTTAAACAGTTATTAGGAGTCAGAGGGGTAGGAAAATATAGACCAATTTTTTGTAGAAAGCTTCGCATACTCAGACGAGTAGCAGTAACTTAAAATATAAACAGAAATGTATAACCACTCTCTGTCGTTGTTGCTGCACCACTTATGTGGGAAAAAGATTAAGACTTTTCAGCTAAGGTAAGGACGGAATTGGCGTTTGTTTTGTTGTTCACCAATTTCATAATTCTCCGGGCATAAAACACCTTGTTACCCCTAAACATTCTGCATAAGCATTGTCTTCTCTTTCCCTTGTGAAGACTGTAATACCTAGGAGAAATTAGTAACAATGGTTATGTAAAATTTTGGGGGGGTGTACAAGGGGCGCTTTCTATTCACCAGAACCTCTGTAAAATATGTAAAAGTGGCAAATGGTACAGAAATTTCCAGAAATTCCGCAAACTGTTGAATTTCCGAAATGCGAACCATTCACCCGAAATTCTAGAAATTCCGAAAGGAAAGTTGAATGGAAAGAAAACTTCCGGGAAAACTACAACATATGCCCAAACTTTCGGAAACTTGACGTTTCCGAAAATTTGGGCCTATGTTGTGGTTAATTTTTTATCTCCTGTAATTTTTGTTTTTGGGTATGGTAAATGTATGCTAATGAAGTTGAAACAAAAGAAAAACAACAATTACCTAAGATAACAAATTAACCACATATACCTCGCGAGCTTGCCCTCTTTTTGGAAATTTTGGAAAATGCTGCTACGTCATGTGCTAACGTCTTCGTCCGCCAAAGAATGGATTACCGTCCATTATCTCAAGGTACCCAACGTCAATTCACGGGAGTTTTAAAACAGTGGCCTCTAGTTTTGGGTTTTTTTGGATAAATGCAAAGCTCTCAGGGTTTATCAAAAGAGGACCCAGATCGTCAAAACGGAACATTAACTTGTGAATCAACGTAATCAAATATGATCTCGTTTTTTGTATCAGTGATCACTTCACCGCGCACTTGATAGAATCGGCTGAGAGAATCCGTTTGTAAGTCGGTCACTTCAGGTTCGTCAGGCATTGTTCTTTTACGCGTGAAGTTTTAAACTTTGTTAGCTGTTGTTATTCTAACATAATGACCTTAAATTGTAAAAGTAATCATTACACAGAGGTCTTAAAAATGTCTTAAAAATTTATTCATTTTACTAGAAGAAACAGTATGACAACAAAAAATGAACAGTATAACATCTAGATTTTCTTCACTGAAAAACATCAGTCACGAAGCGTTCATTGGTTTCACAGAAAAAACTGTAACTTTTCCCAACTCTGGATTACAAACAGAATATTTGAAGAATGTCCAGCCATGTGCCGCGGCTCCTACAAAGCCAAAATAGGTACAAAATGTAAGAGAACAAATACGTAACTTTTTAGGTAACTAAACTCTTGCATTTGGAGTACAGCCAAAAAAAAAATTCTTTTTGAGATCCACCATGCATTGCTTTAAATTTTGTTTAGCTCTGTATAGTGTGAATAAAGAATTAAATTGAATTGTGTTTTGGCTCGACTCTCTATTTCAATTAACTAACCATATTGTCCTTCTTTATTCACAGCTACAAGACCTCCACTGAAATTTGGGTAATATCTTGCAATTCTCTCCAGGGCAAGAGTTGTTGCTTCTGTGGGGCTCTTCCCTTGACGCATATATTCAACAGCCTGGAAACTAAGGCAAAATAAGATAACATCACTTTTATTCTATCATTTCTACAATACCAAAGACAGCATGCTTTCGCAAAGTGTAAGGCAGGAGCAGATTCAGAAATTCAGAAAGATGTGTCCGGGATTAGTATTTATCTTTCTGATAATTCTTTAAAAATGATACGAATTTCACAAGAAAAGGGGTCAGACTTTTAATACCTGGGAAGAAATCGCATCATTACATCACCATCCCCAGTAGCAGCAGCACCTCCAACATCATTATCAACATAAGCACCTGCTCCAGCAATTGGGGAGTCACCAACACGACTGAAATATGAGAGAGAGGGAGAGAAAGAGAAATAGATGAAATGGTATAGTTATTCCAACAGCTATCATTCTAACTCATCTTCTTCAAGAGCAAACTTGCCAGAACATGGGTGTGGTCCTTGCTTCTGAATCACAAGAGTAGTCAGGGTTAATAACTACCGGGACTGGGGTTACTGCTCTACTTAGCCTTCTGATGTATCGAGAACATTAGGTTGTTGGTTTTATAAAATGTCAGGAGTATAAAAAGCACGTTTTTGCACAGAGGATGTGTGGTAAACTGCATCTTACCCTGAAATCTTGTGATTTGCTCCATTAGTACTTGTTCCTGCAGCGAGATTTCCAGCACTATCAACAACCACCATCCCTTAGAAAAATACAACCCAGTGAGATCACCATGAAGTTAAGAATAATTTTTTGTATAATTGACTACCACTCCTAAGAGGTCATAGGAAAATAAGTCTTATTGTCCTATGAGCTCTTTTCAGAGACATATTTCTGTGTGATTTAACACTATATCCGGGGCGCGGGAGGTACTCAACAAATGTTTATATGGGGAGGCTCCACCCTGGGGTCCAACCACTTACCTTTTTATATACCCTTTTTCACGAAAAAGGTCGCCCTTTCGCATACCTTGTTTAGAACTTTGCATCCCTTTTAACTGCTGTAAATGCACTGTCTTTTAAATACGGAATCAATCACAAAAATAGAATGTTTTCCTGACTATTTAAAGCCATAAAATTCACCTGTTAGCCGTTTTTTTTTGGACCCTTTTACAGATCCAAATGACAGATTTCCCTACCCTTTTATATACATCACCTAGTGAAATCCCTCCTCTTTCATATACCTGTAGCTTGAAAAAGGTACCCCTTTCAGGTAGAGCCTCCCGTAAAGGCCATCATAGGGAGTACCCCCATCCCCCCCCCCCCTACATAGCAGTTTGATTATGTTGGTTTGATTTCCAGGGGCTGAAACAATATTCATGTCTTCCTTTACCCTACAAGCAGCTAGACCTACACATGGCTCTCATGACCACATAAAATGGCACTCCCATAATAGTGTCCCCCAATATTACTTTCATGCTAAATACATTGACGCTCAATTTCTTTCAGCCTGAACAACAGAAACATACACTGACTCAGTGACAGAAATCTACAGTAAAAATAGAACAAATGCAGAAACAGGTAGTATAGGTTATATCCTCCAAGGTAGATATAAGGGTTGCACAGCAAAAAGAATTATGATGTCATCTTTCTTTAAGGACTTGCTATTATTTACCAATGGTGTCATGATTGTGTCTATTAATGTCAGCATGAGATTTGTGACGTGATCTTCTCTGCTTCCTGTCAATGTAAATTATAAAATGTTGTTAACAGTTTAAGCTTCACACAAAAGCATTCATCCTGCAGTAACTCTACTCAACGAATTTTTTTCTCGTCTTCATTCAACCCAATCAACTCTTAGGCTTTTATTTCTTATACCAACTGGAATACAGAAAAACCAGGAAGATTTGGTGATGAATACCTTAACCTTCCAAAACACATGTTTCAACATATAATTTGCAAACTTTAAACTGAGAAATTAAATTGGGAACTTACCCTAACCCAGGTTTAGGTTTGTACGGACCACAAGACTGATGGGGGTCTGGAACCACATCCTGAATTTGCAAACATTTAAAGAAATATTTATTTACCAATAACATCATACAAATGTAATGTACATATTAATTAAAAATTATATAAAATATTTTTGAAAAAGTCTGGCTTAGAAGTAAAGATTATGACAGAATCCAATGCCCACTGATTACCAGAAATGTGAATCTTTTTTACTTTACAATACTGTTACAACAGTTACAAAAAGGAATGTCATCTCACAACATCTACCTGCCAAAAGTTGGGCTGACAATTGTTATTTTTCCAGTCTTTCCATATTTGCCTGCAAAAATGAATGTAAATATTAAATGACTATGGATTTAAAATGTAGTATTCTTATAGGAAATACACAGTTCTGCTCAGTTCTTAAGCCAAAGAGTAGCAGTTTTACTGGTAAATCATCAAGACTTATAAAGGGTGGTGGGTGGTAAACTTGTCTCTGAATATAACTAACAAATCTCAAAATCTAAAAAGCAGTATTGCTGGTGATGAGTCATCTGTGTTTTCTCTCCACATTTTTGTCATATTAAAAACTCAAAATTTTTACACAAGTACCTCAGCTGTCTCAGATTTTAACACTCATGGATGATGCCCTTTTCCAAACAGATATATAAAACAAATGTGGGATACTAATTTGCATGAATTGGGCAACATCAGCTAATGTTATCTGTTCAAGTAGTAAAAATTGACAAAACAAGTTCAATTCCCTCTTTGCTAATGACTCACCATGAGTGATTTGTGTGTAAGTCTTCACTTTTAAATCCCATCTCAATAGCAAAGCGAGTTGCTAAAAAGATAATAATAATAATTGCACTACAACACTGAGTGAAAGAAAAGAGCAAATCTGTAAACATAATGAGCAAAACAATTAAATATCTAAACACTTTATTTACAAACTAGTAAGGGGTGCCAGACATAACAAACACAACAACAACAGAGAAATAAGAAACACAACATCGATCTACCGTCATCTCCAACCAAGAAGGTTTCAGAAGTATGCTCCATAACACTACGGGCAACCGAAATGGCTGACTTCACTCTTTTCAGACACCCAACAGCTCCAACATCATGTGTAACACTTAAAAAGAAAGCTGGGTAAACTTTAATTTGTGAGACTAACTGAGAAACACAAATGACATATGACTATAGTACAATTTGAGAAAAAGAATATAGTATCTTACCCATCCATGATCATCGCATCCAAAGTGGTTTCTCCATCTTCATTTGGACTGGACAAATAAAAAAGTTACAAAAGTTACAAAAAAAATTTACAAAAGTTACATACTTAGTCCTGAAAAAGTTACAAAAGTTTTCATGATGGCTGAAACTTTACATGTCCATCCTCACTAGCTATTTCACTTTCTTTCTTCAATGCTTATTTCATTTATCTAGTTCAAACAAAATCTTATTTTTTAAGCTTTAACAGGATATTTCAAATGATGAAAAGAAATTACAGTAGGTTACATACCTCACTAGTATGTTAACATGTACATGCTTCATTTTAGTGACACATGATGGATTCAAAATGCAAAACTATTTCTGTTATTAAGTGACAGCACACCAACCTTCCACCAAATCCTACAGTACCATCACATTGTTCAGCTTCACATACTATACAGCCAGTCTCTACTGCATCCAGTGCACTGCCTTTTCCACTTGATATAATTTGCCAAGCTAGAGATCAGTAATTACAGATGTGCTAATTAACATCAACCATTTGGGCTTCATTACTTCTATTGTCTTTCTGTCTGACTGTCTGTCTGATACCCATAATGGTAAATGTGCCATCCAAATGAATGAGATACCAGTTTGGGGACCCCTGGGCTTGACAGTTTACAGGAAAAGAAAAGGTATTATTGAACCTTATGCACACTGACACCACATATTTTATCCCTGACAAAGATTATTTTGTTACAGTCATGGAAGCGACTTTTGTCCGTTTGTAACTTGCGTAAGACTATGAAGAATGTCCTAGGCCACACCCATGTTATGTTATTGGGACTGGGTCTATTGTTTGTATTGGGGATGTGGTGGTTTGTTATGGGGCCAGGGGATGACGGGATACTACCAAAGAGATAGTACAATCGGGATTTAAGATCTCCAAAGGTCTCTCTCTCCCACACACTCTCTAACAATATTATCACTACCACCCATTAGCATCATTGTCATAAATAGTTTCTCAAGATAAACTGGCTCCGATTTTTTAGGGGTTACTGTATTGCTAAATGTCTATTTCCTTTTTATCGAGCATCTGTACATCGCTTCTAACAATAGAAATAAGTGAAAGCAAAAAGCTGCTGACTTTGAAAACGAGGTAACTCATCTTTTTAAGACCTTTTAACACTCAGACAAAGGGAAAATACATGCAACCACTCAAAGTACGTGCGGTACAGTTGTCAACACTAGCTAACCTTCTGATGTTGCGTTCGTAAATGGAGGTCCCCAAGTGTTAATAACCACAGGAAGGAACTTGGAGCCCGTATCTGTTTTTTGTAATGAAAGTTTGCCATATGTATGAAGCAAAAAGACACAGAATAAAATGATAACTGAAACCCGGGCCATGTTGATTCCTTGCCCGTGCTCGCACCAATCCTCCCGCAGCCACGGTCGATCAGGGGGTCAATTTGCTTGTTAGTTAGTCTGTTTCCTAAAGTGAGCTACAAAGACAGAAACTTGATCAAAAATTGAACTTTTTGGAACAGTGATGGTATAAACTTCTGATCTAATAATAGAATGGAAACTGAAAGCGTTCGGCGCTGGCACAAAAAGTTTCACCCGGGGTGTAAAAATAAAGATTTCCGCCTCGCGATATTTTTAGGCAACCTCCTCGTCGTGCCTCGTCTCAGGGGACAAGCTGTCTGGCGCAGTCTTTAATGCTTTATATTATTTCTTTTATATATTTTTTCAAAATCAGGCTTTAAGAAGGAAAAGATACGAAAGGAAAATACGTCCTGCTATTTTAAAGCAAGCTCAGATAGATGTCGTCGAATTTCCATGTCGTTAAAATTACGGCTTTAAAATGTTTTTTGAACTTTGATACATATTAAGCACTGACGAAGTCTTTTAATAAAAACGAAATATCGGCAAGAAGGAGTCATTTTTTTCCCAGTTTTTTGAGGTTATGTATACAATGCTATTCTGAAATTACCATCCTCACTTTCGAGGTTGGTTGATGTGCTATAAAAAAGGAAATGCATATATTTTTTCAGTCAGACATATTCGCGTTTAAATGAACTTTATAACGCCAACCAGGCGCAAACAGCAAGGATTTAAAAAGCGTCTCGAGTAATTAGGTAGATTTCGTACACATTGCGGACCTATCTGTCGGCTATGTGTCGGTTCTCTGTCTATTTTGGGAAACACATCACGAGACCGGAGTCTCTGTGTGTCGCCCGATATGTCGACAGGATCAGACCTTTGAATCTTGAACCTAAACAGTTTGATATTTAATCTCCAATCTTGCCATTTTTTTAATTATGTTTTTTTTGCGCCTAATACTAAAAATAAGCTCAAATTTCTGATTATTTCATCAACGATAAACAAAGCAATTGAATCTACGAATGGCTGGCTCTATCGCCTTTGTCAGGGCTATGTCACGGAAAGAAAACAAAAGATGCTACGTGTACGCTTACATAATATGATAATCTTTCAGCCAATTAGAAGGCGATTTTCTTTTAAACTAGCCAATCACGATCACCGACAAATATGAAATGAACTTTGGCGCCCAAAACTTCAGACTTTTTTGTTTACATCGACTATTTTGATCATGGAACGTTGAGTTTGGGTGTGTAAGCAAAGTTCCGTTCATCTTACCTATGCATTTCAGGTAAAGCTATTCTTATCTCGTAGTTCTGCAGTTCTGGAAGCAGAGAGGTGGTGGAAGCGCACAAATGAGGTATGTGAAAGCTAAGCTATCGTATTTTGTAAGCGCATTTTCTTCATACTAAAATGGCGTCTTTCTCGATGGTGACAGCTGAACTTTATATTCCGTTCCGAGGGGAATTATATTTTTCTTCAACGTAAAACAGAATGCAAAAACACGAGCTCCTTGTGCTTTTATTCTTTTTTATTTTTGCCTGGTGATTTTATCGTAAGAAAACTGCTTTCGCGAGCAAATATTTTTCGTCTTTCGAAATCAGTCGATCGACGTAAACTTAGGCTTATTGTTTTCTTGTATTTTTCTTTACCCTGGCAACAATTTCACCATCCGTAAGATGTATTACAGAAAACAATCCCTATCTTCATCCTGTATTTAACGGTAAAACAAAAATTGTTTGAGACGAACATTCTGCGAAGGGATATGGGTTTGGTGTTCGCTCTTTCTAATTCGTTTCGTTAGCCGGCGGCCGGCACGAAGTTCAGGTTATTTTTTTTAGTGAAGCTTTTCTTTGTTGATTTCGGGAATTTCTTCTTGTCATTTGCCTAAATTAGAAGGACAAAACCCATGTTCACTCACAGTTTATATTCGAGTTCTGCGTTTTGCTTTTAATGTATAGGTTTGCTGCGAAAGAAATATTTGAGGTTAAAGGGGAAAAGCCCGGCTCCCTTCGTGATCGCTAATTGAATGTAAAAAAAAATAGTTTTAATATACTTATTTTAGCTTCAACATCGACTCTGTGGTAAACTTAAAACAGTCTTGTCGGTAGAAATATGTTGAATCCATCCATTCCAAAAGGGTTTTCATATTAGCAAAAAAAGCTGAGGATCTAGCCGAGATTGCAAAATTCCTAGTATCTCCCAAAAAACAATTTGTGACGTCAAAGGCGGACTTTGTTAATTAGGGAAATGTCAAAATACTGATATTGGCACACGAGTTTCTGGGTGGAAAAAAATTCTTTTTTAGGTTACTTTTTTTTAAAATAAGACATTGAATCTTAAGTTTTTGTTGATGAAAAATGTGTGGATTAGCGCTATCCAGTGGATAGTGCTATCCACCTTTTGAACAACTGGGAGCTAGGCAAATTGATTTAATAAAATCAGGTTGAAATGACAGAGCAACTTGTTGTAAATTCTTCTTAAAAAATCTCTGCTACTGTTACATTATTTCTGACAAGATATATGATTGAAAAGTACATTGATGTGCAGTATGGTAAAACACCTGGTTTGTCAATACAATAAACTGCAGGATACTTCAAAGACACATTTGAGTATGTAAATCAGTGCTTTAATGAAAAGCTTTCCAATATCCCAAAGTGGTTTATTTGCAAAACTATAGGAACAGAAATATCGCCATTTAATGGAAATGGTCCATTTCAAATTCATTTCAAGTAATCTTACAGACATCACATCAGACAAAAATCATATGGTAAGATGGATGGACAAACAAAGGCAACAATGGGCGATTCAGGTGTCAATACCCTTGACCCCCTCTGTATACTTACTGATTTTTGAAGTCTCCTAAATGGTTATTGAAGACACTCTTAAAATTTGTAACTTGAGACAGAAAGCTAATGGACTTCATTTGTCATCCTGCCAGTAAATATCAAATTATTTGTCTTTCTTTAAATTTTGTGTAAAATTAATTGTCACCTTAGTGGCAATATACTTATATAATAACAGTTAATTTTTAAAAATTTTCCCACTTTTTCCTGCACTTGTTTTTATATATATTTTCTGTATCCCATCTGCAGATACGAGGATTTTGTGCAGCTATTTGTAGAATTAGAAAGTCACTGTTAGTCAAGGTGAGTTAGGGTATAAGCATGTCACTAAGGACTTTTGTATTGTATAACACCATGACTATATTAGTTTACAACAGGACTTTAACCTATTATTATGCTTTACCAAGTAGATCTCAATAAGGGTTTACAAGATTCAACAGTAAATTTATTAAGAATGTCGATGTGTGAATATACTCTCTTATTAGATGAAAGTTTCTTGTGGTTTGAATGTTGGCAAGCTGCTTAGAGTGTTGCAGGAGGGGCTGCTAAAAGAAGAGGCTGCACACTTTGCACCACTCACATGCCTGGTGGGAAATGAGGTAACACTTCATCTTTAACTTTAAATTAAAGGGGAAAAACCCAATTGTATTTTGTAACATAATGTATTAATTTATAGTGCAAAGGTAAGTGCTTGAGAGGCATTAACTAACTGCCTTGCAAGGCTGCCTCCATAATTGAATATGGTAACAAAATTATCTAAAAACATTTCTTTTATTTTAGGATTCAGATGGAATCAGTCTTTCTCAGCGGGATAACATCACAACATTCATGCTGAATCTGAGCAGACACTGTGGATTTCACTCAGAAACATACTCCCTTTCTGTTAACTTGCTTGATCGTTTCCTCTCAGTAGTAAAGGTAAGTTTTTTTCCCAGGTAAATAATAAAATTTTGTTTTTGTATATTGAGTTAACAGGAAGAAAACTTTTAACTACTACTTACTGGTCTCAATTTTTTTTAAGCATGTACATTCTATTAATTTTAAAAATGTCAAATATCAGGTTGTAAAAACAGGGTTGTCAGAAAGTTTTGAAGTAGATCGATGAGTGGTCAAAGTAAGCGGCCAGTCCAGGGATATTTAAAATTAAAATAAATAAGGTTTTGGGGCTGAGAAATTTTCTTGTCTGTTCTCTTGTAGGCAAATCCTAAGTACCTTCCTTGCATGAGCATCTGCTGTCTTTTTCTGGCCATTAAGATGTCTGAGGAGGATGAGGTAAAAAATACCCATTCACTACATTACTGTTTAAACTAAGATCTAAGGTTTTTCCACTACAAAATATTATTGCGTCTCGAAAGACTGTTATTGCTCTTCACTGAGAGTCAAGGGAAGCAATCGTGGCACAGTGGTGACCCGCGTTCAGTCCTAGCATCAAACCCATAATTATGTGGGATGAGTTTGTCCTTGCTCCAGTTTTTCTCTGCACTCTTGCTGGTTTTCCCTTCTTCTCAAAAACCAACACTTCCAAAATGAGTTCTTAAGTGTAAGAACTCCCAGGTGCTTCATGGAGAAACAAATTTCAATTTCCCATATTATCTCTTCAGTGAATGATGAGGGTAAATCTTCAAATCTAATGTCAGTAAATAAAGTCGTGATACTTGGTCTCTCATATATTGACCTAATATGTGTTTTTATTCACTTTTGTCTCAGGATGTCCCAACAGCAGCTGATTTTGTCAAAGTTAGTGGTCTTCGCTTCTCTTCTTCTGATCTGCTTCGTATGGAGCGCATCATCCTGGATAAACTCAACTGGAATTTAAACGCTACTACTCCTTTATATTTTTTGCAAGTAGTAAGTATATGCAACGAGTATCGTACATGAAACCTTCCATCCTTCTTTCTTTCTTGCTTCTTCATTTCTATTCCTCCTTTCTCTTTTTCTTAACCCTTTTCCATGTGATTTTTTATTTGCTTTTATTGTTTTAATACAAGACCTTGTAATAAGTATGTATTTTGAATTTTCTGTAGTTCCATGCTCTTGGCGTTGCAAAAGGCTTTCTTGATCATTGCCCAGTGAACCAACATTTACAACACATCACTTCTCTTATGGAGGGCCTCCTCTGCAACCACAAGTTTATGTTCTTTAAGGTAAATTCTCCTTTAATTTAAGGATTGTGAGTCAAACACAATATATATGTTGTAGTTATTTTTTTTTTTTTTGTCTCAGGTAATTTTTCGTTTTCTTTTGTTTTGGGGTATGGTAAATTTATATGCAAATGAAGTTAAAACAAAAGAAAAGTAAAAAATTACCTGAGATAAAAAAATTAACAGTGTAACATATATGTTTGTGCATTAAATCGTGCAAACAAAATGTTGCTAGGAATAAATCAGGCTTTTATTTCTGAGAATTACCACTGCAAGTGAAACAACAGTAAGGAAATATCTTGAGCCCACTGGCTGCTCATTAGCCATTTCCTAGGAGAGCATTCTTTGACCCAACTACTTCTGCTTACAACAGGCTTGCACTTGTACATGGAGTACAGTGCTGCACAATTGTTTCTGAGGTTCATCATATTGATCTTGTATGGATTTGTTTTCTTTCAGCCATCAACCCTTGCCCTTGCTTTGCTGAGTCATGAGTTGGTGTATGTCAGTAACAACTGGTTTATGGCAACACACTACTTGCAAGATGAAGGAAAGGTATGATTTGTCAGGTTGTAACCTCTTCACCCCTTAACTAATCATGTGCAGAAGATCCACAACTCTCTGACCACTCGAGTCACCATCAGTTTTAATCCAGTCCAACAGGCTTGAGCTCAATGTAAAAAAAAAACCTAAAGGGGAGGGGGGGGGTGGTGAGAGAAAGAAAGAGGCAAAACTGTTAAGACTTTTTTGTCACTTTTTTACCCTAAATCTCAAAATTTTGTTTTCTGTACATCCTGGAACTTCAGGAGCAGGGCTCAACTAAGATATCCAGAGCACCCCTCATCTTTATACCCAAGATATTGAAACAATTCTTTCTGTAGATTTTAACACCTCCTTCTTTTTTGTAGGTTTCAGATTCCGAACTTTGGGCGTGTTCAAAACTAGTTAATGAACATCTGAACTCTGTTATACAAAAACACTTACCCAGTTTCAAGACATTACCAGTGACTGAGAATGAAGATGAAGAGTTTCCAGTGATAGAAAATTGAAAATGAATTTGTACAGGTTCGTCTTGTTTATCATTTTTCAACAGTATATATACACTGTCAAACTTTCTGTCACAACCTAAATTAGAGACCTTCAATGTGCTAACCTCTGCATTCACCCTGATAACCTTTAAACCAATCAAAAGCATCAAACAAGTAAATGGTTTGTAATGATCCTCAATTATTTGCCCAGTGAATTAACTTTCCTACAGTTGCCTATAAGAGAAATCAATCTGTGACAGAAATCATTCTGTTCTACATGTAGTGTATGCACCACAGACAGTGACATATGCATTCAGTCAGAACACTGTTTTGATCTCTATAAAGCAGAGTGTCATTTCAGGTTGAATGTTGGTTCTCTAAAACAGATGTTATCCTGCGTAGAGTTGGAGTTGGGTCCATGCCTGATGGTTTCCAAACAAAACTAATAGCAGCTTTTATTTCCTTGTAGGTCCTCCCTTCTTGCTAAGATGGTTTCTTTGTTACGTGATTAACTACAGTGTAGTTTAGTATGTAAAGCAACAAAGGAACACTTTACTTAACTATCACAAGTCAAGACTAGACTAGAGATGTGTGAATTGTAATGAACAGTACATATGTATATTTAAATCAAAATTATGTATAAATTTGAGAACCACCCAAAGCAAACAAGTAGCTCAACATCATACTTAGAGATTCTCATTATGTCAACTGTTTTGTACAGTTCTTTTTTTATGAATTTTATTGTTAAAAATGACCAAAAACCATTTTATTGGTTTACTGGTTTGCCGGGTTTGTGTTACTTGTGGTATCTCGTTGTGTTAATATGACTGTACATTTGTACATTTTATTGGTTTTATATGGTGGAATGGAGAAAAGGCATTAGTGTAGACACCTTTATTATCTGTAAATATTTTAGTATGGAGTGAAAATAAAAGTTTGTACTTTATAAAAAGAGGATCTTCCATATTGTTATACATTTTGTTCCATAATCCTCTGATGTGCTTGAGTTTGATCACAGTGGGGGGTTGGGGGGCTTACATCTGATTAGACTTGCAAGAGGAACACTTAATGTGGACTTTAATTTATGTTTGTGGTCAGTTTTGTGTCAGCCGTTGTGAATTTTAACTACACAGTTAGCGGATGTGAGGTCTGGAACCGCAAATTATTTTACTGCCCACTGGAAAATGCCAAGAACAATATGGTGACATTTTGTTAGGGCAGTTTTGAAAATTTGTTGGTTCTAGACCTTGCAACAGCTGACTGCATGCATTTTAAAATTTTACATGGCCACTGCAAGACAGTCTACACACATCGATAAATGTAAACATTTTATTCCTTCTGTAATATTCGAATCGGCTGGGGGAGCCTTACATTGTTAGGCATTCATTTTAGATGCAAAACGTCTACTGATTAACTGAATTTAACACCTCAAAACTCCAAGGTTTTGAACCAAAAAAATGTCAAGATTATATGATGACCAAGAAAAACAAACAAAAAAAATATTGTTGTTCTGATTTTACTGTCTGAAATTAAGAAACTTAAAACTGTTAGTTTACCAGTGCATATCACACAGAAGAGAAAAAAAAACCTCTGCTTGCCTAGTACTTAACAAAAAAAGAACTTGACCAGTGATGAGGAAGAGTGCAGGGTGTTTATCCAGGGTGTTTATCACAACATTTTCTAAAATTGGAAACAAAATATCACAGGTGTTGAAGAGTCACATTCCTTGGCCCATTCTTGCTTTATCAGCTAAGGGTCCCACCTCCATGAACACAGCCATCTGACGTTGATTGAGATTCATCCACTTTGTACTGCAAGTGTCAATACATGACTGCTATTTAAAATAAAAATAAGAATTGATTAGAAATTTGTGTGCTTTTTAAAATAAGATTGATAATGTAACCTGTACTGCAGTCTAAGAGGTGAAAGTCATCAGGCCTAGTGTTGAGTACAGGGTCACTTTGGTATGTGCCAATGAATAAGCCACTGGACCGCTTTTATTTTTTTGTGGCCACTTGGTCCTGAATAAGGGTATGCAATTTCATGCAATTCATCCTGAACAGAAAAGAAACAGCACTGGTATTTTGCCCACTATCCTAAACAATTACAGTGGAACCTCAATTTAACGCACCCTATATTATGAATTCTTTGTTACAACGAACAATTTTCTTCAACCTGGCCAAAATTACGGTAAAATGTATGGATCAGAACCTCGATTTAACAAAATCCTTGTTATAACGAACACAATCCACAAGCGGAAACGTAAAATTTACCTCAATATAATGAATAAATGTCAGCATGCGATAAAAGATGAATGCCAAACAGACCAACAAGGATAAAATTTATGTGTACAGTACTTTTAAGCAGTTTTTTGGCCTCTTCTTGAGTTTCTAGTGCAGTAGCCATGTATAGCTTGGTACTGAAATGTTATTACAGTAATTTCTCAGATTCGGGAAGGCTGGGTTCTGTAAATTAATTATTAACTATACCTTGATATAATGAACATTTTGGTAGTTTTCCCCAAAATTCGTTAAATGGAGTTGTTAGATATAACGAACCCTTGATTTAACGAACAAATTTCCCCATTTCCTTGGCACCTCATTAGATCGAGGTTCCACTGTACAGGGTTAGGGGGATTCAAATGGTCAACAAGTTCCCCGGCACAGTTTTGTTTGTTTGTATGCTTATAAACCTCAGAAGAGAAAAAGGAACGTCTGTGAACAGATGAGATTTCAAACTCTCAGTGGCATTGTACCTTGCCCAACAGCTGTGTGGCAGCCCTCTAAAACATATTTCCTTGGACCCAGCACTTCACAGCTCTTTCTGGGCCATGTACCATTATTTTTTGCTTTTGTTTGTTTTTCCAACCAATCCTGTATGGCTTCGTTCAAGTAGTGACATCATCTAATGACCAAACTTTGGTCAAGTACTCCCTCCACAAGAAGTGATCATTAGAAGTAGCAGATCCAGACCTTCAGATAAGGAGGGGGCGGTCATCCACACCCTAAGATAAAGGATGAGGGGCGGTCTCAAAAAAACCTTTTTTCGGCCCTTTGGGCCTTAGTTTGGTCTAAATATAAGGAGGGGCCCTCCCCTAGATCTGCCTCTGATGAGGGTTCAGTGTGTACAGTACCTCAGCAGCAGGCGGAGGGGAGGGTACTCTGAAATTCAAGTGATGGGGGGATCGAATGAATCTTCTGGGTTTGAAATTTTTGATTCTGGGATTTTTTTGGACAGGAAAATTTGGCAAGTATGTTTTGGGTGGTTTGAGTAAAGTAGGGTTAAGAAGATTCTGAGTGGTGCCAGAGTATTCAAACAATGAAGTTTTGTGAATAATTCTGGGTAGTGCCAGAGTATTCTAACCTGCGGATGTTTTTCTGTAAATACTTCCGGTTTATAATGGAGCATTTTAATAATTTACTGTTGCGTTTTAAAGGGGCATGGAGATCCAAGAGGTATAAGGCTCAAAAATTCGGCACGGGACTTTTTAGGGGTTAATTTTTGGTCCAGGGATTATTTTACCTTTTGTAGGAAGTCTCTGGGCAGGGGATGTTTGGGGGTTCAGTGATTTTTCTCCCCATTTGATCATCCAAGTCCCTTGAAATCCAGAGTAGCCCCCTACTGATAGGGCTGCAGGGCTAATGCTGAATGGGTGAGCACCAGATAGCAGCTACAATAATACCGTGCTTCTTACCTCCTCAGCAGTGACCTTGCGATAATTTAAATTAGTTACACAGGCAAGGAAACAGTCCTGAGTGAGCTTGTTGTATAGCTGCAAAAACTCTTTGTACTGAAAGAGTAAAAAAAATTATGCCAAAAAATGTAAAAAGTCTTAAATCACTCAGAATACTAAACCAGCATCATGGCATGCCATAAGTACATGGTCAATTATTTATGAAGCACACTTATAGGTTATCGAATATATTTTAAAATTATTGTGGGTGAAACATGAGGGCTTACAAGTAATCTACAGCCATATAATACTACATACACATGTTGTTGTTCTACTAAAAAACTTCGACAAAAAGGTAGAAAATGATCCAAAAATGTCCAAGAAATAAATAGTGTTCAAACTTACATTTCGAGCGGCTAGATCATCAGCTATAAACCTCTCCATAAAAGTACAAGACCTGATAACCTTAACTCTAAGCCATCACCATGCATACCTTACATACGGCCACTTTCCCCACCCTACCCCGTCACTAAATCCACACTATAAACAAACTTTTGACCAAGTAAATGAGAGAAAAACAATTTATTATAGAATAAATGACGTAGACTTATAATCTCAAAAAGACTATAACTTTTCAAAAGATAATGAGGGCACAAAATCGTCAATAATAAGTTTGAGTTTTATACAATTTAAAAATAAGGGAGGGGATACTGTGGGTACTCCCGCAATGTGGTTTAACTTGTCCAGCGATGCTCAACAGCTGACCATGCGCATTGTTTTCGTCCTTTGCTCCTTTGCTGTAGTTTCATTCCCGCCAAATTTACGAACAAGTGGAAGTGTTGTTTACCTGTTTTTGCTCGTTTTTGACTACGATTTACTCGTTCAAAACGCCTTTCGAAACAGAGCTTGAGTAACTATTTATTGTACTTCTTCTTTTTATCGTCGTTAGCATATTTATACGCAAATTTCTTTTACATACTACGAATCATCTGTGGTTATGTGCGGTGTACTTCATGATTATGATTTGCAGGTTTTGACGCTTGTTGTACTCCCTTCAAAGTTCCGTGAAAATGGGTTATCTTCAACGGCTGGAGTTAGAGAATTTCAAGTCCTACAAGGGAAAGCATACTATTGGACCATTCAAACGATTCACAGCCATTATAGGACCAAATGGATGTGGTGAGTGGATATTTGATGGGGAACTATAAAAGCTTCATTTCAAGGCTTATTTGTGCTTTTTCAGAGTTTTAAAGCTTATAACTCTTGTAGTTGCATGGCCTTCTGTATCAGCTTAAGTGGATCAAATCACATGACAGTCGTTTTGTGAAGCTTTTCTATATACTAGTACCAATAAATGCCCATTTTCCCCCGGGGGGTAGGGGGGTACTCATGGGAATTCTTGGTTGGGGTGTGCTGCCCGGTTCAACAAATCCTGACCCTATTTCAGACCAAAAATTTCATATTTTTCCATACCTATTTTCAGACCAGACCTCTAAAATCCATACCCATTTTCAGACCTGGCCTTTAGGCAGAAATTATGTCATCATAACTTAGATAAGAGTACCAACAAATGCATTTCGAATTCACGTATTTCTATATTATTCTTATTCATTTAGAATTGAAATGATACCATGTTTATACACTCCCTTAGTTCCCTCAAAAACCATACCCAATTTCAGACAGAAATGCGCAAAGTGTATACCCGTTTTCAGACCAAAAAGGCCAAAACACCATACCCTTTGGGACAGCACGTACCTGTATGGATTATGTAAGGGAGAAACCCCAGATTTCCGCTATTGTTGTTTTATACTAAATTTTTTATAACTAGGAAAATCTAATTTGATGGATGCCATTAGTTTTGTGTTTGGTGAAAGAACACAGAGTCTTCGAGTTCGCACAGTTAAGGTGAGTGTTAATTATCGCGGAAGTGGATCTGAAGTCTTTTCACCCTTTAATAAATCATTTCTGCTTTCATTCCCAAAAAGATGCAGACAAATCCACACACCATCTTTGCGATAGCTGTCACAAAGTGCCCTCATAAATAGGAATTTACCACAATTGTCAGTCTTGAAGTAATATAAAACTGGAAATAAACCCATTCAAATACAACACACTTGTTAAACAAGATCTGCATTCCAACCTGGACATGTCATCTGTCAGAAAAGGGTTATTAGTAGTGGCTGTACAAGCAAGTTGAAAGGACAAGGCAGGTGAAAGGCACCAGTTTATGTGTTGGGGGTACACTTGAGCAGTTTTTATTTGCCTTTGCTAAAGTACTCATTCTTTCCACATTAAACATTTAAACACTGGATATCTTTTCTTCCTCAAAGGATCTTATCCATGGAGCTCCTATAGGCAAACCTGTAGCTAATACAGCAATGGTCTCTGCTGTATACGCAGAGCAGGATGGAACTGAAATCAACTTCACTAGAAAGTACGATCATACTCAGGTCTAACTATATTTTAGAGTAGTGTTTATTTGAGTATTGAGGAATTTGTCTTTTCGTTATTTATTTGTATAGTTTCTGATGCAATAAGAAGTATTTTGTCATTTTCTCAAACCAAACTCAAGCAGGCATTGGGACTCTTTCTTTTAGCTAGTACTTCTGGTGTGCAAAATATTCCTGTTTTCGGCAACGTTTACCATTTGGTGCTTCCAAATTTAGGAAAATACATCTGTAAGAACAATATTTCCAAATGTCTTAAGGGAGCACTTTTCAACCTCCCCCCTATCCCTTAGGTGAGCTGTGACCTTAAACTGGCTACTCAACTTTTAATAATAGATCTTAACTTTTGCTTGTTTTGTCTGTTGTAGGATTGTTGGTAGTGGTACTGAATACAGAATTGATAACAAAGTTGTGTCACCACAACAGTACACCAAAAAACTGGAGGAATTAGGCATTTTGGTGAAAGCTAAAAACTTTCTTGTGTTTCAGGTAAAGTATTTCATTTGTAATAAAACTATATACTTTTTTTACTTGGCCTTGTACCAACTGAACGGTGGAAGAACAGTATACCGTATTTCCTCAAATAATAGCTGGGGGCAATTATTTCTTTCTTTGCACCAAAAGGGGGTGATTATTCAAGGGAGGCAATTATTTCAAATGTTGCTCACTGGAAGTCGTGCCCTAAATATTTTGTTCTATTTTTCCATTAAATCAAAAGTAATCACATCAAATAAACTGAACTTTGGAATTTAATGTGCTCCAAATTTGGTTCCTTGATGTCCTCGGTGCAGTGTTCTCACCAGGCCGCGGCATTGTGGGATTCCCACAAGAAAATCTGAGATGGCACATAAAAAGCGTAGAAGATGCGCAGGGGCATGCTACAAGTCAAACAGAGTTTAGAAATTCTACAGTTAAGTTATTTTAATGGTCAACCTAACAACCCAGTATTTTGCTTGGTCAAATGAATAAAAAACATGATATCAAAAGATTCAAAGTGGTTAATGTTATTTCCTTAACTTTCATTGGTCCCAGTCTTTGTCAATCCCTGATGGTTTGAACCTGCGACTTCCAGGGTGTCTAAATACAATCTTTCCTTACTATGAATTCTAGATTTAAGCTTGAACTTTTACAAGGTTATGCCCTTATTATTGAAGGTTTAAAGAAATACCCAAAGCTGTTTGTGTCAACACATTTTGGTGGTGTTTATGTTTGAACTATTTCATCGTTAGGGTACTGTTGAATCAATAGCAATGAAAACTCCCAAGGAACGAACCCAGATGTTTGAAAAAATAAGCAGGTTTGAGAAGTTGTCTGTATAACAAAATTTACCTCTTTTAAATCAAGCCCCACACCCTTGAGATTTCTGCAGTGTTCGTAATAATAATAGTAATATTGAAGGGGTGCCTGCAATAAATCCCTAAGCCCCAAATGTCTGATAAAATGCTACATTCTCCTTCCTTGTATGTCTTGTTAATAAAAGGAGAATTTGATGTGAGATCTTTCACCTTCAGGGTTAAATTTTGTTTTACTTTTGTTCAAACATTTTTATCTGTTGTTAATTTTAGAGCATCCCATCATCAACTTGTTGACAAATCTGAAACACAAGAGGAGACACCAGCCCTAGTCACTTAATCATTATTCCATCACCCTTCTACCTTTAAAAGATATGCATCTACCAAAGATATGAAGGAAATAATTGTGCAGTAACTTTTTTATTGCTAAAATACATCTGCAAAGATAATAGAAATACATCTGCAAAGATATAGAAATGATGACGTGTTATGAAATTTGCCAGGTCTGGAGAGCTTTCAGATGATTATGAAAAAAAGAAGCAAGAAATGCAAAAAGCTGAAGAGGAGACAAGTTTTAACTATCACAAAAAGAAGGTATTTCATTATAGTAAGCAAGATGGCTAGTGTTTTTGTTTCCAAGATGGTACTTGCATATAATATTGCTAAAACATCACTGGAAGTTCTGTTAGAATAGCTCTTGAAATAAATCACTCCTCCTAGGTTTGTTAGAACGTCCTGATAATGCAACACCATGAAATTTGTCATGTTCCTTATTCCATGTTTTCATTTGAAGCTGTAAGTGGTAATTGATTTGACAAAGGAGTTCTTAAAATATTTCTCCGATCACACTTTTAGGGAATTGCAGCCGAGAAAAAGGAAGCTAAAGCAGAAAAGGAAGAAGCTGATAAGTATCACAAGTTGAATCAAGAACTGGTGGGTGCTTTAACTAACTGACATGTAGAACTTATGTTACATACCTGTGATTAGCAATCATCTATTATGCAGTGCATAGTTAGTAGACTCAAGTCTGTTTATTTGGGCTTCTGTAGGACAATTGCCAGCTGGAGTTGCAGTTATTTAAGTTGTATCACAATGAACAAGGCATCAACCACCTCACTAATGAACTGAAAACCAAATCTCGTGATCTGGACAAACTTGAAAAAGAGAAGAATGAAACTGAACAAAAACTGAAGAGCAAGAAGCAAGAGAATGCAAAGTTATCACGGGAGATGGCAAGTGTGGAAAAGAAAATAGCAAGCAAGGTACAATACCCTATCATTGCTATACCCTATTACAGTATATATTTAAATAACTTACAGTGAAAGGGTAAACCCTTTAAGATTAGATGTAAGTTTTAGCCATTGATTACTCTGTTGTTGGGGAGGGGTGGGGAGGGGTGGGGAGGGGTGGGCGGGGGAGGGAGGTGCTTAAAAAATATCCAAGGTGTTGTAGCAACCGTACTTTGCTTCACAAATATATACCCAGATGTGTAGCCTGATATTAATAATTATTATAGCAAGGCATTTCTGTTTCCAGAATTTTTGTCATGTTTCAACCCACACTCTTTTGTTTCAATTTATTTGGGCCAGGCCTACATGTACATTGTATATTCTTTCAATAGTTCAGTTTTGTATAACTTTGAAACCAAGTAAATTTCCCTTTAAGGAAGCTGAACAGAACAAGAATAAACCTCTGTACATCAAAGCCAAGGAGAAAACTTCTCATCTCTCAAAACGAATAGAAAACTCCAAGTAAGTGTATGTTCCTTTTGGTTTGTTAATGCATAAAATGGCAGCAAATTCTTGACTTTTTAACATTTTGACTTGGTGGCATGATATTGAGTTTTCACCCTATTGGTAGCAAGATCTAAAATGCCTGTAGTTTTCAAAATCTTGAATATGCAGTAGCTTCCCCAGCAGAAGGTTGAGTTTTCAAAATCTTGGAAACAATTATTAAACTCCAGGTATAGCTTGAATACATCTTTATTACCTTATGGTGGAAGTTCAACTGTACAATCACTTTTTAATGAATGATTTTTACTCTTTGTGCTATGTTGCTTCTTGTTGAAATTTTACATTAAGTATTAGATTGTTGGAGATTGACAATTTTTGAACTTTTGTTTTCTATAGGAAGGCTGTGGCCAAAGCAAAGGAAGCGCATAAGAAACATGAGGCTGAGGTACCTTTTTACCTACCTACGACCTGTTCACCTACGGGTATTCTCTAATTTGTGTTAAATGAACCAGCCATGCAAGGATGAAATGAAATCTCAACATATATGCTGCTTTCATTCTGCACATCTTTCACCGTAATGTGTAGGAGAGTTTATCCAAGATGTACAGTAATTTCATATCTTTCAAATTGTGTAGATTGAAGAGCTTGAGAAAGAACTTGAAGAAGTTCGCAGGGCTGCTGAGCAATATGAAAATGATGTGTCGGGAGACAGTCAAGATGAAAATGTTGAACTAATGGAAGCACAGGTGAGATTAGCATAGAGATTCCTTTTTAAGTACTTGTGGGTACCTAAGGGTATTAACAAGTATTTGCAGGCACTTCTATATGCCAATGCATCAGTCAGGCTGAAATGAGAACTATTTATGATTGTGAATAGTTAGTGAAAGGAAACAAGAAAACTTGACAGTCGACTTAGGTTGAAACCATTTTGACCTACAACATATCCATAAGTTTCCATTCCCATAGTTTACATTGGTTCTTCTTTGAAGTGAGATGTTGAACCAAGACAAGTACATGTAATTGATAACTGGCCAGTTTGTTGACAGATACCATACCCCTGTATCAAAAAGAATATTATAGAAAATAAACTAGCGGTATTTTGAATGTTCTTTGCAGTTAAGTCACCTTGTCATAGTTATGACCTAGAGCAGTTAAAAATTTTTTATTTCTTTATTTTTTTACAGTTTAGGCATAGCTGTTAAGAAATGCTACTGTAGAAAATTGTTTTGGATGTTTGATCATGGCCAACTTAACCTGCAATTACCTTGATCAAGTGCTGTAACAGTCAGTGATGAATTAGCCATGATTTAATGTTTGTATTTCTTTGAATAGCTTGAACAGTATAATGCCTTGAAGGAGGAGGCTGGAAGGGAAACTGCTGCAGTTAAGTTAGAGCTTGACAAGGTATGTATGTGTACTCAAATATTTAAAATTATCAGGCATAACCTTAAAAAAAATGGTGTTAGTAGACAACTGAAGGTTAACATTTAAATAAACGACATAAAAATAAAGAATCATTAATAAATTTTATTATTGGCTTGTTCGTCTCTTATAGATTGTCCGAGAGCAGAATGCTGAGCAGAAAACTCTTGATCAACTGAAGCAGAGAGAAATAAGTTTATTGTCTCAGCAGAAACACAAGATAGATCAAAGGTTTGTGCATAACTTTTAATCCTTTGAAAGTATATTATTGAAAGTCCATTGCTGTAAAATAAAATACAATACAACGTGCAATGTATCAACAAGTAAGTGATATCCAAACTCTCGCACTAGTGACATTCTTTTGTTTTAATAATTATTAAAGTCATTGTTGGCGTTATTCAAAATAAAGAGCAAATATTATATTTTTATGTACTAGGAAACAGTTAGAGGAGAGAATGGAGAAACTTGATGATTATATCAGGTACAGCTGTATACTTTGTACTTTTCCTATTTTGTTTGATTACGGTCTACTCAAGCAAAATAGCTTCCTTCTTCAAGTCATGGTAAAAGCCTGGACATAACTGGCACATTTCTCTACTGAATATTATATTGCTCAAGTGCAGTGTATTTAAATGGTACAGAAAAATAATAATTAATTAGAGGTAACAAGAGGTATACCTGTACATAAAAAGTTTTACTTTAAGATTAGAGGTAGAGTTTGTTGTGTTCATTATGACTCTGAGTATGGGCAATATACCCGTGTAGTAAATATTAAATTACTGCAAAAAGTAAGTGTTTGTTTACATGCAGTATGTTCAATTCTCTCCTTTTTTGATATTACTGCGATGATCATTCTTCACTTTCATCTACAACCGCAGTTCAAATATGAATTATTTCATATACTTCACATCATTTCACTCCTCACGGGAGATATGAACTCAATAAATTGACCTCGCTCCCAATGTGTGGCTTCATAGCTCAGTTGGTAGAGCAACGCACCGGCAACGCGTAGGTCACAGGTTCGAATCCCGTTGAAGCCCTGATTTTTTTCAGGCTTCTTCTTTCCAATTGCTTATTGGAAAATTTACTGCGATGATCATTCTTCACTTTTATAATCATAGTGTTGTTGATGTTGTTAATATAATGCTTTTTTTTAGTAAGGTCCTAGTGAGCATATTTTTTATTTTTCAGATCAAATCATGAGCAAGTGGAGAAATTGCAGCAAGAACATGATGCACTAGACACAGAAATCAAGTATGTGTTGAAACAAGCAACAAAATTTATTCCTAGGCATATAGTTTACCTTATATATTTACTTTCATTGATTTTGTTATCTTTGCTTCTTAATATGTCTTTATTAGTGATGCCAACTCTCGTCACTCTGAACTATGCAAACTGTTGGAGGAGGTGCAGGTTGAACTGAGTGAAGCTAAGGTAGATAAACATGAGAATGCACGACATCAGAAAAAACAGGAAGTGCTGGAGAGTATGAAGAGACTCTTTCCAGGAGTTTATGGACGGCTCATAGAGCTATGTGAACCAGTGCACAAAAAGTGAGTCATTAACCAGCAATTTAAGTCAAGAAAAATAATATCCATCCATTCTCGAAGTCATTAAGTTAATTTATACAAAATGTTAACAGAACTTGACTTTTGCTACAATAATACAGTGGAACCCTTGTAACTCGAACTCTGAAGGGAAAGGAAAAACAGTTCAAGTTAGCAGGAGTTCAGGTTATCGGGATCTGATTCACCGCTTTAATGATTAATAGTTACTGATTTTTCAGCAATTCATTGTGTATAGCTACCGCATATTTACTTATTTCGTCAAAAATGGTGAAATGATCATGCATTTTTATGATAAAATGCAATCTGTTTTTGTTTACCTACAACAAGAAGAACTAATGGGATGGAATCTGAGTGGGATAACAAGAGCCAGAATTTGAGTTATCAGGGGAAATTTCAGTGAAATTTTGATCAAGTGAAAGGAAGTTTAATTTGAGTGAGGAGGGGGGAATTCAAGTTATCTTAGCAAAAATGTGGTGTGAAATCCAAGGGAAATAGGACTTAGTTTGAGTTAGCTAGGATTTTGAGTTATCCGAGTTCGAGTTACTGAGGTTCTACTGTAATGTTTATTTGTCACTTAGCTATGTTTTGAGCTGGCATTTGGTTGGGAGCTGAGGAAACCACAAAAGTGTGACAAACAAGAATATTACCATTTGATTCTTTTTCAATAATTATTGTAAAACAGTCAATAAAATTGTCATCATAATTAAGAGTTGTTTATTAATTGACAAATTTTTAATTTATAATTATGTCATTTTTTTGTCAGGTATACCCTGGCCATAACCAGGGTTCTTGGGAGAAACATGGATGCCATTGTTGTGGATACAGAGAAAACTGGAAGAGATTGCATTCAGTACCTTAAAGAACAGGTTTGATTTGCTACATGTAGATCCAACATATTTATGATCATTTTCTTGATACAATAGCAAGAGCTCAATTTTTTGATTGTGTGTGTCTGCATGAGATCCAAAGGTAACTGAAAATAAAAATTAGGTGTTTGTGTGTGTGTGGGTAGGGTGGGGGGGGGCTCAAAATTAATTGTCAAAAATATTGAAAATATAATTATTTTTTATCTTGTTCATTTTATTACAGCGGGCTGATCCTGAGACGTTCCTGCCACTGGATTCCCTTCAGGTCAAACCTGTTCAAGAGAAGTACCGGCAGAGCGCTGGTTCGGCTAAGTTAGTCATTGATGTGATCAAATTTGAACCAGCAGTTATCAAGGTATAACAGCTAGTTCTATTAAGTTTACTTAAACTGTTATACAACTTATGCTTTACAATGACGTTGTCCTGTGGTGTTACTGGTAACAGCACAATAACTTCTTATTTTGAAGAATTTTTTACAAAATAACCATCTTTCACTGTCTTTTTTCCAACCTAATATGAAACAATATACCCATGGTGTATTGCTGAAGGAATATATCATTCTCTTATGGCAGAAAGCCCTACAGTATGCTTGTGCTAATGCTCTTGTTTGTGACCGAATGGAGGATGCCAGACAGTTAGCATTTTCAGGAGCTGAAAGAAAGAAAACAGTTTCCTTAGATGGAACGCTGTTTCAAAAGTCTGGGATCATTAAAGGGGGAGTAAGGTAAATCAATGATCAAATTCTGTTCTGAAACTTATATCTATGTTAAATAATATATATTATGTTGTTTAAGAAAATCCAAAGACTCCTTTCACTTTGCAGAGCACTTTTTCACGTACACAGAGATTTCCTCCATATATTGTTATTACTATACACCATTAAAGCTATTTTTACTAGATCCTAGTGTTTGAGTGTCATGTAAACCAGGCAATAAAGTTTTCAACGTTTTACAATTTTTTCATAATTTTCAACCAGTGATCTGAAGGCCAAGGCCAGGCGATGGGATGAAAAGCAAGTTGATGCACTGAAACGTAAACGAGACAGCTTCTTGGCTGAATTGAAAGAGCTATCAAAGCATCGTAGAAAAGAACCACAACTACAAAACTTGAAGTCTCAAATTGATGGGCTTCGGAATCGACTGAGGTACTCTCACAAGGACAAAGAAACCACAGTGAGTTTGCTTTTTGTACTGTAGTGTTTTTTCCACACAAAGATGAGTTGTTCTTCAAACGTACACTTTTGTATGAGGATACAGTTACTACACCTGTACCCTCAACTACCTTCCATACTTCCTTTTACAAGTGATAACAAAATGAAAGAGTGAGAGAGTGAAGCTTTTTTAAGTAGTTACCATGTAAAGAAAGTATGTTCCATTTACAACTGGATCTGGTGAATTAAGCAGCATTGCATACATTACTTTTTGTTTGTCTTAGGAGAAGCAATCATTGACTGCCATCTCTAAGGACCTTGACTTCATTGAAAAAGAACTGAGAAGCTTGGAGGTATTTTTCATTTTTTTCAAAAACAATGTATTTAGTTAGGAATTTTTTAAGTCCATTTTTTCAGAAATTTCTAACATTGCTTAATCTAAGGTAGGCAAAATTAGTTATGTCAATAACCAAACAATTTAAATGTTAAAATTAATTTTTGTCTTTGCAAGTCATAAGTTCACCTAACACAATACCCTGATATTATTACAGTGTAGCTAAGCACTAGTACAGTTAAAACACATTATGCAGTTCACTGTTTATCGCTTTGATAGTAACACAGCTTGTTCAGGTTTATCACTCGGGCAATGCAATTTCCTGTATGCCATCATTTCTATTGGACTTTTTAAGTGATGCGTGTTGTGGACATTTCAGCCAAAGAGGGATGAGTTACGAAAATCAATGGAAAAAAGAAGTACAGCAATCACCAACACAGAGAAAAGAATGAACAGAGTAGAGGATCAGGTAAGTTAATTAATATGGTGACACAGGGACTGATCTTAACCTTGTACAATTCTTGTTGCTAATGAAACCTTAATTTGCTAGTCAGGAGTGGTTAGTACGAACTTCTCTTTAAATAAAATAATGGGCAACCAACCAACACAAGTTTGAGAACCAGTAATACACCCTTGTCTCTATTTCTTCCTTTCCTTTTTTTATTATTTATTATTATTTAAAGATGTAACATAACAAACTACTTGCAGATATCCAAGTGATGCCATACTCTCCAATTTAGTTATTTTGATTCCAGATTTAACTCATTCACCGCTGAACCACCCATAACACCCCACGCAGATCATTGTCCCTTTTGCTGGTTGTGATGTCATGCATTTTCATAGACAATTTTGAAATTAATCTTAACTTGTGCAGGGGGAAAAGATCTCTGAAATCAAGATCAAATTAGAAAGGTTCAGTCTAACGGGACAGAGAAAAATGTATAAAACCATGAAAAGTTGACCCAAAAAGTCCAATGATAATCTTGTTCTGACACCCAGCTCCACCTCTTTCCTTCTAATGCTATGATCCTAAAATTTTAACCAAAAACTTGAAAAAAGTAGGTAAGAGAAGCAAGAAAAGAGCCCTGGGGGGAGGAGAGGGGGTGGGAGGATGAAAAGCAAATTTTGCTTTCTGTGCTTGTCTGAACTTTCCAAGCTGGAGACGGCATACTGTTCAATGTATAAATGGTTGTTTGGTTCTTTATGGCCAAACAGTGACAGGAAAACAGCATGATTAACTTTATAAAACGTTTTCACCAAAGCATTTTTTTACAGGTATTCAGGGAATTCTGTGATCAAATTGGTGTAGAGAACATAAGGTATGCATACAAATTTAGATCATCTTTCTACACAGAGAATGTTACTAATCTGACTTTGTTGTGTTCCCTATTGGAAATGATTTCACTGTCTTAATTGTGAAATGTAATTCCAGTGCTGTATAATGTTGTGGGGAATGAGATCAACAGAAGAAAGTGAGGGTTTATTTACAAGCCAGGGAGAATGGGAATAATGGTTATTGAGGTTTTCAACCCTTCCTTTGGCTACATAAAGAGTCAAGGACCATTGAAGTCAAACAGTAGATGCAGCATTATTAAAAATAAAGAGAATAATGACTCACCCTTGTTCCTTGCCTGGAACCATCTACATAGAACAGAACCTGTAACTGATATTGTGTTTTTATCTTTTCAAGGCAATATGAAGAAAGACAACTGAGGTCCCAGCAAGAGAGAGCTCAACGCCGTCTGGAGTTTTCTAACCAGGAGTCCCGCTTAATGAATCAGGTTAGAAAGAAATGTTACTCTACACATTTGTTCAATCTGCCAAACTGATTTAACACTCATGTATAAGCTGTATGCATGGCTGGATAAGTCACACCCCCAACTTTCAATCCTGATTTTGAAAAAAAAAAACACTCAAAAAATAATGAAGGTTTTTAATTTTAGTGCTAAGCTTCATGAGTGTAAATCAAGTTTTTGGTAAATTCAGTGTTAGCTGCATATTTGTTATTGCTTGATTAAATACGTCAGTGAAATCTCAAGTTATTCCTTCTCTGGAATGTTAAAGCTCAAGTCAGTAGTGTTCATTCTTTCATATTTGTTATTATGTTTTCTGTCCTTTTTCTGACACCAAACTGACCAGAAGAGATGTTCTTGTAGATAAGCCACCCATGATTTTGGGCGTAAAATCTATGCAAAAAGATGCGGCTTATACTCAAGTATTTAAGGTAGTTTAGGGTAGTATTTATGGTATTATCTTAACGATCTATTGTCTTGTTTTTATAGTTGGATTATGAAAGGGGTAGAGATACGAAAGGTAAGTGCCATGATTACTTTTTGGAGGGCACATTTTGTTATTTTGCATATAACATAACTTTTACACAAACATCTTAAAATAGTTTGTCTACTTTTGTGACTTTTTGCCAATATAGTACCTAATAATTAAAACTTTTTTTTTTTCATTCTTGGATGGTAATGTAAAAAAAAAATTAAAAAGGAAGGCATTCTCACTAACATGCACATAGACCAGATAAATGACTAAATTCAGTTTCAACAATTTTATCTTAAATTCTTAACACCTGGATATTACTAGAAAAAGTAACTGGATGCTAAATTACTATTCTTTGTAAAGAGTTTACTAAGTGATCAGTTGCTTTCAGGTCAACTGAAGAAACTTAAAGACAGTCGGGCTGCAGATAAAGAAGAGTTTGAAAAACTCGAAGCAGAGGAGAAAGAAAAACTTAAGGCAGGTCTAGCATACTGGCAAGCTTCAAATTGTAGTTACTAAACGAACAAAAACAGGAAGATTATGTCAGTCTAACACTTAAATATTGTCCCTGGCGTTAGGTTAGTAAAGAATAATAATTATTGTTACTGGTGCTGTGGAAGACATTACTAATTAAAGTATCAAACCGAAGTCTACTAAATCAATGGAGCTTTTTGATTTGAAAACAGCAAATTTTGCAGTTTTCTTGGCTGGTTGACAAAGATGGTGCGTAATCATTCATCTATGCTCTCTAATAAACTCCATTTACAGGAATTTTTGAAATATAATTCAACATACCACATATGTTTTAAAACAATACTATTTAGGTTACCAAGACAGTGGTCTTAATTCGTTAAGATCATTTCTTTTTACATCATTTATCACTAATAATTATTATGCCAACATGTGTATATCATTATTTATATCTTAAATTCCATTTTTTTTTGCTCATAAGAACTTATTTTACAAAAGTTCTGACAGATATTATTCTGTATAACTTGTAGATAATCGAACAGGTTGATAGTGAACTGCAAAAATTGCACTTGGAGAAATCAAGCAAGAAGTCAGAGATTGATGAGAAGGTTTGACAACATATAGCCAGTCCACTACACAAATATCCTACTATTTAATTACTTAGCTATCTGTGCTCTGGTCATTATTGTAAATGTAATTTGCAACATGTTTTGTTACTGTAATTTATATCTTCAGACCTGTTTAATCACAAGATTGAAGCTTTATGCTTTGCCTTATTTTTCACTCAGGAACAAGAAATCCGAGAAGTGAAGAAGGATGTGATGCAATGTGTGAAGGATGTAACAGCTCATCAGAAACAAATGACTGCAATGGTACATGAAGATTTTTTCCTTTTATTTCTTGGTACATACAATATAACAACATAAACTGCATACATATCTGTAACTGATGGTTTAAGTACTACATAAGTTGACAGTCCGTCAAAATCCACTGAACTATCATTTTATATTTTAGTTTGTGAGATTGGTTATCATGTTACTAGAAGTTGTTTAAAAAGTCAATATTTGAATAGTCAGTCTCCATTTATGTAGTTATCCATTTTTGTTCATTTTCTTCATTTCATTGGATGTTTTTCAGGAGACCCAGCTTGAACAAAAAAGAGCTGATCGTCATAGTCTACTAAAGTCTTGCAAGGTAAACCTTTCAATGATTAATTAAACAGGTAGCTGATGTTTACTGTTTTTTTTGACTGATGGTAAGTATAGTCAACCTTTAAACAGTGCAATTTGTAGTCTTTTAAACTTATGGCTCTCAGGTTACGGTTAGTGAGTCACGGCTCTTCCCAAAAGGGTCTTTGAGCGTAATCTAGTGTTGTGTTTTGTTGCTGAACAGCTTCCACACAGCATGGAAAATGCTTTAACTTTGTTCTTCTTTCTTTGCTGATAATCATACAGATGGAAGATATCTTCCTACCATTTAAGAAGGGTGGAATGAATGATATTGATCTTGGTGAACCATCATCCAGTCAACCTGAAACATCCAGCCAAGACCAGACTGAATCATCTTCAATGGATGTTGACAGCACAAGCACACAGGTACAGAGACTTGTAACCCAGCTATAAAACACTCTTATATCAATAAGCTAGCCTTACTGTCAGACGTTTCTGGAGAAAAGGAGGAAGAGAGAAGCAAAAGGGGAGACTGCTAAGGGAGAGGAACCTCTTCTTTATCTCTCTCTTCTTCCCTTCTCTCTTTCCACCTTCCCCCTCGAACCACAAAGGAACACCTGATTAGTGATACTCAGGCTACCTATAAGCTGATTCTCCAAACTGTCATCCATACATTTCTAAGGTTCTAATGGGGAGAAGTTCTTTATTAATCACGATCATGATTTTAATGTTTTATGATAATTGTGCTTGTTTTGTTCACTGTTACATGTATGTTTAAAGGGGCATATCATGTAAACTCTATTATCAAAACACAAGTTCTCCATTTTTCATCACCAAACATATCTTATAGAAACAGTCAGGAGAAGATTTATCTGTGATACATTATCACACCGTAGGATGTTACCCGCAGTCAAGCTCTGATCCCTACTTCTGTTTCTTCTAAAAACAAAACATGTTGCTCGTAGCCTAACACCCCATCCAAGTGGTCTTTGCCTTATCTTTCACTTCATTATTATTACTACATTATATTCTTGACCCTGCACATTCTATTTGCAGGGAGCAAAAATAACATATGAGAGAGAGGCTAACCTGGTCATTGATTATTCATCACTCAGTAGAGGATTAAAGCAGGTGAGAACCTACCTCCAAAATCCATTAGAATAGTCTACTTCCAAGATGCCTTAAGCCTCTGTTTCAAACCGAGGCTAAGTGGAAAGCCATTGATATGAAATTACTGTTTGATTCTCATGCAAATAAAACTCATTTCAAAAATGTTGTTTACTGAGTCTTGTTTTGAAAGGGAGAATTTTTGGGACTCGGAAATGGCCTGTTATTTAGATTCTGATGAGTGCATCTGGAATTTTGTTGAAGCCAAATGGCATTTGCTTTGCTTTATAAATTACTCACCAATAAACCTTTATCCCATTTTAAACTATCCAGGAAAGGTTTCATTTTAGAATTCGATGCTTAAGAAAGTTTATATTATAATTGTTATCATTATCATTATTGTTCTTTTTCATTATTGTTATTTTATTGTCAGCTTGAAGACCCTGCTGAAATTCGCAACATGATGAATGAGCTTACAAACAAGGTGAATAAACTGCAGACGACTTTACAAAGGATTCAAGCTCCCAACATGAAGGCACTTGAAAAGTAAGAACACGTCTTTTTAGTAGACATCTTAAAGAACGTCAGAGACAAAAATTGCTTTGCATTGCTTAGAGCTTTCATGGAATAGGTCATTTGTACGATGACGTCTTTTTTACTACTGAGACCAGAATTCATTTCGTGTTTTCTTTCATATTTAAATTTGTTAATCCCATTGAGGTTGAAATAACAAAAGCCCTAATTTGCACAAGAAAGCAAAACCCTGAAGGATTCTGGTAGTAGTAGTAAAATGACGTCATCGTGCAAATGCCCTATTCAGAGTGTTTGCCAAGAACATTTTCGTAGCCAAAAGATCTAAGTTGTCAGAAGAAAGCATTTACAATGATTGTAACAATATTTTTACTCCTTCAAGAGGAACTCACTGTACAGTCAGGGAATAACTATCAATCGAATGTTGCGATTTTTCAACGTTACTTGTTTCCCTTTATGTCCTGTGCACACCTACAATAGAGGATTTCCATCCATTGATGATTATATTTTAGATGAATATTTAATTTCTTCTCCGTTCTGATCTTTATTTATTTTGTCATGCAGGCTTGATGGTGTGAGTAGCCGTTTCCAAGAAACAAGTGCAGAGTTTGAGCAAGCAAGAAACAAAGCAAGGAAGGCAAAGATTGAATTCGAAACAGTCAAGAAGGAAAGGTATTTTTTCTGTGTAATTGATTTTAACAAAATCTTACTTGCCAATCCTTGCCTTTTCTGTCTATTATTTGTATTAACTTAATTTATGAAACTTGTTTTCACAGAAGAAACAGATTTTTCGTTTTTAGTCTTGGCTTGTTATTATGATACATTGCCTCACAACTATTTGTTTTTTGCATAATTATTAAATGGGGCAAAAAAGGTTTATTAAATCATGAAATTGTAACTCTATGATAATATAATACGGTATAACTTTACTTTTTTGAGTAGAGATTGGACGTATCAGTAGTAGTTATCTTATGTATTCAACGTAAAGATCAACATTTAACAATATTATTATTCTTCGAGCCCGAATGGGCTCTGAGTCAATAGCCTATGAGGCGGAAGGCCAAATGGGCTATTGACTCAGAGGCCATGAGGGCGAGAGGAATAATTGTTTTAGTAAAATCCAACTAGTTGGTCAAAAATATCGAGACAAAACAACTTTAGCTAGAGAAACGTGATTCAGCCGCCATTGTTTTGGTTTTCAAAGCCGGCGCTTTTCGCTGCTAGTGGGCTATAACATATAGCCTAGTAGTAGCTCAACCAATCAGAACGCAGCATTGATAATAAGCCACTAGTTGGATTTTACTAAACTGCAATATACTTTTACATAGCCCTGACAGTCTCTTTCACCACCAGATATGAACTCTTCATGACAGCGTTTGAACATGTTTCAACGAAAATAGATGAAATTTACAAGGTTTGTCGTGTATTTACATATACATATAATATATAGTTTAGCCAGGGCTAAAAGCGAAGCTCTCGTTAAATCCATGATTTACTAAACAAAATATAAACGAAGACAGGCAAAAAATCGGTAGGTCTAATTAGCCAAAAAAAAAAACTTTGCACCTGCAGCACACTTTTTTTCTAACTAGCAAAAAACAATTTTGCACGCTTTTTTGTACATTTCTTTGCCGTCGTTTTGAACGAATAAAACGTGAAACTTCCAGAAACTTCCTAGTTACACGTTTTACGGAGGAAATGTATGTGTTCTGCCTGTTCACTTTTTTTTCGCTGCCGCTCATTTTCACCTTGTTAGCGGCTAATATTTCCCCTTTTTCTCACCGCCGCTATAAATTCTTTTTGTTTTTCTTCTAATGAAATTGGTCTCCTTTGGTTTTTAACTCTCGCTCTGGCTCTTTCTCTGTTATCCACGTTAATGTAGACATTGAAATTAAGTCGAAAGAAAGAGTCGGCATTTGTTGTTGTTTTTTTATCTCTAAAACACTGGGAAGCTACCGTAAAATTCCGAAAATAAGCCCCTCCAAATGTAAGCCCCCCAAACCGTTAACGCATAAAACCCTCCGTTAAATCGCCCCTCCAAATATAAGCTCCCCGGGGGCTTGTACTTGGAAAATTGTCCTCAAATACAAAGTAAAACAAAGCAAAAACGGTAAATTAAAGTTTACTTCCATCTATAAGCCAGCCCAATCTATTTTGAAACGCAACTTTCCCTCCGAAGATAAGCCCCGCCAAAAATAAGCCCCCTATAAAGGCCCGTTGAAAAGTATAAGCCCCAGGGCTTATTTTCGGAATTTTACGGTATGCGATTTACCGTCGAAACTAGCGGGTGCTTGAAATGCAAAATGTGATCTCTTCTTACATGAAGGGGTGGACGTACCCGGTACGGACGATTTTCTCAGTACCAAAATTTGTTGGATGCATAGATTACCTAATTTTCATACCCGTGGTGCTCCGCTATAAAACTAAGAGAAGACACCAAAAACTAAACGTAACATTATTTCTTATTACCAGGTCAATATAAACCGCACAAAAAATTACTATACCATGTTCTTGAAATATATAGAACACATACCAGGGTTGGGGTTGTAGTACAAGTACAATGATAGTAAATTTAAAGCAAATATTATTACGTATAATTTTATTTATGCTCCTCTTGTCCCTTTATTTTCTTTCAGGACATTGCCAACAATCCCAGCGCACAAGCATTCCTTGGTCCTGAAGATGCCGAGGTATGCAGTATTTTCCAATCACAGATCCTTAAGTTCGGATCAAGGATAGTAGTCTACCGTCCTTTTACCACTGAGAGGTCATGTTCTTAAGATTCCAGTGGTTCTTTAATGGTGGCGGCGGTAAATTGTGTTAATTTTGTTCTTAATGTTGTTTTTTGGCCGTTCTAGGAGCCCTACCTTGGAGGAATAAATTACAACTGTGTAGCGCCCGGGAAAAGGTCAGAATTTTAGTACTTCTTTTTAAGTTTTGGTTTATGCGGTAGTAAGCAGAGCCCTTTGGTTTTACTAATTAGTGCTTTGTAAATGCCCAGGTTCCGACCAATGGATAATTTATCTGGTGGCGAAAAAACTGTAGCAGCACTTGCTCTTCTCTTCAGTATTCACAGGTAAATAAGTAGCTCTGTTTTGTTCTAGATAATAACGTTATGATTGTCACATGTAAGTTATATCATTCATCGCGTTAGAAACGAGGTTGGAGTGTTACTATCATACTTTAAGTGTAAGAGAATTTAAATGGACCTTGTTACTTTTTTGACTACTGATTTTACGTTATTGCAGCTTTCAACCAGCACCGTTTTTTGTCCTGGATGAAATAGACGCCGCTCTTGACAACACCAACATCAATAAGGTACATTAGAAGCTTGACTGAGATGCAAGAGCTAGGAAGCTTATTTTTAAAACATATGTGGTAACTGACTGTGTAATACGCCAGTACTTCTGTTGAGTCAGGTCAGAGATCCTATGTGAAAGGAAGTAGGCGGCCGTTAAAGGCGTGCCCTACTTGTATAATTAACCGTGGGTTTTGCAGTACGCCTTTTTGTAAAACGTGTCAGTAGATGCCTCCTTATGAAATACCTGTTTATTGTTTATCATCATGAGATTTTATTCGTTTGCAATTTTAATATACTGCTTCTTTTTAGGTCGCCAGGTACATTATCAGCGAAACTGAAAAACGTTTCCAGTGTATTGTGATTTCCCTCAAAGAAGAGTTTTATACCAGGGCAGAAGCTCTTATTGGAATTACTGCTGAAGTTAGTATGCATTTACTCTGATGATAATATTTGGGCGCTGTTTACCGTCCCCCGTCCCCTAAGTAGATTTGGTACTCATTTCCAGGCTTGACTCGGTCGTAAGTGTGTATGATCCCGACGATCTTATGGAAAAGTAGGGGATTTTGAACAGTCTAGTTCTGCCCGTGTTTTCATCACTTGAGTTACGGACGTTCATTAATGACGTTTCTTTTTGTTTTCTAGCCTGACAAAGACTGCACAGTGAGCCGAGTGTTCACCTTGGATTTGACTCAGTATCCAGAGTAGTTAGGCTGCCACCACTCAAACTATTCATCCGTTGGAAAATTTCAAGAAAGCTGTACAGAAGTTAAGGAAAGACAAACCGCTTCATGTAATCAGGGGATCTCATCTTCAATCTTGTGTTAACGTGACATATGTTGTCAAGCCTTTGCAATCTCTTTCTGAACCTGAACTGACCACTATTAACTTTGTTTAAAAAAAGGTTATTAAAAAAGATGACGCACTTGCCAGGTCTCGCTTTTATTGTCCTCCTCAACACTTTTTACCTTACAATTCCGCTTATAAATTAATACTAAATATATTTACATTTCCAAAAAATATATTAAACTAAATACACTAAATGCCGTTAAGTCTGAAATAAAATTAATTTATGAACTAGGAAATATTCAAGCCTGCTTATCGCTAAATTCCATTGACACGAAGAATAACTCGTGCTACGATCTTGCTTTTGATTTGCCGACAAAATGGCGCAAGATTGTTTTTTAGCCAATTATATAGTAAGTACGAATAAAATAGGTACATTTACTTCGATGCCAAAAATGCTATGAAACGTGTTATTGGTTGCAAAGTTGATATTTTGCGTTTGTCTGCTGTAATTAATAATAAATATTGCGTAGATAAATACTGTTGATGAACCTATTTACTGACCATGAAAAAACTTGTACTGCGAAAATATAAGTCAAAAAATACTTAAATTCGGGAGGAGAAGCATGAAATGTTGTTTATTTAGAACCAAGAGCATCCTTTTTGCTTGCCCCGTGCTTGCACACCTTCTTTCCTCGTACCATGACCTCATGTAGGGCGTACAGTTCCACTATGGAGTAGGCCATCAGCACAAACGGTGATACGATCCAATGGTAAAGATTTCTAATAAAAGAGACCCTCTCCTTTACTCTCGGCTCCGTCAGCCTGACGGTGACTCGATCCAACAAGAAGATCAAGGCGAAGACAGCGTAGTTGAACACAAGGAAAGCTAACATTCCCCACTCAAGGATGACTGGAACCTCCACAAACAGAAAGTTAACGGAGATCGCCAACGTAACGCTGTAGAGTGACGAGCAACACAGGATAATACCTGTAAAAGGAATGGACAGAATTAAGCAAATTTATTAGAACCGCTCCAAATGTGTGATATCAGTTATATTTTCAAAATAAAACCCTGTATGGCGGCTTATTCCTTAGAATCGAGAACGGGACAAAGAGAGTCACGTGGCGAGTTGTCCTATTAATGCTGAAATCGTTTGTCACGTATTCATTTCTCCCCCACGGGGAGAAATGAATGCGTGACAAACGAACCCCAAAGGACGTCTGACGGGAGGCTACTGAAATCGGGGCTACCGATAGCCAATCAAATTGGAGAATTTTGTTAAAGTGATGATGATGATAACAAATAAAGACAATTACCATAATAGATGATGAAAGTGATTCCCCAGGACAAGGCAGTAAAGAATGGAATATTGTTTGATTTGACCATGAAGTAGTGAAACACCTCAGCAGCTCCAATGGTCCATCTTCGCGCCTGTCGTGCCCATTCCTCCAACTCCTCCTCAATCACCCTTCCAGATGTTGGGCCAGAAAGAGTGGGTACGGGAACCATTACAATGCGAAGACGTCTTTTGCAGACTCCCATCCACCTGTGACGTCATCAGACAAAAAGGAAAAAGACAGATCAATATCAGTACCGTAAATTGACCCCTCCTTGCTAAAAATCTAACTTTGAGACGTGCAATAGAATTTATCTTTGAGATCGACTCTCTAATCTCCACAGAATCAACAAACCCTTTCCGTTCAACTCAGTAAATTGTCCTGCTTTTCATATTGCCATGTTCATACTAATCACACAGGTCTGCCTTTCGATATTTGAACCACACTATCTACAATCCGTTGATTCTCCCGCAATGGTGGTAAATTGCCCTTTTCGACTCTAGGGATTGTATGTTTGCTTCGCCATAGCGGCTCTCAATGGATGGAGTGAGGAAACGAGTCATATTAAGTATTTAACTACTGTGGACAAGTTTCAGGAGAAAAATGATGCATTTGGTTTAAGAGATGAGGAATATTTGTAGAAAGTACGATTCTTATTTTATTTAGTATTACTTCATCTTACCTAATAAGACCGATAATATCATCCATCTGGTATCCTGGGTGGATATACTGCCCAGCAATGCACAGAGAGGCTGAGAAGCTGTATATGCTCATAGTGTTGACATTAAATGGAATCATGGCTCCCATCATGAGGAATGCACGCAGCATACCAGTCAATCTGGTAACAACAGATGCTGCATCTAAATTCCAGTTATAGAGTAGTGGTGACTGGAACAAGCAGTTTACCATCTTTCTATCATCGTGGTCTTTTGTTTTCATAAATTCTCGCTCGTATTTGTACTCCAGCGCCTCCATGTATCGAGGATGAAATTTGGAGTCCGCATCGCATGTCGTTATTAGGATCCTATCTGGATCAAAGTTACTGCCAGCCTTTCTCTTCATATGTGCTATACTTGTCCTAATGCCACAGTTGCTGTTGGAACACTTTCCGGGGATCTCTCCTTCCATGCCAAAGGGGTGCGTAACAAAAATAAGTTCACGGAATTGTGATTCGAAGAGTTTTGCCAAATCCTGCTGTTTGTTGCACAGGTTCGGAGTTTTTTCCTCGAATGACACCACCATGGTTACTCTGGAAGCAATAGTTTGATTGGCCAGAGTTTGAACTGAAGCAGCAATCAAATCCACAGGCTCCTTATAACAAGCCAAGACTGCTACGTGTTGGATGGGTGTCTTGTCAGCTGTTTGTGCTTCAGGATCCTTGTTACATTTTTTCATCAACTCTTCGCACTTGGATTTGAAGTCCGTCTTTCTGTTCCAAAACATGACAGCTGTAGTTCTTATGGCGAACAAGCAGACGCAAATCCAGAATACGATAAAGGCTCCCTGGATGCTTGGAAGGAGAAAAAGCGAGATCTCTTGGGAGACGAAAGGCAACCAGATAGGAAGAGGAACAAGGATCCACAAGATGAGATTAAAGATCAGATTCCAACGGAAGAGCTGCCTTCCTGTCTTGAGGTTAACGGCTTCTCCTAATTCAACGTCCCCACCATAGCAGACATTTGCAGTTGGAATGTGTTTGTCCACATTCCCTGTAGTTTCCATATTAGTAGTTTTCTCTGGCTCAGCAGTTGGATTTGAATTAGGCCTACCGTAGACAGTAGCGTAAGACTGCAATGGGGCAGCCGATGCTGTTCTGGCTAAAGGGGATTCACTTTGTGCCCTTTCGTCTTTTAAAGAATGTAGTGATGCTAAAAAGAAATTCCCTCAACAATTAATTAATGCAAAAGTTGTTTATTTGTATCTGTAAAGTTTACCAAGAGGTTTCAAAACAAGTGAATGAAAACGAAAGGACTGAAATTATTTTTGCAAGTTATCAATTACTATAATCTTGAAAAAATTTTTTAAACGACGAGGAGAAAACGTCACTTAAAAATTGAATTTGCGCTGCAGAACTTTAAATTCCATTCCGTTTAATTCGAGTGGAATTCTAAAGGAATCAAAGTTCAGAGGAAAATATCATTTCAGGCCGTTTCGACCGCCTTTCGTTTCTAACATTTTTAAACCGACTTTTTATTGCGACATTCTCCATCATTTTATATAACATTGTAGACAAAATTCCTACGTGATCAGTTCAGTAACATCTGGACAACCTGAAAGAAGGCTGGTATGACCAGTTGAAATTTATTTCCGCCTCTCACTTTTAAACCGACTTTTTATGACATTCTCCATCTATATAAAAACAATGTAACATCTGTTGTTCTGAATCCGCTTTGCACTGGTCTTTGGACCTCTCGTTTTTAGAAACAGAGCTCGAATCGTGAGGTGAGACTTCAAGACGCTAATTTAGACCGTTAAACAAATTATTAGTAATTATCAAACTTTGCAAACACCGCTGTCACATAAGCGTTTTCAGAGCGGACTAAACACACAACTTTTAAACTTATAATGATATTTACGTCTTACCGGCGGAGTGTGCGGTGTTAGAAACAGAGTTCGAATCGTGTAGAATTTCCAAACTGTCGACTGATATTGCGTAATTCAGCAGCCCAACAGGAGAAGTTCCACATACATTTTCATCACTTGGAGGCATTGTTGATTCTAAAATCGGGACAAGGAAGGTGATTAATAAAGACCTCAAGTAGATTAAGGCCTAGGACTAAGGCGTTTGCTTGTGCAAAATGAATTATTTGCTATATCTTTGGCATAGATCTGATGGCGCTGAATCAAAATTTGGCGCACATAAAGAAATCATCGTCCTTAACATTTTAAAGTATAAACATTGTGTTAATAAGGCACGTGATATGTCACGTGACCATTTTGCTAAAAATCGTAAATTATTGACCAATTGGTGGCCGTTTTAAGAAAAGAAATCGGGAAAAAACATTTTTGTTACTCATATTAAATATTTCTAACACTTTACGTTTGGAATGACCGTCCATTGCACTTCAATAAAATATTATGAGGGAAAACATCATTTTAAATACCCAAATTTAATCTTGAATTATTTCAAACTTTAATTTTAAACTTCGCGTACATTCATTCCAAACGTAGAAAGTTAGCTATGTTTGCCAGCTTTCAGAAATACCAATTTGTTTATCGAAACAAAGTAAATTCGCCACCAATTCGCCAGTTTCCGTCACGTGACCATAATCTAAACGTTAAGGCACAAGGAAACCTCAAGATTTACTTTTGGGGAAAAGTTCATTTTGTTCTAGGCTTTCTAGCGAAAGATATTGCCATTTATTTATGTTCTCAGAACACATCTTTGACCCAGGCCTTAAAACCCCTTGAGATATCACTTTGTAGTTTTCGCCTTTTCCCACCCTAATATTCGTGTTTAGTGATCCAATCAAGTGGCATCTTCGGTCAAAACCAACATTTCCGATCTGAACGGTGTGTTTTGTTTAAAAAAATTGTTGTTAAAGAATTTACGCTAGACTACTTGCGGGCATACTTGGGTACACTGAGGTACCAGAATTAAAGTGGTAGTAGTCTGTCATTCACGTTAAATTCCAATCTTATCAGACTTGGGTATTTCTTCAACACTTTCTTCTGTTGGTATGGCTTGATTGAGCCGCAGATCTGAACTGAGGAAAGGGCTCGCTATGATATCCTGTTCAGTCATCAACGGATGCTCAGTATCCCCATTACTGGAGTCCAAGTGTGGAGCGAAGTGATTGGAACAAAAGTTCTACCACCTTTCTATTGAGGTCTTTCGTTCTTTAAAAATTGGCATTTAGGGGGAATTGTGCCGTTTAAAAACGGCAAAGGGGTTTTTCAGTGTATAAACAGTGGCTTTATTTACATGCAATAACCCCCAGACTAGTCCGTCTGGCAAATCGTCCTCTGTCTGTCATGTACGAGAAATACAAATAAACATGAACTTTATTTGAGTGTCTAGGTATTGAGGTGGAGAAGCTAATTGGAGACACTAAATGATAATCATTTAAGTCCAAAGAAAAGAATAGAAAACTGAATAGAAATAAATCTGTATACAGTTCAAAGTATTTATATATATCCCACAAACTCCTTGTTAAGGCTAGTCTTACTGCGTGTATCTTGGCTAATTTTGCCCCAAAGATATTGGCCTGGAAAAAGAAAATGACCTCGCAAGTTATTAATGCTTATCCAGATTATAAAACATGTTTATTATACAGATGTATTCCGGAGCTAGTGATTATTTAGCTTTATACGTTAAAATTAAAATATCCTGTTATCTTTCCTTTGCAAAACTTGGCAGGCAAGCCTTCTTTAAGAGATCACAGTAACATGATTTTAAGTATAATTAGTGTCAATAATTAGTCGATACCAGAGTACCACCTTGTACTATAGAATTTTAAGCTTTTATCGTTTTAGACTTGTAAGTAGTAAGTAGCTATATGATTTTAGCTGGTGTATATCCTATTTATTTTCTAATTCATTAGTTATCTTATTTAATTATTTAGACACGACCCCACAAGCGAAGCGTCGCTTTAAATACTTATCGTGTATAAATAAAGATTATTGATTGATTGATTGATTGATGATATGCCTGATTTATTTCCCTTGTCCTTTTTTTTTGGTTTTGTGTTAAGTTTTACGAACCTTTGACTTTTCTCAGGTACCCCAGCACGTGCGTACGTGCATACAAGTAGCGAACCTCCTGATTGCTAGAATAAGAATAATTTGTCTTTTTCTCTCTTTATCTGCCACACTCATTAAATTCCAATCTCACCAGACTTGGGTATTTCCCCAACACTTTCTTCCGTTGATATGGCTTGATTGAGGCGCAGTCTTGAAGAACAGGCCTCACTATATCCTGTTTCATCAATTGAAGGCATAACTGAGTACAGCTTGAGTTTCTCCGATGAAAACCTAAGGAGGTATTAAACACCAACTGCAGTTCTTTGATATAGAGTAAGTTTTATTCCTAGGTAAAAGTCGAATTTGAAGGTATTTCAGGTTAGCTCTCGTTGCCTCGAGATTTTTATTTCCTCTCTTTGGTAATTACGCTGACGATGCTGACTGTGGTCTGTGGTTATAGCGAACTAAAACGCTTTCCTCCATTGGCCATGACACACTTATCTCTTGAGAAGTATAATTGAGAATATTGCTACTCATTTCTTTTCCTGTTTCTTTTAATAATGATGAAAAAAATTCGTTGGAGTATGAGTATTCTCGGAGGCTGTTATCCGCCAAGGCCGAAAAGCACGTAAGTCTTCACATCATACACATAAATCTTCACATCATACACAGCCTCACTCAGTAATTATTAAATAACTGAGATCCAGTGAGCTATTGAGAAAGCTACTAACCTGCGATCAGGCGTTTCTTTTTCTTCACGTGATTTGCAGGTGTCATCTTCTTTAACTACGTTAACGATCGTTAACTATTAAGAGGGATGGAGAGACTTTGGACCCAAAGGCCTCACAGCTTTTTCGTTCATAGCGCTTCACGCATTTGCAAGTTTTTTAAAAAAAAGAGAGGCGAGAATTGATAGGGAAGTGAGTAATCAGGTGATAGTTGCAAAATAAAACAAGCTCCCATGTACCTCCGCATTAACATCTTTCAGATATTTTTCAAAATAAAATGCGATGTTTTTCCCAATTGTTCACGCGTGAAAACTGTACATACGTCTGTCCTATTTACGCCTTTGTGATTTCCAGTAAACTCCCTCTGTAGAAATCATTGGGTGCTAGTGTTGTCATCAAGAAATACGTTTTTTTAATCCTGTCTTCATTTTTCGCAAGACCGAAGTAAAGCAATGATAAGACGAATCCAAAGAATGGCCAGATTTGTTTTTCTTGCCGTTATTATTAAGCCTGCGGGCGATCCTAGATCTTAAATTTCCGAGTGCATTCTCAACTTTTTTCTTTAGATATCTTTCCACTGTAAATGAATTACTGATACAGTTTTTTTTTTTTAATTAATGATTACCAACAGTATCAAATTCCAACTACTTTAGTACTAAGCACTCATTTGATGATCCAGTGAGAATCAGCGGCCGAAAAGCAAACCTGAAATACTCAGAAGTTCTTTTCTTACGTTTACTCAGTTATATACGATTTCCTTACTTTGGGCTAAGCCAACGTTTTCTTAAAAAATCTAAGGACATGCTTGTTTCTGCCCGGCTGTCGCTGTTAGAATTTGTGTTGGCCAGACTGTGTCACATAAGTTCTCCCGCAAAGTTGCATTCCCGCGACCGGGATGACATACATGCAACCAAAAACCGGCTATAGTAAAGAATTACTCCAAAAAACTTTTTGTCATAACGAAAATTAACTAACCTTGTTTTTTTTCCTTTTTCCTGGCTGAGACACTCAGACCACCTGATTGATGCAATATCACAAGATATTGACAGCTTAAGGAATAGGGGGTGACTTTTATGACAAACAAATTCTGAAAACCCTGTTGCCACGGGCTCCAATCAAACTTTAGATCTTTTTTGTGACGTAAAAAGGCCCTCTAAACTACTCAATTTCATCCTGATCTTAACAATTCTCAAATAGTTTGGTGGTTTTGCTTGAGTTAACTCTTCCCTTTAAGGGTCTGTTACTTCTTAGCTATTTGACGTTCCTTGAAGGTATATTACTGTTAAGTCAAAACTTACCCGGCCAACCAATTGTATTCTAGTTTTTTACTGTATTTCCTTTGCCTTAAACGACTGATATTCCTGATACACGTTAAAAAGGTATTTCTTTCGAAATATGCAACGTATTTCTGGGTATTTTTGCAAAGCACATTAAACAAATTTAAACCTTACTTCAGAACCACAGATTCACGACAGCAAATTAATTATTTCATACACCTGTTCATATTGATATGGAGAATTAGACTGGCTTCAAACAAATAAGTAAGGATAGATTAGTAGCATGATCAATTTAAAATCTAATGAATGTAAAGCTTAGACAGTCCAATATCCTTTTAAGCACTGTGCAGGGTGTCTACGGCTTACTCAGAGCCGGCTAACGTGATTTAATACTTGATGTTCGTGAACTGAGTTTAATGCAATGTTCCAGGTTCAGTATTCGAAGACAAAATAACTATTCAGTAACACCTTACTTTGCTTTCGCACACCGTATCAGAAGCACTTAGATCAAAGGACAAATAAGCTTATTATGTTCATCATTCCTGTTTTGCATCCTATACACAAGAGCTTAATTATATTGGTGAGTTTAAAAGATAGATCAAAAATACAATTGTCGTCATTTTGAAACTTTTAAATACACCTCATGAGAAGCTTAATTTAAGTCAATAACAAGTCCCCCAAAATGAGGGTACACTGGTCTGCCGGTTTACGTAACAACTTGTCATGCTGAGCCAAAATTGTCCCGCATTTTAAAACTTCTAGTCGTGGTTAAAGAAAGTAGAACTTTAAAATGTTATTTGTGAGTTTATTTCTTTATAATAAGCCACATAAATTCATTGTGATATACGCAAGCAAGAAATGTGGACTTCTAAACTGCGGATGCTTCACGCTTGACTGAAATGAAACATGACTTTCAGCATGCTACGAGAGAAAAATCGACCAAAACACTGTTGTCCCCAAAATTGTTCCCCCCTTCCAAAGACCTTGAAGTGACGGGACACGTAACGCCGGCGCAACCCCCTCTTGGTTATACGTCCGCCACTTTGTGTTTTTTTTGACATAGCGCTACTAAGAACTTATTTGGGCGTTGCCGAAGGCAGCCAAATAAAAAACAACGTCAATTTAATAAAAATTCTTTAGTCAACTCTTCATGTTTATTGTCTCATACATAGTTGGTCCTTATTGGGTGGAGAGGAGAGGAGGGGAGGGGAGGGGATGTTTTGGAACTTTTTGCAAAGAGCGCCGGCCTGTCGGTCTCAACCCTTATCAAGCAAAAAATTAAAAATCAAAGTAAAGCAATATTTTTTTCAGGGAGCTGCGTCACAACATTTATCAAAATTCAAACAAAGAGAGCTGCCACCAAATTGTGTGAAATATTAAAATATGAGTTGAAAACATTCAAAGAAGGTATAAATAAAAAAAACAAGTACAAAACGAAGGCACAGATGGACAAACTTGAAGAAGATTAAAACGGATTACATTTGAGTTTTTTGAAAACTTGTTAGCCTAACAGGTTTTCAAAGTTCATTTTTGTTGTTTGTAGCGTTTGATATAATGCTCAGGGAGAGTTGTTGTTTGATAAGCAGCTGTGATGTTGTCATTTATTGAGTAAATTCCTCTTTAACGTTAAATTCCTTAACGAATAAAGACGCGTTATGGGCAATGTTAACCCAATGAACTAGACAGTCATTAATGAACAGCTACATTTTTAGCGGTTCCGACTTAAGGTGACTAACTTTCATGTTTGCAACCCAAACCAAATCATACATAGTTCGGTAGTTATGCTTCAGCAAAGATAAGCCTCTTTGGACTTGCTACATACTAATTTGGATTTCCTGCATACTAATTTTTGACTTCCTCCATACCAATAAGGATACTATATTTCCTGCAAAAGAATGACTGATTGAATAATTGTAACTTTCTGTTGAATTTCCGTTTCATGTTTCTCAAAACAGCTTTATTTAATAGCAAATTATATATAAAAATAAATATAAGGATCTCTGGCCACAACAGAATACACTCACTTGAAACATTGCCCCGATTTAACCTGTTTATTTTACCAATATCGTTACATCCAGTTGAGGCAAAGCAAATTAAAGCTTCTAAATTATACGCAATTCGTCAACATGGCGACATATTCAATGTTTTAAAAAACCTTTCTCTCATGAAAAAAGGAAAATGTCAATGTTATGACGGTTAAGTGCCTTGGTCTATTGTTGATACTCGTAACCTCAGAACAGTCCAATACACCTTCCAAAGAAGTCAGGTCAAGCGTACACCATAGATTCTTTTCGTTAATTGATGACATATTTAATGAATTAATTATATGAAAGCTGAATCTGTTAGCCGTTGCCGTTGCCGTTACTTACTGATTGTATAATGAAGAGCAATTTAGACTACGGTCAGATTTAAAGATCTTTCAGACTTTGAATGGATAAAATATTGTCCTGTGAGGACATTTTATTGAGTTCAAAAAGAAAGCTGAACTCCATTCGTAAAAAGCATTCGCAAGGAATTTAGATCGCTCATTGCGTATGAAAATATAAAGAAATGAATCTGATATTGGCAACGTAGCTTGATTGTAATGATTACAAATATATACCCAACATGACGCAGGGCGTTCTGGAAAGGACAGCTAATGTTTTTTTCGTTACAGAAAAACTTAGAATTCTCATTTTCCACTAAAGTAGTCCATCTATTGATCGCACAGATTTTGAATTCAAAGAAAAAAGTTCTGTAAATCCAGCAGATTAAAGCCATCTTTAGGCACCGGTTCCTCAATCTCAATCTGTCTAGATATAGCTGACAGACAAATAACTATTCAAAGTTCCTTGTTCAATTCTTGGCTGGGACCGAATTCATCCTTTTTTATAGAAACGTTTTTTAGTGTTACTTCACTAGTGTAGCCCCAACAGAGGCTTCACAAAACTGAGTCAGCTGAGTACTGTAGCCAGTTAATCCTTTTAAGCCCCCTAAGGAAAAACGAAACCAGCTCTCTTAAATTTCCTAAGGATGCTAATATGCTTATGTTTATTACCTGTTTTAAAAATAATAAATTTACATTCACGTATTTCGTTCGAATCGCTCCAACTTCCTTAGCCATTTAAGCAGATCATTTTCACCAGCAGTTTTGTTCTGGCGTAGTGCCTTCCCTATTCAGGGAGGGTTTACTTTGTTTAATTACCAATGGCATCCTGAACTTGACACTTGATGGTGTGGTCTTCATTGATCAGAACTTTTACGTCGTTTGAGTTGATGTTTCGTCCCAAATTGCCTGGTAGTGAGCGAACACGGCAGAAGATTCCTGGGATTGGTATTCTCGGATATATGTAACAGCGATTCGAGCGTAATAGTGGAACTTAACATTTAATATTTGCTCTGACTTTTGAAATTTTCTCAACGACAATGTCTTCGCCAGGACAGAAGACCAACATTTTCACAAATATTTTAACAACATGCCCAAATCTGATAACTCAGGGATCTATAAGTTTAGTTAATAGGGAGTTTAAGCTTCACGTGTTGTGTTGAAATAATGAACAGTAAACGATAAGTAAAGGGCAAAACTTGGTCATGTGGTACAAATTCGCCTTTTCCGTTTGACGTAAAGGTGATGCTTAACCTCTCTAATAATGCATTGTTGATACCCTAACCCTGTCAGTGATCAGTCCAATATACCTTAGTGTCGGAAAAGCACTCAGAGGCTTTTTTTTTAATGACTGAGCAAATTTTGTTCCGTTCTTGATTAAAAAAAGACGCCTTTTCTCACTAACGTTCTCCATTCTTTCGTCGCACAGATTTGTAATGCAAAGAAAAATCTTCTGCAAATCCCGCAGAGTCAAGCTTTTCAGGTTTTATTGGTTTCAATCACTGATCAGAGCCATCTTGAGGTACCGGTTCTCCGTTTGTATGTAAGACTTGTATTCCCCATTGCCGTTACCATCCTGCTCTACATAGCAGCATAAAGACAAATAACTAAAGTTTCTGATTAAAATTGTTGGCTGGGACTGTTTTGCAGTGTAGGCCATGAGGTACATTAAAAACTTCCCGTCAGCGTGATTTCCCTTGCCTCGAACAAGAGTTTTGTCTACCAGTAAGGAAGTTCTTATTGGAATTACTGCGTAAGTAAGTATACATCGACTCTGGTATTATTTGAGCTCTGTTAGTTAAACACTCTACTGATCCAAAAGTTCAGTTCATGCTTTCAACACTTTAGTTAATGACGACTGTAGCATGGATTCAGTAATGTCGTGTTTCGCTTTTCTTTCTTAGCCCGAGTGTGCCACTCAGTACTATCCTACAGTAAATTAGCTGCAACCAAACAAGATCTTCCACTATTGGACCATATCGAAAAAGCCGTTTAAATTAAAAGTAATTGAGAAACGAAAATATACCTGAAGATAAAATATACTCATAGCTCGCTGTTTTGTTGAGGGGGCCAATTTATGCATGGCGATAATTCAATCATTATTTATTGTTCGGTAGAAGCTTTTAACGACTAAGCGGATACAAACCAATGCCCGTACGCCCGAGTGTACGTGTCATTGCATATTTTAAAAACTGCGAGAAACTGCTAAGCTGATGTATTGCGTGCACCGCTTGCTGCCTTGTTTTGTAACCAAGGAGAGATTTCAGTAAACAGACCCCTCCTTCCCTTTGCGCATGTCAGTAAACAGACCCTTCGTCCTATTGCGCATGTCTTTTTCAAGAAGGAACTTTTCAGGTCGTACTGACCAATGGAGAGGAAGTGTGGAAGATGTTGGTTAGAAGATGCGATTAAGGTTGTGATTCAGTGAGAACCAATTTTTTATTATTGAATAGTAGTGCATAGTAGGTGTGTAGCATGAAAGGGAAATAATGCTTTTAGGTCCACAAACAACAGAGACCATTTCTTCGTTACTTAGTGACTTATATTTGTAAATGGAAGACGGCGCTAAGCATAGCCAAAATAAGAGTAGCTAAATTCACTTACACTGTTCAGACCATTAACAAGATGACACACTTGCCAGTTCTAACTTCTTGTTTTTATTGTCCTCCTTAACACCATGTTTCCTTACAGTTACGCAAAGTTAACTGTACAGTCTAACCTCTCCTTACGGACACCTTTCTATTACGGACAGATCGTTTGGTTCCAGAAATGCAAAAAATCATACATTCCCTACTTCTATAATACGGACACCTCTGTAAAGCGGACACTTGGTTCTGTCCCTTTGGCTGCCTGGCTCCGCTAGTCCCCATGGTTATTCCAGGCAGCCAGTACTCTAATTTTTACTTTTAATATTTTCATTGTTGTAATTCATTTTTGAGCAAGAGTGAGTACAAAGAAAGCTTGTTGTTATTGTTTTTGTTGTTGTTGTATTAAAGAGGTTTGACTGTACTAAAATATTCCATTTACCAAACACACATGAGATTAAATACATGAAATGCCCACAAATCTAAAAATAATTTATCTGTCAAACTGAAATCTCTGACACTGCTTATCACTTGTTTCCGAATCAAGAACAATGACTTGCGTAACTACGTGAAGTTTGGCCACGATTTTGCTTTTGATTGGCCGAGAAAATCGCGCAAGATTTTTTAGCCAATCAGATAAAGAATAAAGTAGCTACATTTACTTCGACAGTCTGTACAGAAAATGCTATTAAATATATCCTTATTTTCAATGTTATTCTTGTTGTTGTTGTTGTTTTTTTTACTGACGTTTGTCTTGTCTTCCGCTTTAAATAAAAATAATAAATACTGAACGTAGATAAATACTGTTGATATTCTTATTTACTGGCCATAATAAAACATATACTGCAAAACATGCGTTAAAAAATACTTAAGTTAGAAAAGAGTAGCAGATATTTTAAAGCAGAAAGAGTGTCGCTTATTTAGACCCAAGAGCATCCTTTTTGCTTGCCCCGTGCTTGCACACCTTCTTTCCCCGTATCATGACCTCATGTAGAGCGTACAGTTCCACTATGGAGTAGGCCATCAGCACAAACGGCGATACGATCCAATGGTAAAGATTTCTAACAAAAGAGATCCTCTCCTTTACTCTCGGTTCCGTCAGCCTGACTGTGACTCGATCCAACAAGAAGATCAAGGCAAAGACAGCGTAGTTGAACACAAGGAAAGCTAACATTCCCCACTCAAGGATGACTGGAACCTCCAGAAACAGAAAGTTAACGGAGATCGCCAACGTAACGCTGTAGAGTGACGAGCAACACAGGATAATACCTGTAAAAGGAATGGACAGAATTAAGCAAATTTATTAGAATCGCTCCAAATGTGTGATATCAGTTATATTCTCAAGATAAAACCCTGTATGGCGGCTTATTCCTTAGAATCGAGAACGGGACAAAGAGAGTCACGTGACGAGTTGTCCCATTACATTGTCCTATTAATGCTGAAATCGTTTGTCACGTATTCATTTTTCCCCCACGGGGAGAACTGAATGCGTGACAAACGAACCCCAAAGGACGTCTGCGGGGAGGCTACTGAAATCGGGGCTACCGATAGCCAATCAAATTGGAGAATTTTGTTAAAGTGATGATGACGATAATAAATAAAGACAAGTAACTACCATAATAGATGATGAAAGTGATTCCCCAGGACAAGGCAGTAAAGAATGGAATATTGTTCGATTTGACCATGAAGTAGTGAAACACCTCAGCAGCTCCAATGGTCCATCTTCGCGCCTGTCGTGCCCATTCCTCCAACTCCTCCTCAATCACCCTTCCAGATGTTGGACCAGAAAGAGTGGGTACGGGAACCATTACAATGCGAAGCCGTCTCTTGCAGACTCCCATCCACCTGTGACGTCATCAGACAAAAGGAAAAAGACAGATCAATATCAGTACCGTAAATTGACCCCTCCTTGCTAAAAATCTAACTTTGAGACGTGCAATATATTTATCTTTGAGATCGACTCTCTAATCTCCACAGAATCAACAAACCCTTTCCGTTCAACTAAATTGTTCCTGCTTTTCATATTGCCATGTTCATAATAATCACACAGGTCTGCCTTTCGATATTTGAACCACACTATCTACAATCCGTTGATTCTCCCGCAATGGTGGTAAATTGCCCTTTTCGACTCTAGGGATTGTATGTTTGCTTCGCCATAGCGGCTCTCAATGGATGGAGTGAAGAAACGAGTCATATTAAGTATTTAACTACTGTGGACAAGTTTCAGGAGAAAAATGATGCATTTGGTTTAAGAGATGAGGAATATTTGTAGAAAGTACGATTCTTATTTTATTTAGTAGTACTTCATCTTACCTAATAAGACCGATAATATCATCCATCTGGTATCCTGGGTGGATATACTGTCCAGCAATGCACAGAGAGGCTGAGAAGCTGTATATGCTCATAGTGTTGACATTAAATGGAATCATGGCTCCCATCATGAGGAATGCACGCAACATGCCAGTCAATCTGGTAACAACAGATGCTGCATCTAAATTCCAGTTATAGAGTAGTGGTGACTGGAACAAGCAGTTTACCATCTTTCTATCATCGTGGTCTTTTGTTCTCATAAATTCTCGCTCGTATTTGTACTCCAGCGCCTCCATGTATCGAGGATGAAATTTGGAGTCCGCATCGCATGTCGTTATTAGGATCCTATCTGGATCAAAGTGACTGCCAGCCTTTCTCTTCATGTGTGCTATACTTGTCCTAATGCCACAGTTGCTGTTGGAACACTTTCCGGGGATCTCTCCTTCCATGCCAAAGGGGTGCGTAACAAAAATAAGTTCACGGAATTGTGATTCGAAGAGTTTTGCCAAATCCTGCTGTTTGTTGCACAGGTTCGGAGTTTTTTCCTCGAATGACACCACCATGGTTACTCTGGAAGCAATAGTTTGATTGGCCAGAGTTTGAACTGAAGCAGCAATCAAATCCACGGGCTCCTTATAACAAGCTAAGACTGCTACGTGTTGGATCGGTGTCTTCTCAGCTGTTTGTGCTTCAGGATCCTTGCTACGTTTCTTCGTCAACTCTTCGCACTTGGATTTGAAGTCCGTCTTTCTGTTCCAAAACATGACACCTGTAGTTCTTATGGCGAACAAGCAGACGCACATCCAGAATACGATAAAGGCCCCCTGAATGCTTGGAAGGAGAAAAAGTGAAATCTCTTGGGAGACGAAAGGTAACCAGATAGGAAGAGGAACAAGGATCCACAAGATGAGATTAAAGATCAGATTCCAACGGAAGAGCTGCCTTCCTGTCTTGAGGTTAACGGTTTCTCCTAATTCAACGTCCCCACCATAGCAGACATTTGCAGTTGGAATGTGTTTGTCCACATTCCTTGTAGTTTCCATATTAGTAGTTTTCTCTGGCTCAGCAGTTGGATTTGAATTAGGCCTACTGTAGACAGTAGCGTAAGACTGCAATGGGGCAGCCGATGCTGTTCTGGCGAAAGGGGATTCACTTTGTGCTCTTTCATCGTTTAAAGAATGTAGTGGTACTAAAAAGAAATTCGTTCACTGTAAGCTCTTGGATGTAGCTAATTTGCCTCATGTAACTCAAAAACTCAGGTGAGACTTCAAGCCCCCTGGGACTTCAAGATGCTAATTTAGACTGTTAAACAAATTATTAGTAATTATCAAACTTTGCAAACACAGCTGTCACATTAGCGTTTTCAGAGCGGACTTATAATGATATTTGTGTCTTACCGGCGGAGTGTGCGGTGTTAGAAACAGAGCTCGAATCGTGAAGAATTTCCAAACTGTCGACTGATATTGCGTAATTCAGCAGCCCAACAGGAGAAGTACCACACACATTTTCATCACTTGGAGGCATTGTTGATTCTAACATCGGGACAAGGAAGGTGATTAATAAAAATATCACTGTGTAGTTCTCGCCTTTTCCCACCCTAATATTCGAATTGGTGATCTAATCAAGTGTCTTCTTCGGTCAAAACCGACATCTCCGATCTGAACGGTGTGTTTTGTTTAAAAAAAATGATTGTTAAAGCAAAGAATAGTAGATATTACACCTGGCGTAAGTTCAAGCTTGCGCCTGTTTGCAGATGATGAGCAAGGTTTACAGAATTATTTAAGATGAAAACGACGAGAAACAACTTCAATGTGACCTCAACACCCTACAGAAATGGAGTAAAAATTGGCAACTTCGTTTTCACCCTGACAAATGTGGGGCTCTACGTGTTACCCGTGCGAGAGATCATACTATGTAGCTCTCCATACAAGCTCTCTGGTTGTACGCTTCAGTCTGTCACCGAAACGGTTGATTTGGGGGTCTCATTGACTTCTAATCTATCCTAGAACACCCAAACGCAGAAAGTTATAAATAAAGCCAACAACATTGTGGGTTTCCTTAAAAAGAATGTTGGGCCAGGGAAAAGGAAGTATTTTCTCGTCTCTACAAGGCCTTGTTCATACTCATTCTGGAATATGCTGTCCCTCTCTGGTCACCCTAGTTGAAGAAGAACATTGACGCTCTTGAACGAGTTCAACGTAGGGCCTCGAAATACGCTCTCCCGATGTTATCTAGGGACTCTTCGTACGAAGAAAGACTGGCAATGCTTGGGTTGTCCAGTCTTCAATCAAGGAGGTCCCATCTATCTTTGCTAGAGTGCTACAAGCATATTGATGGTCTAATGGCCTCAACTGTAATGATTATTTTGAATTTAATTGTTATGGTAAAACAAGATCAAACCATTTATTTAAATTAAGACAGCCATTAGCTAGGGTAAATTTTTTTTTTCAGTCATTCTCTGCCCGGTTCAAACGTCGAACTTTACGTGTGCCGAACCTAATACCTAGTATTTAGGTTGACCCAAACTATTAAGTTCGATTGTTGATTCAGACGGTCGAACTTTACATGTGCCGAACCTTATTCGTGGCGAAAAGAAATATCATCCTTACTGCTTAAAACAGGGAAATAAACTGAAAAAAGTATAATTCACCAAGCCTGGAATTTCTTGTTTTCATTTTAGTGTGATTTGTGTTCTGTTATGGCAAGGAGACACTGAGATCGTGATCGTGAGATTTGGACAAAATAAAGTAACGCCATAAATATTAAAATACATTACGATTTCTTTACGGATATAAAGAAAAGCAACATTTTAGAACACCGTTTTAAGCTGTCCAGTTTCGGTGAATGCTGGTAACCGTCGTTACGCGTCTTTTATGTATCCTTACATAATAGGGCCATTTATACGAGGAAAAATAAGACACGTCTTAAATAAGACGCGAACTTTCCGTATAAACGGCACATTTCGTCTAAAATAAGACGCGGCTTAGCTAAGACGCGTCTTATTAGATAAGACATGCTCGTATAAATGGTACAGTTCGCGTCTTATGTAAGACGCGTCTTATTTTTCCTCGTATAAATGGCCCTAATAAGTATTTGATTAATTAATCGAATTAAGCTAGACTACTTGCGGGCGTACGTGGGTACAGGTTGTGAAGCCACTGATTGCCAGAAAAAAAGTGGTTGGTTATTCTTTCTCGTTATCTGTTATTAACGTTAAATTCCGATCTTACCAGACTTAAGTATTTCTTCAACACTTTCTTCCGTTGACATGGCTTTACTAAGCCGCAGATCTGAAGGACGGGCGCCGCTATATCCTGTTTCATCAATTGGAGGCATATTGTAAGGTACAGCTTGAGTTTCTCTGATAAAAACCTGAGGAGATTAATGAACACCACTTGTATTTCTCTCTGGTCTACTGCGTCTATTGTTAGAGTAAGAAATAGTTTTAGGTGAAAGTCGGAAGCTCTCGGAGTTGAAAGTATTGTACATAGGTTAACCGCTCTCTTTTTCTTGAAAATTTCCCTAAAAAGTATAATGTATTTTCATTTATGATTAAAATGATTTGTGGGTCGAAAGAAAATGAAGTTGAACTTGAACTGACAATTGAGAAAGACACCTGTATATATCATCCTAAATAACTTCCTATATTCTTTTCGATTCTCTGATTTTGTGCTCATTGATATTTGGGTTAAGGACCGAATATTCACACGGTAATCGTTCATAAGAGACACATCACTATATCTCTTTAAGAAAACTGGGAACAGGGTAAGGTAAGGGATAAACTGACTGAGGAGAGACAGGCTCCGTAATAACGTTTAGACCTGAGTTAATCTTACCACCTAATTTGTTCAGACATCCCGAATGACTCGTTAGCTATCAAAATTTGTTTCTACCAATATTAGAGCACCGGAGACACATCACTGCATCTCCGGCTCCAGAAAGGACTAGGTGTAGGAGATACACGGTTCTGCAATAACGCCGTTTAGACCTGAGTAATTCGCTAATCTACTGGCCCAAATTGTTCAATCCTGATCCCGAATGACCCATTAGCTTCTTTAATATCAAAACCTCATTGTATCTACTACAAAACCAACTCTCCATAAAAATGCCAAAGCAAATAATTGATTGCTTGTCAAATACTTTAAGTGTTCAACTTTAAGTGTTCAACTCACCTACTTGAGGAAGGCAGCGGGACCTCTGGAAACAGCCGCAGACAAAACATAGCTCCAGTGAAAGTTGCATCCGCTTTTAAACATGCAGTCTGAGAGCAAATATTCCACTTTTTTGTTTCCAAAGATGGATTTCTTCTTACGTAAACGTTTGATTCCGTGTTGAACACGTGGAAAAGTAAACTTTAGACATCTCAAAAGTATCATGTTTACTTCTTGACGGCCGGAATTACGTTTGTGTTACTAGGCTATCAGTTAGTACTGTTCATTTTATGTTACCCAATTATGACTCCGCATAATTATTTTAAGGCTTCTCGCCTTAATGTCCCCTGCGATTTTTCGTCAGTTTTTTTTTTACTTTATAGTGCTAAATACCACCACGTATATATCAAATTAGCAGTATTTTTTATATTTGTGCCTTTGCTTTAACATTTTAAAATAGTTAAAACAAAAAAACAAAGCAGATGAACACTTAAATAAAGGATAAGATAATATAACATAACATTTTATAGAAAAAACAGAAAAGTTGTTTTGGAGATAAAATGCAGAATTTACGAATATCAAAAAGAGATTCATTTCATGAACCATGAGATAGTAATCATAATATTGTAATATTCACTAGCCCCGCGGGAGAAGAGTTCTTGTTGGCGAATTCTAGTGAGTTCTTATAGGGGCAAATAACAAGTACCTTGTCTTGAAGCGTGACTTGATCTAAGATCTCCTACTCACACGTTTTATTGCAATCTTTTAAACGTTCGTGCCCTGTGCACAATTCTGGAATTCTCTCCTCAGCCAGTTAACTTTCGATCGTGCCTCGTGCAGTATTTGAACTTTCTCTTTCATTTTACAGACAGTGAGTGTGTTGTTGCCGGCAAAACGGTCAAATCAGCTACTAACTCAGTACACAACGTCCTTGTTCATGACCGGTTGAGGGTTTATAACACTTGTATCGCCTTTCGATAAATGCAAGTCAGTGACGCATCTTTTGGTTGCAGCGTTTATGTAAACCATCTTTGATTCTTTGAAATGTTGCTAAGGCTTTGCAAAACGACAAAAATCTTTCTATATAAATAATGTTAAAAAAAACAATTCCAAACGCGCTTTAACTCGTGTCTTTCGATGTCAATTTTGTTTACTAATAGTCACGTCAATATTGGGGTCGCCTTGCAGTTTGGTTAGAGCTAGGCTAGGTTAGCTTATTTTAGTAAAATGTCCCAAATATGGTCTGAACATTTCACTGGAAATTATAAACAAAACCAGTTTAAATAATTTAACTTTCGCTGTCTTTAGATCTTTTAAATATTTTGATGAACGTTTCTCCCACGTAGACAGACAGAAAACACTAGTACAGTAGTCGGTGTTTTAGTTGATATACGTGACACTAGCGATTGCGTCGTGCAGTGCCTCACCCCACCTAACACAAATATTGCTCTGTCATTGTCACTGGGACGCCGTCTTTTGAGATCTTTTGACCTCGCTACCGAACCGCTCATGACATCATCAGAAATGCAGTCATATCAATACTAACCTCAAAACACGATTTGGGCCAAAAAAAAAAATTGGCCGTCGGATGACCGTATTGACGAAGGTTTTTTTTTACAAGAAAATGTATGGCTGTTTTGCCGTGCGGCCAAAAAAAATGGCCGTAATAACGAGGTGACCTCATTACCGAGCTGGCCAGGCCGTAAGGCGGGGTTCCACTCTACAATATCGTTGATGGTGGTAGGGGTGGGGGGACCTTATCGGAGACCAAAACACAAAATGAAAACATATGTTATTTATGTAACATAAAAACAAAGACATAAAAAACTAAAGTAACAACAACAAATTTTACATCTACGATTAAAATAGTTACAAATAAAACACCATGTGTGTAAAAATATATTATATATCATATATTTTAGTTACTAAAATATTAGTAATAATAATTTAGTAACTAAAATATTTTAGTTACTAAAATATTAGTAACTAAAATATATGATAGAAAATCCGTTTAAATATATTTTACATTCAAAATTAACTTCGGAAGTTCAAATATCTTCGCTGACCAATAATTCATAGCATTTATCTGTACAAATTTCTTTTCTCAAACACGGTTAAATAATCAACGACAACATGCATTGCATTATTGTCCAAGCCGGAATGAGGTCAAGATCACGCTGTACCATTTCCCCATAACATTTTCACCGAGACCACGGCACTCGACCACGCTCGGTCAATAAAAAAGTATGGGAACATGGAAAGCTATTTTGAGCTGGCAAGATAGGCTGGGGATTGCTTGGAAAGTAACTATTCAAACAATTAAAATATATTTATAAAGTACTTTAAAATAAATCGAAATAAACAACAATATTACGTTTCTAGATAAGTGACTGTCAATATAATTGAGTATTTTTAAATGCTATATTTTTTGTCTCGTAAATTGCTCAAATGTTTTCCTAAGATCTTACTGAATACCATCACTTGAAAGGAGTTTTGCAACTGCTAAATTTCGCGAAATTCCACTAATGGATGTTCCTAAGGCTACTCATAACTTGCGAAATCACCTAGATACGGCTAAAATTGTAGACTGTCGGCTTTGCCTCCAAAACTAGACTTCTTATTAGATGTCTCAATAAGGAATTTCCCCGAAATTAACCACACTAACATCAGCTCAGTTACCTGCCCAATATTTAAAGTGAAATGTTTTTATTTAATTCGAGATAAACAACAATACAGCATCGTAAAAAATTGCCTAGAGTTTTAGTGTTGCACGGAAACTCCTAACACTTGATATTAACAAATTACTTGAAACAAATGGCTAGATGTCCTCAACATCTCTAAAATGTCATCATTTCAAAAGATTCTTGCCATTGTCAATAATCAGTGGATTGTTAGAACTTGTCAAGGTAAAAAACTTGTTCTTTTTTAGAAATGCCGTCACCCAACTCCTTTTATTTCTGTAACAAAAAATATTTACCGATATTTACAACGAAAAATATCTATAAAAAAATTTCCGTTGTGTCCAACCCGCCTCAATTAGTATTTCTGCTATTTTCGGGTCTTCACTTCCTGCAATATTATTTGCTGATGGAAATAAAAGTTGGTGACCGCGTTGTTATTACTTTTTACCGAGAGTAAATGGAAAATTTTTAACCTTAGTAAGAATTTATAAGCGGTCCTGTCGTCGCGTAGTAAAATAACCAGAAGAATCTTGTCATTACTAAAGGAAATGAGAAATGAAGTGATGTAGTTCACTTTTAAGAAAGGTTTTGTTTCCCGGCCGCCGAATAAAATAATACGTATCGGCAGGTTTGATATTGCAACAAATCAGTCAAATTTTAATTATAGCCAGCAATTCGTGTAAATACTAAAAACTCATTTGTCCCTTTACGCCATGGTAGCATTTTTTAACAAAGGAATATTTAAAACGAAATTATACAACAAAATATGCGAGCAGGATATGACTTTCTCTTGAAACAAGCTAAAAGTCATGTGAAATGAAACACTTTCCTTTCAACAACAACATGTATTTTCCATTCTTTTGAGTGTACTGTGTACCACCAAAAAATGTGTTTTTTATTAAACTTTCCGAAATTTCTATAATGGTCTATAATCATGATATATATAAATGCTTCCAACAGAGGTTCTTGCAGTAGAAGAATACAAAAAAATAAATGATTTCTTTCTCCACTTTTTCAAATGATGAAAACATATAATGTTTTCTTGGGTTAACATGAGTAGCCTATCAGGTCAACCTAAAAGGGTTTAGACACGGCAATATTGAAATGGCCGGTCACCCGATTTAAAACAACTTCTTTTATAGTCAAAAGTTGAATTATAGATGCTCTTTTGGTACAGCTCTGCATTCATTTAATATGTCCCTTGGAATTCTGATCGGAGCCAAGTTGGTCAGATTGAAACCATTTGGTTTACTGGGATCCACTGCTTCATGTTTCCACTCATATGAATCGACATCATAAACCTTCAATGAGCAGTTCTGGGTCAAATGTCTGCGCCACCAGCCAAGCACAAGCAAGTCTCCTTTAAAGCTGACAACACCAAATGGCCATGTTGGGATTCCTGTGCTCTCAATACCGGTCCACGTGTTCGAGTCGGGATCGTACATTTCAATAAGACTTGAACATGAATCGAATTGCCGACTTTTAAATCCACCAAAGACGTAGACTTTGCCTCTGAAAATTGCACCAAAGGAATGGTCTTTCTTTTCCAGCGTCCTGGCATGTTTATGCCAGGAATTTCTGTGAGGGTCATAGCTCTCCACTACATCTAAGCGTTCATTATTGGACTCACCTCCTATTGCATATAAAGAGTTTCTATCAGCCACTGCATATATAGCAGATCTGCCAACTCTTAAGGAAGCTAACACTTGCCAATTTTTTATTTTATTTTTATTTTATTTTATTTATTTAGTCACTCACAAAACCTTACACAACATGACCAAAAGTGTTAATTAAATTACAAAATTAATGTGACAAGGAAGCCTAACGAAGCTTGAAGCTTATATTAATAGGCTTCCTTCAACTACTTAGTGAACTGAGTTCATGGCTGAGTGCAGAGTGAGCAAGATCAGAAAATTAAACGACAGATCGACTATCAGTGAGATAATTCTTTAAATTTTTTTTAAAAACAGATATAGAAGGAGAGCTAATTAGTGAAACAGGCAACGAATTCCAGATTTTAGGTCCTCGGTAAAGGATGCTGAATTGCTTTTTATTATATGGAGGGGAGTGTTTTACTGGGAACTAAACCACTCGTAGATTCCATACGCCACTTCATCCGGGATCCGAGTGGCGTATTTTCCGTATGTCACCTTTGTGAGTGTCGTATCGTTCAATGACGTCACGATTCCCGCCTTTTGCTTTTGTTGAATTGGTTTCTCCACATAATAAAAAGAACATTACACGTTGGCTCGAAGATATGAATTTTATGTTCTCGTGGCAAGAACAATATCTCACGAGTGAGCGAAGCGAACGGAGAATTGGATACTGAAATAAAATTTATATTTGTTCTGTAAAAATATTTGTTCTAAAATGAGGTCTATATTGGCTAGTCGAGTTTCGTATTGATGGACTTGATTACTACTTAAGAACAAGTCATGAAAGCTATTAGGCAAAAGATTATGGTGATAAGAATACATAAAGGTAGCGACAGAAAATGAATTAATACTAAATATGTCAAGGACTTTAAGCTGGCTAAATAAAGGGGCAGTATTTGCTAGATAGTGAGTTTTTGTTATGAGTCGCACTAGACGCTTTTGCAAAAAGTAAATACAGTTTAGGTTGGAAGAGTAGGTGGAGGACCAGGCGACATTACAGTTTGTTAGGAAAGGATATACAAGGGAGTAATACAAGGTCATCAAAGTTTGGGATGATAGGTAAATGCGGGCTTTCGCAATAATTCCCACACTTTTTCGAAATTTTTTTTGAGACGAAATCAATATGTGGTTTCCAAGAGAGATGCTGATCAATGAGAACACCTAAAAATTTTGTGTCCGTGACTTGCTTGATCACGGTATTTTCCAGAGTAAGATTGTACATTGACTTTCTTTTGCCTTGGATAAAAAATCATAAAATTTGTTTTAGTCAGATTTAGAGATAACTTATTCACTTTAAGCCAAATAATTATTTTTGCAAGTTCATTGTTAACAATAGAAACGAGGTGATTGGCATCTTTATGGGAACAAAAGAATCTTGTGTCATCAGCAAACAGTATAAAGATTGAGTGAGACTAGAGACATTAGGAAGATCATTAATGTAAATAATAAACAAAAGAGGTCCAAGAATTAAGCCCTGCGGGACGCCACATAAAATTTTCCGCGGATAAGATCGATGGGACCCAAACTGGACAAATTGAGTCCGATCTTCAAGATAGCTTTTGATCCACGCCAAAGCAGTATCCCGAATACCATAGTGTTGCAGTTTTTGACACAATATTTCATGATTAATAGTATCAAACGCCTTAGAAAGCTCTAAGAAGATGCCTAAAGTTGTTTCATTTCTGTCGATAGCTGAAGATGTGTGGTTGATCAAGTCAATTAACGCTAATGCAGTCGAACGATTATTACGGAATCCAAATTGTTTCGAGTATAAAATATTATGCAAATTTAAGAAATTAATCAGTCGGTTGTACATGACTTTTTCAAAGAGTTTAGAAAAGGCTGGAAGAATTGATATTGGCCTGTAATTACTAAAAAGTGTTGGGTCATATGCCTTAAAAACTGGAATCACTTTGGCTATTTTGAGAGATTCAGGAAACACACCAGTAGACAACGAGGTGTTTATAATGGTTACAAGAGGCTGCGCAATATTTTGGAAAGACTGATGAATTATCTTCATGGATATATTATCATGTCCAGGAGCTTTGTTGGCGTTGAACGACTTAACAATATTGTTTAATTCACAGACCGTTGCGACTCAGCGATTGGTTGCAATGGGGTTCCAAAAATGGATTGTGTTCATCTGCCAACGAGCTCCAGCAAAACTCAAACGCTTCTTCTCGAGAACAGTATATTCTACAAATATTGAAGATTCTTCGCGTTTACATTTGACCTTTGTGGCCTTTTGTCTTTTGTCTGTCATTCGTAAACAATAGCTAAAACAATGTAACTACTCCGTCGACCAATCAGCGCTTCTGACCGGATTCTGGACAGATTTTACGTCATCAGTATGGAATTTCTGTCGCTGAGTCGCAGACGTTCCTCCGCGCGAAACGTCCCCAGCGGCGAAGAGCGAGGAGAAACGGATGTTTTCGCAGGCTACGACCGTTATTGGTTGCAATGAAATGGATTCGGAAAGAGCGCTGCTTAAGAAATCCTTGGGTGACGAATTTGTGGAAGGAATTTTGCTTGCCAAATTTGGCCCTATATTGGTGAATAAATCACAGAATTTATTGGCAATGTCAGTAGGATTGCTAATGTTCATTTCATTTTTGGTGAAGCTTGCAGGATACGGCGATTTAGCGACACGCCTGTTGATCACTTCATTAAGAATTTTCCATGTTTCGATGTTTCTGTGTCAGGACTGTATTTATAGACACGATTACTTCCTTTCTCCTTGTTCCTTTGCTGCTCCTTTTCCCCGCCAATTACAAACAGAGATCCTTGAAAGTTAATGACTGCAGGCAAAATGCAAGCAATTGCACTAGTGTAAGAATTCAAACGTGTCCACGAGTTTCTGGATGGATTATATTCCTCTATTGTAGATTGATGAGGATTAAAAGTTCCCCCAGTGACATAAAGTTTGCCATCACAGGCAGCCATATGAAAAGGAAACAATTTTGGACTCAGGTAGTTTGCCATCTCATACCATCTGTTCTCGGTAGGGACATAACCGTAGAGTTTCTCCTTTCCACAACTAACAAGGCAATCTTCAAACTTCTTTAGACAAATTCTTGGTGGCTGAGCAAAATAGCATTCTTCTGTTCCAGTGGAGACGTCTTGTCATCTTGTCTAGTCAGGGGATCTCATCTCGTGACATATGTTGTCAAGCCTTTGCAATCTCTTTCTGAACCAAGAGAAATCTTGTCTGAACTGACCATTATTTACTTTGTTTAAAAAAAGGTTATTAAAAAAGATGACGCATTTGTCAGGTCTCGCTTTTATTGCCCTCCTCAACACTTTTTTACCTTACAATTCCGCTTATAAATTAATACTTAATATATTTACATTTCCAAAAAATATATTAAATTAAATACACTAAATTCCGTCAAGTCTGAAATAAAATTAATTCATTAACTAGGAAATATTCAAGCCTGCTTATCGTTTAATTCCATTGACACGAACAATAGCTCGTGCAACCGCGTGATGATTGGCTACGATCTTGCTTTTGATTTGCCGACAAAATGGCACAAGATTTTTTTTTAGCCAATTATATGAGTACGAATAAAATAGGTACATTTACTTCGATGCTAAAAATGCTATGAAACGTGTTATTGGTTGCAAAGTTGTTATTTTACGTTTGTCTGCTGTAATTAACAATAAATATTGCGTAGATAAATACTCTTGATAAACCTATTTACTGACCATGAAAAAACTTGTAGTGCGAAAATATGCGTCAAAAAATACTTAAATTCGGGAGGAGAAGCATGAAAGTTTAAAATAGGAAATTGTTGTTTATTTAGAACCAAGAGCATCCTTTTTGCTTGCCCCGTGCTTGCACACCTTCTTTCCTCGTATCATGACCTCATGTAGGGCGTACAGTTCCACTATGGAGTAGGCCATCAGCACAAACGGTGATACGATCCATTGGTAAAGATTTCTAACAAAAGAGATCCTCTCCTTTACTCTCGGCTCCGTCAGCCTGACTGTGACTCGATCCAACAAGAAGATCAAGGCGAAGACAGCGTAGTTGAACACAAGGAAAGCTAACATTCCCCACTCAAGGATGACTGGAACCTCCACAAACAGAAAGTTCACGGAGATCGCCAACGTAACGCTGTAGAGTGACGAGCAACACAGGATAATACCTGTAAAAGGAATGGACAGAATTAAGCGAATTTATTAAAATCGCTCCAAATGTGGGATATCAGTTATAGTTTCAAAATAAAACCCTGTATGGCGGCTTATTCCGTAAGATCGAGAACGGGACAAAGAGAGTCAAAAGACGTGTTGTCCTATTACATTGTTAAACCTCGTGTAGGGTGTATTGTTATTAATGCTGAAATCAGGGCTACCGATAGCCAATCAAATTGGAGAATTTTGTTACCGTGAAGATGATGATTATAAATAAAGACAAGTAATTACCATAATAGATGATGAAAGTGATTCCCCAGGACAAGGCAGTAAAGAATGGAATATTGTTTGACTTGACCATGAAGTAGTGAAACACCTCAGCAGCTCCAATGGTCCATCTTCGCGCCTGTCGTGCCCATTCCTCCAACTCTTCCTCAATCACCCTTCCAGATGTTGGACCGGAAAGAGTGGGTACGGGAACCATTACAATGCGAAGACGTCTCTTGCAGACTCCCATCCACCTGTGACATCATCAGACAAAAAGGAAAAAGACAGCTCAATAACAGTACCATAAATTGACCCTTCCCTGCTAAAAATTTAACTTTGTGACCTGCAATAAAATTCATGTCTCAGATCGGTTCTCTAAATCTCCTCGGAATCAATAAACGCTTTTTATTCAACTAAATTATTCTTGTTTTTTATGTTACCAGTTCACACTATTAACTAGGATAGCTCCGCGGTCGCTCGATGTATGAACCACACTACCTACAATTCATTGGTTCGCTCGGTGTAAATTGCCTTTCTTGACTCAGTTGATAAATACTAGCCATGCTCACTCGGCCATAGCGATTCTCAATATAAAGAATATAGCAACACGAATCATGATATAAATGTACTACCGTGGATAAAGTTCAGGAAAAAAGTAATTGTTGTGTTCCTTAAGAGATTATACACGGGGTGTTCAAAGAGAGTGCAGTTCTCTTTTTTGTGTATGTACGTTACTTCATCTTACCTTATGAGAGCGATTATATCTTCCATCTGGTATGCAGGATGGATATACTGCCCAGCCATGCACAGAGAAGCTGAGAAGCTGTATATGCTCATAGTGTTGACATTAAATGGAATCATGGCTCCCATCATGAGGAATGCACGCAACATGCCAGTCAATCTGGTAACAACAGATGCTGCATCTAAATTCCAGTTATAGAGTAGTGGTGATTGGAACAAGCAGTTTACCATCCTTCTATCATCGTGATCTTTTGTTCTCATAAATTCTCGCTCATATTTGTACTCCAGCGCCTCCATGTATCGAGGATGAAATTTGGAGTCTGCATCGCCAGTTGTTATAAGGATCCTATCTGGATCAAAGTTACTGCCAGCCTTTCTCTTTATGTGTGCTATACTTGTCCTAATGCCACAGTTGCTGTTGGAACACTTTCCTGGGATCTCTCCTTCCACTCCAAAGGGGTGTGTAACAAAAATAAGTTCACGGAATCGTGATCCGAAGAGTTTTGCCAAATCCTGCTGTTTGCTGCCCAGGTTCGGAGTTTTTTCCTCGAATGACACCACCATGGTTACTCTGGAAGCAACAGTTTGATTGGCCAGAGTTTGAACTGAAGCAGCAATCAAATCTACAGGCTCCTTATAACAAGCCAAGACTGCTACGTGTTGGATAGGTGTCTCGGCCTCAGCTGTTTGTGCTTCAGGATCCTTGTTACATTTCTTCATCAACTCGGCGCACTTGGATTTGAAGTCCGTCTTTCTGTGCCAAAACATGACAGCTGTAGTTCTTATGGCGAACAAGCAGACGCAAATCCAGAATACGATAAAGGCCCCCTGAATGCTTGGAAGGAGAAACAGTGAAATGTCTTGGGAGACAAAAGGCAACCAGATAGGAAGAGGAACAAGGATCCACAAGATGAGATTAAAGATCAGATTCCAACGGAAGAGCTGCCTTCCTGTCTTGAGGTTAACGGTTTCTCCTAATTCAACGTCCCCACCATAGCAGACATTTGCAGTTGGAATGTGTTTGTCCACATTCCCTGTAGTTTCCATATTAGTAGTTTTCTCTGGCTCAGCAGTTGGATTTGAATTAGGCCTACTGTAGACAGTAGCGTAAGACTGCAATGAGGCAGCCGATGCTGTTCTGGCTAAAGGGGATTCACTTTGTGCTCTTTCATCGTTTAAAGAATGTAGTGGTACTAAAAAGAAATTCGTTCAACAATTACTTAATGCTTATTTGTGTCTGTCTAGGGTGCAATTACCGCTATATCATAATAAAGAGGAGGAGGGCAGTTTGATGAGTCCAAAAAATATCATGGACCACGGAGCAAGTTTCGAAGTGGGGGTGTTTGGGGAGGGGGCTAAGCTGAAACCAGCTGGAACTCCTTATCTACAAGCCTTAAAAAACTCACTAAGGAAAACATTAAGTCAAAGCAAATTACTTTTGATAGAAACAGAAGTTGTTAGTTTTACAGTCAAAAATCCTGAACAGTTTTTTCAGTAACATATGACGAAAGACGTGGCGTCAGTAGTCTCAAGTAAACCGACAGATTAAAACAAAAATTTGTTACGAAGTTTACAAAGAGGTTTTAAAACAAGTGAATGAAAACGAAAGGACCAAAATTATTTTTGTAAGCTATCAATCTGATGATCTACACTATGTAAAACATTTCTTTTCGTAACTGCCTCAAAACGAAGCTTAAGCAACTAGGACGGCGACGGTTACGAAAACGTCACTTAAAAAGACAGTGAATTCGCGCTGCCTCAAACTTTATCACGCTTTGGAAGATTTTCTTGGAGTTGAATTCTAAAGGACTGTAACAAACTTCGCGAAAAAAAAAGTTGTTGTCTTGTGTTCCAGACCGTCCTCTACAAAACGGGAAATTGGGCACTTTCACGTTGTAGTCGTGCAACGACAGCAAAGAGGTGTACAAAAAAGCGTAATGCACTTGCAAAGTTGTTGTTTTGTTTATATAAACCTATTGCTTTTTACCGTTCTCGTTGCCGTCGCCGTAGTCTTTTGCTTAAGCTCCCTGAAAAAAGGAGGGGGTGGGGCATCCTCTCTGGGGTCACTGTAAGCTGTTGTATGTAGCTAATTTGCCTCATGTAACTCAAAAACTTAGGTGAGACTTCAAGGCCCCTCGGATTTCAAGATGCTAATTTAGACTGTTAAACAAATTATAAGTAATTATCAAACTTTGCAAACACAGCTGTCCAATTAGCGTTTTCAGAGCGGACTAAACACACAACTTTCCAACTTATAATGACATTTGTGTCTTACCGGCGGAGTGTGCGGTGTTAGAAACAGAGCTCGAATCGTGTAGAATTTCCAAACTGTCGACTGATGTTGCGTAATTCAGCAGCCCAACAGGAGAAGTACCACATACATTTTCATCACTTGGAGGCATTGTTGATTCTAACATCGGGACAAGGAAGGTGATTAATAAAAATATCACTGTGTAGTTCTCGCCTTTTCCCACCCTAATATTCGTCTTTAGTGATCCAATCAAGTGGCTTCTTCGGTCAAAACTGGCATTTCCGATCTGAACCGTGTGTTTTGTTTAAAAAAATTATTGTTAAAGAAAAGACTAGTCGATATTACAACTAGCGTAAGGTCAAGCATGCGCCTGTTTCCAGATGACAGCAAGGTTTACAGAATTATTTAAGATGAAAACGACGAGAAACAACTTCAATGTGACCTCAACACCCTGACAAATGTGGGGTTCTACATGTTACCGTTATGCCCATTCTGGAGTATGCTGTTCCTCTCTGGTCACCCTATTTAAAGAAGAACATTGACGCTCTTGAACTAGTCCAACGTAGGGCCTCGAAATTCGCTCTCCCGATGTTATGCTAGGGACTCTGCGTACGAAGAAAGACTGGCAATGCTTGGGTTGTCCAGTCTTCAATCAAGGAGGTCCCATCTATGTTTGCTAGAGTGCTACAAGCCTATTCATGGTCTTAATAGCCTCACCTGTAATGATTATTTTGAATTTAATTGTTATGGTAAAACAAGATCAAACCATTTATTTAAATTAAGACAGCCATTAGCTAGAGTAAATTGTTTTCTTGCACTCATTCTTTGTTATAATTATTAAACAGTGGAACGCTCTTCCAAAGAGATAGTGCACGAACAGGATTTCAGCATTTTTTGAAGTAAACTTAGAAAGTGTTGTAAAACTTATTTTGTAGAATTTTTTAGCCATTTCTTATTTATTTTATATTTTATGTAGGGAGCATCCTCGATAGGGATAACCTCCGACGTTTCCTTTTATGTATCCTTACATAATAAATATTTGATTAATTGATTGAATTACGCTAGACTACTTGCGGGCGTACGTGGGTACAGGTAGCGAAGCCACTGATTGCCAGAAAAAAAAGTGGTTGGTTGTTCTTTCTCGTTATCTGTGCTTCAAGTTAAATTCCTATCTTACCAGACTTGGGTATTTCTTCAACACTTTCTTCCGTTGATATGACTTTACTAAGCCGCAGATCTGAAGGACAGGCGCCGCTATATCCTGTTTCATCAACTGGAGGCATATTGTAAGGTGCAGCTTGAGTTTCTCTGATGAAAACCTGAGGCAATTAATGCACACCAATTGTATTTCTCTCTTGTCTACTGCGTCTATTGTTAGAGTAAGATTTAGTTTTAGGTGAAAGTCTCGGAAATTTATATCATCCTAAATAACTTCCTATATTCCTTTTGATGCTCTGATTTTGTGCTCATTGATATTTGAGTTAAGGACCGAATATTAACACGGTAATCGGTCATAAGAGACACATCACTATATCTCCTTAAGAAAAGGACCGGGTCAGGTAAAGGATAAACTGACTGAGGAGAGACAGGCTCCGTAATAACGTTTAGACCTGAGTTAATCTTACCACCTAATTTGTTCAGACATCCCGAATGACTCGTTAGCTATCAAAATTTGTTTCTACCAATATTAGAGCACCGGAGACACATCACTGCATCTCCGGCTTCAGAAACAGAACTAGGGGCAGGAGATACACGGCTCCACAATAACGCCGTTTAGACCTGAGTAATCAGTCGCAAATCTACAGGCCCAAATTGTTCAATCTTGATCCCGAATGACTCGCTAGCTTATTTAATATCAGAACATCATTGTATCTACTACAAAACCCACTCTCCAGAGAAATGTAGGCATGTGTTCCAAAGCTAATAATTGACCCTTGATTGCTTGTCAAATACTATAAGTGTTCAACTCACCTACTTGAGGAAGGCAGTGGGACCTCTGGAAACAGCCGCAGACAAAACATAGCTCCAGTGAAAGTTGCATCTGCTTTTATACATGCAGTTAGTCCACTTTTTGGTTTCCAAAGATGGATTTCCTCTTACGTAAGCGTTTGATTCCGTGTTGAGCACGTGGAAAAGTAAACTTTAGACATCTCAAAAGTATCATGTTTACTTCTTGACGGCCGGAATTACGTTCACTTTATGTTACCCCATTATGACTCCGCATCATCATTTTAAGGCTTGTCGCCTTTATGTCCCCCGCGATTTTTCGTATTTTTTTTTTTACTTTATAGTGCTAAATACCACCACGTATATGTCAAATTAGCAGTATTTTTTATATTTCTGACTTTGCTTTAACATTTCGAAATACTTTACACAAAAACAAAGCAGATGAAAACTTAAATAAAGGATAACATAATATAACATAACATTTTATATAGAAAGATTTTTGTCGTTTTGCAAAGTCTTAGGAAGCATTTCAAAGAATGAAAGATGGTTTACATAAACACTTCAACCAAAAGATGCGTCATAGACTTCGATTTATCGAAAGGCGATATAAGTGTTAAAAACCCTCAGCTGGTCATGAACAAAGATGTTATGTACTGAGTTGACCGTTTTGCCGGCAACTAACACACTCACTGTCTGTAAAATGAACAAGAAAGTTCAAATACTGCACGAGGCACGTTCGAAAGTTAACTGGCTGAGTAATCGTGAAGTTCCTCATTTCTTCAGAGAATTCCAGAATTGTGCACAGGGCACGAAAGGTTAAAAGATTGCAATAAAACGTGTGAGTAGGAGATCTTAGATCAAGTCACGCTTCAAGACAAGGTACTTGAACTCACTAGAACTCGCCAACAAGAACTGTCTTCCGGCGGGGCTAGTGAATATTATGATTACTATCTCATGGTTCATGAAATCAAATTCCTTTTTGATATTCGTAAATTCTGCATTTTTATCTCCAAAACAACTTCTCTGTTTTTTCCATAAATAATGTAAAAAAAAACAACTCCAAACGCGCTTTAACTCATGTCTTTCGATGTCAATTTTGTTTACTAATAGTCACGTCAATATTGGGGTCTAGCCTTGCAGATTAGTTAGTCATAGCCTGTTCCAGGCTCCGAGATAGGCTACAATCACAGACAAAAGTAGTTGGGAAGGTTGTACAACTTAACAGTAGTCCATTTTAATCCTAAAAAAAAAAAAAGAGTTTTCTCTTTTGCCAAATGTCCCCCGTCCCCCTATTCAATGTTGGGATATAACAGAACAATTGCGCGTACAAAAATTAACGTTTTGATAAACATTGGGCCAGGGGCGGGGGGAGGATGGAAAAGAAAAGGTAAAAAGGGCCGCCGCAACCTTCCCAACACTTTTGACGATGATTGCAGGTTAGCTTATTTTAGTTAAAAGTCCCAAATATGGTCTGAACATTTCACCGGAAATTATAAACAAAACCAGTTTGAATGATTCAACTTTCGCTGTCTTTAGATCTTTTAAATAGTTTGATCAACGTAACTCCCACGTAGACAGACAGAAAACACTAATATAGTAGTCGGTGTTTTAGTTGATATACGTGACACTAGCGATTGCGTCGTGCAGTGCCTGACCCCACCTAACACAAATATTGCCCTGTCATTGTCACCGGGACGGCGTCTTTTGAGATCTTTTGACCTCGCTACCGAACCGCTTCTGACATCATCACAAATGCAGTCAATACTAACCTCAAAACATGATTTGGGCCAAAAGAAAACTTGGCCGTCGGCTGACCGTATTCACGAAGGTTTTTTTTACAAGAAAATGTATGGCCGTTTTGCCGTGCGACCAAAAAAATATTGGCCGTAATAACGAGGTGACCTCATTACCGAGCTGGCCAGGCCGTAAGGCGGGATTCCACTCTACAATATCGTTGACGGTGGTAGGGGTGGGGGGACCTTATCGGAGACCAAAACACAAAATTAAGACATATATTATTTATGTAACATAAATACAAAGAAATAAAAAATTAAAGTAACAACAACAAATCATCTAAGATTGAAATAGTTACAAATAAAACACCGTGTGTGAAAAAATATTAGTAACTAAAATATGATAGAAAATCCGTTTAAATATATTTTACATTTAAAATTAACTTCGGAAGTTCAAATATATTCGTTTACCAATAATTTATAGCATTTATCTGTACAAATTTCTTTTCTCAAACACGGTTAAATAATCAACGACAACATGCATTGCATTATTGTCCAAGCCGGAGTGAGCTCAAGATCACGCTGTACCATTTCCCCATAACATTTTCACCGGGACCGCGGCACTCGACCACGTTCGGTCAATAATAAAGTATGGGAACATGGAAAGCTATTTTGAGCTGGCAAGATAGGTTGGGATTGCTTGGAAAGTAACTATTCAAACAATTAAAATATATTTATAAAGTACTCTAAAATAAATCGAAATAAACAACAATATTACGTTTCTAGATAAGTGATTGTCAAAAATGAATTATTTCATATACTTCACATCAATATAAATATAATTGAGTATTTTTAAATGCTAGTAGTAGTAGTAGTAAATTTATTAAATCTCCAGCCAGTGGCTCTTCCGATTTATTTACAATAATTGGAAATCGAATAAAAACGACTTATAAAAATTACAATAATATCATAAAAAAAAAAAAAAAAAAAAAAAAAAACTAATTCAAATAAATAAATTAACCTATTCTAAAAATGCTAAACCTAAAAAATTTACTACGAACTATTATATATTTCGCGCTTTACTGCGCGCTTAAAAACTGAGAGTGTTGCGCTATTTTTTGTTTCTTCACTTATAAGAGAATTCCAAGCAGTGATTGCTCTGTAACTAAAGGACCTCTGTGCTGTGGCTGTCCTACAAAGCGGTACGACTAAATTGTCCCTAGATCTAGTATTGTAGCTGTGGATAGCTGATTTTTTGTTGACGTAACACTCTAAATATGGTGGTGCAAGGCCATTAACTATTTTGTATAGCATCGTAACATCACGCACTAGTAACTGATTCTTAACAGAAGGCCAACACAATGCACGCAGCACTGGTGAGATGTGATCAAACTTCTTGGTGTTAGTCAACACACGGGCGGCGAAGTTTTGTACGAGTTGCAGTTTGTTTATGTTGTGCACAAACGTTCCAGACCAGACTGTCGAGCAATAAAAAAGTTTACAAAAAACAAGACAGTTCAGAATGGTAGTGAGTACTGATTTAGAAAACAGGTGCCTAACTCTGTTTATCTGGCATAAGATGGAAATAAGAGACGAGGTCAGAGTGTTAACATGTTCATTAAAAGTAAGGTTCGAGTCCAAAATTATACCCAGGTCTTTGACTGAGGACACAGGAATTAAATGTTGCCCAAGAAAAGGGACTCTAATGTCAGGTACCTTACTTAAAAGCTGTTTCGTTCCAAAGAGAATAAGTTTAGTTTTGTCTGGATTAATGCTATATTTTTTGTCTCGTAAATTGCTCAAATGTTTTCCTAAGATCTTAGTGAATACCATCACTTGAAAGGAGTTTTGCAACTGCTAAATTTCGCGAAATTCCACCAATGGATGTTCCTAAGGCTACTCATAACCTTCGAAATCACCTAGATACGGCTAAAATTGTAGACTGTCGGCCTTGCCTCCAAAACTTATTAAATGTCTCTATAAGGAATTTCCCCGAAATTAACAACGCAAACATCAGCTCAGTTTCCCGCTCAATATTTTTAAATATTTTTAAAAAGTGAAATCTTTTTACTTAATTTGAGATAAACAACAATACAGCATCAATATATCATCGTAAAAAAATTGCCTAGAGTTTGTTGCACGGAAACTCCTAACACTTGATAAAATTACCTGAAAGCTCCTGAAACGAATGGCTAGATGTCCTCAACATCTCTAAAATGTCATGATTTCAAACGATTTTTGCCATTGTCAATAATCAGTGGATTGTTAGAACTTGTCAAGGTATAAAACTTGTTCTTTTTTACAAATGCCGTCACCCAACTTCTTTTATTTCTGTAAAGAAAAATATTTACAGATATTTAGAACGAAAAATATCTATAAAAAAAGTTGCGTTGTGTCCAACCCGCCTCAATTAGTATTTCTGCTATTTTCGGGTCTTCACTTCCTGTAATATTATTTGCTGATGGAAATAAAAGTTGTTGACCGCGTTGTTATTACTTTTTACCGAGAGTAAATGGAAAATTTTTAACCTTAGTAAGAATTTAGAAGCGGTCCTATCGTCGCGTAGTAAAATAACCAGAAGAATGTTGTCATTACTAGAGGAAATTAAGTGATGTAGTTCCCTTTTAGAGAGGTTTTCTTTCCCAGCCGTCGAATTGGTAGTTTTGACGTCTAAAGTAACGATCGCCAAATAAAATAATACGTATCGGCAGGTTTGATATTGCAACAAATCAGTCGAATTTTAATTATAACCAGCAATTCGTGTAAATATTAAAAGATCATTTGTCCCTTTATGTCACGGTAGCATTTTTTAACAAAGGAATGTTTAAAACGAAATTATACAACAAAATATGCGAGCAGGATATGACTTTCTATTAAAAGTCAAGTATCCAAACGCCTGGAACAAGATAAAAGTCATGTGAAATGAAACACTTTCCTTTCAACAACAACAACATGTATTTTCAATTCTTTTGAGTGTACTGTGTACCACAAAAAAAATGTGCTTTTTTTAAACTTTCCGAAATTTTTATAATGGTCTATAATCATGATATAAATGCTTCCAACAGAGGTTCTTGCAGTAGAAGAATACAAAAAAATAAATGATTTCTTTCTCCACTTTTTCAAATGATGAAAACATATAATGTTTTCTTTTTACAGGCATTCATTTAACTTGGAATGAGATTAGCCTATCAGGTCAACCTTCAAAAGGGTTTAGACACGGCAATATTGAAATGGCCGGTCACCCTTCCATGGAAATCTGATTTAAAACAACTCAGAGTTCTTTTTATAGTCAAAAGTTGAATTATAGATGCTCTTTTGGTACAGCTCTGCATTCATTTAATATGTAGTTTTAGTTTAAGCTGCAATCCATTCTTCGAGATTTGGAGCGTGACAAAACATTGCAGGAAACCACATTTGGCCAAAAAGATAATTAAAAACCATTTGGTTTAATCGGGATCCACCGTTATTTCACTTTTCAAAAGAAGTGGAATAAAATTTCCACCATAAACAATAACCGCAGAAAATTAATATATCACGAATCGACATCAGTCAAAACCTTCATCCGTCAAAAAAAAAAAAAAATTCATTGGAACAAGCAGCAGCATGAGTAAAAGTCTGGTTGCCTACACTATCAAGTTCTTCACGCGAAACAACGGTCAAGAAAATTAGTATCCTTACCAGTTTACCGATGACAAGACAATGACAGCTCAAGGAATCCCATTGGATCCTTTAAAGCTGACAACACCAAATGGCCATGTTGGGATTCCCCGCCCTGGGGTGATTTTCACGCGCGCTCGCGTTTCGCTCGCTCTACTATCCCAATCTCCTTTAAAGCTGACAACACCAAATGGCCGGTCCTCGACGTGTTTGAGTCAGGATCGTACATTTCAATAAGACTTGAACATGAATCGAATTGCCGACTTTTAAATCCACCAAAGACGTAGACTTTGCCTCTGAAAATTGCACCAAAGGAATGGGCTTTCTTTTCCAGCGTCCTGGCATGCTTATGCCAGGAATTTCTGTGAGGGTCATAGCTCTCCACTACATCTAAGCGTTCATTATTGGACTCACCACCTATTGCATATAAAGAGTTTCTATCAGCCACTGCACATATAGCAGATCTGCCAACTCTTAAGGAAGCTAACACTTGCCAATGATCTGTGTCAGGACTGTATTTATAGACACGATTACTTCCTTTCTCCTTGTTCCTTTGCTGCTCTTTTTTCCCGCCAATTACAAACAAAGATCCTTGAAAGTTAATGACTGCAGGCAAAATGCAAGCAATTGCACTAGTGTAAGAATTCAAACGTGTCCACGAGTTTCTGGATGGATTATATTCCTCTATTGTAGATTGATGAGGATTAAAAGTTCCCCCAGTGACATAAAGTTTGCCATCACAGGCAGCCATATGAAAAGGAAACAATTTTGGACTCAGGTAGTTTGCCATCTCATACCATCTGTTCTCGGTAGGGACATAACCGTAGAGTTTCTCCTTTCCACAACCAACAAGGCAATCTTCAAACTTCTTTAGACAAATTCTTGGTGGCTGAGCAAAATAGCATTCTTCTGTTCCAGTGGAGAGGTCTTTCATTGCATCTTGTACAAACGCGGTACATGTCTCAGATCCTTTCACCAAAGGACACGACAAAACCTCATTAACAACATACGTGGGTGACAGGTAAATAATACGAACATGGCGAAACAACTCGAAAAACCGTTCTTGCTCTTTTGGCTTGTTTTCTTCCATCCACCCAGTAATCACTTTAAAAACGTCTTCCTCTTCGTTCACCCTGATTTCATCGCTTGAAATCCATTCTTCAACTTGTTCTATGCTTAAATTCTGAAATTCTTCACAACCTGTCACACTCACAAAATTTTCAAAGATACAATTTCTTGCTTTTTGCTGCAATTCGGGGCATTGATACCTCTGAGCAGAATAATAAAGTGTTATACAGTTTGAGGGAGTCAGCAGATTTTGCGAGATAAACTTGCCCGCAGCACATTTCAGACTCGGGATAATGAAGAATTCTGCCGTTTCCAGCAAATCAAAGGCATCGTATTGCGTGACTTCAACACGCCCTGTGTAGACAAACTCTAGCACCTTTTCCATCGTAGTTTTGTTGGTTTCTTCCAAAAGGATTACACCATCTTTCTTTTCTTTCATGTCGTTGTTGAGAGCGCTGTAAAAGAACGGACTTGCTGCACAAAGCACGTTTCCGTGAGCTTTCAAACGAGCCTTGCCGTCACCAGAGCCGACATCTAGAATCACGTCACAGAAAGACTCGTTCTTTCGTTGAATATCGAGGCGTTTCATCATTTCCACACAAAACTGTTGCATATCGTCGCTTGCTATTGGTTCAAGTAGCGAATTCATGTCTTGGTTGTTATAAAGAGCGTGCTTCACTTGACTATAGACGGCCATTTTGAATTTGAATTTTTTGAGTATCGGTAGAGGTCTGGTTCCGAGAAATCTTCCGAAGCCGATCTTGCGAGGATTTTCTGCAATGTTTTTGTCCGCCACGATGGAAAGATTCAGAATGGAGAAGACAATTCTGCATTGAACTAACAAGGTAAGACGGAAACAATTCCGCATACAAATTCTAGCTACCAGAGGGATTTTCAAATAAGCGATTTAGGGACATAAGAACTTAAGCTGCTCACTTGTGCGCTAAGAGTTTGTTAAGCTTATTAGGTCTTATTAGGATCAAATGCAAAGTAGAAGGGCGAGGAAACAAGCTTGGATCTTGGCTGTAAATTTGTCTATTTGTGAATAAAGAGCATGAATGATGCTGGTTAGTTGTTTATACCCCAATCAAATATACAGGGATGCTGGGCGGGAGGATGTTCCCCGGCCAGGAATGTATCCATTGCTGGTTTTCAACCCAGTGACAATGTTGGTGGACAAAACAATTTACAAAACGTTTTTGCACAATTTGCATGAAAAAAGAGTAAAGTTCGTACTAAAGTAAATGTTTTTGTTCTTGACCACGAGCATGGCCGCCATGAGGTCAGATGCTCTGAAAATCAGCATTACACTGAGATTTGTTAAGCCCTAAGGGGCATTATTTTACTACCCTCGGTGTAATATTTGAAATGCTGACAAGTTCAAAAGATGAGCTTTGGTACAAGCTAGTGCCCAGAGTGAGGTGTTATACTTGATCATTGATTTATTTCTTAAAATACTGAGGCATCATTTTGAAGGCAAAATCTGTCAAAGAAAAGGTCCAGTAGATTACAGTAGGTGGCAGTTATTGACTGAAAACCTACCCCAGTGTTGCTGTTTGGTAACCACATTAAAAAGGAAATAACAGGTTTTATAAAAATAATTTGTTGCAAAGACAAAAATCAACCAGCCAAAAAAAATGTAACTAGTTAAATTATTTTTTACCTAGTTAGAAAAAAATAAACTAGCTAGAAAAAAACTAACTAGTTAGAAAAAAATTAACTAGTTAGAAAACAAAATTAACTGAGACAAAAAATTATCTACAACATATACATAGTGGTTTCTGATAAGGCAAAATGCCTTGTGCTAATTCTGAATTTGTTTGACTAACACTACAGGCTTATTAAACAGTTAAGGCCCAGGGCTGTCTCTAAGGGCCAGAGTGCTGGTGATTTCCTCCAGCCACCATAAGCATGACCCACTTAAGCACCATAAGCATGACCCAACTCAAGTTATTCTACCACTTTCTTATACACCATAAGTTTAGCTGTCTGTGATGACAGTCTTCAAATGAGTGTAGACAAATCAACATTAATAATAACCCTACAGGTAATGGTTCTGTTACGCCATGAAATCCCATGGGAGAGCTGTTGTATTTTGTGCAAAATTAATCAATTTGATTAAACCATAAATACCACAAAAAATTATGCACGTAGCTTTTTTCCAGGTCCTGGTAGGCAAGCTAAAGAAAAGCAATATTTTAACAGACACCATGAACCAGGAAACTGTTAGTGTGTCAACATGTGACTTTCACAGAAACAAAAATTTAAAATCCAACATTTCATGGTGTTCAAGAATCTGAAACTTTGTAAAATTGATGACTTGTTGTTTGTGGTACAGAAAATAAATTGTGTGCACTTAATCAAGCTTGTTTTTCCTTTTCCTACGTTTTGTGTACTAGTAACAACGTTTAGGAAATGAAGGTGAAAGACTTGAAGGCTGATCTTCCTAGATTATTACATATAACTCGTGCTCCTAAATCCTTAATGAATTGCAATTGTCATGAAATTACAAGCCAGAAAAACTTTTGCTCAGCATTTTCTGTTGTCTAGCTCTTGTCAAAATAAAAAGAAATTTCAAAGGTCCAGGTTTCATGTGGGAACCTTGATTGTGCAAAGTTATGTTGTTTTAATTAAGTGACAATAGTTCATAGTGTTTAAGAAAAGGTGTTGCAATAATGTGCTACTTTCAAACAACAGCTAAAATCCTAATGTTTACATTCATTAGCCAAGTAGTTTTGGGTGCAATAGGTTTGCAAAAATCACTAAAACTAGTTTTGGTGCCTTGAATGAAGACCATGGGCATAACTCCTTTAAACTCAAAAATTCCTCCCATAATACTCCACTCAGGCCATTGAGAAGTATATACTGTAAGTCCTGGTGAAATTTTATGGTAACCTCATAATTATTATTCCTGCATGTACTTTTGCAACAAATGAGTGTAGCAGCTGTAGGTGTTATAAACAGTTTAGATGCGGCCTCCATCAACCCCATAGTTGGTGGCTGCTGCCTTCTGTGGAGTGTCTTCCTTCTTTGGATCAGGGAGGTAATTATTGACACCAGTGCAGAATGTTTTATGAAAACTTGTGCGCCAGTTCTTTGGCCAGTCCTTGATCAGCCATATCAGGATAGGAAGAGTGGAAGCAAGGACAATGAGAACAACTATAAATACTGCCCATCCAGGATAGTCAGTTTTCATTGTCCAGGTATCGGAGCCATTACCACTGTATGGATCCTGAGAAAGAGAAAGAATGCTTAACTTCCTGCCACATATTTAAAGCAAAGAATTTAATAGTGCGATTCCTCTAATTTGAGATACATGTGTGCATTTTTTCTTTGTATTCACCACAAAATTACCAGTTTTTCTAATGTACCATTAACTTCAAAATGCATGGAATAACAATTATGTAGTAACAAGTATTATGAGAAAGGTTTTTCAGAAAGGCAGAGCACCATAATTAAGGGAACGTGGTTAAAGGTTTCAAACTATATATTACAGCATGCAAACTCTTGACCTGTACAGGACATTAAAAGATTATAAGACAAGCATTGTTTAAAATATTTTTTATTCAATTGGTTTCAATAGTTTTCCTCAAGAAATAGAGCTGAATATTTTGGCGTAATTTAGTGAATATACTAGAAAATGACCATTTACCTGTTTACATCCAACAAATTTGGAATACTGGGGAGCACTTTGGCTCTGTTGAGCAACAAGAGCAACGAGAACAACAAACAAAGCAGTTGGAGAGATGTACTTCCAACAGATCATCCAGCCGATCCATGGTCGTTTTCCTGTCATGAATTCAATGTCGTCAGCAAATCTGTTGATTTAGATCACACAAAGAGTTCAATGAAAGAGTGTTTGGTCCTTAAATGCACCTTACTTTTATCCATCAGAATTCTTGTTCGTGACTATTTGGAACTTTTGCTTATGTGTATTTCACGTTGTTGTACACTAACTTAGTCTCATACCTGTCATTTCCGTAAACCCATGCTACTCCAATACACTGGAACAAGGCAATAACCAACAATGGAATGGTAACAGAATAGTCATCAAACATTTGAAAGATGTAAAAACCAGGGCCAGAAACCATGCACAAGCCAACGAGGAACAGGATAACAGCAACAAGGAGCGTCAACAATTCCTTCCTCATGTTAGGGAAGATCTTTAACTCCATCAATGGCCCAATGGCTGCTTCCAGGGTTCCAAACTCACTGTCAATTCCAAGGAGAATCAACATCAGGAAGAAAAGAATGGCCCAGAGTGGAGACACATCCATTAGCAGAATGGCATCAGAAAATGTCATGAATGCAAGGCCTGGACCTGATCCAACCTGTTGGTGAAAAATATGACTCAATAATAATCTGCATAAGGTTGCTTAGTGTTGATGAGTGCAACAAATGCCCACTTAAAAGGCCGGGATGCCTGCTAAGTAATTTTCATGGAAGAATTCTTACCTCAGTGACTGGGATTCCTGTTATATGTTCTCGGTATCCCAGAATAGAAAACACCACAATGCCAGCAAATAGTGATGTGCCACAGTTGACAAATACCACAGTGTAAGCATCTCGCATTACTTGATTATGAATAGGCATGTAGCTGGCAAATGCAATTAGGGCACCAAAACCCAGGCTGAGAGTAAAGAACATCTGTGTGGCAGCATCCTTCCAAATATCAGCGTTCTTCAGCAGCTCCCACTGCAATACATTATAATTTAATAGGACGGGTATTAACACTTAAAAGCGCTACGAATGATCAGAATCAAATTTCTCCTGTTACTACAGTTATCACTGGTTTGTCAAACAGAAATCATCAAAATAAACCTAGAAATGGCATTGGTGGGTTGTCTTGATTTTTCACCTGATTCTCTTCAGTTTCTTTAAATGAAGTGTCCAAGGACAATAAAGGAGAGTTTTGAAGGGTGTAGCTTTATACACAAGAGCAAAAGGTGGGGTAAAGGGTAAAATATGATGGGCCAAAATCTTGCTTATCAATTTAACATTTCACTGTAGAAAGGTCTAAAATCAGTGACTCGAAGAAGACCAGGAGAACGACCATGATTTCCAGACCACGTGACCCACAATTTTGTTGATACCATTTGTGATCAGTAGGAAAGATTTATTTGCTAGAGCTAAGTGCTTACATTGGGGTTGAAAAAAGCCTTGACACCCTTTCCCGCTCCTTCCAAGGTAACACCTCTGAAGAACAAGATGATCAGAATAACATATGGAAAGGTAGCAGTGAAGTACACAACCTGTTGGTAAGACAGAATTTCAATGTCTCAGTATTTAAAGAGCATATAATGTTGTATCCAGTAATTTAAGATAACAATTCATAAATCTCACACCACATTTGTGGTTGGTGGCCAAATTGGTTTGTCAGGTTATGAATACCAAGCATAATTCCTTAATGTTTCTTTCTCAGACCCGTTAGACTGTTCACAGTCTCCTATTTTTCCGTGAGATCGTCGAGATCGAGCACATCCTACCATTAATGGTGGCCATTTTGATTTTCAGTTGTACCGAGTCTAACCTGGGGAAGAGTATCAAATCTACTTAGGGGGCGGGGAACGGTTTGGGAGGAGGTGAGAAACAATTTTTTTTCTCGCCCCTCTCCCCCTAGAGCTATAATCCCCGACGCCCGTACCCTCGGTACATGTGAAAATCAAGATGGCCGCCCTTAGTTGATATTATAGTTCTGGCCAAAGGTTGGTGATGTTTGAAACTTTATTTAACTATCATGACCATTTACCCCCAGCTTAACTGTCATTAAACAATACCTTTCCACTTGATTTAATTCCTTTGACCACACAAAGATATGTGATAATCCAGGCAAACACAAGACATCCAACAAGTTTACCATTCAATCCAACACCACTTGCTTCAATGTCTGTTGAGATCTGCAGTGCATGGTGATAGAAATAGTATTGTGGTGGATCTCTCACGCAGCAGTCAGGGAACGTGTCGTAGTTCATCTTCAATGTTGTGTAGTTTGTTGCAAAACATGTGGTGTTTAATTTGCAAGCCTCAACCTCTCTCTCTAGAGCCTTGAAAGTGTTATAGCCAGGACACAGCTTGTCGTGCTCCCATGGCAGTGAGTTGGTAAATGAGATAAAAAAGTAATAACAACACCATGCTATTACAATTACATAGTACAAACACAGCATAAGAGAAACCATTAGACATGCCACACCAATTCCAAACAAGGCAGGGTGAACATCTTGCCAGCATCGTATGGCACTCTTTCTCATTCGTTGACCAATACTTAGCTCCAGAAAGAAGAGTGGTAACCCTTCTATCACCATGAAGATTACATACGGAATAAGAAAAGCACCTGTTGAGCAGCCAAAAAACCAAATGTGAAATTTGATGACGCTATAGGGTTCTTAAAACTCATTAGAAAACATTTTTTAAAAAGGGTTAAATTAGAAAAATAATATAGTTTATAAAGATTGAGAAAAACATATCATTAACATCATTTGCACTATGGGTAAGATTCTCAAGACTTCAAGACTTTGTTATAATGAGTTTAAGACAGTAGCAATAGCAAGAATAATGAGTCAAAGTTATAGTTTGTCGTAAATAATTATTGAGTCAGCTTGAAGAAAAGAGATGAGAAATGCAAGTCAAGAGAACTATTTATGCACTGCCATTTTTTTAAAATCAGGACATGGAATTTTGATTGATAAAATTGATCATTCTTTTTACAGTAAAGAAAACTGAATTTATAGGACCTTTTTATTGTCCTAACCAAATGCTCACGGTTATCAAAATAATACAACTAACAGTGAAATAAAAGCGTACAAGAGAATAAAGGTATTTTGCAGGGTAAATAAATGTATTGAAAGTTATTAAATGGATAAGTGTTCTAAATTGTTGAACACACTAGTCAGGGATGTAGCTAAAAACTGCCTAAAGAGAGGTTACCACCGGTTCAATAAAATTGTCGCTCTCAAATACAAAGACATGGGGTGATTTTCAAAGTGCAGTTAAGTAAAAAGTCGGCTTGAAGATAACTTTTCCTTAGCTACATCCCTAATTGGCCTTAAAACAATTTGAAATGATTAGCGTTACGAAACCCGTTAGGGTAAAATAGCAGATTTCCTGTAGCAAGGGCCAGTGACGGAAATAAGGTCTGATCATAAGGTAAAAGATGATTGAGTATTGGTTGATATCGTCTATAAAAAAAAGTTGGCCAGAACGACTTGAAGACATTGTAAATTACTTAAAATATGTCAATAAACCTCTTTAAAAAAACATGACGGAATAAAGCTACTTTTAATTGATTTCAGAAAACCAGGTGATAAACGTTTAAGGATTCAGACAGCCAATTCAAATTGGCTCCTGAAAAAAAAGTTTTGATTTTCATTCCCTGGGATGTCACTGTAGCTTTGAACAATGAAACCAGTCTTACAAAAATGAAGCTAGTTGCAAAAATGAATGAAACTAAACGGAAATTGAACTGTAACGTACACGAAAGTTAATGTTCGTGGGTCACACAATAACTCACTAAATGAATATTGTTATATTCTTATTTATTTATTTATTTATTTATTTATCTATTTATTTTTTTATTTCTTGTATTTTGATTTTGATTTCAGCCAATCAGAACGCACCATTTAATTGCAATTAAAAATTAAAAGTTAACACCTTTTAATCGATTTTGCGTTCTGCCTGCCTAGTTCTTACGCGGACCATTACTTAATGTTCGTGGGTCACACAATAACTCACTAAATGAATATTGTTATATTCTTATTTATTTATTTATTTATTTAGTTATTTATCTATTTATTTTTTTATTTCTTGTATTTTGATTGGCCATTGATTTTGTTAATTTGTAGGGCTCAGTCTTGTGTGATTTGTAACATTGAATATTTTATGGATACGGCGGAATATTAGATTCAACACTTATTTGAATCGTACTTGCGCCCCCATGCCTTCCTTAGGATAAAGTTTTACAAATGTTTTTAATTTGCAAAATAGTAAGTTAAGTTGCGTATGAATAATTAATGTTCATGTACTTATTTCGTGTTCATTCGCTCCGTGTAAATATTGTGATCCAGTACTCACGACATTAAAAATTGATTCAAGATTACTACGGCTTACTATGTCAACATATAAATGCAAATTTCTGATTAGTTCTTAGCTTTGCAGTATAAGTGGGAAATTTTTACAAGCGAATTTCGTGGATACTAGTGTATTTCTTAAGGAGATCATCAATCGATCAATTTCAATGATTTCGAGTAAGATCAATAACAGTTTGATTAAAAATAAATTTGATCCTTTGAAAAGCGCTCAGACGCGACCTGATCTCTCAACGTAATTCGAACACATGGAACGTTGTTTTCATAAGGAAGCTAGTGGTGGTCTGTACGATCTCCCACTTTGTCAAACTTAGCAGTAAGGAAATTGATTTAAACTATCCTCCTTACCTCCTCCATTTTTCTGGCACAGGTACGGAAACCTCCAAACATTACCCAAGCCGACGGCCAAGCCGATTGTTGCTAGAATAAATTCCGCCTTGTGACCCCAAGTTTCGCGCTTTTCTTTTCCTCCTTCGCCAGTCTCAGTTTGGGCGATGTCGGTGTTCGATTTTCCATTCCATTCCTTAGGTTCATAAGCAAGATCATCTTTTGCTTTATGCATTAGTAGATCGGTGGACTTGTCGTCTCGAACATTTGGTAGATCCAGCCCTGAAGAAACAAGATGCAGAAATATTACAACAAAAACAAATCTAGAAAAACGACACAGCTACAGATCGAGTCTCCGCGGGTTTGTTTAAAAATACGTTGAACATCGAAATTTGTGAGCAGTTTACCTAGTTGATTAGCCATAATGTTGATGTCGCGTTTTATGTTTGCCGGGAGTCGAAAACAGCTACGATAACGCAATCAATCATACAACTGAATATTCTCTTTTCACCGTGCTCAAGATGACTTTGATGTGACTACAATTCTCGTCCGTTATATCTTGTAAGAGACGTGATTTGGATCAGGATCGTTCAGCAGCAAGAGCGAGAAAAACACGGCACAGGAAGGGCGAAATACGAGATCGAGTTAGCGTCTTTAACTACGATTAAGTGGAATGTGAGCTATGTCAGTCATTGAATCCAACACTCACAGGATCTACGCTTCTATTCAATCAAACATCGTAAATGTGACCTTTGATCTAAAAAAAGGAAGCTTTGCATCAATTATGGGATTTAAAACAAAAGGCGATGTTTTCTTCACACTTGTTCGTTTGCTTCTTATTTTTTTTACGTAAATAAGTGCAATTTTAAGTCCTTCTATTAATGTAAATTAATCATGAAAATGTCGGAAATGTTCCTTAAGAAAAGCGCGCGAATGAAAAATTGGCGGGAAAGCAAAACACGTGCAGTGTGCGTGTTGACCTTTTCTAGACTCTGTTGATCGAAGGAAAAAATCAACAAAAATGCCTCGGTTGTTTAAAGAAACCTTTGTGAGTGTATTTTCACCACAAATGTTATTAATGCTTTCCTCACAATGCCACTTAAATCGCCATCTACCGGATCGTCATTATTTGACAACTTTTGGTGATTAGGCCGGCCAGCTAAGGCGGTTCGGTGCTGGATTGACTGAGGCTAACATGAAACACATCACGAATTTTATGCCAGTTTACTTATACTAACAGGTGTATGTACTTAATACATTGGAATACTTGGTGGTCAGACCTTGAAATTCATATTTGATGGTGTACATTATTAGTTTGACGTGATCAAACAACAACTCTTTTGGATTTGTGATAAACTAACGCCCACCGCTTGTACTAATCAGTCATCTTCTTTTTTCTTGTCTCTTTAGAATGTTGACGTTAATTATTAAAGAAATTTATAGTGTCATGTGTGAAGCGTTTTAGGAATTATAAATTTTTTGTAAAAGTCAACTTATTTCCGAAGACTAATGTGGGAAAGTCTTTTGTTAAACCAAGTCTGTATTAGCCACCTCATTTACACCGGACGTGGATAATATCGGGCTTCAAAATCAGTCTGGAGAAGCCGGAAGCTCATAATAGTTTTTTCAGTCAACTGGACTTACTAACGGTTCCTCTGTCGGGTGGAGGGTGCGGCTACACGTAGGCTACTGGACTTACTAAAACAAGCTGTGAAATTTGCAATATGAAGGTTTTTAACCGCTCTTGATTCTCAGAATGAACGACATTCATGTTTTCTCGCGATAGTGACCCTCTATATTATCAAATGAAATCAGTTAGTTGGGTTGAAACGTGACTTTACCCTGCGGACTGGCTAGCAGTCAGCCGCCGGCTGCAACGTCTAATTTAAGAACTGTCTTAGTCAGGGGGTTCCGGACTAATAAAACAGTTCTTAAATGTTTTGCAGTTTTAACCACCAGTTTCCTTCCCACTGACTCGCTTATAAAACGTCCGTTTTCGTTTGATAAAAAGTTCATTGGTAACTGAAGAATTTGCGGCCTTGTGTGCACACTAAACCACCTTGCAGTGAAACACTTAAAACACATCCACACAAACATTGTCCGAAGTGGAGCATTTTAATGTAGCACTTATAAATTGCCAGATCAGTGCGGACGTGAGGCCCATCAGAGAAAACAGAAGTAAGTAAGGGAAGAGGACTGAAAGTAAAGACTGAAGCAGGGTCCGCGCGGTTTGACTAGTGTGCTGGTTTGCAAAACAGGAAGTAAATTTGATACTGTCAGGTCGCTTAAGAAGTTTTTGAATTATTTCACGATCAACAGCGTGTACGGCTGTCAGTTTGCCCACATTGTCTAACAAGAAGGTCATCAGGGTATTGTTATTCCTGTTATATATTTTGTATATAGCTCTTTTACAGTGCGCAGGTACGAACAGTAGGCCGTTGAGCTATTGAGAAAAAAAAAGATTTAGTTGTGTCGAAGACATTACATTTTTTACATGTTTTAGATTAACGCGGTTAACTTCTACTATTTTTTTAAAGCTAACCGAACGATTCCGTTTCCTACGAACTATTCAAATAGTCGACGTGATGTTTGAAACGTCAAGCAAGGCCGAAGTAAACGACTGATATGACGGCTTAGAAATATCCTGAGTGATGGTGAACTGTTAAAAAGTTTTAAGCACTTCAGATGAAAGATATAATGATTTATTTAGGTGACCCTTCATGTTACGCCGTGGATTTCTACTTTTAGAACTCGATTGACTCTTGGAATTGATAAGAAATGCCATTTAGTAAAAACATGATTGGGATGGGATACTAGCTCGGCCAGTAACATATCCATAATGATTGGGTAGTTTTATAAGTAACCATCTGAAAGTCGATTCCACGTGTACCAATATTTAACACCATGGTGGTCAGTTTCTCTCCTGCAACGCGTTTTTCAACTTAACGCTCTTGAAGACGCTATTTTCGGCTCAGGAATGCCATAAGAGCTGGTCATTTTATCAATGACAATATCATGTATCTTCTTTGGCATGACATTCAAGGTATTGATTGGTTTGTTTTACTTGCCTAATTTCAGCATAATTATCAACTATGATTTCAGTGAAGTCCGTGTGAACATAACTATTGGGTGAGATTTAAACTCAGTGATACAACCTTCGCTTGACTTTAATTGCTTTAGGAGGTTAACAAAAGAAGGCCGCCGTCCATATTTCTCAGTATCGAAACGCATAAAAGATATTGCAGCCCTTGGGCTTTTCGCAGTTTTAACATACTGACGCGAGAAATCCCAATACCCATAAATGATTTTGTCGCGGGGTCAATCAGAAGTTGGATCGTTGAGATCTTGCAGCACGTTTCTTCCTCATCCAACCCATGTTCCGGTTGAGAGCACGTCAAAGACTAAATCAAATTGTTTTTTAAATATTGCGAGTGTAAGCAAAGGACGTGCAAGGCATTTGGTCGGGCGAGAGATAGTTGAAATTACATTCTGCAGCGTTGATTCGATTGTTTAGTAGTCATAGGGTAACTTTTGTTAGATCGAAAGAAAAGGATAGCTCCAGCAGCGATCGATAACCCGAAACAACCGTCATTAACGGAGAGAAGTACGTGTATTTATGTTTCGACTATCACAAAGAGGATCTTATTCTGTTACTACCGTGACATAACCCCATCTTAACCTACCTTGTCGACCTGACATCATTCACTGTTGCTGTTTTGATCAGTCGTGATTAGAAATATGCGGCTAAACTTCTTCGAAACAAGTATTCAGTATACACTCGTATTGCGAAGTGGCAAAGGTATTTTGCGGTTCATTAGTTATGTAGCTTCACAATTATCAATTGAATTATCTCTTGAATGTGTTTGAATAACAAAGCAAGTGTTAGCTAAAGTTTTGGGTGTGGATTATAAAGTTAGTTTTGCTCGATCTGTTACACGTGACTAACAAATCAAGATTCTTTTAAAAAGCGTAGAGGATGAGGTTGCAGGTCGTTCGGTATAGGGAGTGAAATGTTTTGGGGGAGTATATCGTCTATTTTCCGTAGCATCGAAAGCTGTTCCAAGTTTGATGGCGTATGCAGCACTCCGTGAAGTGAAGATGAAATATACGCCATTGATAGCAAAAACACGCTAATAAGATAAAAGGCCCCCTGGCATCCCATGGTTCAGTAGCAAAAAACATAGTGTTATGGTTCATTCCAAAAGATCGTCTAACCAATCAGATGACGGCACGAACACGTAAACTTCACGGCAAGCGTGGGAAAACTAAATCGCCTGATCAACTGAAATGATGCATGAAACTACACGTTTCTGTTTTTCTCTTTTTCTGCCTGCCTTGATTACTCGGAGCATATTGCAAACTCTCGTACTCCTCAAGAGATCATAACAGTCGTATTATGATCTCTTGTACTCCTTCATTCAGTCGCTGGAAAAATGATAATGATGATGATGAACGAATTATGCAAGCGCTAATAACATACAAACATCAAACATAAACAGCGGTGATAAACATTGGGAGTTTTCTCATCTTTATAAACTTGACGTTTCGTATGCTATTCAACATACATTTTCAAAAGTGATCTTAAGTGACCGTTAAAGAAAATGACGATCTATCTTGAATAGCATACGAAACATCAAGATTATAAAGATGCGTAAACTCACAATATTTGTCACCGCTGTTTGTGTTTTATTTTTTTATTAAAATTCTATGGCCCAAGAACAAAAGTCTCTAACACACAAACAGTTAAACACCGATGGTTAAGCGCAGTATCTTAAAGTATTGAAGTCTTTAATGCCTCGCAAAACAAATTCGCGTTCATGGCAACCAAGCCCGACTACAGACCGTGCATTTTGAAACATTTAATACTTGATAAAAACATGACTCACCATTTTTTTCATTTGGTTCATACAGATGTTTTGTTATGAAAGAATGTTGCATTGCTCTTAAGTCTGTGCTTCGTGGACTTGGAGGAACATCTGGAAAAAAGAAACCAGTGGAAAACACAGAATACATGCTTCAGGGGACCCGGCCATTTCTTACGAGAGATGCAGATCAGAGCAGCCCAAGAATCTTAGCTCACCAAGAAATATTGTATCGTATATAGGTTTGGATTTATTTCGAGGACAAAAGACATACAATTGCTGTCTGCCGTGAGACTGTATTAGCGGTTGCAGTCTCATACCAGAGGTGCTTAATCTCTTGACACTTACAAGGTTATGATTTGTTTAAAATGATACTGGTCTTTTGAAACTTATCGCTTAGTTGAGGTGGAGGAAAGAAGACGGTTAGGACTCGTAATAAAAGTTTGTATAAATGTATGTTCGGTGCGGTATATGCCATGCGGTACGAAACTACACAGCCAATAAAAATGCCAAGTCGGATCTCACGTTGACACCAGATAACCTCAAGATAACCTTAATTATACTACTCTCTAGTCCTTTTATTGAGTACTCTACCAATAGGCGTGCATACGTATCAACCTGGTATAAATGTATGTATAAATAAATTTGACCATTTTGTAAATCGTTGTAAATGTTATTAAATTTTGTGGAAAAGATATTTGATACCACGCCGAAAAAAGAGAAAAAAGAAAAGAGCTAGAAATTTCACTTTTTTTCCCGAAAAGTTATGAACAAGCGGTCTATTAGGAAAGTACAGTCCAATGGTTTTTCCTGTGAACTCAAAGGTCCAGGTACCCTGGCTTCAGAGGTCCGCGATCTGTCAGCATCGGTAAGAAAAAAATATCCCCTGGAACCCAGGGTAAGGTCCAGGTCACCGCCGACCTTAGTTTGACACTCCCATACGTCATTTCGGTCTTGATGCTGCAAGTTGCGAAATCATGATTCGAGTTTCCCAGCTTAGTTTTCTTCATTACTTATTACGTGAAGGAAAATTTTCTGGCATGATTGCTCTTTGTTCACCACTGGTATATATCTACTCTAAGTTTTATATTTCCAATAAAGACGCTTATATTGGAGTATGCCTCCCGCAGTTTTGTTATCACTTTATCACATTCTGTACGAGAAGTTTGTTTTAAAAATCTTATCTTGCACTCTGACAAGAGGGGACCCAATACAGCAGTCACTTGGTTTTTGTTTGAGTTTTGATGTTTTCTTCTGTCAACTTTCGTCAGTCACCACTTGAATTTTGTTTTACGAATGCTGATCAGAAATATGCCACCTGATGCGGTCTGATTACAGTCTGAAGACCGTTAATTTGATTATGCGTTTATCAGACAGGTTAATTGAGTAACTGATGTGCCTGATCAGTCTATGAACATCTCAAAAACACTTACCTGTGAATACATCTGAACTCACTGAAGACATAATTGCTACTCGCCCAGGAAGAGATTGACTGCAGATGATAAACGTTATTGCGAAAACTCTTATTTTAAAGTAAACAAAAATCCTTCTTAATAATGCAAAGTCGGCATTTCTAAGAGCTTTTGATGTAGGCTCTTTATTGTCATTGTTAAAAGACTTCATTATTATTATTGGCTGTTGAAGTCCCAACAAAGAAAGCGTCTTGTGGCTAATAGTAATCAAGCTAACTGCTTACTTTTGCTAAAGTTTTGCACCCGTTACTTTGGAAAATCGCGCTGAAGTTGCTTTAAAAGTATCATGAAAAGGTTATTAGCTCTAGTTGTCAATATTTCTATGCGTTGAATCTAGTTTGGAAAAGATTTGTCACTTGAATACGCCATTTAATCCGATACAGTTTTATGGCTTCATTGTTTATGGACAGCAAAACAGTCGTATTTTTAGTGTGTTGGTGACTGCGCGAGTAAAAAGGGCGAGGTTTAACTTCGTGCCTCATGAACTTTTGAGAATGAAACTGACTGTTTTGCCGCAGTCTTGTTTGAAAGCCAAAAATGTGTCCGACGGTCAGTTCCTTTAAGATAAGTCCATTTAACGCGCTTCGCTGGGTAGCAAAAGTCTCGTAGTTGCGCAACGTGAACCTAGATTGAGACTAACTTCTAATTAACCTAGTTTCTTTACTGATTCAGACGTCCCCTGATGTGCCCGATAAAGCCAGGTACCTTTCACTCAAGCCGCGTGCACTGAAAGCACGTGCAGCATTTCGTTTAAGTGGACTCTTTTTCACCAATCATATCATTTCTACTATACATGTATTTCGTAAAACAGGATATGACATAACTGTAACAAAATTCTCTAACCTGATTGGCTATCAGGACGGTGTAATAGGACAGTGCGCTCCATCGCACTTGAGTGCTTTTGTTTTTGTTCTTTCACTTCTAGCAAAAATTTAATTTTGAGATAACTAAAACTACCACAAACACAGAAAAAAATATTCTTCAACACCACAAACGCAATAGGCTGATTTAGCAACAGAACGGGAACGTTAGTTGACGACGGCGCGCGCAAATCAAACAACTGGCTTGACCAATAGCAGAGCGGCAAATTGGGCACCGGAAGTCGAGTTTAGTCCTTTCTGTGCGCTTTCAACACCAATGAAAAGAGCGCCTAAAATGAGTAATATTGCCAAGTTTAAAAGTGATCTGTTGAAATTTAACAGAGGCAGGAGCCCATAACCCGGAGTGTGCAACTACCATAAATTCGTGCAACGGCGTTTTTACAAGTGAGTTTATTTTTAGATAAGCTTTTCCCGCAAAAAATGACTGTTGTTGCTTGGACCTTTTCACAGTCGGCTGTTTCCAAGATGATTTCGATTTCCCTTTGCGTGAATTATGCGTTGTCGCCGATGACGTAGACGTCCCGGGCTTGTTATGGTGGGGTGGGGGGCACAAACTTGTCCACCCCCCCAACCCCCCCCCACCATACAAATGTCTCTAAATTTTCGCAGCTTTGCAGAGCTATACCTTCACTCGCTAAAGACGTATCACTTTTAAATTTAGCAATCTTATTAATTTTAAGGCGCTCTTTTCAGTGGTGTCGACGTATTTCCTCTAACTTGTCCATATAAAAAGTTGAAAAGACCATAAAAAGGTCTATTACGCGCGTTTTAAATTGCAAAATCACTTTTCAGTTATTTTTGAATAGGGAGAAGAAGGGTATATGTCTTGAAAATAGCCTGCGTATAAGTTATACAGGATAAAAACATCAATTTTGACATCAAAGCTTTTAAAAAATTTTGCTCGCAAGAGCCCGATAAGGGCCTGGTTTCTGATGTGCGCTGTGAATGATGGACTGGCCTTATCCCATAATATTCAATATATAGCCTCGCGGTGCACCATGGTTAGTTCTCTTCGTTTGCTTGGTAGAAAAAGATGGGTAAGTGTAACACGTGTTGGCCGAATTTTTGCTACTTATTACTTATTGCAGCGTTTGAAGCACAGCAAAAACTCATCATTTATTGCTTATTGATAACTTTGCTGTTTCCTGGTACCTTTTTCCTACAGGAAAGCCAAGAGGTTTAAGAACTGCTCGTAAACTCAAAAATCACCGCCGAGAGCAAAGATGGCACGACAAAAATTACAAGAAGGCCCATTTGGGAACAGCTCTTAAGGCTAATCCCTTCGGTGGTGCCTCTCACGCCAAAGGAATCGTTCTTGAGAAAGTGTAAGTTGTTATAGTTGTTGTTTCTTCATATCCTTGCTCCATTCTTGTGCATATTAATTTCGATGAGAAGGAAGACCAAGATGTGAGACTTGAGAGAAGTGTGGACCATTGCGAGTAAATTGAGGATTTATTTTTGAGCTTTTTTTTTCGCAGTCGAAATCTCGACTTTTTAGCCGTTTATAACCAGTACATATTTATCTTGTTTTAATATGCTATAATTAAAATCTTTGTTTTACTTAAACCAATTTTTGACACAAGTGTAAGTGATCATTAGTGGCTATGATTTTCACTAGCGACTGAGTCGGAGTCGTAATCAGAAGCGTAGAGCTTATGATCTAATGAAAACAGCGTTCTGATGCTGCTCATGATTCTGTCGCTTATGTTCTGCTCATGATCTAATGAAAACCAGATTGTCGGAGTTGGAAGCTGAAGCAGAAGAACCAAACCAATGACAAAGTGTGGGAACGTGCATTGTGATTGGTTTATACTTCTGCTTCTGCTTTTGACTCCGACAACCCTCTAGATTGTTATAATGATTTAACCAGGGGCATGATCTGACTGGGGTGAACCACACACCCTCAGTTTCTATGACAATATAACAGAACAATAGAAAGTTGTGTGTTTTTCTCTTCCTTTGGTATTTTTATTGTATAGACTATAAAGAAATAGTTTTTAGATGTCAGTATAAAAAGGATTTTCTATAAGAATGGAGTGATGCCCGAGGTTAGAGTCACTGGGCTGAGGCACTCTATGACTGCTCAGTGCTATTTCCTCGAAAAACGAAGTGTGTTCTTATTCACTGGGTGGCCTGTGACAGTCATGCCGATAATTCAGATTAACCCAGTCACCTGCTCACAGACATTTTGGACATTAAACTAATGGTGGTTTGGTTAGTGCAGGCCTTGTGGTCTGAGGAAGTGCAAGTATTTTGACTAACTAAGAATAACTTTTACTTGAATTGCTTATTTTCTTTAATTTACATTGTTTAGTGTTAACATTTGGAAATTTATGTTACCTAAGTCTGTTAAGCTGTTTCTACAGTAGGGCTGTCGCTAAATTTCAAGGTGCCAGGTGTATGAGAATTAAACAGCTACAAGGTTCTTTTGATGCTGTTTCCATTTTGTTTCCTATGATAGTAGAGGGGTTCATGCTTATAAGACAGTGGAACCTCAATGTAACAAACCTCAATATAACAAGTCAAATAAGTAGTCAGTATAACGAGCAAGATTTTCTTCCGCAGTAGTCGTAAACTATATGGAACTATATGCTTAATATAATGAAACCTTGTTTTAGCAAATTATTTTGCCAGGCCCTTGACCTTTGTCATTTTCTAGGGTCCACTTTAGCAGGGGGAAATCTCCTGTCCTCAGCCTTTAATGACAGTCCCTTACAATTTGCCTTGCTGGTGACACATTTTTATATTTAAACTGTGGCTTTTGTGACTTTTCACAGAGGTGTTGAAGCCAAGCAGCCCAACTCTGCTATCCGAAAGTGCGTGCGTGTACAGCTGATTAAGAATGGAAAGAAGATCACTGCCTTTGTGCCTAATGATGGTTGCCTTAATTTTATTGAAGAAAATGATGAAGTTTTAATCTCTGGTTTTGGCAGAAGAGGTCACGCTGTTGGTGATATCCCTGGAGTGCGATTCAAGGTTGTTAAGGTTGCCAACGTGTCACTTCTTGCTCTGTTCAAGGAGAAAAAGGAACGTCCTCGATCTTAATTTTCCAGTTACAAGAATAAACTTGTGTAAAGTGCTTGAATGTTTCCTTTATTTCTGTTTATTAATAATGCTTAAGGTAAAGGTCCTTATTTTACGTATGATTCTTCATTTGACAGACAAACTTTAGGCCAATGGTGCACTCATTCCCCCCCCCAACCTCTCTCCATCAGTGCTCTGTTTGTTTTATGGGTAAAGCAACATGGTTAAAAGGTTAAGGTTAAAGGCACGTTTATAGTGGAAGGTGCACTTAGCTAGTCAGCTAATTTACAAGCACTCCACTCAAATATTTAGAAACAAATAATTCAAATACAACATAACAGGATTAAAAACCCCAACTGGCAGAAGGCAACCAGTTGGCTATTTACAAGCGTGGTCGAGAATTTAAACTCGGGACGACCGAGCTCAAATCCAGCAAGTGGCCAGAGCGGGACTCGAACCCGGGACCGCCGGATTGCGAGTCCAACGCGCTGACCACTCGGCCACGCTGCCTCCCAAGAAAAAAGAAAAATGAAAAGAAAAGAAGTCAAAAGTAGGGTGTTGAGACCTCTGGCACATAATATTGTGCATTAACCGACTCTTAATCCTTGCGCCTACATTAATTGAATCCGGGGCATGCCACATCCTCTTTGACAAGAGGGAGTCGACTCATTTTGCAGTTATGTCACTCAATCATGACATACACATACGGTTTCTTACTTCCCATAAAATGCAATAAGTATTTGGTGCAAAAAGCTTGGTGTCATGTGCTGGTGCTTCCCTCCATTCTTGTTAACGTGTTGGAAATTCAGTCCAATGCCATGTACTTGTTACTGTGGTGTGAATCAGCAAATTGCGCAAAGAAGCTGTTGTCTCGATATACATGTTATTGACCAAGCTTGAGGTCAAGATGGCTGATATTGGCCAGGTTCTTTCTTGTACTTTTATGGACCAAGGCTAAGAATGAGGTTAATATTCAGCCATTTTGACCTAACAAGCTTGTTCAATAAAGGATTTATTTTGTGGCTAAAACAAAATCTTTTTGTGCAAAACAAAGCAGTAAATCCCACACAGGTAAGATAAACTTATTTTGCCTGTGCAGACAGCCATTCAGAATGATGGATATGCTTCATCTTAACTGTCTGATGAACCAGCCATACTATGACAAAATTACTTAGTTCACTCACAACAGTTTTACTTGACCAATGTAGTTACTCTACAGGACAGAGTCAATGTTGGTACCAGAAAAAGCAGGGGATAAGAGAAGAGACACTAATCCCAAGTGACAAACATACTGGTAAAATTAAATTTCCCTTTGGAATCCAAAATTTTTTGTTACAAAAAAGAAGAGAAAAATCAATCCTTTTCTGTACAAAGAAACTTTATTTACAGTCATTAAAATAATATTCACTATCGTTTTTGGCCTCCTGGTGTTTGAACATCATTGACCTTGGCCAGGCAAGATGTTTGTCAGTCTGTCTATTCCATCAGCTATAAACTGTAGTCTAATATCGCTTTCTCTTCAAGATCTCCGGTTTCCAGTTAATCGGATGTGTATCTTCACTCTGAGAACAATGAAACAAGAACAGGTTATCATTATAAGTGATAGCTCTAGGGTTTTTTTTAATATTTAAGAGGCTGAGGGCATGCAGGGTTCAATTATTAAGGCTTATTTCCCCCGTTGCCCCAAGTTGCTTGGTTTAAGCCATAAAGTTGGGTTGATGGCCTTTGTAAAGCCAGAAACAATGGGCAATGAAATAACTGGAACAAGATGAGCTCTGATTCTCTGTTAAACAGTTCAGTGGCTCTCAAACTTAGCAAACAAGGTGGGGGTTAGACATTTCTCTGCACAGATGTGGCATAGGAAAAGCTGGTGGTAAGCTGTTTTGCAGCCAGTGAAATAAGCCGGCTCTTGGCGACATTCCTGTTTCTGCGCGAAATCGACCAATACTCACTGCTGTATCATCTTCCTTGTAAATCTTCACAGTCTTGTCCGCTTCACATGTGATGAGACGACTACTGCTCTGGTCAAATGTCATGGCAAAGATACCAGCTTCACTGTCAAGTGAGCCAGGTTGTACAGAAGCCTGAGAACGCTGAAAGTTATAGCCAGTCTTCCAATCCCAGAAATGCATCGTGCCATTATCACCTGATACAGTACAGCAGTATTAGTTTAACTTATGGTCAAAGTAACTATGGAGAACACTCATGGATAAATTGAGTAGAAATTAGAGAAATCAGATCATAAAAATCTTTTTGTTGAAATGTCATGACCAAGAAATATTTCCACTGCCACAAGAAAGCAAACCACAATTGCTGACGTGACATTTCAAACATTAGTTTTACTGAGGACATGCTGCATTTTTCACCAATATTGGTTCAGCTAGATTAATTTCTTTACTATTTTCATCCATTTTTACTTTTTTTACTTGTTTTAAGAGTAGTAATTAATATTTTTTAACCATAGGTAGTATTAAGGTTAGGATTACAAAAATAAGGGAATAGAACCATTATGTCCTTCTCATGGATAAACAGAATTTTCAGAGATGATTACATAACTATACCCACCTCCTGATACTAAAACTCCATCTGAGTTGACTGCCATACAATTTACAATAGCATTGTGTCCAATAAGGTTCTGAAGGAAGTTACCATCTGGAAACTTCCACTGTTTAATGTTGTCTGGTGAAGCTGATGCAAATGAAAATCTATAAAGTACAATAATATTGAAAGAGCAGAGGTTAGCTTAAAGGCACGACTAAAGCCAAACTACACTGTATTAATGCAATAAGCAAAGGAAACTTAAGCTTACCCTGTGATTTGACATTAACCCAGAATTATGTGTATCAGGTTTCAAGTACTCAGTGCATACTAAATGTTAACCACTGGGTATTTTTTAAACTATATACTGTGTTTGTAATCAACACAGTGCTTAGTGACACTTACTGAGTTGGGTGCAAGACTAGTGCTCTAACACTTTTTTTGTGATTTGTCAGTGTAACTTTAGATTTGCCAGCTGCCAAGTCCCACAGACGAATAGTACAATCATGGCTTCCTGTTATAACCTATAAAATACAAAACAGTATAAAACCATTGAAAAATGAGCCATGCACTGACTGATGAAATTTAACAATTGAATGACTTCATTTTCAGTCCAGTCCACATTTTATGGATTTATAAATGGCTTGAACAGTATGTATGTATCATTTTACAAAAGGAAATGAACCACCAGAAGTTAAGTACTGTTCTAGATCTTTCTTGCATGGGACACATCACATGATTGTATCCCGTGTTTATACAAATAAGATCTAGTATTTCTGTTGCACAACATTAACGAGATGACCTGGGTAAGGAATCAAGCCACCTCCTGCCTGCTGTGCATAAAATTAGGGAGCTTATAGCAACGATGATGGCCATGACAGCAAAAACCTCACTATTTAAAAGACTTTGCTTTTTTTTCAAACTTTGTCGCGATTATTCTGACTTGTGTTAAATCTCAAATGTAGGTGAATTTCCCTGGAACTGATTTCTTGGTTACTGCACCCAGGTTTAGAGAGAGAAAAAGAAATTTGTAGTCTTGTGTTTACATCCTCCATAAATCGTTTCTTTAGGGACTTTTACATTGTAGTCATGCAGTGACGGCAAAGAAATTTACAAAAAAACGTGATGCACATGTAGAGTTGTTGTTTCGCCGATCAAACCTACTGTTTTTTTGACATTCTTCTTGCGGTTCCCGCCATCGTTGCTAAAGCTCCCTATTATCAAATTATTAGGACTTCAGGAGACTCACAGATTTTTTTATTCACCCCAACAGCACCTTCCACAACTTCAAGAGAGGTTCTCCTTGTAAATACTAACTACATTACCTGTGGTTCTGCAGCCTGTGATCTTACAACTGCTACTGTGCTTGTATGTCCAGTTAATGTGTGAATACAGGCTTTCGTTCGCATGTCCCAAACCTGTGGTAGAAGTAAAAAATATTTCATGTATCTGTAGCCTGTCCTTAGTTGAAAAATGTCATAAAAAACCAAAACATTTTTGTGACATGAAACAATTCTTAACCACTTCTTGATTATGGACTCAAAATTTTCCTTCCTGAGCAGTGATAATATAATATATTTTTACCCTGGTTGTTGCATCTCTGCCACATGTGAACAATACATCAATTGTTGGGTGAAGATCCAAAGAATAGATTGCACTCAAATGACCATGGTAATGTCGTACAACCTGTAAGGAAATACAAGAAAAAACCTCATAAAACAATAACACAAATATTATGACAGTCATACCAATATTTTTAGGATGTGCAGGTTCCTGGCAAGTTAGCAGAATGCCATTCCAAAATCTTAAAAGTCTGTTTCACCCTAATTGAATTGTCATTACTTGGAATTTTTTAAAAGCTGTCTGTTTTTACACTGATGCAATCTCTAGATGTACGTATATACCTTATTATACTCGAGGTCCCAACACTTGACTTGCTTATCCTCTCCACAAGAGAAGAGATATGGTTGTCTTGGACTTACAGCCAGTCCCCTCACAGTGCTGATGTGACCCGTTAGCGACAATTTTAATTTGCCACTTCCAAGCTCCCAGATCTATCAGAAGGACAGTACATGATTACATTGCATTGTTATCGCATAATAAGTCATTTCTTTAGCAGTTGACAACATCTCATTACTAGGCAACTATCACCTGTTTGTAAGGGAAAAAAGCGTCTGTTTATCCTCTGGTCTCGTTTCTAAATCATAGATAATCTTATTCACTCACAACGAACATCATCATGAAAATGAAAAACCAGATGTCCAGTAACAGACCTTCCAACTCTTGCGATTCTGCCATGAGTCTCACTATTTTTTAACTTTTCTGATGGCCTCATGACAAGACTCCCAGTCTCAGGGCTTTTTGGGAAATATCAGTTCAAAATAAAATGTTACCTTGTTGAAAGAAAAAAAGTGGGGGGGGGGGGGGATTCATGGGGAATGCTAGTGCCTCTTTAAGCCTTGATGGCACTTTGTCTAACATTTTGGCCATGAAGTTAACTGCTGTAAGTTTCTTCCCAGTGATCACCTCATCCCTGGCCTCTCAAAGTCATCAATGAAAAAGTGGCATCTTGTTACAAGAGGGACCACAAATATAAAAAAAACAAGGTAATTTTTAAATAAACAGCTAATTTCCCCAATGGATAAAGGGTTTGTTTTATCTTGATTGGGAAAAAAATGGAATCTCACTACTTTTTGTAGAATCTCCCAAATTTTTTTCATAAGTCTCCAGATTTTCCTTTATCAGGGGTTGGCAGGTCCGCAGTAAAAAAAAACACTTCTGAAATTAAATCTACCATCCATGGTTGTGTTTGTGTTTTGTCCTTTACCTCATGAATACAGAATATAATGATCCTAGTAACAATAATATAATGTTCATTACCTTTATTGTCCTATCAGCAGAACCTGTTACGAACCACTGGTTACCAGGCTCCACAGCCACAGACCTCACCCAGCCTGTATGACCACTGATTACCTAAAAAACACCGCTGAAACTTTAGTGATTACTTAATGACAATTTAATACCCAAAATAAGTAACTAAGGGCCTGTTTACATGGAGTGCGGGACCCCGGTCTAGTGGGGTTGGTTTCTTTTGTCTTCACGCTCTAGAGGACACAAAACAAAAGAAACTTACCCCACTAGACCGGGGTCCCCCACTCCATGTAAACAGGGTCTAAATGTAGTTTACTTGATTCAGCAAGGAAGGGGTGCGGGTGCAGGAGGCCATTGTGCGGTGTAGAGGTTCTTAATATTACATTATAAACACTTTGCTCTATTGAACTTGCGATTCTATTGATTGCTATAGATTACTGATTTAGTGTAGACCCAGAAGTCAATATAAGCCACATTAAGAAGTCCATGGTTTATATCTGAAAGTCATATGCCTACCCTCATTAGTTTCCATGGTGGATGCCATTGTGGTTTTGGAAGTGTTGCTGCTTTCTTTTGTTGTACCAATGCTGTTGATGATTTTGTTCCTCCTGTTGCTACTAATGCTTTTGAGGATGGGCCAAGTCGTTCTTTTCCACCTGAGGCAAGTGCTTTCTGTTGTATGTCCATGATGCCTGCGCTCTTTCTGCCAGCTTGGAGACTAAAATATACCAGTTGAGAGTTATTTTGTTCAATAATTTGACATACACAAGAAAAATAGTTGACACATGTGTTTTGGGGGGAGATGAACAATAAAGAACTTTCTTTGCACATTTGGAGCTCATAAGCTCTGGTAGATATGACTGCAAATAAAGCTTTTCAGTGTACTCACTCTCCTGGAAGATTAGCCATTAGTTGTTGTACTCCAGCCTGTGATGGATGATTTCTGTTTGCCATTGTTTCTGATGTTAATGTCACACCTATAGTGAAGGTTATATTCAAAGGAAAACTATGAACACAGGAATATAATTTAATAATATTGTATTACAGTGGCTAATCACAAAAAAGTTCCAAACTTATGTGTTATCCTTTGCTAGCCACTTATATAAGTTTCTACTTGTAGTTTTAGCTTTTATTATCACCTTGTATATTTTATGTGTTTTAGAGTTGGCATGATGTCCCTTGTGGATGTTGATTTAAATTTAATGTTCTTAGTTATTTGCAAGGTGCACTTTAGCAAGATGTTAAACTGAAAATGTTCATACTGACAAATGCAATTTGAAGCAAAAAAAATAGTATATAATTGTTTTCTTCCAAAGAACCAGAAGCACTGAATATGTTTTACATACACCAGAAACTTAAAAGGTTTATGAAACCTGTCATACTTTTAGGGCACTTTTGATGAAGGCCATATTTTTAATTAGAATAATAATAATTATTTCATCATGAAATAATCTATAGAAATTCCTGATGAAACAATCTTTGTCAGAGATGAAATGAGTCAAAAAAATGTTCATATTTTGGAAAAATGAATAAATTCCAAACTAAGGCACAGTCAAGCTCAAAAGTCTCCCTTTTCCAGGGAGACACAGGAGATTAGTGCAGTATCCAGGAGACTCCAGGATAATCCAGAAAACTTGGCAAATATGTAACCACACGTCACCTGGAGCAGAAGGATAAGGATGCGATCCTTGAATAAGTGGAGGGATATCTGAAACTGACAATAGAAAAAAAAGAGATAACATAAGCAAATGTTACATGATATCAATTACTTTCTTGCTTACTTTCTAGTGCTGTGTTTCTATTGCTAGTTCATGTCTACAATAAGAATAAGAATATGAATTGGTGATACCAAACCTTGGTTTGAAGGGTAGGCTCCAGTAACTGGATTTCTATTAGATGAGTAAGTTTCTTTAGGCAACACCAAACCTTTGACCATAAAATATTCATCGTGAATCTTACAGGCTTTTTTCACTTTGTCACTGAGGAAAAATGAAAAGAATTAGAACTAACTAGAAAATCAACGTTACTTAATACACAAATTTCTTAATATACATTGCTGGTTTGCATGTGACATCATGGCGGCCATGCGGGTGGTCAAGAACATGAGCATTTCTCTCCTGTGGGAACTAAACTCTATTTTCACGTAAATTCTTCGAGAAAACATTCTATTGTCCTGACCCCAACATAGCCGCCATGTCACGTGGTGGCAAGCCAAGAATTAAGAATATACCAAACATTGAAAACAGCTGTCCTTCACTGTTCCAAGCAACAAGGAGCTAATGGTCTTTGTCCAGTTACTTTATTTGATGAATGCTGCAGACTGCATAGTCACAATCATAATGAACACATGGTATATAACAAAATCGAGACAATCCGTTAGGCTTTAAATGCTCACCTCTTGTCATCTCTTTTAAGCGGAAGAGAATTATCATGAAGAAACATATCATGGCTTCTTTTCAGCGATCGAAATACCAGTGTGTGTACGGAATGCTTTACAATATCCTGAACAAAAAGAGACTCAAAACATCAGTGTAAATCGTACGAAACGTTTATACCAAGAACATGCAGGCCTTACCTCCGCCATGTTGAACGCTACTAATGCGTACACGCATGTATCAAAACATTAGACCGCTGTTTAATTGGGGCACATAGAGGTCTGGGAAGGAAAAAGAACAGTGTTTCCCGCCATCGTCCAAACGGAGCAAGTCGGAAGAAGTCGCATTCTGGTGTTTGGAATACTTTTAAAAAGTGTATTACAAAATAAAGATGGAGGAAACAATAGATGAATCATCAATCAGGAAGTTTATTCATAGGATTTTCAGGAAAAGCAATAACATCGGGTAGGATTTCCCCTCACCCATTAATGTTTGTGTTGTCAAAAGCATGCTTCTGACTGCATACATAGGTAGCTTGTTGTTATCTCCATTTAAAAAAAACGATATAAGCTTACACGGAACGCGTTGCTTGATTTCTGCTCAAGTGTTATCTACTTATCTATTCCAGTATTGAGGTAGAAGAAGTGAGAGTGGAGTGGAAGTTCATTAAGATTTTTTCTTCACATGCAATATTTTCAATAACATTTCCCTGCAAAGGACCCTAAATACAGGCTGGTTTAATTCATAGCTGAAAGTGCATACCGTGGAGTAATATCATATTTTCTATTACAGATAGTAAGACCTGACCAAATATCACACTTGAGTTGAGTACCCCTCCCCCACCTAACAAACCCACCTCAGCCCTAAGGGACCTGACCTTTTTTCTGGCAGCTATGACGTTTCTCGAGACAAAATTAAGGGAAACATTAGAACTTGAGAAAACAAATTAACTGGTTTCCCAAGGGACTAGAAAGGAAAACCCACTTCAATGATCTTTAATGCAAAAAATCACCTTCCTTTAAAGATGCAAGATGGTTTGAGGGGTGCATATCATTAAGGTTTACTAATTTCCACTTTTCTTTGTAGGACACTGACAGTAAAATCAGTTCGAGAACAATTTTTAAAGTACACAGGAAAAGAAAAACTTGATGCAGAGCAAAAAGAGCTCTTCAAGAAGAATGTGCATGACATTTATACTGAGTATGCCAACAAACAGGAAGGGAAAACTAAAGAGGAAGGTAAGAGTTTTATCTTCTTTTGTAAGAAAGATCAGCCTGTCTGGGTCTAGAGTGCTAAACTAGAGACAAAGCACTAAAGCCAAGTGTGATGTGCAAAAATTAAAAAGAGAAGTTCCTCAACTTCATGTAATAAAAGGACTTTAAGAAAGTCTAGTCTACAGATCCAAAGTTTGGTGTGTTAAACACCTAGGGAACAATCCCTTCACTCCTAAGCACACTGTCTTACAAAAGTACTGGCCTCAGTTGTTCAAAAAGCAGATTGCGTTATCCACTAGATGGAAGGAAAACTAATAAATTGCTTATATAGTGGGTAGAGGTTTATCTAGTGGATGGAGCTATCCACTTTTGAACAACCAGGGCCCATTGCATTACAAAATGCAAAAAACTTTGCGCTGTTTGTTCTAGGATCAGATGGGGAAGACTCCACTGAGACATCAACTGTAGATGATGAAGATGACACAGCATCCTCAACATCTACCAGCCCAGCCAAGAAGAAAAGGAGGACAGAAGTCAGTAATAAATCAACTTGCAATTATTCAAATAAGGAGGAAATTAATAACAATGATCATTGGGATACTAGTACATCTAGAGAGAAGAAAAATCTCAAAAAGAGGCAAACCAATAAACAAACATCAGAAGATGAGGACAGAGAGAAAGCCAATGAAGCTAAGAACAAAGAATCCTTCCAAATAAAGTCTGTTGTTGTCAACAGTGATGAGGAAAAATCAAGCAAGAAGAAAGTGATGAATGACAATAGTGCACAGTTTAATGGCAGAAAGAGAAAGTCTGTAGAATCTAGTGATGAAGAAGATGAGGAGAACAAGGAACAGGAGATTGAAGAGGAAACTGTGTTTATGTCAAACAAAGAAGTAACACACAGAATTGATGATGAGGATGATTATGCAAATTCCAGCAGCAGTGAATCAGTTGAGGAGGATCAGAAACAGCAGACTGGAAGAAAAAAATCAAGAAGGGTTAGCCAGAGCCTAGATGAAGATATTGATAGATCCAAAAAGAAAAAACTGAAAAAGAAATCAAAGGTGACTCATTGACACGGCATATAAAAACAAGGGTTTTTGTTATATTCACTGTATATTTTAGTAATCTATTTCTCCTTCAAAAAGTTGTTGAAGATTATTATCCTTTTTTTCCTTAACAAAACAGACTAGTCCTGGTTCTGGACAAAGAAAGAAGAAGTCCTCACCGCCTTCTGAAGACAGTGCAAAGCTGCGTAACCTGAAGAGATACGCTAGAACTTGTGGAATGCATTTTAAATATGTTGATATTTTTGCTGATTGCAAATCCATGTCCCAGAAGGAGAGAAAGTTAGACAAATTGATACGAGACAGAACTGGGTTTGAAGGTAATGCATTCCGAAGATCGTGTTATGGTACCATAAATCCTCTATTAAGCCCCTTTTCAAATAAGGTCCCCCCTTTTCAGGGGAAGAAAGTTAATAAGCCCCCTTCTCTTTTAAGCACCCCTCTCCCCCCATTATTATTCTTCACTAATAAATTTTAGACTATATTAATCAATCATGACTTTAAAACTTCGTGTGAACTGATCTGGGATGGTTTATTCACCAGCTGGAACTTCGGATTCGTTTCTGATCCTCTGTTGCATGGCTTCTAACTTCTTGTACTTGAGCTTTTTTTACTTTGTATTATGGCTCTTTATGGAGAACTGATACCATCATCTTTGCTAAATAAAATACGCCTCCCTCTCAATTAAGCCCCCCCATCTCTATTAAGCCCCCCCCCCCCTCCTCAAATGTGTTTGTAATACAGTCAAACCTCCACTAACAGCTACGTTTCTACAACAGCCACTTTTTTTTGTCGTGGCAGACTGTCCATACATTGACTCTTTTTTAAACCTCTCTCCACAATAATGGCCTCTAAAGCGTGTTCCCAACTGCCAAAATAACCTTGACAATTCCAGTTTTGTCATTGACTGTTGAAAAAGTCAGGAATGGTCACGAAATTTTATCCGTAAGGCATGTTGATGATTAATTGCAGCAACGTATTTTGATTGTGCTCCATTTATACTGCTGCAGTAAGCATAAATTGTCTACGATACTTGTTCATTTTGTGATGTTAACATTTTGATTCAAAACCCTATTCAAGTTTTTTTTGTGTGCATTTTATCTCTCTGTATATTATTTATGATTGGATTAACATTATGGGATTCAGTAAGCAAGAAAGTAGCACAATAAACATGTTGTACCCCCTAAGAAGAATTTGTCAGATGACACCCCTACTCCCCCACAATGGCCACCACTCTACAATGGCCACTTTCTTCTGCCCCCAAGGTGGCCATTGTAGAGAGCTTGGACTGAAATTAAGCCTCCCCCCATGGGGTATAATAGAGGGTTTACGATATTTTATCCCATGCAAATTTTTCACTTTAGCAACAATTCTCTAAAGATGTCTTAAACTGCACGAACATCTTTTGAGTCATGTTAATAGATATTTTCTTGTGTGTTTAGGAAGGATAACACTTCAAATGTGTGTGAAGTACAAGAAAAAGAAAGAGGAAGAGGATGAAGTAGCTGAGCTGGACTGTAGAAACATTATCACAACTGGTCAGTATTTGCCACTGGTTTATATATTTGATGAAGTAATCTTTTAATAGGTTAGGTCATGGCATTTTTGGAATGACTTTGCTTATTTTGTGAACAAGCATTTTAAGAATTAAGTATCAGTGGAAAAAAACGCCTTTCAGCGGAAAAGTCATTGCCACTTAATTATGGTTACTAAGCTTATATATTATAAGTGACATACTTTATACAAATTGAGAAAACTTGACAGGCTGTTTTTGAATTTTATCTTTATTATATCCGTTTTAATCTTCAGTTTCACCTCCTTTTTGTGAATTTCTCTTGTGTTCCTCTGAAGTTTGAGGTAGCTGATAATTCTGTGTTTGTTTCTCCAAAGTAGCATGATTATGGCGGCTCATAAGCTGACTGGCTGTATTCCTAAAATTTGTTACCAGAGAAGGATTTCAATTGCTAGTTTTTAATGTATATAGCTTTAACTGATAAGTTCTAATTCATCCTGTTGTTGCATCTTCACTTACAGATAGCAACGGTCGCCGTCCAACAAGAAGCGCACGTACAGGTTCAGTGAACCAGCCATCCGCCAGCGCTACCAACATTAACACAGAAGCCGGCCCAAGTGTATTCAGTCGTCTTAAGGGAATAGTGGATAGTGATGAAAGTGAAAGTGATTCCGCAAATGAAAAGAAATCAGAAAAACAAACACAACATGATTTTGATGTCAGGGAGGAGGACATTAATGAAAATAAAAAGAAAAGGCGAAGGGTAAACAGCAATTCAGACGAAGATGATGACTAGGAATTTGTCTCAATGCTTTATGCCGCGCATAAGTTGTACCAAGCCAGAACAGTTTTTAGTTGATTGTGGTAGACCTAATATCAGAGTCTCTATCAACTTCGACCATTTTAAGTCAAAGCAGCTCAAAGTCATTTACTGTTTTAAGCCTGAAAATGACTGCAGCTTGAGTAAAACAAGGAAAATGCAATTTCTACTGATGATACAGAGTTTTACAAGTTTAATGAAGTTACTTGAACGTATTACCGCTTACAAACTTTCAGGTCTTTCATTCATATCCGATAAATGATAGTGTGGCAAAAATTGTATAAATATGTAAAAAACAAAACTATTACTTTATTTTCTTCCATGTTCTTGATCTGCATAGAACCTGTAAAATTTCAATAGAACTTTTAACAGCTGACACTCTAGATATTTACAACCATAAACGTAACACCAGAGACTTTTCATGCGCGGTTTTGTTCGGTTTCGGTTAAGTCTCAAATATCGCCGGGATAGTGACCCGCGAGAAAATCAGAGAAAATGCGTCGGCGCGCGAGAAAGAAAACCCTCTGGTACCCAGGATAACACCCCAACAGCGAGATCTTGAATTTGTTTACCTTTCCAGCAGGTCTGGTAAGATGTTAAAAGTTCTAGACCTTGCTTAAAGCTCACGCTGACATCCCTAATGAGAACGCAGGCTTGATGAGAACCCATCAAGGGCATGTTTCCAGGCTCCGTCACCCTTTTCCCTCCCCAGATCTAGACTACCTTTCGGCTCGCTTCGCTCGCCGATTTCTTTTTTCGCCCACGCCGACCTTTTTTCCCCTTTTTCCCCCAAGGCAGAGCCTGGTTCCAGGCTAGTGAAAATAGCGCTTTGTTTAACCCAGTTTATAAAACACGTGCGCCCTCCTTCGAAACCAAATAAAAATATCACCTCCAGTGACCCTCAAATCAATGTCTTACTATTACTGCTAAAGCACTGCAGAACGTTTCGTTACGAAATTTACAGCCACGAAAAAACGTGACCCAGTAACGTTAACAACAGCTCTTTCGTAGAAAAATCGTCTCGTCAATCTCAGACTGATAGTGCATCAATGTTAAAACTTTGACATTATTAAAACTTTGTTAGTAACAGTGTGTTATTACAAGATCTTTATATTTTGGGGGACAAGGAAAGTTGTCATACTTAATCTCTTTAATTTGAGTTTCCGTTCAACTTTTCCGGTGTCCCTCCCTGCGTGCTACCCTCCGCGGGCTACGCTCCCCCTTTTGTTACTTGTTTTCTCATCACCGACAATGCACCCTAGCTGAAGGAGATACTCAGATATGAGTGGTGCACAGTAGCTGTGTTTATCGTTGTAAATTGTTGTTGATGCTGCTGTTGCTGTTGTTGTTTTGCCCTGCGCGCAGTTTTTTATGTACGTGTAGACACTTCATTGAGCTGTATATGAACGGTCCCTTGATATTATCTACAGTTGACCTGCAGTGGATGCTGGGAAATAAACATGGCGGGAAAGTCAAATCACTTCGAAGTGTGTGGAATTTCTTCAAATTTGTGCCATTTATTTGCCTTGTGTGTCAACGTTATATGGACTAACAGCTAAAAGGATATTCTTATTTGTGATTTGAAATGAGAAACCATAAAAAGCGCACTGCGAGAAAGGGAAGAACGGCCTCTAGCGTGACGCAGAAGAGGGATCGAACAGCTGAACGAACAACTGGTAGGTTTCATTTCAGTCTGTTTATATTAAAGCAACGTGAGCTTTTAGCTTTAAAATTAGAGAGTTGCTTTTAACTTAAGTCTAAATTAATCTTATTTGATCTTTTGTTATTACAACGTTTTCCTTAAGGATACACATGAATGAGCTTTGAAGATTTTTTTAAATTGATTAAATTATTTTACACGTCAATTCAAGGGCCAGTTTTATTTTCATTTCGCTGACAGTTTATAGAATCATACATTTTTTCAGCTCCTCGCATTCATCCCAGTCGTGGATCTGATCTTGAGCAAGTCCCAGTGGTTACCAGCCTACCCCCTGCTGTGGATGGTCATCTCAGGTGTTTTCTGCGAGTGTCTGTGCAAACAATTCACTGGAGAATACCAAAGTATCCTGATGACGTTCAAGTACGACTTAAATGGTGGGGTGAAGAAGGGGATGGAGTCTTGTTCAGGTGATTACACACACCCGGGGTACTGCCATATATGGGCTATATAGGTATGTGCCGCTGTGAAGGGTATGGTTTTCAAGCAGTGTACCCTAGGATAGGGTGTATAAATCAGAGCGTTTGGGACTAGAATAGGGTATCATTTTTCAGGAAACTGATCAGTTGGTTGAAGATTTTGTCTAGACTAGGTAAACAGCTACTCTAGGATAGGGGGATCTGGGGAGTTTACTCTAGTATAGAGTAGCAAAATTCAGCTGAACTAGCTCTGGTATAGGTTAAGGGTTCCAGGGTCCCAGCGGCACATCCCCAACCAGAAATTCCTAAAGTACCCCCCGCCCCGTGGGATTACACACAATTATTTAAACTATGAAAGTCACCGTTCTGCCCACAGGTAAAAAGTGTAGAGTATTAATATTTGCATATCAAACAGCACTAAATTGAATGACTGTAATAAATTTTTGTCCTTATCATTTATGATTTATTAGGCCCAGAGATGACAAAGCAACTGACCTATCACATGTTTCGAAAACATTTACCTGTGTTCGCTATGCTGTATGTAGTGGTCCCAAACAATTCAGCGCTTACTTAAAAGGTATTTTAAATCAGCTGATGGGATTTCAGAAATATCTACATTGTAACCTTCAAAGGTTTTGGGTGGCAGGGGCTTTTTATGAACCTGTCAAGAGAGAACAGCTTAAAATGATATTTAAAACAAAACAGTATTTCCTGTAATAAGACTGTAGTGAGAAGTAAATTTCTTGTTTAGACATGGGATCACTGATATTTGATGTAGTTCATGGTCCTTCGCTGATATTGTTGGGACATGTTCGACTGGCAGATGTCACACAGCTTTCTGCAAGTGATCCTATCCAGGGGTAAGTTCAAAGCTATAGTAAATCCTAGGTAATATATCCAGATGGGTAAGTTGAAAAAAGCTATAGCGGGTAAACTGAGGTGTTTCATGCAAGTTTAACAGAACAAAACTAGGATGCAAAAGTTTTTCATTATTTTAAGGTATTTTCTTTGTAAATTATTAATGAGTTTTTTATTGCACTGATTTTTGTTGAAGTTACTGTCAAACTTACCAAACTGTAAACACCTAAAATATTAAGGAATGTTTGTTTCATGACCAATCACAGTGACGACCAGGACATCCAAACAAGTCACAAAACTACAAATGCTGTCAGTAATAACTGTTGCTGCATGTGGCTTAGTTTCCCACACCTGATTTGCTCCTCTCTTGTAGCACAATAACATTCCAGAAATATTTCTGGAGCTTGTAGTTTTGAGTTTGACAGTACAATACTAGTTAGCTATGGTTGAAAGACCTGGTTTTGGCTCCATTTCTTATTGTGAAATGAAAAGCATTGGCTACTTTTTTCCCAAAATAAAAGTAACAATTGTAAGAGAAGAAGTGCCTTTATTTACCATACATTCATTTGTACACACATAACCTATTACATTACTACAAGGCAGGAGATCAAGCAAACTCTGTAGAGCTTTTAGATGATCTCTGCAATGAAAGATCCCTTTAAACCTTTTTACTCTGTCAATTTTGCTGAACTCAAACCACCTGCCCAAAGGAAACTACTGGAGAAAAGACAATTCCTTGCATTATGTCTCAAGCTGAGTGGATTAACTTACAGACTTAACAGGTTGTGATTTATCTTTGATATTGTTTTAGCTTCTTTGATGTCATTTCCTCAACTTCACCTGGTGCCAAAATAGCCCTGTTGTACATCACTTTAAGATTTGAGTCAATATCAGGTAACTATCTAACATCAACTCATACAAAGTCAAGACTGTGTTTTAAGAAAAATTGAAGGGAGCCCATTACTCTGAACGTGTGAATCTCATTTTCTTGACTTCTATAGCTATAACAAATGTTCATATTTTAAACTCTTCCAGCAGCATACAACCAGATATCATCAACCATACCAACAGTAGACGTGGAAATGGATGCACAAAGGAGACGACCTTCTGATGAAAGTGATGTCCAGCCTACTCCTCCCCCTCTCTCCTTAAACCCTGCCACACCCATCACCCATCCTAGACTGACTGCACAGGACACTGACCTCTTTGTGTCACCAGCACCCCATACTAAGGTATATTATATTACTGGTATACTTACTCTCTTATCTGATTCCCAGTAGCATGCCCAGTGGTCATTGTATAGTAATGTACCAATTCAAAGATTCATTGTGAAGATACAAGATGAGATCATGATATCCTGGGATTTGTTATGCCCCAGGACACTGCATGTCTTAGTGCCCCTTTCCCAGTGCATTCAAAATTTCTGTTATAATTTCCTGTGTTTAAAATGTTATTTAAGTGTTGACTTTTATAAGCTGCAACTTTTTTTGTTAATTTTAAGTGAAAGTTACTGTTCAAAATTAAATTCAGGTTAAAACTTTTCAACCCAGGTTGATTCTCAGTTTCCTATTTTTTTCTCAATGCCCTAATTCATGAATAATTAGCACTAGGACACAAAAGAAATAGATGATCAACCTGCTGAATGTCTGTTGTTTTTTAGGTTGTCAAGTTCGCTCCAAACAGTCCTGAGCGATTAGAATATACAGCAGAACAATCACAAGAAGCAACTGATGGAAGGGAAGTTGAGGACACCTCAGAGAAAGGTTTATACACATTTCATTGAAAATATAGTTTGGCAAAGTTTTCAATGTATGTTTCAAGTTAAATGGACCAAAACAGATTTATTATAAAGATTGTGGGAGGTGCATGGACTGTCTGGACCTAGCAGATTACCGGTATATTAAACTGACCAGTCCATGCTTTAAGAAGGAAATGTTAAAAAGATGTCATTATATGGCTACAATAGTAATGCACACTCTGATTGGCTGCTAACTGGGCAAGATTTTCTTATAATGACCGTGCATTACTAGCTAGGTGTCCAATGAGGTGTAGTGCTTTTTTAAAGTTATCCGCTAACCAGTTATTAGTTTTAATCGATCACAGGCTCAGGCCCATAATTTCTCATAGGCAAAGACTGAGCAGTAGTGAGGTCAATACATCAAGGCCGAGTTCTGAGATTTCCCTGTAATGACTCTACTCTTGGTTTTATAATACACAGTGTAATAGGCAAGTGATGAATTGTAAATCCTGAAGTTTTGCTATCCAAGCCAAGTAATGAATAGATCATTTTTGTACTGTATAAAATATAGGATACTATGAAAGAACATCAGCATCTGAGTCAGCCTCAGTTAGCAGTCAAGAGCAAGTCCATGGACCGCATACCAGAGTGTCATCTGATCTTATTGGTGCATTACTTAAGCGAGGAGAAAAGCTAAGAGAAGCAATGGTGACAACAGCTGATGAAGACAATGAATTAGATGAACCTGGGGTACTTGGTACATTTGTGGAAAGGTCAGTTGTTACGTTATAAAATAATGGTCTTATTGATATACTGTTACATCCTTTTGTCTTGGATTATTTAAGCCCTAACTTTGACCAGAATCTAATTTTTCATTACTAACAATGAAATGTAACTGCCAAAGTAATCAAGCATAGGTAACTAGCCAGATTGTCAGAAAGTTTTGAAGTAGACAGCTGAGTTGTCAAAGAAAGCAGCCAGTCTTATTTATTAGGATCACTGGACATGTATAAAGAATAGTCTTGAAAATCTCCTTACTGATTTTAGGGTTCAAAAGGATTTATAACAATCAGACACAGGAAGCCAAAAAATAATCTCGTTTGCTTGAAAATTGTTTTCACTCAAAGAAAAAATTGGAGCCATGACAGACCCTAAATTTTCTTGCTTACTTCCTTTGTTTAAAAATTAAGAGAATTCTTACTACCTGGTATCCAATATATTGTTTAATTATTCTAAGTTGATCTTTATTATTTTAGCACTACACCTCCTGGTAAACTGTTCAAGGCAATTCTTACCTCAAATGAGGGCGATATTAAACCTGACTCACCTGGTGAAGATGAGAGTGCATTGATTGAATCAGTGTTTTTACATAATGATAAAGCTGTTGACTTAGTGCTTGGTGAAGAAGATCCACATTTTATGATGAACTCCTCTGACTCCTCACCTGAGAGCAGTGTAGTTAGTGAGGCTGGAGAACCACTCTATGATGAGTCACTTTTGAAAGATTTGTTTTACACTACACCGGTAGGTTTAAAAAATGTTTACTTGACAAAGTTGATCATCTTACTTAAAAGCTGATCATGTTAAAACCAAAACAAAATTTGCATGATTTTAATGGAAGGCTACTTTAACTGTGAATATGTCTGTCACCATTGACCATGCGAGCGAAACTTTATTGCGTTAATTTATTGTGTCAGTGTATCAAATCTTTTCATGGTAAGGCAATTTTTTAAATTTTCTTCTCACCATGAGAGCGGTCATTAGAATGAAGAAATTATATCCCACACAAAAAATCTCTTTATTTCAATTTTTAACAACCTGTTGTAGTTTCCACAAGAAATAAAATGGAACATGAAAAATAAAATGTATGCTCATGCACACACATTTTTAAGATGCTATTTTTTTAAACTGTATTCAGGCAGTGGCTTCAGATACAGAGTCGGATAATACAGTCAGCACTGATGATGATGATGATGATGAGCAACCTCTGACTCATGTCACGTCTTTAAAATCAAGAAAAGAGAAAAAGGTAACTCGTTCTTATATATTAAATGTGTTTGTATCTGTAATTCATTGATACATTTGGGGAAAATAATGGCTATTATAAATTAATGTGCAGTTAAAATCAACAAATTTGTCGATTCATGATGGCAATGTACATCCATCTCTTTTTGTGCAATTGTTATTAAAACCGTTGTTAAACATCCATTGAGGATACTGCCACGGTAAACTGTGAAGGGTTTTATGTTCAATATGTATCCTATTTTGCAGAAAACCAGGACAGCAAAGGGCAGGCAACAATTTCCGCAGCAATTACTCATACAAGAACGTGATGAGAAAATCCAAGATGTATCAAGTGTGGAATATATTGATCCCAATCAAACCAATAATAGTGATACCCCTGAAAAATATAGAGGTGATCTGTCTTCATTTGAATAAATAATGCCTCAAAAGAAATTATCATGTCCATAAATTCATTTTCTCAGAACAAAATTCCCAAGAAATGGTTCTTGTAAAAAAATGTCAACAAAGAAAAAAAAAAAACCAGACAATGGCACACAGCCTATGGTTCACACTGCTGGTGGAATCAATAAAACCTTCCCCAGAGTCCTCAAAAACTCTTTTGGTGGAAAAATGACACACCAATTGTGGTTTGTTTTCCCTTTTGTAGAATCATTTAATATCTTTCTTTTAGAGTTTCAACTATCACAAAAGATGACTCAGAGAATATATACGTAGTATAATTATTTTAAGGTCAGCTTTGACCAAAAAATGTGGAATTCACCAACGATGTCATCCCTTTAAACCAGCCCTTGTAACCACTACATTATCTTGTATCCTGTGACTTTTATTTGTCTGTAGTCCTGATACCTGTATTTTTCCCATTGTACAGGTCACCACAGTCCAACAAATAGTTCTGCAGATTCATTTCCATCAACTAAGAACAGCAAGGAGTCAAGTCCAAATCCTCATGAATTCATTGAAAATATTGGTCCTGAGAAACTGACTGCATTGGGTAGAGTTGATGCTGCTCGTGTTATTGTAGATAGTCTTGGAGTCAATGGAGATAATGTGAAGTCAGGGTAATAATGTCTGTATTTGTGATGGCGAGTTGTTAATAATGTACTGTTAGTTGATCAGAGTTAGTGTCACACCTGACATTGACACTTAGATCGAGTTGCATACTCCACTGAGAACAGCAACCCCTACAGATATAACTGCCTCTTCTCATTATTTTTGTTCAGGACATACTTTGTTGAGTACAGCTTCCCTGCTTCAATGCTTACACAAAGACAAAAAGAAAACATATCTATGGCAACAGAACTAACCAGAATTGCATCAAAAAAGCTCCAAGATGCAGGTAAAATCTCATCGCTTGACAATAGCAATCAACATGGCTGGTCTAATAAAGGTGGTTTTAGGTTCAATACCTCAAACACCAGTTACAAATGTGTGTTTTAAAATATTCATTTAAATTAGGCAGATTAACACCAATATGATGGATGACTTATTAACAATGTCATGTAGACAGACTAGTTATCTGTATTGTTTTTGGCTGCTGTGTAGGGTTTTAATGAATAGATTGTTTTGTTTCTCTCTCCAGAAGTATCATTCAACCATCGCTCAGTGTTCCCAGCACTGTTTAATTCAACTGTGATAGATTACTGGTGGAGAAGACCACTGACCTTCAGAGTTTACTTTAGAGAGTCAGGAAAGAGAATGGTACATTGCTATTTAGAATGGTTGAGAATTTGTAGGATAGCTACAATCAGTTTCAAAATTGTTGACACATTGAACTCAAGTAGGGTAACTTCAGAGAACAAAACAATCCACACCCCTCCCCCTCCCCTCCTAGAAAGGTTGGGGTGTTCTACAGGTAGCTTAAACAGGAGCACAACATTGCATGGAGGGAGGGGATCATGGGAAAGGAAAAGCTTTATTTTCCCTTTTTGAAGTCAGTCAAGAAAAGAAAAGACCCTTTAGGGCAAAATGTCTCAACTAATCTTGCACTGATTGTAGGCTTAAACACACCTGGCTGATAGCAGGCCCAGATGTAACTCTTCTGTTTGAATTACATGAATACAGTGTAATAATTTTACCAAGTAAGTTGACACTGTATTTCTGTTTAAGCCTGTAGTTGTTGGAGTAGCAACCTTTCCTCTCAAGACAGTTCTTCAATCTGACACTCTCAGCTCATCAGCATCTTTGCAAATCAAACGCAGTGTGGATCATATTAGACGTGAAGAATCCAGTAGTTCATCGTCAGTGTATCATGCTTCCTCCTCAGATGATCATCCTCTTTATGGGGTATCATTTGGTCCCTTATTGGTAAGTGCAGGTACTCCAACCAAGTGTAAAATCAACAGTTCTTTCTCATGGCAGTCCACAAAAAATACTAAAGAAACATGTCTCTGACATTTTTATAACAGCCTTCTCAAAGTCATTAATAATTCATAAAGAAAATACAAAGGAAATTAATGTTTAATAGTGTTTGGAAATCAGATGAAGAACTGCTCATTTTTGCATCCTTAATTTATCCTTCTAAAATCATTTTGTTTGAGAAGTAATATCAAGCATTTGACACAGTGTTTCATCACCAGATGAAACGCTTCGAAGTTCGTCAAAAATACTGTGCTGTGCATTGTATTTTCAAGTCTCTTCTCAGTGTTTTATCTGGTGATGAAACACTGCATCTCATGCATGATATATTACTTGAAACATGATGCTGTCAATAACACCTACCTTTAAATTTAGACAGTTCCTTGTGGATTGGTAGGGTCAACATGTGTCATCATTTTTTCCTGCCTTAAGTAATATTATTTTACTGTTTCTTAATATAGGTAAAAGTGGAATTAATGACAGATGGAAAGAAGCTTCATGTAAAACCAAGCACTCACAAGAAGCCCCCTCTTCCAGCCACAACAACACCAACAAAGACAGCAGACCATTTACAGGTTACAAAACCTGCTCAAATTGTTGGCCAGGTTTTTCATAAAACATCTCATAGTACAACCAAGGCTGCCAGCCTGTCAGACAAAATGTTGCTCCAAACTTCTTCTAAATTTGACAGAGTTGATGAACCTGAAAGAGAGCCTTTAACACTTTTCCTGCTACTTTGGATACCTGAAGGCAAGGATCTCATCCAACATGGTTACCATAGTAACCAAGGGCTTGTTACTAAAAACAACTTATACCTGGTTTGCCGTATGTTTTGGTGTGATGAGTTATCTAAATCAAGAGTGTGCTGGGGATCCGCAAATCCATCTTTTGGCTTTAAGCAGGTAGGTCCAACCAAGCAAAATGAGAAACAGATCTGATGAAGTGAGCCATCCTTTGGTGCAGAATGACTTGCATACATACAGCTTATTTAAGCAAGTTACATTTAGTTTAATAAAAATAATAACATTTATTTATACCGCACAAATTCAGCTATGCAGTTTTCAAATGCGCCAAAGATTGTTAGAAAATGTTTTGTTTAGGAATTTCTGTTAATCACCAACCAAAGGTCATACATAGCCTACAAACTCAGTTGTAAACCTCTATTATCTCCTAATCTTGAACACTACGCGGGGCAGGTCAACATCAGCTTAATTATAACCAGTGGCACTGAACCATATATTTCAATATGTTTAGGTTGCCCCAGTGCTACTAACCTCATCTCTGCTGCAACGAGTCTGTAATAACTTTATGGTGATTGAAGTTTGGAACAGGATTGCTTCACAAGACCATGGTGACCAGGTGAAGTGGGAAGAAAACAAACAGTACTTATGTGTTTGTTTGTGAAAAGTGTGTTTGTATTTATCTATGTTGCATGCTTGTGATAGTGAACCAACAAATGCCAAAACGATCATTTTGCTCTTTAATGATAACTCTGTCCACCTATTGTGAACATTTCCTAAATTATCTAGTATATAATTATTCCTATTTGGGAAGCAAAAGATAATAATTTTCTTTTTTTCTAACTTAAGTTGGTAGGACTTGTGAAGTTACCGTTGCACCAGCTGTACTTGTCATACAGGGATCCCAAGATCACTAAAACGCTACTCAAGTCTAAGGTAACTAACACATTCTGTCTCTGATCACTGACGGCAGTAATAAGACAATAGCTTGTTCCAATCAGTTATCAATGTCTACAAGTTAGTGGTAGGTTAGATCCAACAATCTGAATTGCGATTTACTTGTGAATATTTAATTGGCTTTTATTGAATAATAGTATAAAGGGTTAAATATCTCAAGTCCTTTCTGCAAAAGCAACTTCCCGTTTGGGAAGCATAGTCTTACTGCTGTCTTCTTTGAGTGAGTTATGTTTGTGTGTGAGTTTATTGACTGATGGCAAAAATGGCTTCCTTGTTTCTTTCAGTATCCTGTTGTGGCCTTTGATGAGTGGAGTTCTGTTACTAATCCATTTACTCACATCCAGCATGGTCAACTAAGGGTCCTTTTAGCCATTGGCTTAGAGGAGCAGGTAATTTTGTGCACCATAACATTGGATTGTATTAGCCCGCAGATCTATGTAACCTGATCAGCAATGTCTGTTTGGGAGGATGCCAGTCACGCTGGAGGATTTCTTTTTTATTTTGTTTATTTATACTAGGACTGAAATACTGAAACTCTGGTTGAAATTATTGGGTCCTTAAGTAACTGGTTTTCCTTGCTGTTTTGCATAGCCTTACTGTTATAAGGTTGGGTGGAAGTGGGTTAGGGTTAGTTACATGCATGTTAGTAGGCTGTAGGGATGTCTGCGAACTCTTTCCTTTTTTTTTGTTTCAGATTGCTGCCATTCTGGCTATGAAATGTGGAGGAGATCTTCCAGTGGGCATTAGTAATTTATGTCCAGATCACCATCTTGACAATCAAAGGTTAATTTGTAAAATTGTTAAATCACAGTTTTTACATAATCTCCAGTGAGGTACATTAGTGAGGCATTGTGGTCAGTCCTCTAGTATCCTCATGATCAATGCAGCATTTTTGTTGAGCAGTTATTGACTTACATCTTTTTTAATTCAATTTGTAGAGTGAGCAGTAGAGATGACCATAAAGGTTTGCAAGAACTTGGTAAGATAGTGAACTAACCTCTTAACTATCTCTACGTCAGTTACAAGCTAAACCACATATCCTAACAGACTCTTAGAAACTTACTGCCAAAAACTGTGAGCAGTGTGGTTATTTGGTGGCTACTTTTAATGTGATTAATCGTCTGAATGAAGGCACCCTGGTTTTGAGAGAGGGTTGAAGATGATTTGTTGTGCTTTCTTGACAGTCGAACATCAGTTTGAGATCACAGTTGAGGACATAAGAGGCTTGTGTGTGTTTGGCAGCACTGTTTGGGGTGAAACAGACTGTTTTGTGCAGTATCACTTTCCATTCCAGAGGGACTTGCAACATAGTGATTTTTCAAGTGATGGTAAGATCTCAATTTCTTCTTTGCCAAGTGAAAGGCCATTTACACTCTGGAATGGAATAATTCCTGTGATATTTTTTTTAAGCGATCCCAATCCTTCAACCACATCGCACCCCTACAACACTGTGTGTCCCTGATCCAGCGTTCCATGATGTCACAAGACATGCTTTTAAGCTTCCACAAGGTTTCCCAGTCCAGAGACACTTGCTGGCAGCATTCACCGGCTCAAGACTGGCTGCTACATCTGTACCAGGGTCAGGTGGAGTTCCTTTTGAACTGTGGAGAAGATACTATTACCCAAACATTAGAGACCAGATGGTGGCAAAGGTGGGTTGCTATCTAGATTCAATAATATAATGATAACATTATGCTCAAAAAAATATACAAATTTTGACTATATAAATGCTGATTAAGCTACTTATTTTATCTAATTACTGTACAGCTTTACATAAGACGTTTACATGTTCAGAATGGCATTGCAGAGTCGCCATTATTGAGTAGCACAGAAAGTTAAGGCCGTTTTGATGATGCATACCTTCTGTAAGTTTATATGATTGAGTTTGGGCAGTGAAATCCTCATAGAAGCACTCAGAAAAGAAGTCTTTTATTTTTATTGTACTGCTGTTTTAAATGCCTTTGGAACTTCTTAGGGGTAATCCTGTTGTACATTCTTCTAATCCAGGCCAGTCTTCCACTTGCAAAGCTCTGTGCAATGGTGACAATGCAGAAACAAGGTGAAGCTAACATCCAGAGCTTCTCTTTGCCACTGACAGTCCTTGCTGGTGATGAGGTGGATGGCATGCGACAGGACAGGGTCCGTGACACTGGGCTGCTTGATGTTACTGTAAAGTATCAGCAGGTGGTATCCAGGCATCTTAAAGAAGGACAAACGACCCTGAAGGAAGATGACAATCAAATTTGTCTATCACTTGAAGTGATTCAAGCTTGTGGTCTAAAGGTGAATGGTCTTTGGACATCCTTCACAATTAGCAAAGAAGACAGATAGCAATTAATTGAAATAAATTATTGCCATCTCAATATTAATATGAATGTGGTCATTGTAACGTTGGTGAAGCATCAAAAAGGTTTTTTTGCATACTTGCTCCACCATTTTCTTCTCGGTGTACTTTATTTGCTGCTTTTTCATTCTTTCAGCAGCTTGTCCCCCTGGGAAAGGCACAGACTGATCCTAGACTATCAATTAAGCTGTATTTTCCTTTCAAGACTGCATAATTAGTCTTTTACCAACACCAAACATCTCCTCATGTACTTTTAACTGTGTTGTTGCTTCAACCACAGGCAGCAGCAAGTCTACATGCCAGATCAAACCCAAACCTATCATACCCTGCCAAGGTTGGTGTCAATACTTATATTGTGATCCATTTCCCATTTGGACGAAAGCGTAAACATGTGACGAGGACTGTGGCAAGAACATTTAGCCCTGAGTTCACCTATAGTGCAGACCTGTTGTTACCGATAGTATTGCCAGCAGGCGTTGGAGGAAAGAAACAGCTAAGCTTAGCAGAACAACTGGAAGACTCTGCAATCGTTTTTGAAGTTTGGTTAGTATTCAGGTTCATTTTTCTTTTGCCTGAGAAACATTTCCCTGAGAAATGCCACCTCAGGCCCTGGTTGTTCAAAAGCTTGATAGTGCTTTCCACTAGATAAATCTCTGTTCAGTGGTTAAGTACATGTATTTGGGAAACCAAGTGCGTTATCCACTGGATAGCGCTCTCCTCCTTTTGAACAACAAGGGCCAACACTTTTTATTAGTTAATGGAAAGCAAATAGAAGAAGAGCTAGGGTAAAGCTTTCATTGAACAATCACATACCATGTAAGTGGCTAAGGAGTGTTAAGAAATGTTTCTCATGACTTCGGGGTTTGAATTAGCCAGGTGGAAAATAGAGGATTTACAGTTAGGAAAACTTACAAAGTATTACTTCTAACCAGGCATCAAATGTCACGAGGGATGAGTGGTAACCAGGTGACAAGATCAGGTGACTATGGCAAGGGTGGTAGGGAAGGAGACGTGTTGCTAGGTGTGGGACGAGTACCACTTATTATGCTTCTCACACGTAAGACAGGTTAGTCCGTACTTTATTTGAGAACATTTTACGTGCAACTGTATTCATAAAGTTCAGTTGTAGAATTGTCACCATCCTTGATTGAAAGTGGTAGCATGCTATTGGCTCTAGGGAAATCTGGTTTCCATTTTGTACTGACTATTTGTGGTCGCTTTATGACATTAATGTAAAATTTGTGTTATTCAGGAGTCAAAGGATGGTACCCAATATACCCTCCTACTGAAAGCGACGTTCATGATGCGTCCTCTCATGATGACCCTGAAAAGACCATCGGGGGAGTGGAACTACGCATTGGTTTCTCTGAGAAAGAAGACAGAGATCATGTCGTACATATTTCAAGAGGAGTTGGTTGGTCACCATCACCTGGGGTAGAATATATTGACGACAGGTTAGGTGAGGATGAAATGTCTAAAGAGGGACACTGGGAGTTCTGCTTGAAAATTAGCAAGGCGTGGATTCCTCCTTCAGAAATGAATTCCATTAACACCGCAACAAAGAAAGAGGACAGGAATGTAAAGGCTTATGCAAGATATAAGCTCCATAACAAAGGTATGGACAGGATTATGTCATACATTCTCCATTTGTATGTATGTATGTATGTATGTATGTATACCTAATTGGCCACTCCCCATTGGGGCTTTTCAGGACCAATGTAAACAAATAGTGATAAATAAACATATAAAGGTTAAGAATCCCAACTGGCGGGAGGCAGACCAGTTGGCTATTTACAAGCGTAGACGAGAAGTTGAACTTGGGGCTACCAAGAACAACATCAGCTAGCGGTCAGAACGGGATTTGAACCCGCAACCTACGGATTTCAAATCCGACGCTCTAACCACTCGGCCACGCTGCCTCCTGGATTTCATTCCTCCATTTCAGTTGTTTGTTTATATTTTGTCTATGATGCATATTTGTCCCAGACATCTTTATTGCATATAATTAATTTGTCTGTTAAGATTGGTGGTAAATCAGAAGGAACTATTTGACTGAATTATTACATACCTTATTGGGATCACCTTACTGCCTTTGTTATTTTTCCATGTAGCTCCCATTGTCTCACGATTAACACCTGTCAGAGATAGTGGGGATGGTAAATTCATCTGCGAGCTGAAGCACTGCAAAGAAATCATGTTACCAGAGACGCCCTCTGTCACCTGGTACATGAGGGAAGAGAATTTAGAGATCCAAGTCTGGCTAAGTAAGAGAAGACATGATGCTGATAGCAACTCAAGAAAAAGAGACAGATTAATGGGCTCGGCGTTTGTAGATGTTTCATCTATTCTTATCAGCCAGCAGAGGAAACGTAGGCAAATCAGGTTTCAATCCATTAAAATGTTTGGTTAAAATGTCCTTGAGTCTTTTTATTGAATCCCTGGCTTTTTTTGCTCCTAGTGTGAAGTATACTGAATTTGTGGTCTCCATCAATCCCTAACTTACTTTAAAACCCGACATTGTTTGTTATTTTGCAGTGGACTGTATCCTCTTTTCAGGTCTGGAGCAAGTGACTTGTTTGGTGCATGCATTCATGTACAGGCAGCTCTTAAATGGTGTTATGTGAATAGCAGTGACCAAGAGGTAAGACAGACGTGGTTTCATGTGTTAAGCCATCTTCAACAACTAATGTCATAAAGACATTCATCCTTGGAGTAAATTGAAATACTCAAAGTAGGGTCACTCACACCACCCTGGAGTTCTTTGTATATACTTTCGTTTAATTTGTACACTTCAATTAATTAAGTCTTCCACAGCCACTATTAACTTTCTTGGGTATTCATTTTAGTTTTATAAATAGCGGAAAGTTACTTTCATCCATTCTGGAGAATAATGAACCACCTTCGACGTGTTTTTTTGAGTCTGGCTCTTCCTATCATTGCAAAGCTAATCTCCCTTCATGTCACTCACTCTAGTTACGTGTTCTTGTATTAGCTGCATGTGGACTCTTTCTTAGGTTATTAACTTGAGTTCAAGCGACTGGATTATCACTTCTTCATTTCAGTTTGACCTTTCGCAAGACATATTAAATTCAGATGATTCAGTTAATGATGCTTCCCCTCTCGAAGATTCTGACGCATCCAGCAGTACCATTAAGTCGACCCAGGATCACTCTGCTAAACCAAGCCAACCAGAAACACAGCTGCCAGTCATTGACTCAAATAATGATGACACTTTCACCGCTCATGTTATCATTGAACAAGCTCTTCATCTTCCTACTGTTCCAGGAAGCAATGGTGAAAGGTAACATGAACGCTTTAGCTGGCACATTCCGTAAATCTATTAAGCCTTCTCAGGTTCACTGCCATCTGTGCTTCTCAAGTTTAAAGATGGCCAAGTAAGGCACTGTTTTCATAGTGTGAATTGATAAACAACAGTCCGGGAAGCAATGGTGAAAGGTAACATGAACACTTTAGCTGGCACATTCCGTAAATCTATTAAGCCTTCTCAGGTTCACCGCCATCTGTGCTTCTCAAGTTTAAAGGTGGCCAAGTAAGGCACTGTTTTCATAGTGTGAATTGATAAACAAAAGTTTGTTTGTTTGTTTGTTTGTTTTTGCAGAACATTACCAAGTGTGTATGTTTCCTATCAAATGCTTCCTTCTGTACCTCCTTCATACACATCTGTTGTTGAGTCCTCATCCAACCCTACTTGGGAATATCAGAAACTGGAAAGGATAAGTTATAGCTCACTTAACACTTCACAGGTGAATGAAGCATTGTGTTTTTCATACTTACTAAAAAGTATGTGTAAGTCTACTTTGCAGTGTTTTAACTGCTGGACCTTCTCCTAGTCGACAGATTAATCAATCCTTCCACTTAAAGGTCACATAACATTCACTTCCCCTTAGGTGGCAGTAGCATCTGGATGATGCTTGTTTTAGATGGATTGATAGAAGGGACCCGTTATTGGCAACACCCAAAGTGATCTCAGTTAAATTTGACAGTGTCTAATTTTTGTTGTATTTTTTTTCTCTGTTAGGGTCTTGAATTTAAGGTTTGGCACACTTCGGGCAAGTTCGAGGAAGGTATGATTGAGTTTCGATTACAATAAATGCAGCCAATCCAATGGAGCAAGGGAAATTACATAGGGACAAATTGAACTACAGTCAAATCCCATTTTAGGGACACCCGGTGTATACAGACACCTCGTTATTATGGGCAGTTTGCTTTGTCCCTGGGGAAAGAGGCCCTTACATTTTCTCTAAATTCAACCTGCTTAAAGGTACAGAAAAACGGGTAACAAAAAACGTGCAACTTGTTTTGCAACATTGCTGCAAAACGAGTCGAATAGAGATGTTGCGCGTTTTACCACCCAAATAAAACCTGTCTTGTTACAAATCAGTCCGTACCTTAATTCGGACACTTGTCTATGGCCCCCTCGGAGTGCGTATTGAAGGGGTTTGACTGTATTAGGTTGGATACTGCTACACTCATGCTTCTCGTCTTAGACTTAAGAGTACGAGTTATTTCACTGATGAAATAATCAGGTGTATATAACTTTTCCTTGCAGGTCACACCAAAATGCCTGATTCTACCAGAGAGAATCCAGATAGCTCCAGTGGTGCGGACCGAGTTCTTGGGGTCGTGTTATTTGATTTATCACCACTGTTGGCTGGTATGAGGCAGCTAATTGGATGGTACAATGTAACCGATTTTAACGGAGACTGCAAAGGACAGATCAAGGTATTTTGATCAAAGCGAAAGTTTATCAACCGAATTTATGATATCCTGAGATCGGATGAAACACATATTTAAATGTGAAACAAAGGCTCTCTAATGATTAACAATTTTTGAAGGGATTTAAAAGCAAAACTTTGCAAGATTTGTCCAAACCTTCTTCACAATAGTTGTCTTGTTGTTGATGTTGTTGTTGTATTTCAGATTGGTGTTTCACCTGTTATCCCCGTGTCTCCTCCACGATCTTTACCTGCTTCAAGGCAGCGGCTTCACCTCCCATCTTCCACGCAGCAAGATGTGAGTTAACTTAGTTCTGCTTTTGGACTTTCAACAGTTTCTATGATCTAGAAAAGATTCATAGTTCCACTGTTTTTACTTAGGTGTACCTGCTTTTCTGAACTCGTAAATTGTGACATTTCCAAAACCGTAAATATTTATTGCAAACATCAGTGATATTTTTTAGCGTTTTTGTATTGTAAATTACCAATTATTACTTTATCGGTTATTATATATTACCGTAATTACTTTTACACTAATTTTAAAATACACATGCAAGTTTTAACGAGAACATGATTATGTACTCACCTGTGTATACTACTTTGTGATAAGTGTATTCATAAAATTTAACTGATTGTGTAAAATATCATTCTGTCAAGGTTACGTTCACTCAAAGCTATAATTAAAGTAGCCAGTTCACAGACCCTCTCTTTTCTCTTAAAAGCCTCTTAAGTGCGCGTGATAAAAATAAAAACAGCAGGGAATTAAATGACTGCTAGCGTTAGGGGGTAGAGGTGGGGGAAGAAGGAAATAAAAATAAAAACAACTAGTTCTTTATTTTTCTTTCTCGCGCTCCGCGCTCGTTGTCGCGTTTCGCGCTCGCCGATTATCGAAAAGAAAAATAAAGCAACGTCTGTGTACAGGCTATAATTAAGGTGGCTCGACATTTATTTTGAAGGGCACACTTTCTATCTTTGAACTTCTTATTCCGAAGTAGCTTGATCTTAACAAATGAATAACACATTGACTGACACTATATTATATTAATTTTTACAAGACTGGAATTAATATCTTGGACAATTCAGTCTATAAAACGCGTCCTTAAACTAGCTTGTATGAATGGATTATCCCTATATAAATGAACTAGTTGTTAAGTGAACTCTTCTAATTACTCACTTTATTCACTTCATTCACTTCTTTTATTCACTAAGCTAATCGAGTTTGGTTGTAGGTTGAGCTGACTGACTCGTCGTCTCTAATCAACCAGAGCGAATCACATCAAATGATTCATCAGGATGGTTCAGTCCTCAGATTACACACAGACAAAAAACCTCAGGATGATCAAACCAGTGGCTTTAGACCACATACACTTGATACTGCCATTCACACACTGGATACAGATGTAGGAACAGCGCCAGTATCTTCCACTTCCTTCCTCTTGTCCCAATTAAGGTGCGTAGGCTACTTGTTTTCTCATCAATTTTTTTGGTTGGATTTTTGAACATGTCTTGCTAGTTGATACGCTCTTTCAGTTCCTGATACCATGTGATACTGTTCGTCGAGTGATCGGGGAAACACTTTTTTCTGTCATAGCTAGCTACTTAACCGTGTTTGTCGATAATTTCGATCATTTCCTTATCGGATAAAAAATAAGCAGACACATTAGAATTGGTAACACTAATCGCTATTAATATAGTACCGTAAGAGTGAAATTGATACGCATTCTTCTTGTCACTAAGACTCGGAAAATGTTGATGATTCGATTCCAACTGAGACATTATGCCCTTTAAACTAAGGTACCCAAAGCATTCTTCCATAAACGATGCATGCGAGTTCCTTCTGTGTCAGTGTATGTACGAGCTTATAGACTTAAGTCAGGCTTTCTTTTTTCCTTGTGTTCTTTTCTTAGACATAGCATGAAGGAGTTGGATGTTCTACAGCAAAGCTTAAACGTCAAGTTAAAAGCTGGCAGTGCGGTAGGGGATAGCAGTGTTCTCCCTCAGGAACGCCAATCCGTTGTTGCTTTACCAAGTTTTTTCTCAGACACAGTTGCCACAAGAGAGTTAAAGGGTTCAGAAACAATTCATGCCAAACACAGAATTGCTGAAGAACCTGATTTGAGGAGTAAAACCGCCTCAGAAACTGAACATAAGGAAATGGAATTTAGACGGGGAATAGTTTCGCTAAATGATAAAGAAATCATCACTCCTGGTGATAGGCGGTTGCTGTCCTCTCCATTTTCTGTTCGTGATGATACTGTTGAAGGAACTGGAGATACGATCAAACAGGGCGAGGTGGAAGCATCTAGTAGCAAAGACATTTTAGACCCTCATAAAAGTGAAGACGAATGTGTACTTCAAAATGCAGAGGGTGACAGCTTCTTCACTTTCAAGGGAAGGACTTCTTTAAATGAAGGAACAAACAAGAGAGACCTCTTTCCTTTTGATGAAGATAGAAAAGAAAATATACGTCCTAATCAGGGAGTTGACAGTTTCTTCGGTTTAGAGAGAGACAAGTCTGCTGAAAATCGGAGGCCTTCAATTGATAGTGAGCTAAGTATTAGTGATGTCTATGATGATCTCTCTGTTAGTGGATATGTCCAGGATAACTCGAAAACTGCAAGGTTTACTGACATTAAAGACAGTTGGCTAAGCAGCGAAGATGAAGACATACCAGAACCTGTAGAACAGTCTGAAAATCCTGGTCTGTCAAAATCTCCTTCCGAAATTTCTTCAGAGAGTGATGCAAATGGTGAACTGAACAATGGTGCAGCGTCGTTGCCAAGCACTCAAGAACTTTATTTTAATCCTGATGCTAATAGTGACGAAGTGAAAGACAAGGAAATAGTTGATAGCAGTATGAAAGGGGACCAACAAGGTGTAAGAAGGAGGATAATCATGGACAACCTGGACTTCATTGATAAAGCTAGTGCTGACGTCCCTGGTGAAAGTGCCGCTGGTCGGTCAGTTAATAGTGGTTCAGATGCCAAAAACGCAACCTTTCAAACTGATGAAGAAAATGACTACAACTCTCTCGTTTATCACAGAAAACCACAGTCGAGAGAACTGCCAACGAGCCCAGCTCTGTCAGTTCCTCGTTCTGGTCATCATCTGACAAACACTTTGCCGAACTTTTTTATGCCTACAGAACAATTAGTAGAGTCTATGATGTCGCTAAGATTAGGTTCCTCAAATCAAAGATACGGCAGTACTTCACATTCCAAACTACTGGCTCGTTCCAGTCATTTGAAACGTGACGGCCAACACACAAAAGGGAACTTAACTGAACAGTTCACTAAACGCAAGCCTGTTTACAAAGTAAGAAGAGACGAAAGACCGCCAATATCTAGATCAGAGGCAGCTCGGATTGCTAAAATTTTCAATTCTGAGAGTGTTTAGCAGCAGACCAAGAAAGATAAATAAACTTTTGCCTTTTCTTCTAATGTTGAAAGTAGTGCGTATTATACCGTCTAGCTATATGGTTTATTAAAGAAAAATAACTTGTCGTGTCATATATTCACTTCTTGTAACCGCTGCTTCTCTACAAGAGCGTGAAAAACAAATCTATGTGCTGACAGGTTCTGTAGAGAGGTTTGTCAGTGACAAACGTGCGGAACCAACTGCATGCTCTGACAATAAAAGAACGAACTATATGCATTGAATAAGAGATGAAAGGGTCCAAATGTCTTGGTTTTATACATTCCATTCTACTACCTCTTTGTGTACAGAACGTGTTGAATTCATGACTATAAGTATGTTCTATACAGTAAAAACGTTTTCAGAGCCATTTCAGTTTATTTTGAGTAGTTATTTGTTAAGCATTCCAGGCTTTCAATTTTACGTTCTCCAACGTCCCCATCCGTTCCAAGAAAACTTCAGTTGGTAACGAAAAAATTTAAGATTTGTTATCCTGGGTTTTTGTTATGTAGCTAAGAAAGTAAGGCCTTTAGTATGAGTAAATGCAAGTTGCTAATTTTAAGTGCAAAAACGTAATAAAACACAAGTGAAAGTTAACTGTATAATGTGCGTGAAGAATAGACCGTCTTGTGCCTCTAATTCCTCTATATTCATGTTTATCACACTCCAATAATAATTGGAGTTATTGTTGGGATGTGCAAAGTACATGAAAATTAATAAAAGTCTAAGATAAGTAGATCACCCCAAGCGATGTGATATAAGCATAGAAATTATCATCTGACAAGGTCATATGTCCATCATGCATTTGATAAGCTGTTATGCTGATAGTCACAAGTTTTCAATATCCAGTCAGATGGATGGCATCAAGTTATGGTAACTGCAGTATTTCAAATAGCAATTACAACTCATGTGACATGTATTCAAAATTAGGCCAGAAGGTATTATTGGCATGGACATTTAAAAAATAGCATGAAAAAGTTATATTCAGATACTCCTTGTGATGTTATTGTAGCTGTTTGCTTTTTGTTTTGTTTTGATTTTTTGTCTCTGGGTTGCTAAGCACCCAGCCCTGTATTTGTAACAATGAAGGAACTTCTTGACCTGTAGCTAGTCCCATATCTCTTAAGTACTGTATTTTAACCAAATAACTGAGGGTGATTGGTATCATGCATCCTAGAGCTGTTTTGTGATGCACTTGTCCCATCATTTCATGGGTCATGGACAAAAGAAATTATTATTCACATGAATATTAAAACAAAGCTTGTATTAGTATTACTTTAGAAAACTAGGGCAGATTCCCTACAAGAAAATCACATGACTCATTACTTGGGAAGATGAAACACAAACTAAAAGAGTCTATTGGGAGCATGTGTGATCTATTCTCTCATAGTTGCATACTTTCTCAAATAAGCTCCCACAATCTACCAGGCAGCCACCTCTTTATCAAACTAGAATATAAGTGCCCCTCTTAACTTTCCTTCTCTTTAATAGTACAGATGTTCCAATGAAAGTCATTTTTCATCTTACTGTTATTTTACTACAACAGTATCAATGAAACAATGTTTTTTCCCCTTCCCATTTGCCTTTATCTGGCTAAGAACAAAAACTGTCTCCAAGATGTTTACAATAGTCATGTACTACGGTAATTGCACAATGCCACCTCTTTTTATCTCTGCGACTTTTTCTTTTCTTCCCACTTGTTTCCTTTTCCTGGGCATTTACCAGGCTTTGTTTTAGTCCCAAAAAGAATTCCTGAAAACCCAAAAAAGAGTGGAAGTACAAGTAGAAAGTTAAATAAAATTTACAATTGAAATTTCTGGTCAACTTAACATGGGTTTTTGCTTTTTCTTTGGCCTGTTTGCCTGAATCGTGCTCAGGTTGATGACTGTTAAAAACGACAGTGTTAGGAGAAGTAAAATGGACGTGGAACCACAGGGGCAGTTGAATTGTGAATGTGGTCAATTGCAGTTGTTATTCAAGGGAATATAAAATACCTAAGGTTGTTAAACATGCCATTAAAGCCACAGGACACCCAAATGGCTGAATCTTTAACTAGTGAAGCATCTGTCTCAAACGTAGCCATTCTCATTTAGGCAAAAGCAGTGTCATATTTTGCTATTAAACTGCATATTAACCTGATGCTTTGGGTGTGAATGCCTAAAGGAATTGCCGCAGCAACAAGTGGGAAAAAAAGAAAAAGATGCAAGGGAACCCATTGAAAGATCCCTCTGGTCAACTCTTGCAGGCTTTCTTCCACTCATTCCACAAACCTCCATTCTTTAACAATAAGGAAACAACTTTCACCCTTGTCTTAATGTGTTTTTTGGGATACTGAAAAAGATGTTGGACTGTTGTCAGCAGAGCTTGCCTGGTATCCATGGCAAAAGTCTGGCTAGGCTCCATAATGTCAGTATATTGCACGCAAAATAAATATAAGTTAAATTAGTTACCATATTTATTTGATTAGAAGCCGCCCTTGATCAAATTCCACAGATGGAAGCAAAATTACCAATAAACACCACCCCTGAATAAATGCCGCACCTAATCAGAAGAATGCAATGTTTACTCAAGGATAATAAGAAAACCCTTTATAAAAACTTGGTAATTTACAACATCCGGACATTTACGATTCTATCTCCCCAAAATAAGGGAGGCACTGGAACCTTTAAATTACATAATATTTACAAAAGATTTACAATAACTGTTGTCAGTGAATTAAAAAAAGTGATTTTGAAATAAATACAGCTGTTGAATAAATGCCACCCTTGAATAAATGCCACATTGGAAATGCTGAAAACTTAATAAAAGCAGCGGCGTTTAATCGAATAAATACGGTACCTTGTGTGTTGTGTGTACAAGTACAGTGTATTACCAAATTAACAATAAGATATAAGCTTACAGAAACTGTAGAGTATTTGCATATCTTACACAGAAAAAATGCATGCAAAGTTCAGTCCCTTTTTTCAGTTTGCGTCCACATAATTATAAGAAATATCGAATGAATCCATCATCACCAGAAACCACTAAGCACATGCAGACGGTGATCGATCGTGATGGTGCGTGAGTGCAAGGATGATTCCACAGTACACCAACGCGAATTCCCTTTCGCTAGGAATCCTCCACAAACTAGAAGGAAGGAAACAGAGGCGAAGCGACATATGAAAATGCAAAGTAATAAATCTCGAACAATCATTTCCTCAAGGGTGATATCATACAACTGTTCGAGAAGGTTTGTTATTCGATGTTGCTATGTGAATCCACCATGCAATTTCTGTTCCTGTTCTTGTCTCTTTACAGCTTCTTGTGCTTCCTTTTGCATGGTTTCCAGCTTTTCAAGCGTCACAGACTTCATGGGCATTATTTTGGGCTTGCAAAGAACCGGCATCGGAGTTTGCTCAGTGAAAAGGAGTCCCTTTTTAGGAAGAACTTCCTTGAATACAATCCTCTCTCCGGCCATCTTTGTCTTCTCTTAAGGTAGTAGCCGCTGACCAAAATGTTAAAGAAAACAAATACAGTAAATGGGAGAAATTATGTTTTCTTTTCCGATGTTCAAATGTTCAGTAATCGTTAAAAACATCAGGCGCTTGAAAATAAATATATAAGGTATAGTGGTATACGTGATTTCATAAATGCGGCAATTCGAAATCAAGTTTCTAAATTCTCTAATTCTCTAAGTAAAGGAAATTTCAAACTAACCATTCAGGGAACACTTGTCACCCTAGCTTATAATTCCTCCATTCGACACAAAAAATCTTTTAAATCAAAGTGAATATTCACCCACATAATTTAGAGGCTACTCTCAAAACAAAATTAAGAAGACAAAAATTAAATGATAATCAGATTTGGTCATGATCCAAAACTGATTGTGTTTTGATTTTGCTTTCGATTGTCAAAGACTGTAAATCTCGTCTCCTTATAAAGCAAGTGATGGCATTTCTTTGAAAATGTAAAAAATAATTGACGACCCACAAACGCCTACGTAAAAACTCAATTTATTTCTATATGCTTACGAGAATCAGCTAAAAGACATAAGATAGACCAAGATACGCCCTTGCATGTCTCAAGTCTTTGCTACACATCATCGTTTTTTTTAGACATTTTGCTTTATCTTCTTAGTTCTTCCAGTTCCAAGGATTGGTGGAAAGCAGGTTGATAAAACGTATCTGTATCTTGGGGCGATGCAAGAAATACTCTTGAGAAACGTCTGGTGGGAATCTAGCTTGAGGAGTAGCAGGTAGGGAGTTTTGTGGGCGCGGCAAATTTGTGGTCTCACCGTCGAATGACGTCCTTGTAACATAGCGACGCTTAACCAATCACAACGCGCGAGGATTCAAAACAGACCAATCACGGACTTTCGATCACGTGCCCTGAGGTCACTTTTAACTTTGCTTTGCTTCGCGAGAAGCCTTCGTGAAAGGAGGGAACCTCTGGATTGGTTTTTGAATAGCCCGTATTTGTTCTCCCGTGTGCTACTGGAAGCAACAATCCTTCTCTTTTTCGTAGGCAAAACGGCTATCTGTTTGAGTATCTAACTCGATAAGCTTGCGCGGAGCTGCTGGCATTTCGACCTGTACTGCTCGAGTTTTCTGGTGCAGAACTGCCTTCTATTCCATTGTTCGAAGCCGCTTGCTAGCAACAAATTCTGTCGCTGTCGATTAGAAAACGTGTCAACTTCACAAAACCTTCTCTGAAACGATGTGAACTGTTTTCATAAGGCTTCTGGACACGCCAGGCGGTAATCGGGCATCTTTGCCAATTTCATATTTTTATAGGAGTGACTCTTTGGCCTGGGAGCATTTGAGGGTGGTTGTCTCTTTTACGTAAGCTGAAGTTTACCTTGTTATTCGAAAGGAAACTTGTGAAAGCATTCGTTTTCCAGCAAATTGCTGAGCGATTAAATTCTGGTTTTAAGGCTTCGGAGGAGCATTTTCTACCTGTACGAGGTATCTGGGACATAGTGTTTTTACTGCCTGCTAGTCAACAGCGAGAAGGAACCGTCGAGTTGTGCCATTCTATTGTGAAGCTTAATTAGAAGAAATATCCCACGAGGCTTCTGTTTTTAGAGCTGTATAATATCTTAAACATAAATAGAACTTGACATTACATAAACTATATTCATCATGGCCGACGCCGCAACAAGGAAGGAAGAGCAGCAATCGCTGCATCAGTCAATGGATTCGATGGATTTTAGCGCCATCCCGGATTTTTCTGATATCACCATCGGAGATCTTACAACTGTCATGAAACACAGAGGAATAGAGGCAAAAGCTTATATAGACGAAAAATATGGTGGATTGCACAAGCTTATACATAAGCTACATACTTCTACAGAGAAGGGAATCGGTGGGTTTGCCGAAGACTTGGAGCATCGCAGGAACGTATTTGGAGCGAATTATATTCCTCCCAAACCTCCTAAAACATTTCTCCAGTTTCTGCTGGATGCATTCAAGGATACAATCCTCATAATTCTTGCCGTTGCCGCAGTCGTGTCTCTTCTGTTAGGAATTTTTGCCCCTGAAGAATGCGAAGGCTCGGAAGAAAACACGGGCTGGATAGATGGATTTGCCATTATCGTCGCTGTCATTATTGTAGCGTTGGTCACTGCAGTAAACGATTATCAGAAAGAGCAACAGTTTCGAGGACTGCAAAGTAAAATCGAAGGTGAACACAAATTTACTGTAGTGAGACATGGAGAACCGATAGAAGTACTCAATAGTGAAATAGTGGTAGGTGATCTTTGCCAGGTCAAATATGGTGATTTATTGCCTGCGGATGGTATTGTTGTTCAATGTAATGACCTTAAAGTTGACGAAAGTTCTCTGACTGGTGAATCTGACCTAGTTAAAAAAGGAGAGAGAGATCCATTGTTGCTGGCTGGTACTCATGTCATGGAAGGAAGCGGTAAAATGGTCGTTTGTGCTGTAGGTGTCAATTCACAAACAGGTATTATCTTTTCATTGCTTGGATCACATGGTGAGAAGGAACTCGAAAAACCAGATAAGGAGGATGCTGCCCCACCCCAGTCACCCATGATAAAGACGGATAAACAGGATGAATTTGAGGAAATTTCATTGGAAAGGAAAGATGATGATGAAGAAGAAGATTCTGATTCGAATGACAAGGAAAAGAAAGATAAATCAGAGAAGTCTGTCCTACAGGGAAAACTGACCAAATTGGCAGTAAGCATTGGTTGGTTTGGTGTTGCTGCTGCCCTTCTAACAATAATTGTCATGGTCTTACAGTTTAGCATTAGAAAATATGTTAACGAAGGGGCTAGCTGGGAGAATAAGCACTTGAATGCTTATGTTAATGCATTTATTACTGGCCTGACTGTGCTGGTAGTTGCTGTTCCCGAAGGTCTGCCCCTCGCAGTAACTATATCATTGGCTTTTTCTGTGAGGAAAATGTTGGATGATAATAACTTAGTCAGGCATCTTGATGCTTGCGAGACTATGGGAAATGCAACTGCTATTTGTTCTGATAAGACTGGAACTCTCACCACAAACCGTATGACAGTTGTTCAGAGTTACTTAGCTGATAATCACTATAAAGAAGTGCCAAGACAAGGGGAGCTTCCTCAGACACTGGTTGAAGTTCTAGTCAAGGGAATAGCTATAAACAGTAGCTATGCATCTAATATTTTGGTATGTAAACAGTAGTTTGTGCATCTGTGTTTGTTTTTACATTCCTTGGTATTAATTTTGTCATTAACACAAATAGAGGTTAAACCTGGTGAAATTAGTTTACAGAAGGAAATTTCTTAGCAAATAATATAAGGAATCATACATGTACTCAATCGTTCTCAACAATTCTTATTGATTTGGTGTGAAATTGTAATAGTTCTTTGGAATTGAAAATAATTCTTGGCATTATATTTGGTATTTTATTTCTAAGAGGACCTGCATTATAAATATAGTTGTGAAGGTTTATTTGGTTTTCTTTTAGATACTAGTTACTTACTTTATTTTGTGCTTTTTCTTTTTTTTAAGTGTGCATGTCACAAAGAATAATGCTGTTTTACGTTAATTCTGTGTGCAAGTCATTGATAAGTGCATTTACCCCTGCTTAATATGCTCCTTTAGAGATATGAAGAAGGTATCAAACAAATTTCATCATGAAACACTAACCATAATAATTTTTTGGTGATATTGCCGGAGCAGCATGAAAACTAATTTTTCAAGTTTCAGTCCATGTCCATAGCAACACGTGATAGGAGACAGTTTCAATGCCTAAGTGTAGGCTTAAATAACAAAACTGGATCATTATTTTTTTGGAATTCAACTGATACAAAGATGTGTTTTAGCATTTTAAAAAGATGGCAAATACTGTGACATAGCCCCTTAAAGTCACTCCTTAACAGGGTGAAGTTTTCTGCAATTATTATTGGCTAAAATTATCACCATACAATTTACATTGTATCAAAGTTTTCAAAAGCTGTTGGGTTATTTTGTCTTTTTGTGATGAGTTTCTTTTTTTAAAATTTGTATTTATTGTGCTTGGTGCCATTGATTTTCAGTGAGCTTGCAACCAAAGAGTTAATGAGGTGGCAGACTGTTAAGTCGAAAATTTATAATTTTTGCTATTTGTAGAAAGAATCCCTGTGATCTTTTTAAGGCTTAAGTTTAAAGCATTTGCATAGTGGTTATATTTTAAGGTTTTAGCTTTCAAACAGTTTTTGCCAATGGTTAATTTTCTGTGTCATTAGTCAGGTGTACTTATATTTGAGATGCTTTAGCTGAGGTGTGCTCTGAAGATTATTCATGGCTTAACACAATACAGTGCTTTTTTCTCGATGATTAATATACCTCGGCATCTTTTTATTTAAAACCATCACTGGGGTGAATTCCATCTCTCTAGTTTAACTCTTAGCAAAAATGCATTAAAAGAAACCTGTAATATGCAGTTCACATTTTAATAATCACTCTTTTTCATTACCTTGACAAATTGCATTTTTGATAAATTTGGGAGATTACTTTTATGCAATTCAAAAGATTTTCCCGTATAATCTTCTTTTCTGGAAAAAAGTAGGAAACATTGATGATACACATGTATTGACAGTGTTAAGTGGATACTGGCAACTGCAGTGACGTGTGGGATTTCAAAATGGCATGCTTGGCTGTAAAGCCAAAACATGAATTTAGTTATTTTCAATTTGTCCCTTTTTGCATCAGTAAGTTTTGTATACATATAAACAAGATCATAATATTTTAAGGCTTTTGCCTTTGATCATAGTTGCTTTTCTAAAACCGTTATTGTCATTTTTTTTCTGTGACATTAAATTTTGTCATTCTTTGCATATCCTGCACAAAAATGGTTAACCCCAAATTATATCATCTTGCAAAAGTAATTAACTGTGTTTTATGTGAAAAGCCATTGCCAGGTGTTTTACATCATCATTTTTTGTAGAATATGCAATTTTCACAATGTTTAGAATTTTTCTCCTGGAAGCAAAGTGGAAGTTGGTCAAGTCATTTTTTATATTCATTTATAAAAGAGCTTTTAATTCAAAAAATTGAATATTTTTCTTGTTGTATTCTACAGTGTTTAAAGATTTCATTTTATCCACTCGTTGGAAAGAAAATTAAATTTTTTTTCAATCACACCTATGATAATTAAGTGGAAAACAGTTATTTCAGAATAAATTAATACTTTTTAGACAAAATGGACTGTAGGTTTTTTATTACCTCAGTTATTAGAGATCTGTATTCTGTTACGTGGAGTGTTAAATATTTACTGGCATTTGGAAACTTATTTTTAATGCTTTGCAGACAGCTTTTTAGTTTGAAAATGTGTTACTTAGTTTGCTCTTGCACTTACAGAGAAAAAAAACGGCAAAAGTATAAAGAAGTTGTGTAAGTTTTCAAGGCATGTTGATCTTAGTATATTTCATACCAATGGTAAGTTATTTGGAGGTTGATTTACCATGAGCTTTAGTGGCACATGCTGGCTCCTTGGCAAGGCTGTGTCTCAGGCACCCAGTCGCCTGAGGCAACTAACATTTGGCTTCAGGCAAATGAAAAAAATTTCCAGGTCGCCTGGCTGGGCACTCTCACTTTTTGTATAGTGTTCCAGTGAAGTAGGCAGAAAAATTTAACACGCTGGTGTTGGCTTGTTGAGTTACAGTTCACAAAAGCTTAGACGAAATGGCTTCGTACGAAACAAATGGGTGTGCCTCTATGTTCAAAGGTTGTTCCATCATTATTATTATCATTATTTTAAATAAGCCATCTTCTCTGTCTTCAGTGTGATTGTATATGTATTGATCTTTGTTTTCAGCCTCCAGAAAGAGCTGATGGCCTACCAATTCAAGTGGGAAATAAGACTGAGGGGGCACTGTTGGGTTTTGTTCTGGAAATTGGTGAAACATACCAAGATTACAGAGATCGTAACCCTGAGTCAAGTTTTGTTAAGGTGTACACTTTTAACTCCGCACGCAAATCCATGACCACGGCTGTGCGTCTTCCTGGTGGTGGATACCGCATCTACTCCAAGGGTGCATCGGAGATCATTTTAGGCCGTTGTTCTTCAATTGTTGGCAAAGATGGAGAAATCAGGCCATTCACTGCTGGTGATGCCGAGAAGATGGTGGAGGAAGTCATTGAGCCAATGGCTTGTGATGGCTTGAGGACACTTAGTTTGGCATACAGAGATTTTCCTGCTAATGGAGTTCCCCCTGAGAAAGGTGTGTGAAGGGTTTCTAAAAAATCCAACCCCTTTAACAATAACTTTCATTTTGCAAGATATGTACACACAAGTCACAGCTGAGAAAAGTTGTGAGAATTGCCGTGTATATGACTGGTGGAATGACATATATATATGACATATATTGTGGGACGTATAATAGAGTATCACTATAAGTTTTTGCAAAACATCAGCTGAGCTTTTGGAATTCATCCAGGTTCCCATTTCAGTGACATGCAGGCTTATTTTTTGGTAGTGAGGTGGCAAGATTGTTCCATGGATCATGGGTGGGGAAGGTAGTAACCCTGACCTTCATTTGTGGTAATATTGTGACCATCGTTGGCGGTAAATTGTTTGAGTGTCATATCACGGTAGTTTGTTTGTTTGAGTCATAACCTTTATGTGAATGACGTACACTGTATGTTCTGATGTTTAAGGAGGAGGTATCTGTTAAATGCTGTTGAGATTTAGATCTAAGGTTTAGAAATCCATGTAGGCTTTGTTTGAGAAGATGTGTTGTATGTTCAGCAGGTGAAGCCAGTGCTGCGTGTGAGCCGGATTGGGATAATGAACGTGAAATCTTATCTCACTTGACTTGTATTGGTGTTGTTGGTATCGAGGATCCAGTCAGACCTGAGGTAAGTCTATTTTGCTATTTTGAAATTAATATAATCATTATTTGGCTGGGTAGTGGGTCAATATTGATTATCAAGTTTTTTCTCTTTTTCTAAGAACCAACATGGTAAATTTGTGGGTTTGAATGTTGGTTTGTATGTTGTGTTTGTACACAAGTGAAAAGTTAATGTTATTCATCATCAGGTACCAGACGCTATCAAAAAGTGTCAGCGTGCAGGGATTGTGGTGCGCATGGTAACTGGAGATAATGTGAATACAGCAAGGTCTATCGCTCAAAAGTGTGGAATCTTGGAACCCAATAGTGAGTTTTTGGTATTGGAAGGAAAGGAGTTTAACAAGTGTATCCGCGACTCATCAGGAAAGGTGTGTAAGTCTCAAAAGTAGCTTTTACTGTTTATATATGTAGTGTTCACTTAATCTTGTTGTCAAGTTTTGAAACTACTTTGTTGTTGGAATTTACCAGGCCTCTCTGAAATAGTGCCAGTGGTTTAATACATAAAGTTGTGTATGCTTTGTGGATCACAAACTTGTGCCTGTCTTACCTCCTAAGAGAGAACACAGACATAATCTAAGACAGTCCAGGGCTTATGCCATGCGCCGCACACATACAAATCGTTTTAAGAACACTTTTATTCCAAGTATGTGTACATAATTTTTTGGACTAGTTTGTACCTAGTTATATATAGAGAGTTTTTCGCATTTTTATAGAAATGTTTTTTGTTATAATTTCAATTAGTATTTATAATTTTGGAATTTATTTAATCTTAGTTTTAAGTAATTGTAACGCAATTCAGTCTACGGATTGCCATGTTCGATATTTTAATAAACTATCTATCTATCTATCTATCTATCTATCTATCTATCTATCGTATGCTTGTTTGGCCACAAAGTGATGGTCTAGTCAAAGTTAGGAAAGGTTAAATGGTGGCATTCTTCAAATTAGTTCCTGCCACTTCTCTTAAATTTGAAGCTAGTACCATACAGCATACAAGGCTAGCCATATGCTCAGAAAAATGCGGGGCACCCAACGGCTCTGTACCTTTAAATCCAGGGTGCCCAGCATATAACTTGTATCGAAAAAAGTAGAATTTCCTTGTCATCCAGCTGTAAAAGTAAGTCATCACTGGCCACTTTAGGCACTGCTAGAGAACTGCTCTGAGCATGTATGTTCAATTTACTGAAAATTTGACCTTTCACCCATCCTGCTGGAAATTGTACCACCTTATCATCAAGAGAACTGGTTGACACTATAGGTTAATGCTGCTGTTGTTAGTTGGCAGTTTGTAGTTTCTTTTTCTTTTTCCTGAGACTAGTGAATACTCAGCTGTTTTGTTGCATGGGAGGTGAAAGATCTATCTTGCTTTCCTCATCAGTTACCATTCTAATTTTACCTTTTAAGGTGAGCCAAAAGAAGTTTGATGAGGTTTGGCCAAATTTACGAGTATTAGCTCGTTCATCACCAGAGGATAAGTACACTTTAGTGAAGGGCATCATTGACAGTAAGCTTAATCCAGCACGGGAGATTGTTGCAGTAACGGGTGATGGTACCAATGATGGCCCAGCATTGAAGAAAGCTGATGTTGGATTTGCAATGGTATGGTGGACGAGTATTGATTGCTCTGATGTTAAAATTGAAGATTCTTATTCTTATTGGATCATGTTTTAACAGAGTACATGTATATTAATCTTTATGATTGTTATTTCCTACATAGGGTATTGCGGGCACAGATGTAGCTAAAGAAGCCTCTGATATTATGCTCACTGACGATAACTTCAGAAGCATTGTTAAAGCTGTTATGTGGGGCCGAAACGTCTATGACAGTATTTCAAAGTTCCTTCAGTTTCAGCTTACTGTCAACTTGGTTGCCATTGTTGTTGCATTTGTTGGAGCATGTGTTGTTCAGGTAGGGTTAATTACGCATTTTTTCTTTGATCAGACTTTAGTGATGAAAGAATTTCCTTTAAGCAACAGTAACATCTACATGTTAAACCAGTTATCAAGCCAAAGCTACGTAAGTTTTAAGGCTTGAGCTTCAGTTGAAGATTTTTAATGAGGAGAAAAGCAAACTGTGACACTGTTTTAGTTACATGTACCGTACCTCATGGTTCAGTTAATTGAAACAGGTATCCTTTTAGCTTACCCATTATCTTTGAGCCAGCGTGCAAAGAAAGTAGTGTTCGATAGCCTGGGGCTAGTGGATTTTGCTATTGGGCCAGTGAATTCTGTTTTTGACTTGCCCGACGGGCAAGTGATGTTTTCTGAGATATTCGAATAACAGAAGAACTGTGAAATCAATTCTGGTCGCCAAAAAGCTTTTGGGGCTAGTTGAAATGACGTCTGGGCTAGTGAATGCTAGCTTGAGCTTGCCCCAAAATTTTCATGTTTTTTGTCCAACGAAATTGGTCTCCTTTGTTTTTTCTCTCTCTCTCTCTGGCCCTTCCCTTGTTATCCGCATTAATGTAGGCATTAAAATTTAGTCAAAAGAAAGAATCGGCTCTGTTGTTGTTGTATTTTGTCTCTCTAAGAGTCCAGGTGGCCATGCAATTTACAGTACCACCAAAATGTGCGAGTGCTTGAAAAGCAAAATTTCACCCCAGCGTACGTGAATGGGGTGGATGTACGTAAGTACAGACGAATGGACATGTCAGAAACAGAATTTCTTAGATGCATAGATAACCAAATTTTCTGACCCATGGTGCTCCGCTTATATTCACCATTCTTCTTGGAGATTTATTCCTGTAACTTACTTTGTCTTATTTATAAAGTAAATGCCCAAACTTTTTATGGTGATTAGGTGAGTCCCCTGACTGGAACTCAGCTTTTGTGGGTGAACCTTATTATGGACTCATTTGCTTCACTGGCCCTGGCAACTGAACCACCAACAGAGGACTTGTTAACTCGTAAACCATATGGTCGCACAAAGCCTCTTATCTCACGCACCATGATCAGGAATATTATTGGACATGCCATCTTCCAGCTCATTGTCCTATTTGTTCTAGTCTTCGTGGCGGATGATTTATTTGACATTGAAGATGGATACTTGGAGACCACACGCTGTAAGCCCACAACCCACTCAAGTCTTGTCTTCAATACATTTGTAATGTTGCAGCTTTTTAATGAGATCAACTCGCGTAAAGTACATGGTGAAAGAAATGTATTTGAGGGCATCACACGTAATCCAATTTTCCTAATCATCATGGGTGGAACCTTTGTTGTACAGGTAAGAATCTGGCTACATAAAACAAGTGCAAAAATTGATAAATGAAACATTCCAGATTGTTATATTAGAGTTTCCTCACCCCTTCTCCCTGCCCATGAAGTTAAGCCCCTGTTTATATAGAGAAGAGTTGTTTTGGGTAGAACGATCACCCGCCTATGCCCAGCTGCCCTGCAGGTTGAGCCAACTTTTCATACATTTCCTTGCAAAGCTTGGCAAACCATTTACATTAGAAACAAAAGTTGGCTCTGCTAGAACATTGACCACCCCCCCCAGTTAATCCACTCTTTTATGATGGTAGGGATGGTAGGGTCACCTCCCAGCCTAACCAAGTTTTCTGCGTATGAACACTTTCACTTGCTCAGCTGGGTCAATTCAGTCAAAGTGAGACAGTGAGGCAACAATACAACCATAAAGAAGTTGATGGAATGTTTCCCTTTTTAGATACTTATCATTGAGTTCACTGGCAAGGCATTCCATGTTAAAGGTCTTGGATGGGAAGAGTGGCTTTGGTGTGTATTCCTGGGATTTTCTGAACTCATATGGGGACAGCTGGTTCTTACACTTCCTAAGACTACTTTACCAAAGATTTGTAGATTTGGTACAAAAGAGATTCCTCCCTCCATTATTCTGGAGCCAAAGGAAAAGGACAGTAAAGCTCGTCTGCTGTGGTTACGTGGCCTCACAAGACTTCAACATCAAGTAAGATAATGTTTTTAAAAGGGAATTTAATTCAAACAACTAACTTCTATAAGTGGCAGTCACACCAAATTTGTTGCTTTTAAGAGTCCAGACCAACAACATCTAACATCTATGAAGCATGTAATCTTTAAGTAACATATATATTTTTTCTTTTGCTAATGGTGATAACCACAGAATACTAAATACAGAATTTGATCAATTTTTGAAACAAATGTGCTTATTCATCGGGTTTTGATGCTTAAGGTGATAACATACTAACACAGCATGCTAAGCATGTTGGTGAATTTGTCTTTTTAGATACGTGTTGTGAATGCATTCAGAAGTGCTATTGATGGCCGCAGTCAACGTGCAATAGCTTCTCCTGCAGTGTTCAACTCATTGCTGGCCCCTGTACGTACAGCAATGGTTTATGATGAATCAGAGTGTCCTACTGCTCTGGATAGTTCTGAAGGTGGAGCCTCTGCAGTTCCCCGGTATGCAAGTGTGGAAAGTTCTGTTTAACAGATTACTGAGATGTAGTATAGTGTCCAATAAGCTGATGTAATATAATCTGAAAATGGTCATTTTAGTCACAGTCAGTCTTTCGTACATAATATCTCTGTACACGTCATATCATTATGTAAAAGCCATGAACAGTCATTACGATCGTACAAAAGTCATGACAAGTTTCACTCAAAATAACTGTAACCGTACTTTCATGGTAACTCGTAACTTACCCTCTAATCTCTACATGCTTGCTCTACGTAATTATCTAATCGTTGTATTTTTGTCATCTTTTCAGTTCCTTGTAACAATGTAATGAGTTAGTAGAATAAAGTAATGAATTTATTTGCATATACTAACCTTGTGATAAATGTAAAAGTTAAACTAGATAAATCTTTGAATTAACATTTTCTTAATCTGTGACAGGTGATCGTGATGGCTGTGGACGTCCTGGCAGGGGAGGCAGTTAAAAGTCTTCTCTCCTGCAATAATTACTCATTGAAGGAGTAACTCAATAGGACGATATTAATAAATTATCAGTAGTTATTCACCAGTAAGTAATTAGGTATTAATTAATCAAGTAGCCATAACAAAAATAGATTATTTTGTCATTTTTAGCTTTGCCCACAGATGGGCTGTGTTCTATCATTGCCTAATACCCCCTTTTAATCTTACGTGAGCAGGAAATATATACTTTTTCATTTAACTTGTATCCTGGGCTCCGTAAAATTATGAAATTTTCTATCATTGCCTAATACCCCCTGGCAAATTACTTTTAATCTTACGTGAGCAGGAAATATTTACTTTTTCATTTAACTTGTATCCTGGGCTCCGTAAAATTATGAAATTATTTTTGTTAGAGCGCAACCTTGACAGACTATCGCTGTATTTTTAATTGTTCAGCTTGAGCAATAAAGAATGTGTAGATTTAACTTTCAGTAAAGGCTTGCAAACAAATTAATGAACAGGCATTGTTACTGGTATGAAATAAAGTGGTTTAAATTTTTTATTAAAACAGGGATTGAGCACTTTCGTCCGCTGAACTATTTCTTGCTTTTTTTTAATTTTAACTTGCTGGTGTTCTAGTTTAAGGACCGTTGTTCATGGAAAAAGGCCTTAGTGCTGAAGACTGCTGGATTTTCATTACAAACTGCCTTATGTTTTCTTGTGATACATAGGAACAATTTGACATGAGATTGACAGTTTGTAACCTGAGTCTTTTGCATGAACTCCTTCAGTGTTCTTCTGTATGTTTTTTGTTTTGTTTTGTTTTGTTTTTTTTTCTTTTTTAAGTTCTATCAAGTTTTCAGTGGTGTGAACCTTTTATCTTTATTGATAATATTGCATACTTATTACTGTCAAAAAATTCCTGGAAATTTTGTGGAATGTTTATGGTGAAATGACCGATAACATTATAGATCAGAAGATAGGAGGAAACTGCAAACAAAGAGAATTACTCTAGCTAGTTACAATGTAGGTTGTGGATATTTCACATTTTTTATTGACTGTCTTAAAGATCCTTAAAACAGTAACATTCTAGAAATACATTTGGTGTTCAGGTACCCTGCGAGCAGAGGGTTCTCTCTTGCATGTCTGTAAGTGTTAACAATGTTGTTTGCATTACTTTTCAGTTGCATAGTTGGTTTGTTATATATGTGATGCGAAAAACTTCATAAACACTAAAAACCATTGAAGAGAGAAACCTCTGCTCCTCCTCTTTAGTGTTCGTGGTTTTCTTTGTCACCAAAATCAGTCATTTCGAATCCGTGGGTTTGTATAGGTTATTAACCAATCTTCTTACTCTTTTAAGACTCTCTACCATATTTTGCGGACAATATTTTTTTGTAGAAGCCGCTTTGCCTGTCCTTGTGTTTGATATTTTATTACAAGTATTGTTTTGTAGAAAATGCTTATTATTTCATGATTCAGAGCATTCAAGTAAACAAGTATGTCAAATGATGAAAGACGATCAAACAAAATCACGTGACATAGCATTGCCTAATTTTGGCTATTTCCTAGGCATTTAAGAGTTTTGTTTCCGCTAATAATCAGTTTCAACTGTCATTGTTTTTTTTCTGTTGGAACAGGAAATTCGGCAAACGTATCAACTTACCTTATATTTCAAAGGCCATTAACAGCGCGTTTTTTATTCAGGGAAGTCAAAGAAGCCTGTCCACTCCAAAGAATTGCCAATAGCAGTGAATGATGAAAGGCTATTTTAAGTTTATTTTGATTTTCACAAATAGGGTGCCAGTAAGCAAGGATAGATTTCTTTTTGAAAAGATACAATGGCAAGCGTGTTGTTTATTGGCTAGCAATCAACTATTTTGAGTAATTATTTATTATGTATATCCTGGTTGAAGGCTCAACAAAGAAATTTGGATTTTGTCTTCATCCGTTAGTCTGTCGTAATTAGCATCTCTAAAGTTGGTTGGATATGATTCTCCAGGTGTCTCAGAAAGCACTGTTGGTGATATTGAATTTTGACAACCTTTGTTGAGGTCTTCAGCAGAGTTATTGATGGCCTCATGAAAGATGTCAAAAATCACTGGCTTTATAGATACTCAACCGGCTGATATTCAACCCACATATTATTGTACCCTTGCTTTCAGTCCATTGGCTAGAATACAAGTCATTTAGATTTTAAGGGTTATAACTCTCTCAATTAGCATATTTTAACATCTATATTGTTACATGAGTCCATTACACTATAGATATAAGTAAGTGAATATTAGTGCAGGGAGCTTCAATTGTATAGGCATAATTATAGGTATAATAAAGGTGATTGTAATCTTGCAAAATGGGTGACTTGTCTTTTCTAATGACAGCTTAGTCTCTAAGAACGCAGGGTAGTTGAGGGCATTAGAAGCAGGTGTCAAAAAGGGTGTGGGATTGGGAGGAAGGGAAAAAGAAAGGGGGATTGGAGAAACGTAAACTAGGTAGGTATTAGCGGGAATATGGGAAACTCTTGGATTTCTGTCAAAACGGACTATTAACAATCTGACGACAAAGTTCCTTAACATTCCTAGCCTGTTCCAGGCTCTCAGATAGTGGCGATGAAGCGTAAGTAAAAGGTGCACAAAAATGAGGCGTTGGTGGTGCCGCTGCCCTTACTCTTCCCAGTTTCCTCCCGTTTCTTTTTCGTGTGCGCGCGGACCCGACTATCTCGGAGCCTGGAACAGGCTAAAACACTGTCACTTTATCGACAATTCATAAAATGAGAACAAAGGTATCGATACATAATGTAAAACCTTTTGTTTTCAGCGATAATTTCGAAATTCAGATATTGGTAGCTTGACCGAACAAGCTTGGTCAGTGAAGGATTTATTACGTAACTGAAGAATATATACCATGTTATTAGGTGTCCGTCCTTTTTGGGGTATAAGCCTCTAATAGAATGACAGTAAAAAAAAAACAAACAAGAGCCAACAAAAGAAAAATCAACCACAACTAAGACAAACACAAACAAAGGAATGATGTAAGTTAAGAGTGATCCCCGCCCTAATTTAGAAAAGTAAATTGCAGACTCTTGAGATTAGCCTGGACATGTTTCTAGACATTGTAAAAGTATTCAAAACTGTACATGAAGTTTAAACGTTCAAAAATTATGAATCAAACAATTATCATTCCTTATTTGCCTAAATGATCATGGTTACCTGTGCACTACACTTGGAAACACGAAAACGTTTGCCTGGCTTAGATCAAAAAAGACTGTCCGTCGATCTGTCATAGACTCTTAAGTATTCAATCAAGTAATAAATCAACTATTGTTAACTTTCAGTTGTTGTTGTAACAACTGTGTATAACCACTGGCCGCTTCGCCTACAAACAGATTTCACTATCTGTGGGCTGTGTTTTATGGTAAAAAAAGGTACATGGAAGAGAAAATGATTGCCACTAACTTCCAGTCCAAGCTCGGCTTGTGCTGAAGTTTCGAGTTGCTGAGTGCTCCCTGTTCAGGTTTTAAAAGCCAGCGCGAATCCATCCCGACCACCTGACCTTCATTCTAAAGGTAATTTTTCAGTTACGCAATGGGTGACTTTTAAAAGAAACAATTCTTTATTCCCAGCTTTTCTTTTTCCTGGTAGCCAAGTTTACATTACCGGATGGATAAAAGCATTTACTTTCTTCTTCAGAGCTAGCGGTCCTAGGAGTTTTCTAAAAAAAGAGTCATGACAGCACGGAAACTTTAAGATTGAACACTCTGGCAGCAGTCTTGTTAAACGATGGGTATTTAAACGATTCTGTGAAATTTTGTTTGACGAAGCCAAAAAAGTGTGACTTAACATTATTTCAGTATTTATACGGAATTGGTATTTAAACGCCACTGCACAAAGAGCACCATTATTTTTCTTTTGCTTTTTTTAGCTGAGTTTTATGGATTCAAAAAATGCATGAAATAGGACTCGGCCAGTATCCAGCAATCTTGAGCAAACAAGCTTGCTCATTTACTCATTTCTTTGGTTTGAACTTTATTTTGCTTTGTGCTTGGGCCTGGCCGGTGATGTTGATTTGAAACAACGGAAATGGACCCAATGCAAAAATGCCTGATGGATTAACTTTTGTTTAAATTAAAATTTGCCTAGTAAGCCTCACTATACAGTTCAAAAGGATACCTTATCTCAAGCGAGACTAGTCAGGTTAATTTTGATTTAAACGAAAGAATATTAATCCGGCAGCCATTTTGAATTAGTTTACTTTCTTCCTGACCAGTACTTAGTCCCCCAAACGAACGGCTTTTGAAGACAACGAGTCTCGGGTGTCGTTTCGATTGTAATCGTTACATGTGGTGACTGAGGTTAAGCTCTCTTTAACCTGGTTTCAATCGTAAAAGGACAAGCTTAATCTTGAATAAAGGTGAGATTTCTCGATAAAGGACCTTAATAAGCTATTTTAGCTCCTTGACCTTATCAATCTGCAGATTCACATGTGACCTGACGTGTTGGAGATTATCGGGTTTAAAAAAATAGCTTACGTTGGCTTATTTTTTTCTTGGCGCAGAGATGACGAAAGCGAAATTTTTCATAATTCAGGGGGCATATAGAGGGTTGCAAAATGTATTTGAAAATTTCTTATAATTGCTGTCGTTTTGGTGGTGTTATTGTATTCTTTCATCGAAGTATTATATTACAAAGTGGTGATGAGTTCAGTTCTTCCGTTTACAAAACGCACTTAACGTGGGGTGTTGTCTATGAAAGTTAGACAAACACCCACATGTTAGCAAGAACAATAAATTTAAGCTTAATTACACTTGTCTTTGCAGATAAATCAGACCGAAACAACAGTTCTATTATTAAAATATATAAGCTTGTACATGTGTAATGATAATTATTATATTAATATTGTCCGAGCTCGAACTAACGGCTGCTGTTTGTGTATGCAATTTTCTTTCGCCAGGTTGATCGTTTGCACGATCAGCAATTGTTTTTCACCATGGGGGACGAAGTAGAGTCCAGGTTTATTCCTGACTTCACCAACACTCCCAAGGAGAAGTTGATTGATGTAATAAGCAGTTTGCGTAGTTCTGAAGTTATTGCAGAGAAATTTGGAAGCGTGAATAACATTATTCATGAGCTCCATACTTCAACCAGCAAGGGAATTATTGGCATAGAGGAGGGTATAAGGCACAGACAGGATGTTTTCGGGAGAAATTTCATCCCTTTGGATCCACCTAAAAACATTTTTAACTATCTGATGTGTGCCATGAGAGACTGGGTGATTTTGGTGTTGTTTATTTTTGCTTTGATTTCTGTGATTTTGGGTGCTGCTAACCCAGAGAAATGTGAGGGTAAGGATACCTTTGTTGTAGCAATGTATGAGGGTATTGGAATCCTGGGTACGGTGGTCATCATGATTCTGCTGATAGCTTTCAGTGACTATCTGAAGGAAACTGACTTTCGCAGCCTGCACTCCAAAGTTAACAAGGAACGTAAGGTGAATGTCATCCGAAGTGGAAAAACGTCAAGGATTCTAGCCAAAGAAATTGCTGTGGGAGACTTGTGCCAGTTGAATAATGGAACCCTTATCCCTGCTGATGGAATTATTGTGCATCATAATAGCCTTATTGTTAATGAATCAGCTTTGACAGGCAAGACAGAAATGGTACCTAAGGGATTACACTCCATTGTTTTTGCTGGCACCCATGTTGTGGAGGGTAGTGGAAAGATGATAGTGATGGCCGTTGGACCTAACACTCAACTCAACTTACGAAAAGCAAAGGCTCCTACAACGCCCTCAATTGTTACATTTAAACCAGCATTTCCTGATCAAGAAGACATCAATGAGGAGATGATCACTTTCGAGCACAAGGAAACTGAATCTCAGTTGCAAGAAAAAATTAACAAAGTCCAAGTGACTCTTGGCCGTATCTCTGTTTTTCTAGCATTGTTTACTGCTGTTGTTTTAATCATCCGTTTTAGTGTACATAGCTTCTCAACACTACAACTGTCCTTTGATTTCAGCCATTTTAATGAGTACATCAGAGCTTTAATAATTGCAGTTGTTGTACTCATCATTGCCGTCCCAGAAGCCCTTTCTCTGGTTGTATCCACATCCTTGGCCTTTTGTGTCAAAAAGATGTACCATGACAAGGCCTTGGTGAGACATATTGACATGTTAGAAACCATGGGTAATATCACAAACATTTGCTGTAACAAGACAGGTGTTCTTACTCAGAATCGGATGGTAGTTGCAAAGAGCTATCTTGGAGAACAGGTGCATGAAGGAGACCCCAGACAGTACAAGAACAACATTCCTCACATATTTTTCAATGATCTGTGTAAAGCCATCTCTGTTAATACAAGCTACATGGCAGAAATTCAGGCATGTTCCTTCTTAATTTTACTTATTTCTTGCCCATGGCAACTCAGTGTTTCACCCAACTGTCTGTAGGAAAACCAGTTGGCCATTTATAATCATGAGTCTTGAGGAGTTGACTTTGGGACTACTGAGAGTTAATTCTGAGTGAGCTAGATTTCTAGTAGCCTGAGAAAACAGTGGACAGGTCATGACATTATCACTGGTTTTCCTGCAAAAAACGTCTGAGAAACAAGCACGGAATTTCCATACTGATGACATGTCACCATCCAGATATGGGTAATGACACATCATCAGATCACGACCCAGATCTGGGTAGTGACATGTACACCTCATCAGTAATATCTTTGCTCATTCCTCAGAATTGCCATTTCATAGGAAAACCTGTGGTAGCCTTGCAAAATATCAGCTATTTTCTCAGGCTAGAATTCTGGGCACAACTTAAGCTAGAGGCCTCCCAATGCAAATCCAGTGCTATTTTGATATGTGATGCTATTAGTCCCCTGACTCTTCAGTCACTGTCAAACTGGGTTATAAACATCTGCACCTTTGTTAGCATGGCTGTTTTTTCAAGCTCTTCTCCCTTACAAGGTATAAATTTTACCGTGATTATGTTAGTATCTTCACATATCATATGTATAATTTTTGACTTGGCTTTTTCAGAGAGAAGCAGAAGACAATATTCCAGTTCAGGCTGGAAACAGGACAGACGCTGCTCTCCTGCAATATCTGTTTGAGTTTGGTGTATACTATCAAACATGGAGAGATGACTATCCAGAAGACAAGTTGGTCAGGGTGTTTGAGTTTTCTCCACATCGCAAGTGTATGACGACAGTTATAGCTGACGAGGAAGAAGGATTCAAGCTTTACTCCAAGGGTGCAAGTGAAGTACTGCTGGAACTCTGCACATCGGTTGTATCAACAACAGGGGAGCCAAAAGAATTTACCAAAGAAGATGCTGAGAATCTTTTCAGGGATTTTATTGACCCATGGCAGAAAGAAGGGCTCCGTATACTTTGCTTAACCACAAAGAATATCTCATCTTCAGGTTGTTTCTTAGACTGTTCACAGTCCTCTATTTTCCCGTACGATCGTCGAGATCAAGCGCTTTGCGTTACGGGCTGCCATCTTGCATGAGTGTCAAAACTACTTAGTGGGCGGGGACGGTTTGGAAGGAAGCGAGAAAAGTAGAGGGACTGTAATAACATCACTGCAGCTCGCGTTCAGATGGTGTGACAGGAATTTCACTCCTTTTACCATTCATTAATTAAGAAACTCCGCTAGTGATAAAAAACATGCCAGACACATTCAGCATCGATTACGCGTGTTTACAAATATCTCCTTTCGAAACAGTGATTTTATAATGTTTCTAGGCCATACTTCGAAATAAAATCGGCAAACATACACAAGAAAACATTTTTCTAATTAAATACCAAAAATCCTTCATGTGTTCGCGCAAGATGTGCCTTGTGGTATGAAAGCGTTCGTTTTATGGAAACATTGACTTGTCAGTGTCGGCAACTTAAACTAAACCCGTTGTCAATGCAAATTAACATCTATTGTCTAATGACCAATCAAACGCCTGCATTGCTAGTACAAAGCGCTCCGTGAAAGCGAGCTGCAGTGATGTTATCACAGTCCCTCTATTTTCTCCCCCCCCCCCCTCGGTACATTTGAAAATCAAGATAGCCGTGCCGGAAAGACGCAGTATATCTAAACAATCTCACAAAGAAATAGGGGACTGTGAACAGTCTAGTTGTTTCTCGTCTTTTTATCGAGTAGAGACTGATTAATCTACTGGTCAATTAAGATCTGAGCTGTGATGTAACAAGAATAATATTTAACATAATATTAATAATATTTCTTATTTTCAGATGGTGAAAAACTTCTGGATAAGAAAGAGAGTGAGCTTCTGACAGACCTAACACTCCAGGGGTTTGTAGGGATAGAGGATCCAGTTAGAGAGCAGGTACATAATTGTTATTTTTTTTTATATATGGCTGGTTCTGTGAGTGGGCAAGATGAAGCGAGGCCTGTGTTGTGATTGGCTAACTGAGCGGCTGTAGCCATTCAGGATTTCCCACTTTGTTTCGACAAAGTAAAAGTTCAGTTGTTTTGTATTTGAAGTTGGAGAGATGAAGAAGAGTGAGAGGTCCAAATAGTATTTCATATTTAAGATGTAATGAGCTAAAAATGTCTAGAGCATTCCTTTTACTGCATATTTAATAAATGCCTAATCAGTATTCCTATGTACCCTATGCAATGGCCTATTTTTCTGGTCAATGCCCTGTCACTGCAGGAATCTTTTATAAGCAACCACTTATAATCTTGGCATTTAGGATTGTGTTATGTCACTAACAAGAGGGTCATTGCATACTGGAGTCCCCTCTACTCTGTATGTCAGTACCCACCTTGTAGAAAACTGCACCTTCCTTTACATGTGCAGTCTGAATCATTAGATGATCAGTAATGTGGGTTAGACTCTGATCCCTGACTTTCTCGTGGTCTGTTTTTATTTCAGGTGCCTGATGCAATAAGGAAGTGTCAAAAGGCTGGGATTACTGTGCGCATGGTGACAGGTGATAATGTCATCACTGCCAGATCTGTGGCTGTCAAGTGTGGTATAATCAGACCAAATGAGGAAAGCCTTGTGTATAATGGAAATGAATTCAATTCATATATCAGGGATCCAGACAGAAAGGTTAATAATTTATTACTGTATGTTGAAACAGAAAAATTTACATTAGATTTTGTTTAATGTAAAGAACTTTTAGCTTTGTTATGATACTCTGGTTAATTTTTCCAGAGCTTTTGGTCAAAGTTCTCTTCAAGTTTTAACACCTGCACAGTGCAGAGTAGAAGTGGTCATAAACAATAAAAAAACAGTTTGAATTGCCAGAAAAAGACAGTTTTGCTTGTCCATATTAGCCTTGCAAATAAGCTTTGTTTGCGATGTGTTGCTCTTCAACTTTGAAGGCAGAGAACTCAGCTGTATATTATGATATTACGTATCTGATAGTTTCAATTTTGATCTTTTACTCAAACTCATGGCAAAATTTTGGCAAGAAGTGATTCATTAATTTTATATCTCTTTTAAAAATCAACTTTTACTTTATTTTATTTTTCCAAATTTCATTTCAGATAAATTCTGATCGGTTCAATGCCATGTGGCCCAAACTGTGTGTCCTAGCACGTTCTAAACCATCAGATAAATTTACACTTGTCAAAGGAATGATGGAGAGTACTGTAAAACCTGCTGGTGAAGTTGTGGCTGTAACAGGCTCAGGGGCTAATGATGGACCAGTTCTGAGAATGGCTGATGTTGGATTCACTATGGTAATTTCCAACAATTATTAATATAGCCATGTAGCTTTGTTTGGTGTACAGCATTTTGTTGAAACTTCAAGTTGGTGTGTTGGTGGTCATGTTAAGTTAGTTTTGACTTTTATATTTAGGAAACCTTCTTGTAAGGTGACTTCTTCAATTACTACAATATTATTGATTACAATGCTTTACTAAAACGTTTCCAGAAATTGTCACCCAGGATATACTTCTTCATCTCAATGCAAAGGCCATTATTTTGTAACTAGTGGTAACAGTACCATTGTGAAAAACATGGCACTGACACTGACAGTTCTTGGCACTGACACTTCTTCACTCTCTTTGGTTGCATTTCAGGGTGTGGCTGGTACAGATATTGCAAAGGAAGCCTCTGATGTCATTCTTTTGAATGATGACTTCAACAGCATTGTTAATGCCATCAAGTGGGGAAGGCATATTTACCACACTGTCCTTAAATTCCTGCAGTTTCAGTTCACAATTTGCTGGGTTACTGTTATTGTTGTGATTATTGGTGCTTGCATTTTGGGGGTAAGGATGTGCAGGAGCCTAGCTATTGCATGAGGCTATTGGGAGTTTCAAAGATATATTCTATCCTGCCTCCGTGGATTTAAGTCATATTAGCCCCTTCTTCAATGTGATGCTGGTTGAGAAAATGTGAGACTTTCACATTTGAGTTTAAAATGCCCTGAAGAGCAAGTAAATATTTCAGATGCATGGTTTTTAGCAGTCTGTTCATAGATGAATAGATCGTTTATTGTCGCATAAATTGAATACTATTGTTGGCTTAAGAGTAGCCTGTTTTAAAAAAAGATAACGTCTGCGAAGTATTGCCAAGATCTTTGTTCTCGGCCCCCAACAGAGCCAAAAAAATTTTGGAAATGCATTTTAAATTTCTCTTTAACCTGATTGGCCAATTAAACAGTGGTGTTTTTAACAGCCAATTGTGGCACCTTCTCAAATCCTGGTGCACAGCTGGGGGGGAGGGGGGGGTAGAACAAGGATTTTAGTGCTGACTTGCAGATGGACCTAACTGTTAGAGGTTTAGTTTATCTGTGGCACAGGCTATAAACTGTCCCTCTGATGTTTCATTTTTGTAGAGGAGTCCACTGGTCGCCACTCAGTTGTTGTGGATCAACCTCATCATGGACACACTGGCCTGCTTTGCATTGACACGAGACATGCCTATTGATGAACTGCTTAATTACAAGCCATATGGTCGCTACAAGCCTCTTATCTCCCGCACTTTACTCCGCAATGTAATAGGTCACAGTATTTACCAACTAATAGTGATGTCTGTATTGATCTTCAAAGGAGGTGACTTGTTCGACATTATAGACGGCTTTCAGTCAGACACATTTTGTTTGCCAACTCAGCACACCTCCATTGTGTTTACAACATTTGTGTCTATGCAGCTGTTTAATGAGATCAATGCAAGAATGTTGCAGGAGAGAAACGTGTTCAGTGGGATCTACGAGAACTTTTGTTTTCTTATTATATGGTTTGGCCAGGCAGTGCTGCAGGTATGTAACAGTCTCTTCTCTTTTTGCGTAGAGTTTCTCTGCCTTTGTTCATTGGTTCTTCTGCAATGTGTATTTCTTGTGAGCAGCGTGCAAAGAAAGTCGTGTCCAATAGCCGGGGGCTAGTGGATTTTGCTATCGGGCTAGTGATTTTTGTTCTTAACTTACCCGATGGGCAAGTGCTATTGTGGGGGGAAATGTAAATAACAGAAGGATCGTAATCAATCCTGCCAATCAAAAAGGGTTTGGGGGCTAGCTGAAATGACTTGTGGGCTAGTACATGCTAGCTACAGCTTGCCCAAATGGCAGGCTGTCAAACTCCCCTAGAAAATGGTAGTTGGTTTAAAATTAAGGGAAGGAAATAGGCTCCTAAGTTAGGGCCTTTGTTCAATTTGAGGCCAGATTTCATTTGCCTCAACACTGTCTGAATTTTACATGTGATCTCTAAGGAAACAACGCGATGGGCAAGGCTTGAACCATGTTCATCCAGATCCGGAGTTCGACATGTTAACCGCTCGGCCACACACGTCTCTCGATAAAAATATGCGAACATTGTGCTTATACATTAACTTGTTACATGTCAATTATGAGTGGCTTTTGTGTCTGCAGATTATCATAGTGCAGTTCTTTGACACAGCATTTCATGTGCAAGGCATGGACTGGGACCAATGGATGTGGTGCTTGTTCTTAGGTTTCTCCGAGCTTCTGTGGGGTCAGTTGATCTTCACTATTCCTAAGAATATTCTTCCTGCTGCATTTCGCTGTGTTGCTGTGGGTGTACCTCAAGGAAGAGGTATTGCATACATCAGGAGCTGCTCTCGCATGGAACAGCAGGTATGGATTCAAACGCTACTCTGAGATAATGCTGATTGTTTCTTTTTTTTAAAGAATGTTCTGTAATGAGCGTATTTAAGCGAAAATGGGAATAACAATGATACAGATAACACTGTAGGGCCTCTATAAAATCTTTAGTTTTCATTTTGAACAAGAATGTAGAATCTGTTTTTCCGTTTTTTGTTAATCAGGACAGCGGAATCAAGGCATCTCTGTTGAGTCCAGTCGATGACTTGCCTACAGGACCACAATTTCCTGAAGTGATCACAGAGGAGAAGATGCCAGTATCTGATGGTTAAACTAGTGTTGGAAGGAAGATAGACGTGTAGAGTAGTTGTGATGTTAAAGCATTTTGCTGTGCTTCCATTGCTGTGCTTCCATAGCCGATTATTTTTTGTTAAAAGTGAGTGAAACGTCTTTGATAGTAACAGTTTCAACTTGCTTGCATGTTGCCAAATGCAAAGCAGTGCACTGAGCTAACTAGAGAACATCAGACACGAATGCGCAACACAGCTGAGTGTACCTTTGTCCCTCCCTCTCACCACCTTTTCATATCATATTCTTATTCTCTATGCTAAGCCAAATAATACCTGTTATGTAGGCTAACAATTGAATATTTTACTCCCAGTTTCCATTTTTGGAGAATGTGCGTGTTCTCGTTCACTCTGGATGAAATCCCGTTAAGAAATTTTTGAGTTTGGAAACTTAGGGTTGGAAGGATAAGTGAAAACAAAGGAAATATCCTGTTTCAAATATCTTTCGATAAATATTCTTAAATTTGTCTGTGTGTTTTCAGAGGTGAAGGTTATTCTTATGAACATGTATTTATCTATAACTTGTTTAAGCGCATCTGGTATGAACAGTATTGTCAGTGTAAAATCAAGGTAAGGGCCACGCCCATATTTCGTAAATTTCGCTTTTCAGAATGGAAAAAGAAGTTAAAGCTCAGAAGAGCTGGTTTATAGATTAGTTTTTCTTCATTTTCATTGGTCCAGGAAGTGAGCGATGCCTTCAGATGAAAGGAGATGTTTACTGCTTCGTAGTTTGCTTCATCAAGGACTGAGCGGTTACATAGCTTGGTTGTTCGTAAAGAGCGCGTTTGTCTTTTTAAGATAGCAAACAATCACTGAGGAAATATGTGCCAGCCACCTTTTAAAGTTAATTTGTTGTCATCGCTAAACAATATTTAAATATAAGATAAAAGAGAATGTAACTTGAACCAAGGATAAACTTGAGCGGACCATAACGTTTAGTTGTAGAGGTTTATTTAAGATAGTCTAGGGCGGATGTTGTCTATTTTGACCAAGGAATGGAATAGCAAACGTCTGATTTTAGGCTATCATTAAAGTAATATGTACTATTTAAATAAGGCTGTGCTCAAGAGTGTTTATAATAAACTTGATGTGGATTTGGTTTCATAAAGGCTAAAAGCCGCAAGGTATATGTTTTGGCAGTTTGTAAACATTAACATTGCCAATTGCCATTTTGCAATAAAGACGTTAAAGGTACTGAAGGTAAATGCTTTTTGTTTATGATTTGGTTGGGATGGGGGAAAAAGTGTGCCTCTTAACCCATCCCCATTTATCTCGTACTTCAGTACGCGGGGTCGACAGACGGCAGTTTATCTCTTGAGTGGTTCCACTTTTCTCTGCGAAACACCGCGACAAGTTTAGACTAAATGTTATCACAGATATGACGCAAACATCGAGAACTGATTACGACTTCTCGGAGAAATTTAGAAATAAATCGTACATCCAACGGACTTAACCTTTTTTAAATTTCATTCAATGATTTAATTAGTTTTTTTCGGTTGCAAAATAATAACGCCAGTAAGAAGGCCGCATCCAGGGTGGATTAGGTAGTGCTTCAGTTAGCCGCATGCACAATTTCAGGAAATACATGAAACAAAGAATAAAATCTGGAGTGAAAATGTGCGACACATGACCCACAAACCTCATTGAGCGTTAGTAAAGGGAATTAGATGACCTCGCGAGGAAAAAAAGGGATCTTTTTTATATGGAGGCCCACAACTGTCACGGCAAAACCAAAAACCTCACGGAAAAAACAAAATACCCCACGGCAAAACCAAATACTTCACAGCAAAAGCAAAATAGCGTTGGTTTTGCCGTGAGTATTTGCTTTTGCCGTGAAGTATTTGGTTTTTGCTGTGAAGTATTTGGTTTTGCCGTGAAGTATTTGGTTTTTCCTGTGAAGTATTTGGTTTTGCCGTGAGGTCTTTGTTTTTGCCGTGAGGTTTTCGGTTTTGCCGTGAGGTATTTTGTTTTTGCCGTGGGGTTTTTGGTTTTGCCATGAGGTTTTTGGTTTTGCCGTGACAGTTCTGGGCCACCGTACCTTTTACCTTCTTGGGATGTGAACCCAGGGTTTCCAGATTAGATCTACCCGGTCGGTGCTTTACAGATTAAGCTATGAGACCTGACGGGAGCAAGTCTTGGGGAATTAGAATTCTCTGCCCCGTCATTTGTTTTAAAATGCTGCAGGGCACAACATAAAACAGTTATAAGGAAGACAACTGGACCAGTTAAGGAAGCCGGTAAGGATTTTTGTTCATTCTTTTCGTGATTATGAGCGTGGTGAAGAATGTGCAAGCACATACTAAATAAAACTTTTTTTTCACTGGTTCTTTCAACAGTCCGTTTCTCTAGGAATTTGTTGGTCTGCAGTTGTTTGTCGACAGATTGCGTGATCAAAATCCCCCTCGTCCCAGGCTAGGGTCAGTGATTTCGTGCCAGCTGCTAAAAAACACACAAAAAGTAGTATTAGTATCAAGCTTTATTCACGGTATCACTTCATTTAAAATGCTCTTCAGTGAGCTGTTTCCATAAAAACAGACTCTTTGATGATCTTTAACAGCAGCATACCGTAAAATTCCAAAAATAAGCCCCGGGGCTTATATTTTTCAAAGGCCCTTTTTTAGGGGCTTATTTTTGGAGGGGCTTATATTCGGAGAGGCTTATGTACGGAGGGAAATTTGCGTTTCAAAATCGATTTGGCTAGCTTGTAGTGGGAAGGAAATTTACCATTTTTGCATTGTTTTACTTTGTATTCGAGCGCAAATTCCAAGTACAAGCCCCTCGGGGGGCTTATATTCGGAGGGGCGATTTAACGGAGGGTTTTTTGCGTTACGATTTTGGGGGGCTTATATTTGGAGGGGCTTATTTTCGGAATTTTACGGTATATTGTATTGGTACTTGAGGATGTGGAATTTGCGTAAATATGTTATCACAACGTGAAAAAGTTTGAATTAGATCTGAAGTTTAATAGGTAATACAATTACTAGGCTCTGAACCAGGATTAGGTTTGCCTGCAAAAGACAGAAATTTTTCAGAAATAATGATTTTCTTCAAGCTTACACCTGGATATTATCGTAGAATGTTCTTGACTCTTTCACGAGTTTAATCAACTGTTTTAACCTTTGACATGAATATAATCCATGCGCAGCATCAACAAAGTTGTCCAAACTTCGGCGGTTGAACAATATCATTCTCCTGACTAAGGCCCAGGAAAATAAGGCAAATTTAAGTTTACGATAAAAAGCTGGTCCTTGCTGTTGCTCTTATTTTAAGAAAAGTTTTGAAATCAGTGAAGCAGCGAACCATTTGTATTGTGGTTTGCTCCATAGTGATAATTATTTTTGTTTTTATATTTGCAATTAAAATTAGTTATTGAACTACATCACGAACACTGAGCTGAATAAGCGAACTTCGCTTTCTTCGCCATAACAAGGTCGCGAGGTAAGGTGAAGTCTGGTTTTTACTTATTGATAATGAGTATTTTGTCGTTCAAAATATTAGTGAATTTTTATCTTCTAAATCTAAGCTTAAGCAATAAAATCTCTCGATAATTGTTTTGTCAAGTGATTTTATAGTGTGTCGACGCAGTTCGTGACATGATTGTAAACTGATCCGTTGTAAATAAAGTTGTAGTGAACATTGTCTGAAGGACACCTTTTTACAGTCACCATGGCGGAAAAACCAAACTGCACCCCAGATTTCTCAAACTACCAACATCTCCGTCAGAATTTATCCGGCCTGATGGCTACACGAGGAAAAGCAGCGGTTGATCGTCTGGAACGAGAACTTGGAGGGGTAAAAGGACTCGCAAAACAACTGCATTCGTCCACAAAAAAAGGCTTGATTGGCATCAAAGATGGACTCGCGGCCCGTCGAGACGTTTTCGGTACAAACGTTACACGTCGCACGGCCGTTAAACCACCTCAAAGCTTTGCCCGATCACTGTGTTACTCGCTTACCGATGCTGTATTGCTTGTTTTAATTATTGGAGCCTTTGCAGCTCTCGTTCTTGGGTGGTATCACCCAGAAATTTGTGGAGGAATTGAACAAACACGAACTGCTTGGCAAGAAGGATGCGGTATTCTTGGTACTGTAGTATTCATCATTTTTATTGGCGCTATAAGTGACTATTTCCGAGACTATGAGTTTTATAAGATGCAGAAAAGACTGGAAGAAAGCCGTATTTGCACGGTCGTGCGAAGTGGGAAAGAAGATAAGATTTGCTTCCTAAACGTCAAGGTTGGAGATCTATGCGTCCTTAGTCCCGGTTCAATAATACCCGCTGATGGAGTTCTGACTCAGATCAATGAATTGGTCACAAATGAATCTATCATTGGTGGTGGAACAAGTGTTGTGAAAGGCGACGATGAAGACCCTTTAGTGTTCGCTGGAAGTTATGTTACAGGCGGTACTGGCAGGTTTTTGGTTCTTGCTGTTGGGGAACACACACAAGTTTATAATAGAGCAAATAGCGATGTAGGCCCGTTGTCAGGACACCAAGACCCAGCAGATGATGAGAAAGGGACCCTACAAGGCAAGCTGAATAAAGCTTCAGCTATTTTAGGCCTTATTGGTATAATTGTTGGTGTATTGGTGGCTGTAATTATTATTGTTCGATTCAGCATCCAGACTTATTCGGTAGACAACAAGAGCTATGATGAAAGTCACTGGATCGAGTTTGTGCAAGCGATCATTCTTGGAATAGTGGTTATAATCATTGCTGAACCAGAAGGCTTAACACTGGCTGTCACCATTACCCTGTCCTACTGTATTGATAAAATGCATGCCAAGAAAATCGTGGTCAGAAATGTTGATGTTGTGGAAAAGATGGGCAATGTGACTACAATATGCTGTGGGAAAACGGGAGTGCTGACGGAACTAAGTGAGATGAATGTCACGGAACAAGTTACAGAATGTTATTTTGCAGAGGAGAATCACAAAGGACATCCAAGATATTACAAGGACAAACTTCCTGCAAGATTGGTTAAGGATCTCTGTGATGCTATCTCTGTTAATACAAGTTACTCTTCCATCGTTACGGTAAGTTGATTATAATAATCGGTAAAATAAAAATAGACGCAAGTAAATAAAATTGGTAATTATTTATTTTGAAGTTTTTCTGGGAATGTTGTGGTAAGTGCTATAATGTTGTAGTTAAAACTAAACCTTTTTAATGTTAAAATATGCAAATTATTAACAGCAATTAAAAGATATTGATACATCGCGAAAAATTAGTTCCAAGCAATGCAGTTTGAGCCGATTTAAACTGTGCTAGAACAAAGTTCTTATGCAAAGGTATGTGCCGCAGAAGGTGAATTCGGCATCATCAAGCAGATCAAGGACCTTCGAGACGTACTATTGACACGACAGAAACACAAGCCCGTTTGTTTGTTTGTATAAAGTCTATGACGTTAATTGTAGAATGACAGTGTTGTTTTAAACAATGACAGGTGACCAGTGGATTGTGACTCTTTCAGAGATATCACAACAATAACTTGCGATCTTTAGATGTTTTAAGTGGAAAATCCGCAAATCTAAAATATGTGTAGTCACAGCTCTTTGACAGTTCAAAGCTATATTGTAGAACAAATTCCTGTTTCTCAGAAAATTGCCAGACTGGATTTCCAGAAACATGAGTACATTTAATATTGCTGGCGCGCATGAATATAGCTCAAATCAAGTGCTTTTTAACGTTGTATAACAATATATTAGATTAAGCCTCTCACTCCTAGTAGTTGCCAAAACACAAGTCACAAGAAAATTCACATTAATCGTCGAATATCCTGCAAAAGTTAGTGATTATAAGGAAATAAATCACCTGGGGAATGAATGAATCTTTTATTTGTTTTTGTTGCCTGGAGGAGTGATCCGGTTCCAAGCACAATCAAATTTAAATTAATTCAATTCCAATTTCAATTCAAGTTTATCACAGTAAAATGATAAAAAAAGACATGTACATACAAGTTACTGTAAATTTAATTGACAAGACGGAAGTTTCACGTCTCTTATTTTAACTTTATCTCTGTTTCCGTCAGGCTTCAGGCCCTCAGTGTTCCTCCAAGCAAATAGGTGACAGAACAGAATGTGCCCTCTTACAATTATCACTGGATCTGGAAACGTATTACCCATTTATACGCAAAGACCATCCTGAAGAATCATTTGTTAAAGTGTTCCATTTCTCCTCGGAACGTAAGTCCATGACAACAGTTATTCCTGATGGTGATGGCTTCAAAATTTACTCAAAAGGCGCGCCTGAGGTTATTCTGAAAAAGTGCGCGAGCATTGTGCGGCGTGATGGAAGCATTGGAAAGTTTCTTCCAGAAGATGAAGTCAGAATTGAAAGAGTCGTCAAAAACATGAAAGAGAAGAGCCAATTGAAAGTGATGTGTATAGCGTACAGACTCGTATATCCCTCAGGTGGGTACAACGTATTGAATAACAGGTTTTGTGAGGCTCTCGTACCATTAGAGTCATTAGGGGACACTTGAAATGACTCTATTCTTTTCGTTTCTTTAATTATTTTATGAAAGTGTTACTGCCATTGTCAGAAAAACGTATTCATTTTAACTATGGTTTACACTTTTGTTTAAATCTATCCCTATCAGAGCGAAAGTAAATAAAGGGTGTTTTGGCCCACACAACTTTTGTTGTTTTTACTATTTATAGGGGAGACCAGGGTACCAAACTGGGACAACGAGGAAGAAGTGACGTCACAGTTGATTTTGCTTGGACTTGTGGGTATCGACACGTTGGACGAATTCGTAAGTAAAAGGGTCAAAGAAATTTTAAAAGTTGTCATGTCGAAGAAAATACTAAAATGTCTATTGAAACATCTATAAAGCTTATGGATTTTAATTCGAATGCGTGTTTCTTTTTTTCTTTCAGACTCAAAGTACAAAACGTGCTGTGGAAGGAGAATTGGGTGAAAAGACATTTAAGAGTTTCCAAGACCGGAAGGCATATAAATTAAGAAACTTCAAACAGCCCCATTTTGTGGAGGATCTTTGCAGAGGAATAGCTGTCAATACAAGTTATTCGTCGAATATTGAGGTGAACAGTGCGTACGCATACTATTGTAGTGAATGAAAAAAAGGACAACATATATTGCGTTATCACGTTTCTATAATTGACAGCGAATAAATTTTCCTTTGTGCAGAATGAAGACGCAGACAATCTTCCTAAACATATTGGTGACAGCGTTGATGGGGCACTACTGCAGTTTGTACTTGAAATAGGCGAAACTTACCAAGTATGGAGAGATGAATATCCTGAAGATACACTGGTTCATAAGTGGCAAAGCCCCCGGGGAGTACCCCCAAGTGAAGAGTTTACTGCTGTAGTGATTCATCTCAAGGAAGGAGGTGGAGCTGGTTACAAGCTGTACTGCATGGGAGGAGTAGATTTTGTGTTGTCTCGGTGTTCAAACATGGTGCTTCCTTCACTGGATAAAAAAAGGTTTGACGACGACGATAAAAACAAAACGAGGAAGCAAATTTCTGATCTGGTGAAGAGAAAGCCGTCGATTGAAGTGGTTTGTCTGGCATCCAAATATTTCCCTTCTGATGGTGAGCATTTCTCCCTTGATCATTAGGCGCAATTTACTTGTAGTATGTGGACTTAAAATTGAAGGCAAATTTATTTGCCCAATATTTGAAGACTAGTTTTGTCTAGTCGAAATATTGGGCAATTAAATTACCAATCCTTAGCTGTCCGATTATATTCTATATCACTGATCCTAATCTACACCAACATCCGGCTTTCCCTCGCTTCTGTTTGTCCGAGTGGTCCTTGCAAGAATTGTTCAGTAAGTAGACTAACGGCCCATCATCAGATTGGTCAACATCATTGTCATCAGGCTCATTATCATCGTGTCATCAGCGTTATCGCCATCATATTATCAACATCAGGCTCACCATCATCATCATCATCATCAGCAGCAGCAGCAGCACCATTATCATCATCGTTAGCCTGCGTAGCTGGCGGGATTCTTGTGTCCGGGCGACTTTCTTGGCGCGGAGCCGCCACGCGAAGCGAGTAACGAAGCCGCGAGGGAAAATCCAAATTGACTTGTATACCCACCCTGCTCGCGGCTCCGCCGATAAAACAATACAGCACTCGCACCCAGGTCCCGCCAGCTGCGCAGGCTAGATCATCTTCATCGTGAACATCATCTTCGTAGTCGTTTTCTTGATAGAAAGTTTGTTAAGTTTGGGTCCACCATATCTACCTGACCATAAAAATGCCATGAGAGAGCTGGTTTTCAGTCCCAAATCTAAAATATCACCAGTGTATAGTTGGGATGTTGATTACTCGGACAGTTGTTTTTCAGTCCTGCTCGTTGCCTACGGATATGCAAGTGTCTAAACAAGATAAATGGTTTGCGGAGCTCTGCGATCCCTGATGAATGTGTTTGTGTAATCAAAATCTTACTAGTCTCAGTTAATATTACTTACAGTATAGTTTGTTCGATCCTCAGACCATAATTGGGATGACGATAATGTCTTGTCAGACCTCACATTTGTTGGCTTTCTCGGCATCGAAGAAACAGTTCGATCACAGGTATTCACCAATTATTGTAGTTCTGTGTTTTAGGCAATATGCATGGTATTTACAGAAAATGTTTAGAACGCTGAACTTATAACTAACAGTGCGTAATAATTTATTGACAAATTCACGACCACGTAGCAAACAGTGTGATTTCCAAGCCTGATTGTGAAAATCCCTGCTTCAATAAAATGCATGTACATACTGAATGTTTGTATTCTCGGAGACTGAGTTGAGGTAACTGACCTACTTAATGTTGGCCCGTTGGTTGCTTAAACCAAGACAGTTTTACCCATTGATTTGGTTTCCTGTATTTCCTTTTGCTCATCAGAAGTTTTAGTCATTCGTGGTTTATGGAGTTAGAGCCAATTATATAATCAGATGGCAAGGATTGAAATGACCTCACTCAGACTCGAGTCAAGGGTTTCTTCTCAATCAAAATAGCTTCAATCTCATGTTTTCATAGTCTTAAATGTTTAGGAGTTGAACATGTCTGACGATTTCTGACATCTCTCCCCGTCCGAGCTCCCAGTTACCTCTGAGACAACACAGGGGTTTTGGCAAATGCGTTATAGAATTTTTTTTTTAATTGTCCTGGTAAAGGTGCCGGATGCTATTCAAGATTTGAACGGTGGAGGTATTAAAGTGTGTATGGTGACTGGTGATAACCTGAGTTCAGCAGCTGCATTCGGATTCAAGAGTGGCTTGTTATCTCCAACAAAGGAATGGACATATTATGGATGTGACAGCAAAGTTTTAAACAATGTAAGTTGTATTTATCAAAATGAAGCATCAAGCGGAACAATTAGCTTCTGATAATCGTTGCAATCGTTTCAATATTTGCAAGCCTTACCTTACAGGTTTAAATTGCAAGGCGGATTGCCTGGTATAAGATCTTATAACACTTACAGGACATTGATATCTTCCGTGTAATCGTCTTTTGGTAGCCAGCTATATAAACTCTACTGAGTTAAACTGAAGTGAAAGTAATCACAAAGTTTTTGCGTTTTCTTTTTCTAGTGAAAACAAACCCTACGTTTCTGATAACAACTGAGCTTACTCGATTATTGTATAGAAATTGAGGAGAACAACTACAACTGAGAATGTTATTTGGAAACTTGTTTCCCTTAAAACTAACATCCTTATCATGAGACAACCTTTCTTTCTCTGACTGAAGGGGTTGAAAAACACTATAACAAATTTGTCTTTACGGTTATATTTATTCATATTTAATTTAATTTAATTTAATTTTTTCCGTTCAGGTTAATCAAAATGGGTTTGACGATTTGTGGCCAAATGGCCTTCGTATCTTGGCAACCGCAGGTCCCGCCGAAAGACTGAAATTTGTAAATCACATCATGAACACGCGCTCTGAGCGAGAGGTTGTGGCTGTGACTGCATCTGGTGTGAATGATAATAAAGTCTTGAGAGCTGCTGACGTGGGACTCACAATGGTAATTGTACATAATATATGTGCAGTTGAATTGATAGATTTTGCAATAGTGGCTAAAGAATAGATTAAAAGTCTGATAGATACATCAATCTATGGTCGTGAATTAATGTATGTATTTGTGAGTGAATTGAGAGAAAGAAAGAAGGAAATAAAGGGAGAAAGAAAGAGGGAATGAATGATTGATTGATTGAACGAAGGAACCAATGAATTAATGGACGAACGTACCAATGGCGTTTAAAAATATATTTACCCTTACTCCCGTTTGTTGCTTATGCGCTGCCAGAAACCTGAGTCGCTTTACCGATCTAAAGTCTAACGCGCGCAGCTTTGAGTAAGTTTAGATAATTGAAACATAAGGAGTCGATATTAAGCCACTGCAGGCCTTGACTACTAAAACATATTATGCTGATCAGTGAAAGTTGAAACCTCCACCGGTCATGGGCAGCTCGGTTCATTGTTCGCCGTGCTCAGCTTATCATGATTCTCTGTCCCGGTATCGTAGGGTGTGTCAGGCACAGATGTAGCAAAGGAATCAGCAGATGTAATACTTCAGGATGATAATTTTTCCAGTATTGTTAAAGCTGTTAAGTGGGGGAGAAACATGTACGAAACAATTCTCAAGTATTTGCAGTTCCAGTTCACTGTCACCTGGGTCGCTATTATCGTGGTGGTTGTTGGAGCTTGTGTAACAACGGTTTGTATGCATTTTACCATCTTTATTGCATCCGCATGCTGTAGAGGTTCTCAACGCAAGGTTAAGGAGCGCGTGAAAATGAACAATTTTAATTCAACGTGTTAAAAATACAAAAAACGCCTCTAGTTTGTTCCTTGGGATAGTATGACTTCGTCACCTCGTGCGATTTCTAACCACACCATAAGTTGTTATTCGGGCTTGTTCCATCACATAACATCACATAAGTAAAACCCATCTACTCTCAAAAATTTAAAAAATGCCCAACTGTATATTCTCCTTTCTCGCCATCCTTTCTTTACCATGGCATGGCGGGGGATGGGGAGTGTGTTGCAGGGTTGCCAATGAGAAAGAAACAATCTTGAATTATCATGTCCTAGATTCAAATCACCTCCTTGATTGTAGAAGTATCTACGTTTCAAGGAGAAATTTGTTGCTTATCACCGAAGTACCTATTTAAAGGAGAGTGAGATTCTTTGCTTAACAGCTACTTGCAGCGCCCCTAGGTAAGGTACGGTAAAACTGTATAGCCACTCTTTTTATATTTTTTACAGCGAAGTCCACTATCAGCTACTCAGCTTCTTTGGGCCAACCTTATCATGGATGGATTGGCTTCTTTGGCCCTAACACGTGACCCACCATCCAATGAAGTGCTGACTCATAAGCCATATGGTCGCCACAAGCCCCTGGTTTCACGCGCTGTCATTAAGAATGTGATTCTTCACTCCATATTTCAGTTGACCGTCATGTTTGTGTTGATTTTTGTATTTCCTGATTTCCTGGACATGAGAGATGGTTACGACGAGTCCAGTGTCTGCCGTCCAACACAGCACGGCACCATGGTTTTTACCACCTTTATTTTCATGCAATTGTTTAATGAAATCAACTGCAGGCGAGTTCAGGACCGAAACGTTTTTTATGGTCTTTTGTATGCGCGGAAGCTGAAGGATATTAACGTCGTTTTTATAATCATCTGGATTCTTTCATTTGGTACACAGGTAAAGCACAGTTCGACGGTTATTACACGTTAAAATGCTAACTGAAGAGGACCATCCCCCAGTAGAATCTGCCCTCAATTAATTGCACCAATAATACAACACAAACTGCATTGGAGAAAATGTACTTAGACTTTCAAAGTTTTAAAGACGTGATATCTTTTTCTTACAAATGAGGAAGAGATTCCTTGTAAAGGTTGGCATTAAGAGGTTTAACACTTTGTACGGTACTTTTTTAGTTCTAGCCTGCATAGCAGGTGTCGAATGGGGTAGAGGATTGGGAGGAAGGGAAAAAGGGAGGGGGATTGGGGGAGAGGGTATTAAAGGGACCTTCCTTTCTTTTCCCTTTCGCGCTTTTCTCCTTCTCCAACTCCCCCTTCCCCTTCCCCTTCCCCTCCCCCTTCCCCTTCCCCCTTCCTTTTTGCGCCTGCCACGCAGGCTTAGTTCCGCAAACACCCGTCATCGGTTTCTGCACCGTTCGAGCCCAGGGAAACCACAAATTGCCCATGTCCCCTTGATTTTCATTCTCTCGAAAGTCTATGAGTTGGCAAATTTACTTTATCAATTAAGTTGATCAAACCACATTTTTAAACTGGCTTAATGTTGACCCTTGATCTTTTACAGCTGATTATTGTAGAGTTCTTCACTTACTCCTTCCGTGTTGTTGATATGGACTGGGATCAGTGGATGTGGTGTTTGTTTTTCGGGTTTTCCGAGCTAATCTGGGGGCAATTGGTATTTACGGTTCCAAAGTCAGTGATTCCACGTCAGATAAGATGCTGCTCTGATGGAATATCCAGTAACAAAGCAAGCTGCTGGAAAAAACTTGCCCGCATCCGTGGTATTTCTAAAGTTCGTAAACAGGTCAGTCTGGTTTTTAACGGATCTGGGGCCCGTTTCTCGAAAGTTCCGATAATTAACGGGCCCGGTAAGCTGTCTCCGTTTACAGTAAAGATCGAGGTTTCAATAGTTTTGCATCTAACATGATCAAACTGTCAGTTAATGAAACTAAATGGAGTAGTTTGCTAGCCAGGACCCGCGCTCTTATTCTTTATATTTCGATTTGAATATTTGATTTCGGGCCCGTAAAGTTACCGGGACTTTCGAGAAACGGGCCCCTGATGCTTTGGCGAAGTAATGCCTTTGTTTCTCAGTCAATCAAACTTCTCGTTATTCTTTTAGAACCAAACGATGTACAAGTATGGAAATCAAAATGGTGTGAGATCCTTTGAGAACACAGTTACTCCCGAGGGCTCAGAAGAATTCAGAATGGCAGAGTTGCCTTAATTAGCTGGAGTCAATTTACATTAATTATATGGGACTGCTATAACCGAAACCAAGAGGCTCGTTATTTTGATGAACGAAAAGGTTAAAAATAGTATAATTTTCGTACTGCCAGTGATCAGGTTCCTGAAGTATAACCATACCAAAGAAAATTGTTGAATATTTCTTTCTTCAGATCATGTATAAAATGATGAAGACTTATGCTAATAGTTTAGGGATTTTATCGCTTCGTTAGGCGGAACCTTATTTACCAGTTGTGGTTCACTTTCACCCTCGACATCTTCCACTCAACCTCCCCCCACTGAAAGAAAAATAGTTTTCGGTAAATGGTATTTCCTTACAGTTAAGTTGGTAAAAAGCTTACAATTGTAGGGAGTTTTCAGGTTAACCACTCTTTCAGTTTTTGTATTTAATTTGTATGAACCATGATACCTTCTATGATAAACATCCATTCTAATGAACCAACTTGTAAACAAAAAATTCGCGATAAATCCGACAATGCGGGCACCATACGTTATCCACTCGGTATAGAGATATACGTCAATTTCTCGCCATTAGCCTGTCCTTATTTTAAAATAAATAATTTACTCGCGTGCTTTAATATATCGTAAAGATAAAATAGCCCGAACTTAGTTGAAAATAGTAGGAAAACAGCTTTGTTCTAGAAGCTGATAAAATAAGCTTATCGTACGCATTTAATGCTGTGCTAATGTACTGGAATTGTAGAGTTTTGTATTTTTATCCAGTTATTGTTTGCAAAACAAATAGAACAGCCTTACGTATCTCCTTAGAACTCTGCATCACGTTGTTGATAATAAATGATAACAAAACAAAGCTAATGGTCTGTAAAAACTAAAGAATTTATTTTACAGTTTTATAATGCTTTCACTGAAAAAAAGTGAAGGGAGATTGTTTCACTACCTCCCAACTGCAACCTCTTCCTTGAGATTTCACTGAGGGACATCCCCTAGGGAGAGGCTGTTCCGGACTGGACTTAGAGTTGAAGCTGAACAAACTCTTCCACGGTTTCTGTTTTTTTTTTTTTTTTTCACTTTTTAACTGGAAGCGATAAGCGAAAACCCGTAAATAAGGCTGGAAAGAACGCAATAGAATGAGTATAAAGTTGCCAAGTTTGAAAGTGATTTGTCTCTCCCGGTTAAAACTTACGAAGCTATAGCTTCGCTAAGTCGCGGAAGTTTACAGAGATTTGTAAGGTGGAGGGCAAGTTCGTGGCCCCACCTCCAAAAACCGCCGCAAAATTTCGCAACTCTGGGTAGCAATGTCTTCGCTCGCCTAGGACGTATCACCATTAAACTTAGTACATTTGCTCACTTTAAGGCGCTCTTTCTAGCAGTGTCGGTGGAGATTTGCTTACTGGTCATTACCAAAACTTGAAAAAACCGTAAAAGGGTATTTATCGAGTATCATTTTCTAAGTCCCACACCCCATCTCCACCCACCTTCGTGTTTTTGTGCCAGATTGCTGCTGCAGTTAAATTTGGTTAATACGCTTAAGTAGTATATTAATAAGGACTGGTTACTTCATTTTGCGGTGGACGCCATAGCCTTTTGTCTTTATTTCCTAGAAAAATTAACTCGTCGTGGAAATACGTCGCAGCCTTTAGCCTTTATCTCATGAATAAAAGGCGGGACAATTTCCTTAACTAAAGATAAGGGGAGGGGTTTCTTTGTTGTTTATAGTCTAATGGACCAAGACATGATTTTACGCGATGTGGTTATAGGGCGAACAAGACCGTCAGCCTATATTTTAAAAAGCCCTTTTTGACAGCTAAAAATGTGGATTTCTATACGTATCAGTTGACCGGCTGACATTTAAGTTGCTTAGCAGTCCGTAATCACTCCTGGTTGGTCTCGTAGAGAGTGATTTTTTCGGTATTTAGTAATGAAATGTTTTTGCTTGAATTTTATACCTCAGTTTCTCGAACGTTTTAAGTGTAAATGCTGAGCATTAATTTTTCCAGGAACAAGTTTGTCTGGTGATCACTACTGTTTGCCATTCTCAACCGACCACATTTGTAAGCGAAAGTAAATCTACAGGCTTTCATATGCCGGGTTAACGTTTAGCGACTACTGAAAACATGATTATTGTTGGTCAGATTTCGTTGGTGGAAGCATCTATGTTGTTAGTCATAACATTTTCCTTCAAGTCTTGGTGCAATAGTTTGGACCAATTTCATTGGTTAAACCGATATGGTTTTGTCTCAGTCGATAATCTCTTATACCATAGTTAATTGAGTGGAATGGTTATGAAACCCGTCAGACTCCTTTGTTATATGTTTTTGTGGACCTGAAAGTGCACAACGTTCAAAAGAATTCCTATCATTTTGATTGTAATGACCAATAAAAACGTTGCATTAATTTATTCCGTAACAATTTGCCAACAGAAAACAAAGAATTGTGCACTTTCACGGTACTTCCAACATAAACTGCAGCACTGTTGTTCTTATCATTGATGTTTGCCGCTTTTCATAACCAGTCTCCTCTAATAACTATGCTTATACATACAAAAACGTATTTCTTTAAACCTTTGGCGCTCGTATAAAAAAGTCTTCCGTTCAATGCGTTAGTCAATTCAAGCTATAACCATTCCAATTCCTATCCGCGCGTCTTCTCACACCCTTGTGTATGTGACCTAACAGTGTCCTAACTAGCTATTTCCTAGTGAAGAGAGATTGGTTAAAAAATAGCAGCTAACTCTTCTATAATCAGTCTCAACATCACATTAGCCCAGGTTCGAAGAATTCCCCCTCTTGGTTTGGTGAGCTCTATCTGAAATGACGTCAGAGCCTTTGTTTTCAACAGACCCTTTTACCGATAACGCGACCATATTGAAGACTATTCAGAGGGCACGTGTTTACGTTTATTTCCATGAAACGCGTTTATTTGTTGACGAATTCAAAGAAAGTTTGTTCCACGTGGATTCCAATAAGATTTTAAAGGCGATTTGGTGCCTTGTTTGGGTGTCGGTAAAAAAAGTCTGTTTTAGGGCCTGTTTACATGAAGGTGGGGGACCCCAGATTGGTGAGGTAACATGTGGCGGGTCACCCCACCTTTCATGTAAACGTAATCAAATTAAAATGAGAAATTTTATGGACAGGCGGGTTACCTCATCTGACTGGGGTCCCCCAACTCCATGTAAACAGGCGCTTAGAGCAAGGGAGAGGAAGAGGGATGGAAACCGCTCGAATTAATCCACGCATGATGTAAAAAAAATGATGGGACTGAAACTTTCTCTTTTTACGGAAACTACAAGCTTTGGAGGGTTACTTTAAAGGACTAAATGAAAAAAAAGCAGTCTTCCGGGGTACTTATTCTAGAGAAAGTATTAGCTCTTTATCGCCTGTGTGGTCGGGCGATACACTGGCAAGTTTGCCTCGTTTGCTGGATTGGCCTCGGCAGATATCTGAGTGGTGCTGATGTGATCATCATCGTTTAGTAGTGACATCTGCATTCGTGGACGACTTGCACTCGGTAAAGTCAGTCTACGACGTCGATACATGAACACAATGGTAACAACTATAACAAAGAGTAAGAGGATTCCAGCAGCACAGGGAAGGAGGATTAGGTAGAGTTTCGCCTCTAGGGATAAACGGAAACCATCTATGTCAGTTCCACCGGCAACAACAACAAGAACAACCAAAGCGTTTTTAAAACACAACTGCCTGTCATTGAAAAAATATAAAGGTTCTGTTCCGTAGCTTGCTTTCTGTAAAATGCTAACTACGCCATATTATGACTGTTCCTATTTATGATATTTGACGGTGTATGATTTCTCATACACCGTCAATAAACCAATGACCATGAGGTCAATTAAATATTTGAAAAGTGTTTGGTCAGGTAAGCCGCAAGGGGCGTTCCCTCATGGATAAACGAAGGTTTAGGAGTAAGGATTAGCGCAGTCGGTAAAAGCGCGGCAGCTCTGTGCGGGAGGTTCCTTAGTTCGATTTCCAAGTGTGACCTCAAATCCCTGCTTCGACTTCTTTCCATTTCGTGTACCTTAAAGAAGCACTGATAGAGAGAAGAGCTAAAATGAGCGCACCCTCGACCTCAGGCTTGTCAGTTTAAATACTGTTACCAGTTACCGACGTAAATTAAAGACCTCTATGGCCTCTCTACAGGGACCTTTCGTTCTAAAATCTGTGTAGACTCTTTCCGAGAAATGAAAAGACCAGACATCAGTTAGAGCGTAATTCTCAAAGTCAGCATGTCAGCTTATCCTTTTTGTGCCCCTGCACTGGCATCATAAGTTTTTTTTTTTTCTGTGTCTTTAGATTTCATTACACGGTTTGCTCCACACGGCGATTGGTTTTTAGCCCATTATGCACCCTAGGTATGACAAGTCACTAGAACATACACTTTATTTTGAAATTACAAAACACAAGATATTGAGAGGTTTTTTTATAAGGCACAGGCATGTTTACTACTGGAGTTCACGCGAACCTGAACCAGGAGATCGTCACGACCCCCCGAGAGACTGAACTTGTAATGAAACGAACCTACCAAGGTCATTGACGGACTGATACACTTCTCCGTAGCCTCCCCGCAGACGTCCTTTGGGGTTCGTTTGTCACGCATTCATTTCTGCGTGCGTGACAAACGAACCCCAAGGGACGTCTGCGGGGAGCCTAACTTCTCCGGGACCTAACGTCCTAATGAAGAAAAGAAATCGAAGAATTAAAAATAATACAATTACCTTTAGAAAGAGTGGCCTTGAATCCATTGCCGTCATAATCTGATTCTCCAACTGCAGATCTGAACTCCACTGTCAAGCTGTTTCCAGAGGTGTACACCGGTTGAACGGTTCTTTCACCGCCGATTGTATCTAAAACTTTGCTCTCCTCTGACGACCCATCTAGTAACATCACACGATCTTTCGGGCAATCAGAGTAATAGCGACACATTTTCACCTTTGTGAATTGTATCTTGATGCGAAATCCCGAGGGAGCAACCACCGACCACTTGAAGTACGAATTCCTCGGGTATCTACCTGGATACATTGGACTGGAGATCTCCGCGCCTGAGACCTCGCCCAAATCAACCTCTACAACAAAAAAACGTATTATTATCTAAACTGCTTAGTTCACTAATTCAAGAACGAATGAACGGGGGAGGGGGGATTTAACAGTCATAGAAATTATCGATGCTGGAAGAAATCAAATTACCACAACAGAGAATTTTACACAAAAGGGGGAAGGATAAAAGGAAAAAGTGGAATTATCTTCATCATTGAAGGGTTATTCTAAAACACAGCTCACAGCAAGCTTTTGTTTCCCCAATCTTCCACTGCGTTAAAGTTAAGATAGCTACTACACACAGGAAATAATGGGGATTGACCTGCCCCAATAAGCTTCTGCCAGCACTTCAGTCCGGACCGCTGGTCATGGGGAACGAAGACTAGCAATTCCGTGTAACATAATTTTAACCATTCATATTTAGAAATGTACTTACTCTTTTCAAATGGTAGCGTTGTATAACTCGCTGTAAACCAACTCTTATCATCGCTTTCTGACAAAATGAAGTTCACTAAGAGTGAACTTTTGTTAGTTGCAACTGGCTGCGGCATTTTACTTTGGCAGTAGGTTTTCCAGGGTTGGTCCTCAAAACTGTCTTTTAGCTCGATGCGGGTTCCTTGGCTTCCGCATGTTGGGTTATTGCCGGTAACGTCAATGTTATATGATTTGAAATAGAGAATAATCCTTAGATCCTTAGGAACAGTTATCAGCCAAGTACAGAAACCATCATCAAGGCTGGATAACTGACCTGAAAGCTCTGTAAGAAGCTTATGGCCCTCTCTACAAACTAGGAGCAAAAAAAAAAAAGGATAATGCGAGTGTTATAACCTGAGCTAGTCACCTACACCAGCGCGAAAGGTTGCGAGACCAAGCATACTTTGTAAAAGAGGTGAATCTGATATCCACACCCTATTTAAAACGACACTGTCTAAAATTCTTAAATGCGACTTACAGAGTTCTACGAATTCTAGTCTGTACTAGGACAGGCAGAAAAATAAAGGAAATTTTACCTGGACAAGGAGAGTCAACGAATATACTACTAGCCTCTCTGTCAAAAATTCTAAGTGGTTATAGTGATAGCATGATCGGTGACAGAACGGTCTTTTTAAAAGTTTTTTTACGAAAAGTCATTGGGAGAGAGAGGAAGAGTGCATCTCGCTCAGATATGCTGCTCGATTTGTTGACGGATCTTTCGGTATTATTAAACTAATATTGACACCAGAAATAAATCATCGAACCATCCCATTCCTGCTGGCGGGGGCAATATAAGGCAAGTCTCATCTGGGGCGAAGGGAAGAATACGACATCCCCACCTGTCATTTACCTTACCCCGGACCTTGTCAAGGTAGTATGCGTTGCAGGCGCAGTTTTCAAAGAAATATGGGGATAGAGACAAATGATACGCGCATGAGCTGTGGATATGTCCATCTCTCACACGTCATGGCCCATTCCGTACCTTTGCAATTTGCACCATACATTTTTCATGCGCTAAGTATGCAGGCTACACTCGGCTTTAATACTTCGCTCTGAATCCTTCACCTGCATAACGCTTACGTAATCAATAAAGGAAGCCAGAAATCTCGTTGACCCTGAAGCAACAAACGCAGGGGAAGAATCACACGAGCATGCTCACGTTACTTTCATCAACGTCGTCTGTTTAACAGACTGTGCTACATTATCTTTATATCAAAGTGTCCGAATTTTGTAACTTAGACAAAAAAAAACACGCTATACGTATTATTTTTGACAATCTGAGATATTTGCATCGTTTTTCACAAATAATTTGTAAGAGTGAGAGAGAAACAACCTACCTCCTAAGGACACTTCAGAAGTAGTTGACAAAAACAGAACTAAAGTACAAAGAAAAAAAACCGTTAATAATAGCGGAAACTCTGTACAGGTTCCTATAAAGGCGACACTGGACGGATTTGTCACGCACCGGTTGTTAATTATTACACTCAAATGCCGCTTAAATGCAAATTCAAGGAGACATGAAAATGACAGCACGACGGAATTGTGATTTAACTCTTTCACTTCATTTATCGAACCTGAAGTAAACCGACAAATTATGCTCAAGTTATTTAACAATCTACTGCGTAGTCAATCGCGAAGACACTGTGATCGCGATCGTTTATTATGAATAAAGTACAGATGTCAATTTCAATTCATTTCGGTCACGCTACCGTCCAGATCGCTTCCATGCAGAGTGAAAATGAAATTGAACTTCCTAACAACCTGCTTGAACCGAACAAAAAGAAAATATGGCAGCAAAACAGTGCAGCATTTAAGCAGTAGTTTTTTTTTCACATATTCATAACTTCTCAGTAGTTTTTTGATCGGCAAGACTGCCAGCTTATATTTTAAACGCGAAAGTCTGAATCTCTAAGTCAAACCTTTTCACAGAGATGATATGCCAGTTATGCGATCAAATTGTTACTTTTTAGTAGGTTTGTTACAACATTTAAATGTAAGAGATTAATTGAACGAATCTTGAAGCGATAGTTCTCAATATTTAAAAAATGTCTTTGTGGAAGTTTGGACAATGAAATCGCAACCGAACGATCGACAGATCGATGATCGAATAGTTGATGTTGTGACATTCCAGACTTACCCGCCCATATAACCAGAAACATTGCACTGAATGTTTTATCTTAGTACTCTACTCTTCTTTTGCACGTGTTGTGCACAAAACAGGAATACTCTCCACGTCGTCCAAGAGTTTTAGACTACCATAACCTCCAGCTGAATGCGATCGAAAAGGAACACAGACATGACTACTCAGGCGAAGTCACTTTGCAACGGTTGAGGGGCCCTGGGACCAGTTTTATTGAGATGCGCTGTCAAAGTGATTTGGGTCAGTCCCCCGCACACAAATCACTGGTTTTAAAGAACCTGTTAAGCTAAAATTTGCTGTAGTTAGGCCCATTCTACACAAGAATTAGAACATTCAGAATACTCTTTGGAAACATAGGTGTCAAGTATTACTCCAACTGGCAATGTAAAATTCCGAAAATAAGCCCCCCCATGTATAAGCCCCCCCAAATATATCCCCCCCCCCCCAAACTGGTAACGCAAAATCGCCCCTCCGAATATAAGCCCCAGGGGGCTTCTACTTGGAAATTGCCCTCAAATACAAAGTAAAACAAAGTAATCACGGTTCACTATTATATAAATTTTTATATTTGCCAGATAACTATTACGTGTGCCAAAGATTGCAGTCAGAAAGAGTCACAGTTTATATGTGTTTTCGTTATTCAATTTTCACTCTTGGCTTGGATTTCCTCGGTCCATATTACCGTGATCAATTACCGTGACAGAAATTTCCTTTCACCTCTATGCTAGCCCAATCGATTTTGAGACGCAAATTTCCCTCCAAGTATAAGCCTAGCCAATTTTGAAACACAAATTTCTCTCCGTATACACAGGGGCACCCAACGAGGATATAGTTCAAAACCACTTAACATAGCATTGTTGAACGTATTTTAGTATTCAGACCGTAGATATAGGTATATTTTTATCCCCTAAAAACTTTTCATCTGTTCGGATTTCCTAGCTGAAAGTCTAGTGATCCGAAAATTATAGGGATAAAACTTACCTTCTCGAAAATTTCAGCCAGGAAAAGGCTCCCGAAAATTCTAGGTGGCCTTTTTTAGGGTCAAAATCCGTTAAAAATGGGTAATTATACCATTTTGTAGATGTTCGAAAATCCTAGGAAAGGCAGGCAAGCAAGAAATTTTACAACAAATGCTCCGAAAATTCTAGATCTCAAATCGTCTTCCGAACAGATATTTTCCCGAAAATTGCCGTTGGGTGCCCCTGATACAAGCCCCTCCAAAAATAAGCCCCTCAAAAGTCTTTCAAAAATATAAGCCCCGGGGCTTATTTTCGGAATTTTGTTGCGGTAGCTGTATACGATATCGATATGTGGGTGAATAAGTCTCTCTCTTGCCCGATAATGATTTTGCAGACCTGTGGTTGGAAGATAAACATAGTATTTCAGTGGCGATGACTTGAGCAAATTGATATTTTAGCGTTAGTGTTCATGCCCGGCCGGCAGTTTAACAATAGAGACAGTCCACAACAAACATATCATATCTCTGCTCAAAATGAATGAACAGTGCAGCGTTTAAGACAACGAATTGCAAAAAGGTCCGCCAGGACCGCCAGAGGAAGTTTAATAATATTGTACTACTATAACAAATCATAGATGCTTCTTACGTCGCGCCAAAGATCACCAGGCTGTACCTACCTTAAGAAAATTGAGTGCTAAGAACTGTTCAATTTCTAAGTTCCTTGATCAGTAGTTATTTCTTAAGCCATTTCCTTCTGTACCTAACCATTCAGTCAGACTAGAAAACAGCCGACGTTTCTCAGGCATAACTTAAGATCCCTTTTTTGGTTTTCAATGTCTGCTGACGAGAGTAAGGGTAATCCGTAGAGCTGTAATATAACTTGTTAAATGAAGGGTTTAATGAACATTTAATGTCCTGTTACATTAATAGGTATACACATCGACTAAGGTTACAAAAATATGTGCTAGCCTACAGTTACAACTTCAGTCTACGACGTTATCTTTGGATTACTGAAAGCCCCTCATCCCCAAAACACAATCAACGCCCGAGTTAGCCTAAAATGGACGCTGCTACTTAGACAAAAACTCTCAAAAATCCCTACTGAAATTCTTGCTGAAAAGGTACTGATTAAATGATTATGTTCTACTGAGTCAGACGGAATCTGATTAACTGATTATGAGGTTCATCTTCCTGACAGTAGTTACACTAGTTACTTAGTTACACAGTTAGTTATTATTTTATGTTACTCCTTAGTAAAGAAGACCCAAACATTATTGTAGCATTAAGTATTTCAAAACTTATCTCATCTTACATAAAATTACACAAAAGTGCAGAAATAATTCGAAACTACAAGTGTTGGTATGGGGCCGAGTCAAAAGACAATTTGCTACTGTTCTACTTTATTACAACTATAAAATTACATTGTGACCGTTAAGTTTTGAGCAAGCCATCGTTAAATCAGTCCTCTCTTGTCAGACTGACTGTCGAACCAGTTCAATGGCTGGGCGGTTAAAGTCATAAAATTGTCCATTGCTAAGAAAATTTGGTTATCTATCCATCCGAAAAATTTTGGTTGTGACGTCAGCGTACGCCCACGCGAACGTACAGACGCTGGGGGTGGGGGAAGAGAGTTCGAAATCAGCCTGACTGGGAGGTGGATAGAGCTTTTTTGAACTCTGGACTATGGCCGCCCACAATTTTCTTGGCGGGAAATAGCATGACCCTCGTCGCTTTGAAAAAGAGCCTTCTTCTTTATATAGCTTTTTCAAAACAAAGCTATTTACACTGCTAAATTTGAACCCTAATTGTAAAATCATTGCTAGTTATTTCAGCAAACGAGAACAAAGTAAATATAACGTGCAGACGACAGAACTTAAGTGATGAGCAACGAGAAAGAGAAGGGCAGAGAGGATTTTCGGCGGTCGCATGGCCACACGGACAAAAAAACAACAACAAAAAAGCCTAGTCTTTCTTTCGACTAAATTTAAATGTTTACATTAACGTGGAAAAGAGAAGAAGAGCTACAGTAAGAAATAAAAAACAACGGGGACCAATTTCGTTGGAAGAAAAACATGAAAATTTTATAGAGGCGGTGAGAAATGAGAAATGAGAAATGCAAGCGGCCATCAAACAAGGTGAGAATGAGTTGCAGTGAAAAGAAAAAACGATGAATAGGAACACATACAACATTTCCTCCATAAAACGCGTAACTAGGACGTTTCTTGAAAATTCACGTCGTAGGTCGTGCGAAACATCGTCAAAGAAATGTAGAAAAAAGTGTGCTGCACGTGCAAAGTTGTGTTTTGCTAATTAGACCTATTTTTGTTTTTTCTCTTTCGTCCTGACCGATTCTTTAGCATTTTACACGATTTTATATTTTGTTTGAGTAAACTATTGATATCAAAGAGAGCTTCGCTTTTAGCCCTGGCTAAATCTACATATTAGACTAAAAGACCCCCGTTGTCCACAGATCAGACCTAGGTTTACTTTTAGTCAATCAGTCGACCACTACGGTCCCTATGTCTATGTATTACTTGGTCAGAAGCAGTTTATATGGAACAAGAACTAAAAGCTAAAAAATAAGTCGTTATACGAGTTAACATAACGATTGGCCAGAATGACTCTGGTTAAGAATGTTGGTAAGTTTGTTACGTTCACTGAGGTAACTTTACTGAACAGGAAACCATGTTTGGGTGTTTACAGGTGTCCTGTGTCACGTGGCATGGGGGGTATGTTTGTCACACCTTGTGTGTGATCATTTGCTTCTTGATAGGAAGGCGGGATTTCCTCTGTATTCTGCGGTGGTAATTGTGGAGTTGGAACCGGTGCATAGAAGGTTTGTAGTGAAACTACATTTGTGGTTGTGGTAGATCTCGATCCAGTTGGTGTAGCAGAACGCTTTACCTTGGTACATTTGATGACAATGAATATGATGGCAAATAGAACAACTGCTATGACAATAGGCACTGCAATGGCAGCAGCGTTACTTTTCTCTGAAATGTAGAAACACGAGAAATATCACTTATCCTTTTAGATGGTAAGTTCCATCATATAAACCCTTTATTTGACCTGGGCTTATACATCTTCGTAAGGGGTTTTAGAAGGGCTTATAAACATAGGGGTATATCGGAGGGGGCTAATAACAAAAAAAGAAAAAAATTCCTTTGAAACAAGCCATAGCAGTGCTGATCGAATTCACGCTTCAAAGCATTATAATGAATCGAATTCAAGTGGATGTATCTGACAGGTACAGGGAGACTCCTATATAACAAAGGACCAAGGGGGAACTGGCAAAATATGTTCGCCAGAACGAGGTTTCGTTAGTTTCGTTATGTCGAGGTTCTTTTCCTCAATATTTCACTACTCCTGAGGAAAAGAATATCGTTCGTTACACTGACAACTTCGTAGTCTAGTGGTTCGTTATGTCAAGGATCCACTCAGCGTAGATGGGCTGAGGAGGGGAGGGAAGGGGAGGGAGGGGGGACTTATAAGCGGCAGTTTACGGTACCCTGTGAACGGCTTGGGTTTGCCGTCACTGATTACAGCCGGGAACTACGTGAAAAAACTCATCATTCATTTGTAGTCTTAGAAATGGAATTTTAGGATCTGTTTGAAAAAAGAACATGCCTCTAATGGTACACTTCCAGCTATGATTAATATGAATGGCAACACCATAACTTGTGGTTTAACTGCTTCGTCTAGTTAACAGTGAGATAATTTAAGGGAGAGTTGCCCCACGCAGTTTTCAAAATATAAAAAATAAAAACAAAATAAACTAGAATTACCTTTTTCTGAAATGACTGTCGCCTGAAAAGTGTCGTAGGGGTTACGGCTATAAAAGTACACTGACATTTTGTTTGAGCGAGTAGTCACTGTCGTTGGGTAATGACCATTGCAGAACTCTCCAAGAAGGGAGGCACGCGATGAATAATTACCATTTAAACCATCATACACCCGTACGGATCCACAACAGCGTCCAGAGCAGCTTGAGACTGACATACGGACAAAGGTCAAACGAAGGACGTAACCCTCAGCGGTTTCAATTTGATAAGAGCATGAGTCGTAGTAGCGACTGTAATTTGGGCTTTGAATAGTTTTCGATCCGCTGGATTTTCCGACATAGATTCCTTGAACAGAAAAAAAAAAATCAAGAAAAGTCGGTTATCAGTGTGTCAGGTTTAAGTGACCAATGCCAGGGTTGGTGCCAGGGCAAAATTTAAATGAAAGTCTGAAACCGTCACGTTTTCCTTTCTCAGCTCTTGTTATTTTGCTCCAGGAAGTAGGCTCTTAAAAGTTTTGGGCAAAAAAAACTGTTTTATTTTACACAAACTTTACAGAATCCTTGCATTGCCTCTCCATAAGTATCTCAATCAATCGAGACTCTGAGGCAGACCCTAAGTATTTTCAAGCATTCATACAATCCTTTCTGGGTGTGATTAACTTTAACAGCTCATAAACTGGAAGTGGATTCAGTTTTCTTACTCATCGTGTCAGACACTTTAATTTAGCTACAGTTTAAAGCTCCTATTAAGACGTTCAAAGTCTCCAAGAAATCTTATAGAACACATTGAGGTAAAAGGTTTACTTACGTGTTGTGCGCTGATTTGAATTGCAGGTGTAGACTGTGGAGTGGTAACCAAAAGTCGAGAAATAGTACGGATAAGTTGTCGTTGCCGACGTTGCCAACGTATAATATGGATACGTTGTTGGACGATAACTTGTTTCCTCTTGGTAAAATGCCAGAAATCCTGAACGAGTAGTGGAGCTGTCAGAGTAGAATGTCACACTAACGGATCCGTATCTAGTGACGATGAAAGGACTTCGAGTACCGCAGTACTTACGGACACCATAGTAACTGTATCGGGTGCGCACTTCAACGTAATCGTCGGAACAGCTACTAAACCTGTAACCCTCTAAGTCGAAATGGGTGAAATTCAACGTTATCCTCTTCCATGACGGCACTGTAATGTTCCACGTACAAGTCCTGTAGTTTGGATAGTTCCAAGGGAAGTGAGGACTGTAAATAACGCCAATGGAAGCTGAAGTATCAATCGATGGACAACCTGGACAAACACATTTATATTAAAGGTTTGTTTGTAATTCATTTTCCACAAATGACAGTTTTGATGCCTTTTAACTTAAGAGTGTGTCCATGAGAAGACCAGGCAGAACCAGGCAGGGGGTGATAATGCTCAAATCACCGATTTCGCTCAAACTCGGCACAAATGTTAGGTATCAGGAGTTAACTTATGTGAAAGAATGTCAGGTCCAAATATTAAATTCCCTGGGAGATCCGGGCTCCCCCTGTAAAAATCGCCATTTTGCCCGTTTTATGCATAATTAATTAGCTAACTTTACAATGCCAGTGCAACAAACAGAAAAGCCACCCTGAACTTAAATGCACTGAGAGATGATCTGAGTTCATAAGACTTTAAGCACGTTAAACTGTTTAAAGTCGCCGATTCGATTTCCTCCCTCTTAGCCCCCTTAGGTTGGGTCATCATTTCCAAGTTTTGAGTAAGTCGTAAAATTAGGGTATTTTATTCCCAAATATCTCTGATGAGCAACAGCTTATCTTTATAACTTTTGCATGAGTAGTTAAAGCCATCACTTAAGTTGAGAAAAAGATCATAAAAAGTTTGGGCAATTCACTTTCTTCCATGTGTTGACATAAACTGTTCATGTGACTGAACGACTTTTGCATATTTCATCAAAATTCAGGCCCTCACAATATTCGTGTGTTTGCCTTTGAATGAGGAGAAATCAGACAAAAAAACTCATCAGACAATGATTTAACATTAATAAGGGTAAAATCGTTGAAATTGTTGTGCAAGAAACCCTAACGATGATTTTTGATAGCTATATAAGCGATCTTTTCAACTAAAAACAACATACAAAGATTTAATTCACAGTTTTACTTACGTTAACAATTTCGCCCTAAAAACAATATAAACGGTCAATAAAATCCATGTACGCATCTCTTAGATGTTTCAACTGCTAGTTTGTGCACGCTTTGATTTGTTCCCCATGCCACCGTCGATGTCCAGTTAAGCGTAGTTCAGCGCCGTGACTCGCTGTACGACTAAAATTCCTTAGCCATCAGTTTACGCACCAAAATCCAAATCAAGTTGTTTTAGGAGAAAACAATACGAAAAGTAGAAAGCCGATTTTTAACCCATTGAAAGAATTATTTCTGCCACTGTTGTAGCTCAATTCACATGTTACAAACGTCCGCCATCTTTGACATTAACTGGAGCCCGCATTTTTAAGCAGCGGTTGCCACCATACGGAAACACCGTATCGGGAGTCAGGAGCCAGGAGCCAGGATCCAGGAGCGAGAGTCCAGTGAACAAAATTCAGTCGAAAATATGACTTTCCGACATTCTTTGAGATTATTTTATTGTTATTGTATGCTAATAAATAATTTAGAAATCCAAATCTATTGGCAACTTTATTCAGACCATGATAATAAATGATCCCATGTCTTCTCAAACTCGAAGATAGAAGTCGCTTTGTCTTCGTGTTTTGGAAAGAACTATTTATTGTATTTTAGTCGCACGTGAAATAGCAGCGAAGTGAAGTCGGATCTTCGTGCAGACCAGTTCAAAGAGACAAATAAAGCGTGAGACACGTCCAATTTGGCTTGCGACAAGAATACCATTTTTTTTTCATACTGGAGTCCCTTCTCCCCAGGGGAGTGGCCAAATTGCGTACAAATGCCCTACCCTGCTGGCACCAGATTTGACTGTCATAAACACTGAATTTTTTATCTAGCACTGTCGTTTGCGGGTCTTATAAAGCCTAACTGTGGCAGTAATGTTCCCAAGTAGAACTCAAAATACACCACACTTTCACATTGAGTTAGATATTTTTCTCAAACAACCGCTTCCATATGTTTAACACCCTTCCCAAATTGTAATACAGTGGAAGCTCTCGTAAGAGGACACCCTCGGGAAGAGAAAAAGGCGTCCTTAACTGGAGCTGGCCGCTTACAACAATGAATCTCATACGGTAACTCTGAAACGGATATATAAGAATGATTCATAACAGTGACAAACAGCAATGACTGTGGACATGATATGAAAAAAAAAAACAACAACAACAACAACATTAAGAGGTGGATAAGATTTTCTTTCGAGTGTCTGCTTACGAGAGCTTTAAATCAAAGCTAACATCTAATTCACCGGTAAACCCTTTAAGTGTCCGCGGCGGCCTACGGGAATGTAAAAATCCAGAGTTTGTGTGGAAGTTGAAACGGGATTTTGTGATGGCGATCGTAAGTAGAGCTATTCGCTATATACGAGAGTGTCCGTTAAGAGAACTTAATCCACTGTATGAATCCGCAAATGACAGCTTAAATGAGAAGTTAATATACATGTAGTGTATTAGTCTGTGTTCAAGAAACTGTTCTTTTACATCTTCCTTGAATAGCTAAAGAAGTCTTGTCGACTTTTTTTGCAGTGTATTAGTGCCTCCTTTTGGGTCTTCTGTATTCCTCAGAAGTTTTTCCTCAACACTTTTATAAACGGTTATTATTATATTTTTGTAGTCAATAATATACCCAGATACAGATACCAACCTGTATAGTTGTAAGACTACGAGGATTAAAATACAAGTAAGTAAGTCAGTATACCCAATGGCAAGTCATTAATTGTCTAAAAATTGCAAGGCACGGTCTGACTACGAAAAGGGCTATTATGGACGATTATTATCATGGTAATTAATGTCAACACCGAATAAACTCTAAATTTCAAGTAACACGACTTTCGCAACCTATTTTCAACACACCAGTTATAACAGGATATTGGCGCGTACAAACAATAGGTAGCGTATTCCGCATTCCGGAATCCGGTAGTCCGGCGTCACAGATTCCATCGTTTTGGCAGAGTCCAAAGTCAAAGATGGAGGGTGTTCGAGCAGGTGGTTGTTTTCCGTAGATATAGACGGATTGTCAGTGATCTTTCTTGTCCTTTGAGAATGATTTTGTTCATTCTGACTACAACTTATTTCAAAGACTTCGAATGTTCGGTGAAAAGCCGACACTTTTAATTTTGCAATGTTTCAAGATGTTTCGATTTCATTACCTCGTCACGAAGTAACGCCACAGAGGACCAGACGAAACTGGAGCAGCAAATCTGAACTAAAGCATCTTAGAGACGTGTATGTAACATTTATTCACTATCTTTTATCCTTGTTGGGTCTTGTTTCACCTACAAGTTGGACCGATCGAGGTTTTGAACTAAATCTTTTGCTCCTTGTGTTTACTCAAGCGTTCCATAAAATATCCATCCAAACGTCCATAAATAACACAGAAAACATGCCTCAGGTGACACTTTCTAACAATTCCGCTATTAGTATCGACAATGAGGCATCTGATTTGTGACTTCTCGCCAACTTTGTGCTATTTTTGTTTAGAAAAACGAATGTTGCGTTTCCTCGTATTTTGGTCAAATGACAAAAAAGAGTCAAGTCAGATGTACATAATACGTCATTATTGATAAAGTATGAGATTGCCCAAATATTTTATGATTGATTTGATAACCTTAAAGATGTCTTTCAAAGAATATGTGAGAATTAAGTACATAGGTTGTTGCTCATGGGAGATGTTAGCCACTAAAATACCTTAAATTTAGGGTTTGGTCAAAACAGTTAGAAGATGTCTTTACTTTAGGCTAAATAATAGGAAGATATGGAATTAGAGAGTAAAAATAAATTACTGAGCATTAAGTCTGATAAACATAGAAGATGATAAAGTTGATTAGATTTGAAGTTGTCTTTTCTTCTTGTTGAACAGCCAAACCAAAGTTAGCTGATTAATTATGCAAAAATGAGTAGATTTTGTCGTTTTTAGGGGGGGTCCCTGTAAATCCCAGGGAATTCAATATTGCGACCTTATTTTTTGTCGAGGTTAATATCTCACCACACCCATCAATTGTGCCAAGTTTGAGCGAATTCCGTGATTTGAGCATTATCACTGCCTGCCTGGTTCTCTCATGGACACACTCTTAAGTATTGAAAAGCGTTGATATCTCGGACCATTTTATTCTACAAATTGTCACATTACATTATTTAATTCAAAAAAAGTCAAACGCCGGTACAAATGGATTTATTGGAATGTCCAATTTTATTTTCAGCCCCAACTTTTTGTTTTGCTCTGCCGCCGCTGTAAATAATTTCACTAATCGGCCCAGTTTACAATACAAGGAGGGAGGGTAAACCTGGTGCTAGGGTTACCCTAGCAAGAGAGCTACCCTAGCACTCGCATATTTCTTCTTTTTTTCACACGACGTGTTTACAAGGTAGGTAGGGTTACCCTAGCGCTTGAATTTAACGAGTTCTCCGTAGAGAACTTCGAGATTATTTCAAATCTTGGACCGTTACAAAGACTGTCACGCATGACGAAACACGTCAGCAAAGCTGGTAAAGTTGACCCAGGTGATAGGGTAACCCTACCTGTGAAATTTGCTTTTAAACCAGAGCTAACTTTAACCCTCTTGCTAGAGTAACCCTAGCACAAGGGTAACCCTCTCTGCTTGTAAACAGGCCCGTAAACTTACATAAATTAAGAAAACGGTTGAGAGGCACGTCACAGCCTTATATTACAATTTGGAATTCACTCTTTTTCCACTGTTTAGAACTAGAATGCGATAAAAAATGGCTATTCCTTTCAAAAATGGAGCCTTTGACTGCATTTATACCAGTATAAACAGCTTACCTTGCCCAAGGTGGTTATTAATAAATTAAAAAGCTCCCCAGAGAAGATTTTCGAGTCAGCGAAGAGACCAACCAAATCTCGGCGCAGCGACGTACGCCGTTTGAGCGCGTAATCATCGGGCGTTAGCCTGACGGGCAGCTTCAGTTTGCAAGGGCTGTTATCAGAATATCGGAGAGTAGAAAATCCTATACCTTTTGCTATTGTTCACTTATCAGACTTATTTCAAAAATGCCATTCTGTTGTGCACTTAGTCAAACGGAAAGTGCGTATAGTTTTTCAGTTCAAAACGTTTGTACAAAATGTTTGTTTGGCCTGGAATGGACCAGACGAACACTTTTTTCGTCAAATGAAAGCCATTTAATTAGGGCATTTATTCTGAATAAACCTCACTTAATACTGTCATTAAAATTGTTGTCGTGCTCACTCTTAGTCTCCAACGCAGACGTTCTTAGGGGCTCGCCAGGCGCGTTCCTGCCCCACTAACGCGTGACGAACCCCTAAGAACGTCTGCGAGGGAGGCTAGCTCACTCTTTTCCAGAACTGCCTTGTGAATATTTCATTCGGCGCTTTGACACAAGCCGTTCCCGTCAGTCGTCTCCGCTCGAATTTGGGAACCACAAGGTTTTTGCTTCGTTTACTCTGCTAACGCTTTTTCAACAGCTTCCAAACCTAAGTTGTTTCTAGTTGCTGTGAAAGCAGTATCCTTTCTGTATACTGTTATATCCGCACTTACTTGAAGAACTGCTCAGTGCCCTGTACTTGACTACAAACCCCTTGCCCCCGAAGGAACCATCTGAACGGAAGGTTATGTAAAGGTATCTGCCTGAAGAATAAACCGGCTCAGGAAGGTCCTTGCCACAGGCTAATTTCGAAACATTCGAGTAGGATCCATAACCGTCGTGTATTTTCACATAGTCACAAGAGCAACAGTTCTCCAGATCGAAGGACGTGAAGTAAATGAGGACTCTCTGACCTGCAGGTGCCTGTAAACGCCACTTGCAATTCAAATTGTTTCCATAGTCGGTGTAAAAGCTGTTAGGAATCTTGATCGAACCAGTCCAGCCATACCCCAAATATTTTTCATCAGGATAACTTCCACACTCTGTTTACCAGATAAGAGATACGTCAGTCAAGAGGTGCATATGTACATAAATGCCCCAATTGAAACAACAAATACCTGCATGTATAAAGGCTACCATGATATATAGACATTTGTTCACACAAATTTGAAAAAAATTTTTAGCATTTACTATAATTTATTCAATTTAATCCCTGAGTCCTCTTGTTCCCTCCATTTTTGTAAAATCTTTTAATACACTTTGTCTAGATGTAAGACATTTCACAGTACGCAAATTGAATTCTGTTTTTAATTGCACGTTGTGGCACCAAAAAGAACGTAAAATTAATAAATTATACTCACGTCCTGCTACGACCGGAACCTCTTTCAGAAGGAGAGCTGCCAAAAAAATAGAACAATAACCATCAAACTGTGATCAGTCAGGTATCTTGTTGCTATTAATTGGTTGGCGGAGTAATTTGGTTTTGGCAAAGATAATTAATGCAAAAAAATGTTCCACAAGATCAGTTAATAGAGATCCTTTTTTAGGTTTCTTAGATAGCATGGAATTGTACAGTGTGCCCTGTTTCTATAACCACTTTATGAATAGTCGTAGTTTTGTTAGAGTAATCTTGCGACGGGTATAGGTGACCGTGCGTAGCTCCCATATAAAACTTTGTTGAGTCCGGCGTCCCCCTCCCCCAGGAGAAATAAACAGTTGCCATAGTTACATGGACCTTACATGTTTTATACGTACGTTGACAGGCAAGGAAACAGGCAAGGGAACGCATAAATTGACATTAATGTTAAAGGAGTTGACCGCAGTCGAATGACAGCAAAGGTACGATTAGCGCAAGTCTGAAGTCGTGCATAAAAGCATGATCAGTCACAGATAAGTTTGCGTCATCATTAAACATAGCTTAAATTGTGTCCGAGACAAGAGGACAAATTTTTATCGGTTTATCTCACCGTGGCTAAATTCAAAGCAAAATTTTGCAATGTGTACAATAGAATATCAACATGCTAAAAAAATAGCACTTGAAAAAAAGCGATAGATAAGCTTAGTACCTAATAAGACCTTTCCACCGGCGTTCCTAGTTTCGGGTAGCTTCCATGCATCATGTATTCTTAATAACATTAAAATACGCAAAGTTTGAATGATTAAATGACTTGCGTTTTTCATATTTTTCAGGCAGATGTTTGTAAGAAATCCATGGAACTAATACACATTCTCAAACTGAAGTTTATAGCGTTTTTTGGCTGATTATCCTTCCCTGTAAATGTAAAATCTTGAAGTTTACTGAGCCGACTGTCGAAGGCCTGCTTGGCAGTGACTCGCGGAGTGTTCCACCGAAAAGACAGTAAAATATCAGTAATCAGTTCAATTTTACTTACCCAAGGAAGTCAGGATAAATCCTCTTACAAATACCATCTCAAAACAACTTACATTCGATGCTGTTTACTAGTGCAACACTTCGTCAAATGAAAACTCACATAAAAAGTGAAACGAGTCTATGCGGAAGTTTTCAGAATACAGTAGTGCTGGCGCATTGTCAGTGTGGGTTAAGCCGTCGTTACACAAAAGGGCCCAGCCTCGTTCCCAGTCGTCCTCGGCGATTTCGGATGTGACGTCACCTGTCAAGCATGTCAAACCTCCTCTGGTCTCTCGGATAGCGTGAACTGGCCTGGGTACGAGGCTGTAAAAGGGCCTTTTTACTGGCCGATTGGCACTCATAACGTGGTCAGGCGTGACTTTATTCTCCACTTCTTTGTTTTACGCAGTTTTGGGGGGGTCCGGGTGCTTGGATGAGTAATTTCTGTCAATCATAGAGGGGAGTTAACTATATGTATGTTATGAAGCAACCGATCATGGACAACCGATATTTCGCAATCAAATTAAATTTCTGGCAAAAAGATGATTTCAAAATAGTTTACACATGTAAAACAATCTTTTGGCTTTTGATTCACATAACTGAAGTTTACCACATATCACATTTATTAGAATGTCCTTCATTTATATAAATTTATACACATTTATTTTACACTCAGGGTCTTTACTGCAAATTTTGAAAATGTTTTTTGTTCACAACTAAATATGTAAATATATAATACGATTTTCAGGGTTGTAAAATTTTGCATTTTAAATAAAATGTACGGTACATGCAGTTTCAGTTAACTTTACAACTTTACTAATAATCTTCATGAACCTCTTGAAGATATTTCAGCACAATTTTATCTACAATACTAGTATAACTGCATAAAACGTTTTTCAACTTCAAAATTGTTTGATAGAGAGTGGAATTTTCAAGATTCTCGTAATGAATATTTTGAGAATCAAGCAATACGCTTCTTACTTGAAGCAAGCTAACATACAAGTCATATAAGGTCTGTTCCGCTTTATTCATGCTACAGCCGTAATCAGAAGCACTGAAAGACTTCAGAAGGTTGGGAAAGAGTATTTCCTCCATCATCTGGTCCGCTTCATGCAGAAACGTTTCCAAAGTCGCACGTAAATTATAGGTTGTGTGGTCATCATAAAGACATGCATGTTGATGTTCCTGTTCAGTAAATTCTTGAAAAGAGACCGGTTTCATAGACAAGGCCAGTTCTTCAGCAGCATAGCCAAGATATTTAGCTTGACCTATTAGGGGCCGTAGTTGCTTGCACAGTTCTTTCAGTTTCGACTGTACTTGTATTTCGATCCGGTTTTCTTCGTCGGACTCCTCGGCGACCTCGAAAAAACTACAACCTTCCATCAGCTGAATCTTAATTGATTTTACCACGAGGTAAAATGTCCTCAAATCCGTTTCTTGACTTAAATAAATTTCATTCAAATTTAGACAAGGTATTAAGGAGTTCACCGTTAAATCCATTAAGACACTAGGAATTAAAACGGTGCGTTCCATAAGTTCAGCGGCTCGGATAAAGTTAACAAGCACCAAAAAAAACCGTGACTCCTGGAGGTTGTCGTCGTGTCGATACGGGTCATTCGTTGTTGTTTCTGGTTTACCATTCATATTGCCTAAAATACTAGTTGTGTAGAGTGCATTATCTCTTACATTAAGTGAATGAAGGTACATTCCTTGTCTTTAGGAAACTTAGGCGTTTTGATGATGTTATATCGCCGCCAACCGATGATAAATGAGAAAACATGATTGCACGTTTTTAATATGTGCGTGAGTTACAAAACACTTGACAGAAGATCCCTCGAACAATAAGTTATGCCGTAACACGCACGTCATGCAATGGAAAACGTCAGCAGTGGTTAAAACTCACCGTCTATTCATTTTTCATTCATTCTAAATTCATTTTAAAAACATTATCAATTACATTAACAGTAATGGGTGTGTGTTATTTTAACTTTGACTTTATACAACGTGGAGAAAATATTTAAGTTAACAACGATCACTTCCTTCCTGACTTCCTGTGACTTCCTTTTTGGATCGAGGTCATTTTATCATACATGAAATCTCCTCTAAGAGTAGAGAATTGCAGAGAAAGAGATTAAAGACCATATCACGTAGTATCACTTAGTTTCGAACAGGCCGTATGGATCTTATAATGATGTAATTGAAACAGCAATATTTGATTAAAAAAAAGGAATTTTTATTAGTTGCTTTGTCTTCCTGAAAAGGCTCTGTAATTCCATGCGTACCCCCTCCCCTCCCCTTCCAGGTATGGTAATTTTTTTGTTTGGAAAGCTGCAATCCACAGTGAGGCCAGCAGATTTATATTATACAAATACCTACCGATAGGTCCCGTAAACCTTAAAAATGTGAACAAACGTGTAGCAATGACATGACCCACCCTAGAGCCCATAATGTTTTTAAATCCCTTATAGTCTTGCTCCTACATGAGCTGCATGAGTACCTAAGCTCGAAATTTATTGCTTCCATACACTTTTCGAGATTCTCCGTGATAGTTTTCGCTACAGTGGTGCTGTTCGGTGGAATAGTCTTCCTGAAACTTTAAGGCAAGCAGAATCCCTAAGTAATTTTAAGTCACTTTTACACAGTTATTATAATATCAAGTAAGGTACGGGAATCATAGAAAACAGCATTTTTTTTGTTGTGTTTTTGTTTTTTGTTTTTTTCGTATATTCTTAATTGAACAATTTTAATACTGTAATGAGCGGAACCCAGTAACTGTGATTAAGTTTTAAAAGTTTTTAAAATATTTCATGCTTGATCACATGCTTGATATAACTGTGCATAAACAAAGACTATCTTGACTTACCTAAAAATAACATCACACAAAGAGTAAGTCAGGAAAGAAAAAGGGTTAACGTCACTGTGGTGAAACTGATACAACAACAAAGTACTTACACAGAAAAGTTTTCCCGAGTTTTCGGAGGACCCTAAATTAAGAAGAAGTACGTCTTAGCCGTGCAACCTTTTAACCACGGCGATAAAATGAACTCGTTTCGTAAGTGTTACGTTTTTATGGTAATAAACCATGTATGACATGCACACAGAGATTATTACTCCTTAAACTGTGCAGCGGAGCTTGCCAAAGCTTTTCATAGCCTTTTCTCCAAGGCGTTGAAAATTCGTAAATGACAAGATCCCCACCTCGGAAAAACCTTTGATGCCCGGGGGGGGCGGCATGCTTGGAAATGATTACCCTTGAATGGTCTTGATTGGACTACAAAATATAGTTCAAGGCAGATTAATAAGCATTCCCGCTTTCCTTCTTGCTGACATCAAGTAAGAAAAATATCGTCAGGTTTTTATCATTTTTTTAAGAGTGAGAGCAAGGTATGAATAATGGCACGTAACTGCAGTCTGGTTTAATATGCGTCACACCAACCCTCCGGCCTAACCTAAACGATCATGTTCAACTTGTTTCTGAAATTCTGATATTGAGTCAACCTCTAAAAATGTCAGATAATGTCTGTTAACTCGTTTGTTGTAATTGAAGGCCAAATCTCACGGTGCCCACAGCCCGAGCGTAATAGGGTAGATTGCATGTCAGTTACATGACAGCGTTTGTTAGGGGGAGAGTACATGTAGCTTACGTGAACGGGTTTGCGTTTGTTTCTGATTATGGAGTCAAGTAATCAAGACGATATTTTGCGAAACGCAGTGCGTCAAAACTTAGACAAATGGCTGCAAAAATTAGATTGTTCTAGGGACGTTGAAAAAAAGTTGCAGTATAAATTAAAGTTTGTAGAGAAGCTTCGTACCTCGCCAGTAGCAGTTGAGACCGAACGGGCGAACGAGCAACACTATGAAGTACCCACCGACTTTTTTAGAACCGTGAGTTGCATTATTATTCTAAGAGGGAAGGTTTGAGAAAATAACTTAGCCTGAAAATGCCAAATAAGCTCAAATGTATTTATACATGGGTATAGCTCAAGGAGAATTTTCTCCTTGTGAATAGTCGGCGACCGCAGAGGTATTTTTGGTCGTAGCTAACACGCGTACTAAATCAGTTCAGAAACAAATAAAAAGTATTGACGTACTAGATAAAGTAGGGAGTAAAAAAACTTTTGCGAGTAAATCATGTTTCTTGTAAAATTAATCGCCTCCTCATGTCTCGATCTAATATCCAAGCAGGCGAGACCTGAATGCCACTGTAAGCGCGTTCTTGTTACCGAGAAAAGAACATAGATACATTAGTAACATAACAGATGTTGCATCAAAGAGATAATCTAGAAAGAGAATTGAGCCATGTGATCATAACTCATCTGGGAAGCTTACTTGAGGCCCGGGTAGGTACTTTAGGAACTTTTGGGTGGGGATGTGCTGCTGAGTCCCTGGAACCCTTAGCCTATACCAGAGCTCGTTCAAGTGAATTTTGCTACCCTATACCAGGGACCGCGGAGCAAGGTGAAAAGTGGGAGGGCTGACAATTAAAAATAATTTTTTCATATTGAAAATCGAAAAAAGGAATAAAATAATAGTATTTGATTTGTTTCTGTCGCGTGACTTTGCATGCTTTATCCAGTATTTGTAGCTCTCTATAGGTCGGCATTAGTGAAGAGACCGAAATTCTTCATACGATTTTCATTCCGTCCAGCAAATGTGTTTGCGATCTGAATCACGTCCAAGCTATTGAAATGCTTACTGGTCAAACTCAAACTCACGATTTTCACTGCAAGTAGTTGTCGTCTTTTCTGCAGAGCTTACAGACTTTGACGAAGTCCCAGATAACTCTAATAAACGACCAACATACACGGTCAGTTCAAATTCAATGCAAGAAAAGACGCGATTACAATTTTAGTATAGAAAATACTACACTGAAGTGATCTGAAAAATTTCTAACTATGGCCGTTCACTGTTCAAGTAATGTAATTCTTCTTTCCATCGAATATTTCATTGATTCGAAAGGAGAAAGACAAAATATAAAACTTTTATCAACTCAAAACAACTACTCACCTTCGTTTGGCTTGAAAAAGCTAGTAATTTTCTTCATTTCGTCTGATAAAACTGATAAAAAACTCTGCCGGAGCTGGAAGTACAAAACACCCTGCTGAACGAAGCGAAGGGGTGGCCAAGGCATGGCGTTTGATCAAGGGGTAAGTCGGCCCCAGGGCACAATTACCACGAAAAGCACAGGAGCCCCACAAAATGCCTGGCGTTTGAAATTAAAGAAAATACAGAGAATATAGCGCAATATAGACGGAAAAAAAACTTGTTTCAAGTCTTTTTTAAATTTTAATTATTAGTTTTTAGCGCTAAAAGTGGGGGCGGGGGAGCAAAAAAGTGGTGGGGCCGTGGCCCTACCAGCCCCTCCCCCTCCGCGGTCCCTGTATACTAGACTAAACTACAGAGGTCACAAACACAGTCCAGCCAAAGCAAAACCGACTTGATCTTTTCTTATTTTTGAATGGCAATTCCCGGTTTCCCTAGTGTAGACTAAAGTCTTCAATCAATTGATCAGTTTTGTGGAAAATGATACCCTATTCTGGACCTAAACTCTCTGATTTATATACCTTATCCCAGTACCCCCGGACTTGAGGCATGTTTTTATCCTTGATTAAACTATATTTCAGAGGAAAATTGTTAAAACAACATATAAAAAAGTGAAAGTTTCTTCATTATTTTGGTAGGTTCTTGGGAGAAGACTCAAGTACAGTAGCTGCCTGTGGCCAGAAGATGTCTCCACTTTAGAGGAAGGTTTGTTTGCTAAAGTTACAAATGCAGTTCTTGACAGTAAGGGCTCAGGCAATTGCTTTTTAGTGAAAATGTAAGCGAAAGGACTTATTGTTCAGTTTCAATGAACAAACAGCTTGAGAATATGTCTTAATACTATGCAAACAATGAAATATTGAATGGTTGTCACCTTATTCATTAATTACAGTATTTACAGTCGAACCTTTCTAATATGGACACCGAAGAGGCGGAGTGAAGTGTCCGTATTAGAGAGGTGTCTGTATAAAAGAGGCAATACGATAACATGACTTTTACGACTCCCCACTTACAGTCTTAAGTGTTCAGTGGCTAAATCAAGCCTACTCTTTTCTTTAAACTGCACTTAAGTTTATTCATTCACAGTGCAAAGACACTGTCTTTCAGTATCATACAAAATTATAAATATCAGCTACGTATGTACATTCGTAGACAAATCACTGTTTTAAAACAAAGCAAGCTACAGCACAATGGTGCCTGTAAAAAAATTGTGATGTAAAGAACAATTCTGAAAGCGTCTTTCGCTATTTTGCAAGTGCAGTAAACAGTAACTAGAGTACAAAATGTAATAGAAAAGATCTTTATGCTATCTGTAGTTTATTCAACCCTTACAAAACTCGGGTATGTTCCTCTGTACACCTTTCACAAATCGTTGTTTCATATACAGCTACTGGGCTTTTGAAATCATACCTTAAATAGCTCATCAGCAAGATGGGATTAACCCTGTGCAGATTCACCTGATCACAGCAGTGTCCATAATAAAGAGGTTAAGTTTATGTGAATTTACACTCTAGGACCGACATTTAGTGTCTGTTGTCCGTATTAGAGAGAGTGCGTGTTATAGAATTTTCTTTTTTAAGAAAATATATGAGAATTTTGTCGTGATATTTTCTATCCGTAATATTGAGGTGTCCATATTAGAGAGGTGTCCGTACCAAGAGGTTACACTAAATTGAGGCCTGGGTCTTAAACAATTCTGTTGAAGGACTAAAGCTAGACTATGTTTGCCATACCTTCAGTATGACCAGGTCGACATGACATTGCTGGAGCCAGTGTGCTCCTTCTCATCTTTAGTGGGTTGGTCACAACCTCCCACTTCCTGTACTCCGTACCCCATTCTTCTGCCTCCCGTACCGTTTTGTCCCTTTATCTCATGACCCTCCCTGTAGCGAGACAGACAAGACACTGACACGACTGACACAGTCGATACACGTGTACATGTGTCATGCCATCTCATTCATGACCTATGATGTAAGTGACTTGGAAAGGTTTCCAATTTCAATGGAAGTAATGCTGCTTTTTTTATCCTAAGTATGAATTTTCATTTTTTGAATTTTCTCGCAAGTAAAATTTTGCTTTAAGCCTTGGAGAAGGTAAATGGAAGTCAAGAAATGTTGTTGGGTTCATTTCTTTGACTGGATGATAAGCAGTAGCAAATAATGAAAGCTGCCTTTTTGAATTTCTCTTCTGCTTTCCGCCATCATAGAGATCCCACTTCCCGCCCTTTCTTTTCCTGTCTCTTGTACCTCTCCCGTCCCCTGTTCTCCTGGGCTCCCCCCTGCCCCCCTCCCTTTATAAACAGGATTGTTGATCTTAATCTGCTGTCTCCAAATAATGTTACCCGAGTCTGGTTAAAAACATAACACTTTGGAGTGACTTATTAATTTTATAATCATTTCTCTGTCCAACCTGTTGCTAACTGTACCACCTCATTTTGATATGATTCTGTATAATTAATTTACAGCGGAAGATGCAATGCTTAGGCTTGTCTGTGAGAGGGCCAAGGTAGAAGATGGACAGTCACTTATGGTATGAAACAATTTGATGAATGTGAAAGCTTATTTACACTTTGCCAGCGTGACTTAATGACGTAGTAATTTGGACACTATTTTTAAACTCAGTTTTTCCCAGTAAAAATTATACTTGGCCACTAGCAAGGTTTTTTGGATAGTTTACCTACATCTGAAGTAATAATACCGATCAATCCTAATTGTATGCCCTGCTATGTTTTTTGGCGCCATGGGTGCTGTTATTTAAATTGCTTGTATTTGTGGGGGGTGGAAATGGTATCATACATAAAGAGTTTCTTCCAAATTGCATGTTAATATTACTGAAACATGGAAGGGGGTTAATTGTGGGGGAATTTATTATAGTTTTCTTTAGTTTATTATTTTTGTTAGGTGGGTTGGCCTTTGACTGGATGGGAGCATGAAATGGACTTTCTATGACATGAACTCAAAAGTAGTCTAAAAATAACAGTATTAGAATATTAGAAGCAAATAAAAAAGAATGTTTCTTTTGATAGGACCTAGGATGTGGCTGGGGAAGTCTAGCACTGTGGCTGTGTGAGAAGTACCCCAACTGTAAAGTAACTACTGTATCCAACTCCAGCACACAGCAAGAATGGATTGAATCTGAGGCTCGCAGGAAAGGCTTTATTGATAGGATGACCTGCATTAAGTCAGATGCTAATGTATTTGACACTCACTTAAAATTTGACAGGATTATTTCTGTTGAAATGTTCGAGGTAGGAAGTGCACTCCACTTATGAATCTTCATAGTTTATCTCTTGTTATATTTCTTCGGAAGGTAAAAGTAATGAGGTAATGTATATTATTAACCTTTTTATTTTTTCTTTTGTCTTTTCAACTACTTGTGTCACTTAAGTAATTTATTTCCTCGTTGCTCGCCTTCTGACCCATTAGATTTGTCTCTCAATTTTCTTCATTTTCTTTAATTTCGCAGCACATGAAAAACTATGAACAACTAATGTCCCGAGTAGCCAGCTGGCTTAAACCGTTTGGTTACCTGTTTGTCCAAATTTTATGTCACCGTGAGTTTGCCTATAACTTCAACACCAAGAAGAATTCTGACACGGAATGGATGGCGCGAAATTTTTTCAGCGGCGGTACCATGCCTTCGTCAGATCTGCTTCTATACTTTCAAAAGGATCTGTGTATTGAGAAGCACTGGCAGGTTAATGGAAATCACTACGCGCGTACCTTGGAAGCTTGGCTTGTCAAAATGGATCAACACGAAAATAAAGTGCGGCGCATATTTGAGAAAACATACGGCAGCGATCAAGTTGATCAGCAAGTTTTCAATTGGCGCATGTTTTTTATTTATTGTGCTGAAGTATTTGCATTCAGGGGTGGTAACGAGTGGATAGTTGCACATTACCTCTTCCAAAAAAAGATGAACAGTAGTTTGTAGCCAAATCTTTGGTCTTTTGCATGTATTGTTTTAAATATATTTGAACAAGGGATGCCTTTTTTGCCCAATTGGTTTGTACAGTAGTGTTGTAGCTTAATGTCCCATACATGTTGGGTTTTAACTTCCCAAAGTGAATATACGTTTTGCACATTTTAGCAGAACTTTCTCATACGTCATAGCAATTTTCGTATGACCTTGAAAAATGGTTTTCGTAAGTGTTCGTTACTTTTTCGATCAAATGGTGGACCCGTCTTTTTTCCCCAAAGAAAACCTAAGTTTTAAAAATACTTTTGAGCAATATTTCCTCAGTTGGGAAAACTTTGCGTAATCCCCTCTCCCTTTTTTCCACCTTCTTACCCTCCTCCTCCTCCTCCATCGAACAGAAACAGTGATGGTGAAACAACAGGCGTGTTATACACAGAGCAAACATATTTGTTTCACTTCCCCATGACAACATCAGAATGGCTTGAAAACGTAAGTGACCTCAATTTAATTCAATAAGATTTTAATTTGTTTTACAATATTAAGCTTTATGTTAAAGAGGGAACCTATTTTTTTAGCGTTGATCTCATTAACCCGTCGTTTGGTTTTCGCGATGCACTCTTTGTCGCTCTGATTTGATTGGCTGCACGATGTTGTTTGACGGATGTATTGCCGTAATAAGAGGTCTGTTTAGATTCAGAGCTCCCTCGATGACCTGTAGCTTTGGTGAGGAATCGAGGAAGAAGAGAAGATGAAGATTTATATCGTGTATTGTGGTTCCACAACACCGCTGGTGTTTTTGGTTCCTCTATCGTTTGAAGTTCTTTGAAATTCAAAGACGAGTAAACTATCATTTGATCTTGGGTAAATTTCAGCCTCGGTAGAGGTGGAAGGAAGCGGTGCCTGGTCTTTGGTTTGTAAAATTTTCCGAGTACATTTTTAAGCGAGTGTGCTATGGTTGTGTCCCATTCTATTTCATCGTCAGTGTTGTCTGTAGCTTCGTGTGTGTGTTGTTGGGTTCCACAGCGTGACAGAGCTGTTATTCGCATTATGTGTCTTGCAAGTCTATAATAGAGCAACAACAGACACACCTTTGGTAAAATAATTATTATTTCACAAATGAAAGCTCCAACATGGGTATTTTGGCTTACCCTTTTTAAATAAGGGTATTCACGAATTAATGAAAGAGCACCGCCATCGAGTTAGCGCCAGCAAAAATGTTAAAAAGCGCTTTTTGCTTTATATTTTGATCTACCAAGTGCCAAGTGGGCTAGGAAAGAGTAACTGTTTGATTAGAAAACTAGAAAACATTTTATTAAGAGATCCACCAAACCGGCTATCAAAAACTTCCCCGAAAGGTTAATATTGAGAGAATCTTTACACCGACCGAGACCATTTTATCCTGTAATTTGTTGTCATAAAAGTAATTTATGGGGCAGTACTTGAACAATATCCTAACTTGTTCCCGGGAAGACAAAGAAGTGTGGTTTTATTAGCTCTGTCGTGTGTAAATGGTAAGTTGCCATTGAAGGGGTGTGGTCTTCATCAAGTCGCGACCTCACGTTTCTAGAAATGTAAGCAGTTATATTGACCTCAGTTTTGGATCAGAAATCCAACTTTACTTTCTTTTCCCTTTTTTGCTCCCTTTTTTTTTTCGTTATTTTTTCCCATCCGCCATTGCTAGTCTAGTTTTTTTATACCTCCACCTCGGACCAGGGGAACTATGTAGGCTTCTCAGAGTTTCAGCTGATGCGATCCGATAAATATCCGGCGGAAGTCTCCGTCTTTCTTTGGCTGCCTTCTCCAAATCCCACAATGTTCGCTGACCAAACGTCCCTATGAACCAAACATACATAACGTTATTTATTGATTAATTTATTATTTTTTGCCCCTAATCCACATGTGAATGTAAGACATGCAGCTAAAATATTTTGTCATTTTCCTACGGAATGAATAAAAGGAAAGGGGGGAAAAGGCCGGCTCCACACAAAAGAGAAAATGTGTCCAACAGAAGAGACAAACTGGAGACACGAGTATCCTTCTGACATGGTAAACCTTTTTTTTATTGATTGATTGATTCGCTTCTTGTTTCTTCAGTAATCACCAAACACCTCTTATGAGTGATGAACTAAAACGTGGCTCATTTGCTTAAAAGAGTGCTAAGAACGGTCACGTTACCGATGTATCTCCCAGTTTGCGTCCAAAGTCGTACTGAGGCGTCTACTGAAGCACTGATAATAAACTGACGACTATCGACAAAATCCAGGCTGACAACAGGCTTCAAATGAGCACGGAATGAAACAAGCAGTGGGGGAGGGTTGGTGTCAATTGTTCCTTTTTTGGTGCTGTATCTTGTGTGGATTAATGGAAGCTTTCTTAGCAGCAGTGTACATGTTAGCTTCTGCTCGCTTGAGTTTATGCAGTAACGAGAGATCTCCCAAACCTGAAAACATTCAAAAACAGCACAAGTCGTTTTCACTCAGCCGATAAGTGTTACAAACCAAGCTATTCTCGGGTCTTAACATATTCTGGCCCCTCCGATGTTTATCGGTACTGGTGGGCGTTTTGAAAAGAATCTCGCAATTGGCTGGCTTCCAGGTAGTCTGCGCCGCTGACGAAACTAAACGCTGGTCCGTCTGCCCAACAGCGCTGAAATCCTTGTTCTGGGCCTGGACCTGAGTACCAGGATTTGAGTAGGCGCCTGGCCTGTTAAATTTGTGACTCCGGATGAGAGAAAATTCGAAACGTTCTTCCTGTAGTTCGTTGAGTCCGTTGGGGGGCCTAGAACAAGAATATCGCGGGCGCTGCTTCGCAGAGGTTAAATTACGTCTGCGAGGCAGGCAGGCAGGCTGCAGGCTGGCTCATTCTAGGTCAGAATATTGGTAAGAATGTAAAGTTTCTGATTGCTTCTCGGTGACACTATTTGTCATTCAGTACAGATAGCTTTCGTTTGTTGTGGCTACTTTGCAAATGAAAAAGTACGAATCCTATTTAAACCGAAGTCCCATACCTTAACAAACCCAGCGCTGTCACCCGTTACAAGTATAGAATTGTTGAGATCTGTTGTCATGGAGAGAACAGACTCATGTTCTTCTTGGACAGCGGTAAAATGACCAAGAAGTCCCCCTCCTGTTACACTCCAAGCCCTTATTGAGCCACCAGAACCAGTTGTCATTAAAGTCGCTGTGGAAACTGAGCTGCTTTCACGCTTTTCTAAGAAGAGAACCTAAACGAAAGTAAATAAGCTGAGGCACATAAACTTCACCGATTGAGGTAAAACTGAAAAGCATTCACTTTCAACGAGTCAAGTATACTATACCTTGTCTACTGAGGAGTCGTGATAACTCGATCGGAATTTCACTTGTGGTAAATCTGTAAGTATACCTTTCTTCTTTTCATTGTTTTCCATCTTTGTCCGCACTCCTGATGGTGTCAATGTAGACCAGCGATTCTTTTTATCAGCGGCATCATAACTCTTGATCATCCTGTTCATTGGCTCTTTAAATCTATTCACTGCCTCGATCACTTGTTGTGGACAGAATCAAAAATAACATTTATCAGAAAATTAAATTAATGATATTCATGGTGGGCGGGCTCTACAAATAACTATGTGGAGTAAACTGCAATTAAATAATTAAGGATACTTTTTAGTAGATATCATTTCCAATTACATCAAAGAGAACATCGCAACTGCGTTTAATACAAGCGTTGCATAAGTAAAAAAAAATTGCCTCACGCTAATATATTCACAACTGCTCGAATTGTTTTCACAAAAAGTTCTTCTGTTTGCCAAGTCTTGAAATTTTTTCGTTTATGTCCATACCTGCATTACCATACGACACTTGTCTTTTAACATCTGCCGGAATGAGAGATCGTGTTGTTTCCAAACCATAATTATCAGCAGTTAGTTTACAATTAACATGTCCACTTTCAATATTCCAGACTTTAACAACTCCATCATAAGCTGAGGTGGCAACTAAACCAGTGGGATACATGGCAGCCGATAAAATGTCGTCCTCGTGAAAATTGTTCCATACACGCGGGTCAGCTTCCTCTTCATCTCGACAGTCCCTGTATCAAAGAAATAAGTAACAGTTGCCCGCGCACCCGTAGTTAAGAGGGAAAACGTAAAATAAAGTGAATGATTTTGTCTTAGAGTCAACAGAATCGGAGTAACATCATTAGAACAAATTAGAATAATATAGAAATGAAGTACAGAGCGGGTTCTGCTGTATTTGATGCAATCATTGTCAATTCGCTACACATCGTAGTAGGTAAGTTGCTACGCAATTATTTGAGGTCCCTATGGAGCCTCACTGTTTCACATTAGTTCACAGCCTGCAAAGGAGCCACTCCTTTTTTCCCCTTTTGCTAGAACAGAGGACTGGTTCACGCAAGCTTGCTGGCTCATTCCACAAAGAATGTTTATCAAGGGTGACTTGTGATGTGGACTGTTAGTCTGCGCCGGAGAGCATCCGTTTTTTTCGGCTCAAGTTTCTAGTTTCACCCGGTTTTTCTCGGCGGGTGAAACTAGGAACTTGAGCCGAAAAAACCGGATGCTCTCGCAGCTGGCTAGTGGACTGTACACAGAGAAATGATAAGAAATGACTAGGAATTCTGATCTCTTGCTGATAATATCCCAAGCTAAGAAACACGTAGAATCGGCTTACTTGTAAATGGTGACTTTTCTGCTCCATCCAACTGTTATGATTTTTTGTTTAAAGCACAATATGCCTGTAATCTGACAAAGTTAAAAGAGAAAATTCCATTTGAAATATTCATCGTAAATTATGTATGTCTTCTGTAATCCTTGTCCAATGTGCAACGATTAAGTGCACAAAATACTGTCAAGGAACTAGTGTAGGCCGATTACCAGCCGATGTTCGGTCCTGAGCGCACGCTCCTCCTGGCCTCTCTTCTCCGGCGGGGCGGACCCGAGAGAGTGGCGCCGGAAAATGGAGCCTACAATGATAAGCCGTGCCCGATTCAACTGATTATGATGTGTACAGAAGAATTGGAATTCAGCATACTGGACCTTCTCGGCTTGCTGCCCTTGTATATAGTTCACTTTTGATCTGCACTCTTGATTTATGAATGAAGTGATTAGCAGTAGATCACACATTGGCCACACTGTCTGTGTCCCCCAAGTGTTCTTTACCTTCTTTACGTTGCCTTTGATTTGATGGTAACAAATGACGAGGAGACAAGGCAAAATCAAGGGCGTAAACCAGACAGCCGAGATGATCAGTTTACAAAATTTCTAAAGGCTTTGGTTTAGGGTCCAGATACGTTTTACCGTACAAATTACCTCTTGGTCATCAACAGCTTGTAATTCACGCAGGCAGCAACCGTTATTAAAGTTCCAAATCCGAACTGTTCCATCTCTTGCACCAGTTATAAGGCGCCTCTTGGACGGATCAAACCTCATTGCAGTAATTTCCGAGTTACCATGAGCATTTGAAAACTGAACGATTTTTTCGCCTGTTTCCAGACTCCAAACACAAACCACAGAGTCGTGGCATCCGCTAACAACCTACAGGCAACAAAATTTCACATACAATCCCAAATAAGGTCGGTGTGTTAAGCTCATTCCTTATCTTGTTTACACAATATATATATACAGGGCTGTGGAAAGGAGGAGTAAAGAAAAACATATTACATAAGCCTTATAATTGAAAGAAAAAAATGATAGAAAAACAGAACAACGGATATTGGGCTTATTAGATAACAGGAATTGCTACCTGGTCAAAGAGATCGTTGTAAATAGCGGCGCATATCGGTTTGAAATGACTACAGATGTCCCTCTCCTCTGACGGCTCTTCCCTTTTTCCCTCAATCACTGACAACTAACGAAATAAAAACATCATTTTAGTTCACATTCATATGTTCACGCTTGGGAAATACGAAACAGTTAAAAAAGAACATCTAACTAAAGCTAAATGAACTTGGTGAGTGTGCGCCTACTCAGCTTACGTCGGACTGCTTAAAACTTCCATTATTGACTGCGGAGACTAAACGATCGTACGCAATTCCACTCATACGTTTTCGAATCATTAAGGTAAAAAGCAGTCTCACCTGATTGGTTCCCACAAAAATACAATGAGATTTGGAGTTAAAATACAGGCTTGAGATCTGATGAGGGCCTGGTAACAAAGACCGCGCAGGGATAGTTTGTACGCAACATAAGTCGCGCATGTCCCATATCTTTATAACCTGTGGGGAAAAATGAATTAGAAATGAAAGTCTTCAACTCAAAACGCCACAGAAAAAAAGGCGAGGGCACGCTCAAAGCGATTAAGTTACAAAAAAAGACCAAAGCAAAGTATCCATTTTCAAAAAATATCAACAGCGCATTTTCTGTTGTTCATATCTTGTTAATGCTCTGTATGAAGGTTCTGAGCATTTCATGGTTTACAATCTTGTTGAATCCGTCAGCTTTATTTACATATTTTTATGGTGCCATTCTGGTCACACATACAACGCGCCTTTTACCGCTTTCACGAGGAGCGTTATTGTCAGTAAGTATATCGTGGATGGATGCGTGGTGCTGACAACAGTGACCGCGGACTAACCTTGTCCTGGGCAGCACTGATAATCTCTCCCTTGTCACTGTTTACTATAATGTGAGTAACCGCTGAACTGTGGCCCTTCAGCACCTAAAACATAATGAATAGCACATCAATTAACTTACTTTTATGTCACATCTGACCGCAAACGTTGCGTTTTGCAAAATAAACCCGAGGCAGTGTATTTTGTGAGCCCATCATGCAAAGCCAAGTGTTTTACAGAGACGTGTTGCTGGGAGATAAATGGCGCTGTTTCTGTTGGGCTGTAACCATTTATACGCGGAGTGGTGATACAATAATCAAGATAAGGCCGACCTAACAGGGCGGAAGTTAAGTCTGACATTTCAGAACCTGTGACATTGATGACAATATTAGTATCTTACCGACGTGGCTTTACTTGTGACGTAAGGATTCCACAAACGCACGTAATGGTCAAGACCACCTGTCACTAGGAAATAAAAAACTTTGGATATTCAGTTAAGTACCTTTTGTGTACGTGTGTGTCTATATTACTGATATGACGTCATTGGAGAAACTGATGTGTCTTTTTTAAGAAACGGTCCAGATAAGAACGATAGCAACAACGGCAACGAACATGTTGGAATGCAAAAAAGCTGCTAACTTTTCTATTGTCTGTACTTACTTCTGATTGGCTTAATTAAACAGCAAAAGTTAACAAAACTTCATAAAGCGGTACATATATTCATCCTTACTTTCCAAACATCTTCCATATAACAAAATCTGGTCTCAGTTTGAATAACAAAGAAATCGTATGTGGGGAACATGTAAAATTGTAAACTTTTCTTGGCTATTGTTTTCAACTCTTGTGATTGGTCAAAATTTTTTATCAGAAAAAAACACCCTTTCAAAGTGGAATGTAAATGCATTTTATTGCGTTAACGGCCTTCATGTAGGTCTATGCATTCTGTGGGTAAAAATGAGAGCATTCCCATGTAGGGAGAGCACCGTTGCCGCATAACAAAAGGAACTGCTATCCACCTTACCCGGATCATTACTTAGTGCCTCACCTATAACATTCCACTCTTTACAGTAGTCAAATGAAGAAATTCCTTTACGGATTCGGAACACGGAACTCCTGCGGGATTATTTAAAAATTAGAAAACCGTTAGAGAAACAAGTGATTCCTTGCTTTGTTAGGAGATGGATACTGAACATTTTTGGTGGCAAAAGTCGATTGCTTATTCTTGTGAACTGCCCTCATTCTCCCTGGGGTAATTGCTGCGGCGTGGTGGGGGGGGGGGGGGAAGGGGCTTATATGGCCTATACGGGGAATTGCCGCTGTACCGTTGTACAGCGTCTGGCTTTATCCTCTGGCTCTGTCCTAAGCGAAGTATATGATCACGAGAGAATAATGGATCCATTGCTCTCTCTTGATATAACTTCGTGAGAGTCTGTCCTAGTTATAAACAGGGTATTGCATGCACGATATATTTGATTTTCTTAATGAAATTTGTTAGCTTGAAGTATTCAAAAGCAATGACGCAAATGAAATTGCCAATAAATGACGTTAAATCAAGATGGCGTGCATTTTCACCTTAGTCCTAGACAGGTTATTTTTATTTTTAGGATTTTGTTTCCTAAAATGGGTCGAAGGTAGAATAAGGGTTAGGCTTAGGATCGGGCATTCTCTGTCCTCCGAACCTGTACAAGAGAAAAATATGAACAGTTAACAGTTCCTCCGTGATTTAATTTTTATAGTTGATTGTACTAACGTTTTCCTCCTGTTCAGATCTCCAAGGTACATTGAAGTTCTACTTGCTGTCGCGCAAGAAATGAAACATTGCAAAGATGGATAGTATTTCACTTTACGAACCCAGTCCTCATGAAGACCCTAGAACAGCAAGTTTACAATAAGCGACAGGTAGAGCTAAAAAGAGGAGACCATTCTAGCAAGTACTTATGGTTCTTAACAAAGTAAGCGATTACTCCATGAAAACAAGAAAGAAAATCATGGCAAGATTATGGAAAAGAATAGTGGTATTTTAAAAATGTTCTGAACGTCTTGTTTATAGATACTACACTGGGGTACTCATGAGTACTGATACTTACATTAAATTGAGAGAGTTTTAAGTTAGAATGTTTTCCTTGTTGCAGTTCGGAGAAAGAAACGCGCTTGAATGATACTGACGACAAAGAAAGAAAAAAAAACAAGATCAACACGTAGAAAACATGAACATTGCTCTTAAAGGGAAATTATTCGTAATCATGAGTTTTAGTGAGGTATTTGTAGTACCGCTGACCTGATGGAATCTGCTGAGCGAGGTTTAAGTCAAACATGCATCCTGTGATGGCACAAAACTTTAAACAAAACACCGAACCACCAGCATCACCAAACAGTAAAATTCCCTCATGTAACTTTGCAGAGCTGTACCTGAAAAACATTAAATGACGAGTGAGGTTTGACACATTTTCTAACGGGGTAATTTGTTGACTGGACTGGAAAAATATCGATCCTGCCACTCCAAGCGGCTGTTATAATTTCTTAAATTAGTGAAGACAGTAGGACGCACATGAGTCGTAAGTTTCTGAAAAGGTTTGACCAAAGTCGGTTACTAATAGGAGAGGGTTGTTGTGGTCGAAGCCCTCAGAGTAATACAGATCTATCCTTACCAGTAATCCATGGTCAACACGCAGTAGTCCAAGCTACAAATCACAAACTGTTTGTCAAAACTGTTTGCGGAGCAGTCATAGAATGCTATAGTTGAGAGAAAAAATAAAGCACATATTAAAGCTTTTGGAAAAGAAAGAAAGGAAGAGAAGTTGGACGGTAGTTTGGATAACAAAAGCTGTGATCAGCTCACGGAAGTAAAGACTAAGGACTGATCATGATACGAACCAATCTCCCTGTCTGCTGTAGACAATGCAAGCTTCTTGGCATTTGGTAAAACGACACAGTCTGTTATCCACACATTCTTACTGGCTTTTGCTTCATGCCCTAACTGTAAAATATAAGGGACATCATAATAAAAGACGTGATTTCCGATGGGATCGTCCACGCGAGCCTGTTTTGGTGGGGGAAAGTGTTGTTTTTGCTCCAAAAACTCTCACACGCTCAAAAACAATTCCTCCAGCCACGCAGGCTATTCAAAACATTTCACAAGTACCACATGATAGGATGAATGTTAATACTACTCACCGATAAAGTTTTTTGCGGCTGCATGAGGTCCATAGTCCAGAAATGTAGAGTCCCTTCCCTGCTGACAGATACATATCTCCCGGCGCCGTTACTGTCAGTAGTATCATCTGTACCATGTGATACTTTAGGTAGGTGTGTTATCCGTGTGATCGTGTCACGATGGCAACTGAAACAAATAATTGTTATACAACTCCAAACTTGGAAATTTTTTTCCAAAATAAATCAGTTGTTTTTCTACGATATTATACGAGATGCTTTTTGCAGTTTGGACGTATCAACACTCAACAGTTCACCAGTTCCCCACTTTAGTACAGGGTTAGGGTTATGGCGTCGTCGCCCTGTTAGAATAACATTCCTGTGCCGCCGCGGTACAGTTATGAGATTCCTACTCTTGCTGTTTATGAAATCAAGACCATAGAGTATGACATCGTTGACGTTAATGTATCCCGGAAGTCCTTGCTAATAATATTCCCTGCAACCCCCAAAACAGGTGTAAAGGGAAACCCACTTTTATTTCTTCTTGATTGTTGTATAGTTGCCACTGATTGATCAGAATATAACCTTTACCTTGGGATTTCCCGAGCGGGATGAGGAAATGCCATCTGTAAGAAAAAAAAATCAGTGACATTAGAAAATTCGACCATGTTCCCCACGACCAGGCATTTTTTGTTCTTTTCGCACTCAAGAAGAACCCAGCAAAAAACAATATCAATTCTGAGCAGATGAACAGTGGCATTGTATCATATGCTCACCTCTCTATCTTCGCTGGTCATCACATCCTTTAGCTGAGTTTCTAGTAACATGTATGAAC